TTTGGTTTTTGCTCATCTCAAAGTTGGCATACGTGTTGCAAAATGTGATATCCCTATGCAGTGTACTAGTGGATTTAAAGTAGGGATTTTTTGTCCCTGAAATGTGTTCATGTACAGGGTGTCACAAGACTGTTAATTATTCCTTTTATTTTCTGAGTTGATTTATTAAGCACTATTTTTTTTTACGGCCGTAAAGTGTAATGTAACTTCGGAGGTGGATGTAGGTGAATTATGCAAATCATAATTCCTTTTCCCTTTGTTGCATACTGATTCCCAGGCTTGCACCCATGTGGGAGGGGTATAAAAACCTCGCCGGGTCGCCCACGTATTTTCGGATTGAGTTTTGCGGTTTTTGGTTTATTTCTTTCCCGTAATATATAATTTGATTTTGCTGATTGATAAATCCTGTGTTGAATCCTCTGTTCTCTTGAGTTATTCCTTGATTTTTGGTCTGAGTAGAGCGGCGCAAGGGTTCGTCTGCGACACAGGGATATCACATTTTCCAACACTTATACCAACTTTGACAAGAGCTAGAAACCTAACAAAAATATTATACCCCATAGGAAACATAGGATCTCAAATGGTACCTAGGACGGGAATGATGATGAAATCAATGTCAAAGGACAAATTGTTGTTCAAAGTACCCCAAAAAGCAATGCAGGACGAGAGTTATGGCCAAATCAAAAATCATGTAATAAGTGGCCATTTTGAATTTATGCAAATTAGGCATATTTCCACCACTTGGATTTCTTTCCTTTTTTAAAGAACCTTATAGTACGGAAGCCCGTTCGTGCCAGATTTTAAAAGTGAAAAAATATTTTTATTGCGAAATAACGCAATAGTTTTGCGAAATAACGCAATACTATTGCGAAATAACGCAATACTATTGCGAAATAACGCAATAGTATTGCGAAATACCGCAATAAATGTATTGCGAAATAACGCAATAGTAATGCGAAATAACGCAATACTATTGCGAAATAACGCAATACTTATTGCGAAATAACGCAATAGTATTGCAAAATAACGCAATATTATTGCGAAATAACGCAATAGTATTGCGAAATAACGCAATAGTATTGCGAAATAACGCAATAGTATTGCGAAATAACGCAATAGTATTGCGAAATAACGCAATAGTATTGCGAAATAACGCAATAGTTATTGCGAAATAACACAAAACTTATTGCGAAATAACGCAATGCTTATTGCGAAATAACGCAATAGTTTTGCGAAATAACGCAATAGTGTTGCGAAATAACGCAATAGTTTTTGTTAAATAAACCCAATGTTTTTTTGAGAAAAAATGCATGAGTCCGCGAATGGTTGATCCTATAGGCCCACTTCGGCCTACTTTAGGCCTACTTATAGGCAAATTCTCACGTCATATTTTCTGACAGATAACGTTTTTATGGTGTTTAAAACATTGCGGGGAAAACATTTTAAAGATGGAAAATCATTCTTGTGTAATTATCATTCGTTTAAATGTATTAGTTTTTTTCAGCGTGGTGGAATATTGAGCGTATTATTGATGCATACCCCAACCCAAACAACCATTCCTCAAAATGTATCATTATATCAGTACAATTTCCCCTGCATTGTTACAATGCGAATGCACTGTGGATGCACCATTAAATTCAAGTGATTATTAACATGCTAAAGTTTGTTTCCTTCAGGTGCATGGGTAAAACACAGTACTTGTAGTTGCGAGAGAATCATTCGGTTCTCTTCTGACAGCACGCGTTCGTGCTTGGTGGCCATTTTGAGTCGGTTGTGTTTAAAAAAAAAAATCAAAACGCACATGATTCAATAGGGGGGTGTGTGAAAAGATAATAAAGCCCTTAAAACTTGTTGCCCCTCCCCCCCCCCCCTCCCCTGGGCAAAAATACCACGGCAATGTCTATTATGGCAACGTTTTCTGAAAAGATCAAACATAGGCCGCCTGGTTTTCAGCACCCCGCCCCTTTCAAGCAAAACCGTGCCACGACAAGAGCACAACGGATAAAAACGCAATGACGGACAGGAACTTCAAGAACATTTCATCAAAATGGACAAATAAAGGCCAAACTGAACATCCGGGGTGAAGTTTGTACACGACAGTATTGCGTTATTTCGCAATACTATTGCGTTATTTCGCAATACATTTATTGCGTTATTTCGCAAAAGTATTGCGTTATTTCGCAATACTATTGCGTTATTTCGCAATACCTTAGTTGCGTTATTTCGCAATACTATTGCGTTATTTCGCAATAGTATTGCGTTATTTCGCAATAGTATTGCGTTATTTCGCAAAACTATTGCGTTATTTCGCAAAACTATTGCGTTATTTCGCAATAAAATATTTTTTTATTTTCAAAATCTGGCACGAACGGGCTTCCGTATTATAGCAATGCACCATGGTGTGAAATTTATTATGTACATGACTGAACTTGGATTATCAGGAAAAATTTAATTGTAACATTTGTTACATGTCCACACATGACAGCCATAGTTTTAACTTTAATCTATGCAAATTAATAAATGGCATTTATGTAAATCATTATCGGCATATCGCAAATTTGGGAAACATAGGGCTATTGAAAGTTACCAAGGTCTAGAATAATGAGTAAATCTATGTAAAAGGACTAAAATTGTTGTTTTAAATACCTCAAAAGCTACCTAGTATATGAAATAGGACCAAATCAGTGCGAAAATCCTAAAATATGCGGCCATTTTGGATTTATGCAAATTAGGCACATTTCCACCACCTGGATTTTTAAAGACTTTTAGTATGTCATTTTAGGGACCTTATAGAAATGCACTGTGGTGAAAAAAATTCTGTTGCAATTTGTTTGAGGTTCACTCAAAAAATGAAAATTTTGCCTGTACTAATAGCTGGACTCATCGTACTTCTTCAGGCTGCACAGAAAAATGATGATCAACATGTCATCTTTAGCCACGCATGCGCAATGCCGCGACAGTGGTTTTTCAGTGTGCGGAACCTAAAGGGGAGGGAGGCAAAATCATTTCACAAGGGTCACCAAGAGCGGATTTGCAGCAAATGCTCACAACTTTTCAAAGGTCCGAGAGTTCATCTTCCGAGTAAAGCCATTTGAGAACAAAAGTGCGGGTGGGGGGGGGGGGGGGTAGATTGGGGTTAGGGAGGAGCTTGAACTCGATTATCGCCATGAGGGCGCTCTATAGCCGGCCTTCGCTCGTACCCCCCGCCCTGCAAACAGGGGCAAGTTCGCGCAAGGACTATAGTTAACCATTGGTTGACTTACGCTTGCCCGAACTTTGTCTAGTCGACGATGGTTAACTACGCTAGTCGACTATTTGGAACCAACCTACTGGGGTTGGTTGCATCGCTGGTAACCATAGCCGCGCGCGTTCATAACGTACAGCAGGGAGCCAGGATCCAGACGTTTTGCAATGACATTTTGACCAGCGTTCGACTAGAGACGTTCGCACTTTGCTATTAGTGCGCAGGCGTAAGGTACGTCACAAATCAACCACTAGTCGACTAATGGTCCTTGCCCGAACTTGTCCCAGGACGCTGGTCAGGGCTGACGTCATTTGAGCTCTCATTGGATAGATTTGCGTGACCTGTGACGTAGAACGCGTCACACAAACTAGCTTCCGGTGCCCATCATGCGTAGCGCGCTAGCTGCATGCGAAGGTCAATCTGTACTTCCTTCACAAGATTCTGTGGAGCTCATCAGCCCTTACCAGCGCCCTGTTTGCAGGGCGGGGGGTACGAGCGAATAGCCGGCCAGGGAATGCGCATAAGAGATGCGTGTTACAGAGGCCTGATATCGACCTGAGTTACTTTCTTTTCTTTCAATTTATTTGATGAAATTTGAGTTATGGATCCATCCTCTTCCCCGTATAAGTGGTTTGGGTAAAAAATAACATACTTTCGGGTATATTGGGTATTATACTGGGGTTCACCCTAGAACTTTGAAGTATTGGGATTTATCACTAATGTCTATGGGACTGGGAATGTTTATACTGGGGTGCACCCATTTTACAAATTACGTGGTTTGTTTCCCATCCACACCCTTGATATCGGACAGGTTTTATTCTGCATATATTTAAGTTTTTGCCTCGGAATCCTTATTTTTTTACGATTTGCAAACTTTTGCACATTCACGTCAATTAATGCATTATGCCAATTTGAAAAAAGCTTTGTCTGTTTTTCCTATTGAACGTCGGAAAAGTGTGACCCATCATATGCCCTTGATGATGATTTCAAGGCCAACACACAGAGCATCGACCCCGCCACCGGCCACCGGCCACCGGCTCTAGGCATTTTGCTTTCACTGTTAGAACGGCGTGGTTATACCGCAAAATGATAGAGAATTTGACATGATAGAGAATTTGACCCCATATCTACATGTACATTTACCCTTTGTATGCACCCTATACGTCTCTAAAATTGTGTTGTGTATATGCACTGTATTAATATTTTACATGGAGGTCTTGGAGTGAACCAGATCAGTACTAATTTAAAAACGCCGGACTAAGTTTGACCATGGTTTGTCTCATCATATGCCCTTGATGATGATTTCAAGGCCAACACACAACGAACGACCCAGCCACTGGCAGGATGCATTGCTTTAATTTAGAATGGCGAGGTCAGTACCGCAAAAAGACAGAATACGAGAGAGTTTGACCCCATACAAGTTCATTAATATTGTGGCGACCCTGACCCGGCGCTATGGAAGTTTCTGGCCTTGGCAGCGAGCGGTCTAGCTTAGGCCAAGAGAGCAGATCCGTTTCGGGGAAATCTACCGCCAGGCAATGGGCACAATCACATAAGGGGGAATACAATCAGTTAAAATGACACAGAAACATCCGAGCACTCAAGTCTAATGAATTGGAGGCGTAAATAAATTACCAATGAATGTCACTTTAATCATGAATCCAACTTCGCCTATCAATACAAGGTAATAACTATTACATTACATAAGAAGAATTCATAAAACCCCTGTAACAGGTGTCCCCTTTATCAGGTGCACCTACTCCTTCGCCAGGTGCTCCTTCGCCAGGTGCTCCTTCGCCAGGTGCTCCTTCGCCAGGTGCTCCTTCGCCAGGTGCTCCTTCGCCAGGTGCTCCGTCGCCAGGTGCTCCGTCGCCAGGTGCTCCGTCGCCAGGTGCTCCGTCGCCAGGTGCTCCGTCGCCAGGTGCTCCGTCGCCAGGTGCTCCGTCGCCAGGTGCTCCGTCGCCAGGTGCTCCGTCGCCAGGTGCTCCGTCGCCAGGTGCTCCTTCGCCAGGTGCTCCTGCGCCAGGTGCTCCTGCGCCAGGTGCTCCTTCGCCAGGTGCTCCTGCGCCAGGTGCTCCTGCGCCAGGTGCTCCTGCGCCAGGTGCTCCTGCGCCAGGTGCTCCTGCGCCAGGTGCTCCTGCGCCAGGTGCTCCTGCGCCAGGTGCTCCTGCGCCAGGTGCTCCTGCGCCAGGTGCTCCTGCGCCAGGTGCTCCTGCGCCAGGTGCTCCTGCGCCAGGTGCTCCTGCGCCAGGTGCTCCTGCGCCAGGTGCTCCTGCGCCAGGTGCTCCTGCGCCAGGTGCTCCTGCGCCAGGTGCTCCTGCGCCAGGTGCTCCTGCGCCAGGTGCTCCTGCGCCAGGTGCTCCTGCGCCAGGTGCTCCTGCGCCAGGTGCTCCTGCGCCAGGTGCTCCTGCGCCAGGTGCTCCTGCGCCAGGTGCTCCTGCGCCAGGTGCTCCTGCGCCAGGTGCTCCTGCGCCAGGTGCTCCTGCGCCAGGTGCTCCTGCGCCAGGTGCTCCTGCGCCAGGTGCTACCACTTTAGCAGGTGTCCCTGAACTTTCTGAGATATACCAATCATGCAATGCAATTTCTTAGATCTGAGCGGTTAACAGAATCGGTAAACTTCTGAGTGTCATCTTAATTCTTTACTAAACTCTTGGTTCCCTGAACACCTTTGTATACACTTGGTTCTCGAAACATTTCCACTTATAAATAATGAACACTCAATTGCTGCTCTTTCCTACAATTAACGCGCTCCTCTCTGTACTAAGCACTTTCTTCTCCTTTAATTAGCTCTCAGCACTGACCGATGCCAACTTCAAGACTGACCCTCTGCACTGCATGACTCATAACTACCTCCCCTACATCTACACTACTCCCATTGTTCTCCCCCACTTTGGAAAATGTCTTGCGCTAACCACAACTTTTCTGTGCTTATGCTCAGGCACACATAGTGTAACTACAGTCCTTTGAATTCCACTGTGCTTGTGGCCCTATGCAATAATGCATGTATGTACATGTACATGTCCATGTACAGACCATGTAGAAGGTCAAATCTGTTTACACTGCACTGAATATCGAGACTGTACATTGCGTTACAATATTGACCCATAAAATTGTGTGTACAGTGTACTGCATTGTGCATGGAATTCTTTGAGTGACCGTGATACGTGAGAGGGGTCGGGTAGACTAGACCTAGGGCCTAGCCTATGCCAATTTCAGCTCGACTCATCCTACTTCTCTTCAAGTTATGACTACTGGCAGCATATTGGTGAGTATGTCGGTGAACACGGAGGAAGGAATGGGGTGAACAAGGCGGTCCGGGCAGGAGCTCGAATATCCTCGATTTTTTTATCGTAAGGGGCCATTCAGAATTTTCAATGTTTTAAAATTTCGACTTTTTTTCCAAATTATTTTGACCCACCCACCCACCCCTATTTTCGATTAATAAAAACTGAACATGTACATGTACATGTACATGCACTTGCATGTACAGTGTGTACATATACTTGAACATGTACATGTATACCCATGTACATGTACATGTGTACCCATGTACATGTACATGTGTACGGTCTAGTTCAGTGACGGCATGAAGTTGTCGGTCTTCCTCTTTTGCAGTGGTGGCCTTCAGTTTTCTTGTGTTTTACCAGCTGATATGCTGTTTGGAAAGACAGGTTGCAGTCTTGGAAGCCACAAAGATGACCGTGGTTTTGTCATTTTCTGGATTAGCCCCATAAATGTGGCCAATTTACTGGACTGCCTCCGTAAATAAAGGTTACACTGCCACCATGTACAAAAACATGTCGAACTTTGTCAAATTTTGATTTTCACATTTAGGCTTAGTTTGTTGTTTATTTTTGCTTTAGAAGCATACTCACCCTCTTTATAGGCTAATTAGAAAGTGCTGCCTTTTTCAGGTGTCTATTTTTCGTGAAATTTCCATATTCGTTTGCACACGTTTGCGTATCAAAATGTCCACATGAACTTTTACGAAAAGTAGACATCTGAAAAAGGCAGCACTTTCTAATTAGCCTATAAAGGGGGTGAGTATGCTTCTAAAGCAAAAATGAACTACAAACTAAGCCTAAATGTGAAAATCAAAATTTGACAAAGTTCGACATGTTTTTGTATATGGTGGCAGTGTGGCCTTTATTTATACGGAGGCAGTCCAGTAAATTGGCCACATTTATGGGGCTATTTCTGGATGAGGTGGATGACATGTGACATACGAGGTTGTGCCTGTCACGTGAGGTAGCTGAGAAAAACATTCCCTCGTACCCCCTGCCCTGTTTGCAGGGCGGGGGTACGAGCGAAAGAAAAACATCAGGTTTGGGCAGTCATCACATCACAGGCTGCGGTCCTCGTAGTCTTGGAGTCCAGTGGTTGAATAGTCAAGTTTTTATAGCGATTGGTAATCGACACCCGCGGCGTGTTATAGAGCCGATCTAGTACACCTGGTACCCTGCTGCCTCTGCACGGCCTAACCGCTAGAAACGCCCGGCATCCAAGTCTACTGAAAAACCACCTCCCTCTCATGCCACAGTGGGTCTATATACACGTACATGACGTACATGTACAGTACATACAGGGGACGAAGTTGGAAAAGAAACACGCATCGCGATATCGGAACGCTTGCGCATTGTTCAGGCAAGTCAAAAGATCTTTCTTTGTTTTGTTTTTTTTATCCTTTTTCCATGGAAAGTGAATTTCGATTTTCAATTATTTAGCTTGACCCACCCACCCACAATTTGGAAAAAAGATCGAAATTTTAAAACATTGAAAATTCTGAATGGCCCCTAATATGCGACTCGTACTGTATTTATGATTGATCGTGAAGAATGGCCGTACCTGCACACGCAGCAGCGTTTTGTCAAGTGTTAACGGGTTTAACAGAAATTTGCTGCTTGTGGAAATAATGGAATACAATTCTCCGACGTTTCAGATACATACGAATGGATATCATCCTGTCAATCAGCAGAAAATCATACAAAACGCAGCGTGTCAATACCGGTACCGGAATCTGATGTAACGTCAAAATCTCGAAAAAGGTATATATTAGCTTAGCTTGAGTAACTCCAGCTGACATGCTCATATTCCTGTATTCATTCACATGTGAATGAATATGGAACATGTCAGCTGGAGTTACTCAAGCTAATATTAGCTGTGTTTAACATCAAATCGGGGTCTGATTTAAGGAACTCTTTTTTTGTGTGCAAAACTCGTACGGCTACAGCTGTTGGGTTATCCCGTCGGTTATTCTAAATTAAAAGTCACCGTAAATTTACAGAGTATACATATGCATTCTTCTCGGTGTTTTCCTCCAACGTCCCTTATTTGGACTTTCCTTTCATGAGTATGCGGCACCCATTATTCAGTTCAATTCAATTCAATATAACATTTATTTATATCCAACCATAAACAAAATACAATTCATATAGCATGTACAATAAAGGATTATTGTGTCTTGGAAAAGTAATAAGTAAAATTGTAAATGACAAAGCAAAATTAATTTAAGCCATAATAAGCCTAAGCTTGTCAATGGCAGGTGCTAAAAGCATACTGAGACGACTATAAAGCAATAAATGAAACACAAAAACGTTCATAAGTAAAACAATTGAAAACACATAATACTCGGTCAATAACAATGTAGTTTAGCAGGTAATTAATAATCAAGAGTTAACTATCAAAAGTAGGAACGCAAAAAGATAAAGATCAAATATAAGTGAATAAATAAAAAGTACAGGCTAAATTATATAATGAAAAAAAATTGGGTGGATATAGGCATACTTCCAAAGCAATGCTTGTATGGAAAGCCTTTGAGACACAAAACAAACATCAGACACTGGGGAACTATGGACAAGACAAAGACAAAAACAGGACAAAGAAGTGAGTGACAATAGCATAAGGAGGAAACAGCATACTACATGTCATGAAGATAATGGGCAATTAACAAAGTGATATAATTATTATATCCAAACTTCCCTTCTGGGGTTTGTTGTTACGCGTCACCCGAAAGTAAGGAGGTGGAAAACATAAAACTTGAATAAATGTGTAAACATGCGTTTTGAATTTTGCGTTAAAAACGAATAATAATGTATATCGCAATTCTCAAGGTTATAAATGTCAGTGGTCGATTGCGGTGAATTGTCTAGTGTGTCATGTGTAGGCCTACTCCACACAAAAGAGGGAAAAACGAATACTGTAAAAATTAGTTCATGTCTTTAGTTCATGTTTTGAATGTTGTATAAAAGATATGTTAGCCCCATGATGATAATATTTCCGTGGTCAAACATGTTGTTGATTGTTTAAAGTGTATTATGCAAAGTGTGGATTCGTAGTTCCGAATACAAACTTTACGAAAGATTCGTAGATATGAATCCACACAGTGCGACGTCATAGCAATGGTTTAATTTGTGTAGAAAGTATGTGAATTTGGATCCAAGTGACTCCTCAAACTGAATTAAGTAGGTCTACACTCTAAAAACAACTTAGTCAAGATATTGACTGGTTTTCCTTGTCATTCAAAATTGACTAGGAATTTAGGTAAACATGCAAAGTTTCTTACTATGACTAGAAAAAGTAGTTGGAATTGAGTCCAACTTTAGTTATTTACTTAACTTTTGTTCAATACCGACTGGAAAATCTAGTCAGATTGACCGATTTTCAGTTTCACCCAGCTGACCCTGAATGGCTAGTCAAACTTAACTGTTTCTAGTCAAATCTGACTAATGTGTGTGTGTGTGTTTTTTTGTGTTTTTTGGTTTTTTTAGAGTGTTGTGAATAAAGGTGAACTGGCGCTTTGGAGGTGTTTCTCCACACTCACCATAACACTCTTTTGTTGTTTAGTATAGCAACGTAAACAGGTTGCAGTCAGGTGACAATAATACTAACATTTTGTTTTTGTGCTCAGGAATATTATCGACGAAGGTGAAACGAAGAATATACGCCTACACTAGAAAGGTGTCGGCATCTACTTTTTTGGAAATCCTAACAAGTCGCAACCGTCTCTTTGCTCGTGCTGTGATTTGGCTAAAATGGTATCGGCGGGACTTCAGCAACCCGTGACGGTGAATTACGACCAGGACAGATGGGGATGGCTCATGGTGGCCGCAGCGTTCGTCAATGCGTTCGTCATCATGGGTCAGCTCAAAGCACTAGGTGTACTCCTCATACCGATGACCAACGACTTCGACAGTGAACTGTGGCTTGTTGGCTGGGTGGCAGTCCTGTATAGCATGACACAGGATTGTTTCGGTGAGAAAATAAATGCCTTATTTGCGTCAGAAACTTTCTGGATTGACAATTACAATTTTCAGACTAAAAGCTACGTCTTGCAATAATGTGATTTGTGAGTATCAAACTTGGCACCTGGCATTCCTAAGCGGTAATTACGATCTGATCACTAGACATGAACATGTTGGAGCAGTTTATTGTCAGAATGAATGTTAAGAATCTTGATGGCGTAACATTTCCTCAGTTCAGTTTAATGATTTAAAATCCAATTCTCCATATTGCAAGAAACTGGCCTTGTAGAAAGGGTGTTTAATTGAGAAGCAACCTTAAATTTTCGTCTTAGCATGTGAACATGTTGTTTTGTTGACTTCCATACTTCCATATCATTGTATTGCGAAGAACCAAATTTGCATGTTAAATGTCATGGCAGGATTAACATGTTGCTTTCTAACCATTTACAAATGGTGGAGATTTGTAATTTTGAAATGAAGTAAAACTTTGAATTGTATTTTGGGTATTGTTTTTCTAATTAGATATTTTTCGGGGGTGGGTTCATGAGGTATAAATCATATAGCTGACACCATTAAAGTCAGTCAACTATTTGTTCCCATTCTCTTTACGTATATAGCACCTGTCGTAGGAGCACTCTCTCGTCTACTAGGCGCACGCCCCATGATCGTCATGGGTGGAGTTCTGTATACGTTGGGCTTGATTCTGGCGTCGATATCACCTTCAGTTCCGCTGTTGGCAGTTTTCGTTATTGGACTATCAGGTAACAGACCTATTTTAATATGTATATATTCCACATAAAATTTGGTATATTTGCAACCGGGATAATGTGCGTATTGCTCCTAAGCGCTGGTGCTACAGAGCTGGGTTCAAGCTCTGTCAATTTTTAACTAATTTCGTAAGTAGATTTTAAAGTAATTTTGTATCTATAATAGAATTACATTTTAATTGTGTTGAGATTAAATCAAATAGTTATCTCTTGAAATCTGGAAATCGGTGATCCATGTAGCATTATAATTTTCTAGAATGTTCCATTATAACTTCATAGAATGTTCCGTCTCGGGAGACTAATTTTACCATACCACTCGAAGCAGTCAGTATTCGTATACTGTGCCATTAGGCCTTTAAAAAGTACGAGTTTAAAAAGTATGAGGATGTTCTGTTGGTTTCATGTGTTATGCGCATTTCAATTGAATATTTTTTTTGTGATGGAATTGTCATTTTTGCTATCTTTATCTGCACGATCAAAAAGACTATAATATTATTTGTAGCAGCGAAGGTGCCATACGCATATCAACCAAAGTACTAAAGTGTACTTTCCTGTAAATGCACGGCAGTGGGAATTGACCTGCGGGCTTCATGCGCGAACAAGACACGTACGTTTCACTCCTATAGGACGTGCGGTATAATTATAAGCTTATAGGAAGTGCCACCGAACCTGACTGCGCCATTGCAAACCATACGGAGTCGGCCCTGGTAACCAGGCCCTCCCTCTTGTTAAATGCCAAGTTTAACTGCTTTATACGTGCGTTATTGAACGAAAAACGTACTTTAACGTTTCAATGTTCTTCAATACAAGCAAGCCCTAAAAATTCTAAAGCTGGAAATTCGTTTCGGGAAAAATTCCATGTAGTGATATATCCCCTTTAAACAGGTTGCTAAGGTATCGAACAATTCAAATTTCAGATCGTGTATGTGTCACTTGCGCACGGAGCCCATTGCGTGCCTGTCGCAGCAACAATGAAAGGGACTTTACTAATTGTAAACCCATATTCCACCAACGCATTGAGTTTGTTCTCATGCAATCACATTTAGTACATATTACCTGGTGTGTATTTAAACCAAATTATTTTGTTGGTTGTCCTTCGCCTTTCGATTGAAACTATAAAATCGAGGAATGTACTGCTTTAGTCCTATCCTGAACAGAAAAAAATAGCATAGTTTAATTGACCTCATTTTAATTGTGTTTAGATTAAATTAATCAGTTATCTCTTGAAATCAAGCATAATCTGTTGGTCAGGCGTTATGAAACAAATATGAACAGCTTTAACTCGTGGTGTAGGCCTATAATAATGAAAGATCACAGACACTAGATTCTACACACAGAACTTTGGACTGGGCAGTAGTGAAGTTTCCCAATTTAGCATAGTTTGACCTCACTACTCCTAATATCCACTTAGGCCGCATATTTTGTATGCTATGATTCTCATTTTCGACCGACTCTGGGCGAAAAAAGGAGAAAATGGCTGCCGACCTTCTCGGTGTCCGGACCAACATACGAATACGACAATGCTCTTTCATTTCCAAAACAAAAGGAAAGTCACTCTATTTGAGTGAATCCAGGTTCAAGACGATTTAGAGTCAATGTATTCATTCCATCGAATTGATCGAGTTTTCACTCGAGTTTCCATGCACTTCCTATGTTTTTCATAGTACTTCAGCATTTTATTCATTCTTAATAATTTGGTCCCTAGTTTCACTCTTTGAATTATAAATCGAAATTGTCTGCAGGTTGTATTTTCTTTATTTGATTCATTGATTGGTTGATTTTTGCAGGTTTTGGTGCTTCGTTCAATTGGTACATCGGTTTTGCTGTAATGGCTTCTTACTTCAAGGAGAAATATCCGTTAGCTATTGGACTGTCAACGATGGGTATTCCCCTTGGTATAATGGCTTATGGGCCCGTAACCCAGGTTCTTCTCAACACCTACGGCTGGAGAGGAACCATGCTTTTACTAGGAGGGATCTCGTTTCATCTTGTGGCGTGTGCCTTGTTAGTGCGACGGGATCCATCTTCCAATTCAGCTAATTCAGACACTGATCAGTACCAAGAAGTGTTGGTTCTCGATGAAGAAGAAAATGCGCAGGAAGAAGGGGATGCTCCCAATCATACAAGACGCACACAAGAAAAGAGAGAAAAAACGTATTGCCAGCGCTTGATAGAGGCGATGGATTTCAAAGTGCTTGCCGATAAAAGGTTTGCTTTGCTTGTTTGTGGCGGGTGCTCAGCCGCGTTTGCATACAGCGCTTGGCTGGTGTTCATGGTGCCGTATGGGAAATTCCAAGGCCTGAATGACACTCAGGCGTCGTTCCTGCCTACTGCGTTCGGTATTGGCAACGTCATTGGTAAGCTACTGGCACCCCTCTTACAGGAGCTCGGCATGAAACTGCCCATGACATTCTGGGCGTGTTTCGGGGCAGCTCTAATAAGTGGTTCGTTCGTCGTAAATGCCTTTATCAGACCGTTCATCGGACTGTTAGCCGTTACGGGACTAGTGGGTGTTGGTTACGCCGCGATGTACCAAGCCATTGATGTCATTTTACGGTTCATCTCGACAGACGACCGGTTGGTTAGTATACTAGCCTGGCAGGGAGTCTTTGCTGGAGTTGCAGGGGCGCTTGGTGGATTGGTGTCAGGTTAGAATTGTCTTTTGTTAATTTATACATAACATGATTATGACGAATTATTATATTCCTACTGGTTCCATGCGCTGTGGTCAAGGACCACTGTAGTCGAGAATTGAGAACCGAACCCGTAGGCACGGAAAATGTTTGAGCGATAGTGAACCAGTAGGCCTATAGTTGACTGTCTTCACTCAAACCTACGGTAGTCAATGACATTGAACAATTCGTGGGCCCGACCTTCCAAGGTCGATCGCATCGCTGGCATTAAATTTCCGTAAAACTCTTATCATTCTACACAAAACCCCTTGCGCCAGGGCTTTTGTGCACAAACCTTGTCAGACGGCCTATCACGCTCAATTGACTTCGGCAAAAACCGCAAGCCTCATCATGAAGAATAAGCTCAGACAGAAGTACCGGACCAACTTTTACAAGAATGTGTTCGTAATGGGTTACAATAATAAGCCTATCCACACGCACTATATAAGCACAACAACCATGATTGGACAGGCGTTTACACGTCTCGACCGCTTTTCGACAAGAGACAGTGACGTTCGTACGCTGCTATAAGTTATGTTACCAATCAACGACTAATCATGCTAATCGACTAATACCTTGGACCGAATGTGCTCATAAAGTTGCATCGCTGGTTCATAATATCTTTGTGAATTATTGCGATGAAAATAATGTACAGTAGCTGACGAGAGTAAAGAGAAATCCAAACAATGAAAGTATATATGACAATGTGAACATTGTCAACAGTACAATTGAATATGAGTGTCGGATGATGAGGACATATCGACTTTAGGTTGAACCACGTGTTCGCCCTCAGAACTGATTTACCAAACCAGGTTGTATGTAAGCATAAAATGTTGGCATTGATATATGAACAGTGTTTGCTGTTATATGTTGCAATGTATATCAGTTCCTTTCCTATTGTACACTATCTTGTCGATTTTGCTTGTATTTCTCTCGCACATATGTTTTGTGATAGTGAAATATCTTTTATTTCGTTGAAGGTTGGATTTACGAGTGGACGGGGACTTTCTTCATATCCTTCTTCGTGTATGCTGGGGTGACATTGCTTTCGATTCCCTTTTTCATCATGGAAGCTGCATACGATAAACAGACGCACTAGTACAGCCAGGCTTCGAGATTGACTTTGAAGCTGTGACTTCTGTGACAAAGAGAACTGTCTCTTGGAGGACAATGACAGGAATGCACTCTCATCACAACAAGAAGGCAGCATCGCCGGGTTCTTTAATATTGCACTGCAAATAGCATCCATTTACCAGCGGAGGTAGAAGAAACAACTCACCCAGCTATGTGTTAAGCGTCAACACTTAGCTAAAACATTTTACGGATAGAACATTTTGGGGCCACTATTTAGAAGAAAAACGGTGCTTACTTCGACCAAAAACCTCTAAAAACGTAAAATACTGAATCAAACGTGTGTCTCTATTTTGTATATGTGTCTCTATTTATGTACATGTGTATTAGCCTTGATCTGAGGAAATTCAGACATCGTATAATGCCATTAAAATGGCAAATCTAAAGAAGAGAATATTTACAGACTGAAGAACAAAAATCCTGACTTTTTGTTTCACGTAAATAGTTTTAGGAGTGAGAAATTAAGGCAATTAAGATAATTTGCTCATCTTGGGAGATCGAATAGTTGCAGTAAGATCATAGCTTTCCATTTGGAATACTCACTTTGGAAGGATTTGGCCCCAAAATAAAGACGCTTAAGAATGTAAACTCGAAATAGATTTAATGTATATTCGAACAGCTTCAAATTTTTACATGAAATAAAGATGTTAAGTGATGACATTATTACTCGAACTGCGACATACCCACACTCAGCTTGCATTGAAAAGTTCGTGCAATTTCCAAGTTTGAACTCGGAAAATGGATTGTTTTTCCCTATACTTCTGGTTTTTTTCTGGCAATACACTACTCACTTTCGAATGTGACTTTGAACGGGAAAAATGGCTCTCTTTAGTTCTGGAGTACCAAATTCGACTATGTTTCTTTCTTGCGTGGAGAACTGATTTCCATGTACCCTATTAGCATTTATAATGCACAGACCGCGAACCAGTCTACTATTATCAGTGCAGATGTGTCTATGCAAAAAAAAACAATCAAAACTTAAAACCCTTTAATAACAGAAACATATAAATTGAGAAATCGTTAAGGGGGGGGGGGGGTCGCATTTGTTGAACGCACTGACTGTACATCTTTAAAATTTAAACAGCAATTTAAAAAATTGAAATGAAAAATCACTCATTTAATTGGTCTTAAAAATAGCGCTTTGTTTGGATCACCAAACTACAAAGAATGCAAAAATCATAAAACTTCTTTTAAAAAATTAAATTAAAACAATATATATAAAAAATGTGCACGTGCCTAGCCTGCTTTGCAATAGTCTAAACAGGGGCGTGAATCTTTTTGACCAGGGTGGATGGGCTATTGAATCGTCCCCCCACTTTTTGTGATGAGAAAAAAAAAATTAATAATGCAGATTTTGAGGTTTTTTCCGGACGTCCCAACAACTAACATGTATTCAATAGCACTGAAAAGTGGAGAAACAAAGTACAAAAGCTTTAAAAATGTAAGCTCGAGTATACATATTGATCTACATCTTCATCCTGAAGAGCGCCCCTAGTGTAATGTGATGTCCAGCCCCCTCCCCCCACCCCTGCTTTTCGAATTTTCAGGGCCGGGCAATGCTAGGATTTTGGTCACCCCCCATCCCCCCTCTCGCCGGTACTAATAGTACACGTCACACTAGGTTCAAACAGGCGTTCCAGAGTCGCGCCGAACCATATGAAAGTCTAGAATTAATTAAAGCTGTAGTCCATCATTTGCAGCTATCCAAAAAGTGACTGACGTAATTATTGTTGAAAAACGTACTTGGCTGAAAGATAGTCAGGGGACTAAACTCCCTGTCAAATTATTCTTTTTGGTATGCTGTCATTTTGAAGAAATCAACGCAAGAAGGCCTTTCCAACGGTGCTTCTTAAGACGCACCGTTGGAAATTTTCGTTAGTAGTTCGTTTTTTTATTCAGCGAAGCGCGCGCAAGCGTTGACACGACGCACACGCACGCGCGCGGTTGCTATAATTCGTCGGATCAGTGCGCGACATCGCGTAGCTGCATAGACCGCTTGCAGACGCGATCGATAATTGACGCGCGAAGGTGCGCGACGCCATGTTGTGGGACAAAATGTGAATGGATAGATCTAGATATATGCTTGTCCCACAACATGGCGTTGCGCGCCTTCGCGCGTCGATTATCGAACGTATCTGCAAGCGGTCTATTCGGCTCAGTAAGAACGTGTCTCGGACGCTGAATTCAGCAGGCCCAATTCAAAACATGATTCAGCAGCTTTTGATTTGAAATCGAGATCCTAGAATGCTATTTTTCTCGAAATATACAGCTGAAGCTGAGCTGAAACTTCATCAGGTTAGTTGTTCAGCACCCTTCTTCAGAGTTTGAGTAGGTGTGTTGCTTCAAACGAACAAAATGCACAAATTACAAATGATGGACTACACCTTTAAGTGCGTCAAAAGTCCGACGTCTGAAACAATTAAGATCGACTTGACGCGCTCGATGGCGAAAGATCGACTGTTGGAGTCGTTGGAACGACTCAGGAGCGACTTGGTTTCAGACGTCGCTCTAGTCATGAGCCGAACTCAATACAAATGTATGTAAATGTATGTAAATAAATAAATAGTGACCTTCAAAAATAAAGACTGCAGGTGATGTGTTTAACGCGCGACGCAGTGCTTATAATTTAAAAGTTTTCTTTTTGCAGATTTAATCCTTTCAAACCCGAGATTTCGATGTCGTGTTACAGAGCAAAAACTTACAATAAAAGTACGTCCCGCTGTTTCCCAAATACAACACAAGATACATTTTTTAAAGCGGAAAACCGAGACTTCCAGTATCCATGTTGTACAGGCACGGCGCAGTCTTGAGTAGTGAGTAGGGTCTTCATCGGACAAGACAAAAGAATTTTATGCATAATGCACAAAGACAATGGACTCATTAGCATATCAATGAAACCAATTAGCATATCGATGGATGATGTTAGCATAATAAAAGAGCGCATGGGCGTGTGTAAGTTTTACCAGACAAAGGATGGGTCTAAAAAATGTATTGGACAAAGGGGGCAGCCCACCCGGCTAGATGGAATAGCGGACAGAGGAAAGACCTGAACCGGAATAGTGGACAAAGGGAGACTTGAGCCGGATTATGAATGTCAAACGTTTGAAATGACCAAGACTATCATTTGTATTCATTCAAAGCAGTGTGCAAACAGTAAATAATAAAAACAAAATGCAGGCCACACCAACAGATCGCCAATTAAGCCGACTAGCTGGAAATCTTGTGAAAAAATGTTTTTACATGTACTCTGGTAAGAATGGAGAGTGCGAGCGACCTTGGGAGAAGTTAATGATGAATCTCGGTCTATCAAGAGCCGCTATGTATAGACATTTAGAGGAAAACAAATTTTGTGAATGGGGGCAATGTTTTAACGCACTTATAGAGTGGAAACGACGCGAATATAAAAATGCCACGATTGAACGATTATTGAATGCCTGTCGATTTTGCGGTATTGATCATTAAACGCTTACATTTTTTTTGCTGCAGTAAACCATTACCCTTCCCCCCTTCCAAAAAAGAAAGAAAGAAAGAAAGAAAAAATTATGATTGTCTAATTGAAGAATTTCGTCTAGAATGGCGAACATCGTCTAGAATGGAACACCCCTTAAGATTTGTTTCGAATGACTCATCTCAGTAGTCCATTGTGCAATCCACACGGACAGAATAAGTTCGTGTATGTGTACAGACATGCAAGAGTTTCTTCTGGTCGAGTTTTAAAAAAGTTTGAAAAAATTTATTTATGTATTTATAGTAAACAAACACTCACCGGTGAACAGCGTACTCGCACGGTATAGTCCGATGATGTATAGAATAAAAAGACTAAATCGGACGCGCGTTCGAACGCGCCATTCACTGTGCACAAAACTTTTGGGTTCTTCGTGGACGCGCTGCAAAGTCACGTGAATAGGGCCACGCGCAAAGGGCAGCTGCTAAATGTTGGACGGAAAAATGTCGCCAACACCTTAATTCAGCTATTCGTTGAAGTTCTTAACAACAGATTGACATTTTTAACTACGATTTTCGACATTTCACATTCCTTCGAAAAGTTACACATGGGTTTGCATCTGTGTCTTATTTGAGGCCAAATTGTCGACTGTATTGAAGGTAATTGATTTTCAGTCAAGAATACTAATTTGTACCGAAAAGTAGCCACACTGTGATCTTCTTCTTTATAAAGGCAAATATCAAAAGCGTTGTTAAATGTCAACCTGTTTAATGAGATTTTCCCCTCCTTTTTTAAAATGTGCAATAAATATCAACCGTTACTTGCCTATCAGACAAAACATAAACTTTTAATTTTACCAACATCAAAATGAAATAACAGAAAAAAAACACGCACTCGGAATATTACGTTGGTTTAATACTGCTAAGCTCAATGGGAACATTACATTTGAAATGAATGAATGACTACAAAAACAATCTCTGGCCATGTGTTGTGATTACTGAACACACTGATACTTGAATAACGTTTAGGTAATAAACAATTTATATACAACTCGTTAGCTAATAAATACACTGATGAAATGGCAGTTCCATATCCGTAGCCATTATTCCAGATGTCAAGAATATCATTGCTCATGAAAACATACATTTGGTTAACACGTTGTTACCATCCGCATATTTATGTGAAGGTCTAGCCAATGCAACTACCAGCAGGTGAGTATTGCTTCCCATAAATTTATGAACCAGAATAAGTAATTTCAATATAGCTTCCTCATATGCATGAACGCAAACAGACGGCTATTCAATTTTTCAATTTCTGAGGAGCAACAATTAGATGATAACGAAATACTGAGCGAAACTTGTTAAATTTTAGTCCACGCATGAGGCATGGTTATGCGTGCATGGCCAGCTATCTCCTCACTGTACGCACATTGGCAGTGTAATCTTTTTTTCTGACGAATACGCTTTCGTCAAGCAGTGCAAACTTCTTCATCTGTTCACTATGACTGTGATTCGTTGAGCAAGGCTCCAGCAAAGTGACTTCCAATTGCAGAATAGGAAACTGTGTTTCCATGGTTTCCATCTAGTCGGCCGTCTCTGGATTACAAGTTGCTCCTCTTTCCGGCCTTTATCAACCCTCCTACTCTGACGGATAAATAAGATCTTTTTCGACGTGATCGTCGATTTTCCTGTCGGAGTTGTCTGTTTTCCTGTTCAAGCTTGGATATATAGCCTTCCTGCTACTGCCGAGGGAAGATTCATTTCTGGTGGTAGACTTGCTCTATTTCTTGTGTTTGTTTTGCCGATACAGTCTACACTGAAGTAATATCTTCGACGGGGGCTTGGGTCGGTTCTTTCCTTGTCGTTGGCAGCTTTTCTCTCTCGTGCTGAAGACCATACACGAGACTGTAGTCTTTCTACGAAATAAGACAAATAAAGCACATGATAGGCCTTGAAATGCATGACAATAATCATCGATCGCCTATCCTGGCCCCAAGGCTCATTGTAATATTTACAGGCTTCAAATGAGTCGGGTAGTCTTCAAAGATTGACGGTTCGGCATCGTCACGCAGACGTGTTTTCCCCCATTCCACCTTGACTTGAAGCACTCTGCAGGGAATATGTTGGATTCCATTTGCTGCCATTTCGAATATTTCTCCTTATCCCTAATCCGCTGAAGCCAAACTTTTAATCTCTTTGGATCGCCGTGAGGGAACCTGGGAAGTAAAATTAATAAGCCTCGATTGAATTTTTTTTTGTAGTTTTAGCAAAATGCACACATTTTTGTAGGACTTTATCCTTCAAGATAAACAATGAAAAGGAGATGGGAGTTGCCTAGATACACTACACACTACAGATCAAACAGCATCATATCTTTACCGTAAATCAACACTCTTGAAGTCTACCCGAAATTGAAAATTTTGTGGATTTTTTAATATTTTGTTCGTGTTGTTTACAACACATATAGTGATCGTCAGGCCGAAGAAATGTTTTACCCTATTCACGTGACTAATGGCAGCGCCCTGTCAAAACGCGCGTATTATACGCGCGTCCGATTTAGTTATTTTAAGTTTTATATCTATGACACTGCCAGGCGTTTGCGTTTTTTAAGTTCTATATCTATGGTTTGCGTAGTGAAGGAACGCGCACGCCCATACATCGACGCTGCACATCCCGTGTTTGTTGGTTTGTACACAATACTCCAATGTATTATGTTCGCCTGTCTGAAACCAAAATTCTAATAATGTCGACCTGCCAAGGAGTCGCTTCTAATCTATTTGGTTCGGCGTGACTCTGGAACGCCTGTCTGAACCGGGGGTCAGAGAGCCTCGAATTGAAGCTTTTTCAAAAATAATCAGTTCTCCTTTTCAAATCTGCCATACTTGTCTTTCAAATCACCAATTTTAAAGAAATTTGATAGAAATCCGTTTTAAAATCATTCTGCTAAATTGTTCTGTCAAACTCGTTTTTCTCGAAAATTCTGTCAAATTTGGAGAATATTCGGCTAAAACGGTCACCCTCGACTTTTTTGATGTCATTAGTGCACGAACTTTTATGTGCAATATAGGCCTACTAACTTCACTTTGCTTGTTTCTTTTAAGAACCAACTTATTTGGGGTTTTCTATATATGCAATGCAATAAAGCTAAATGAGTCGTTTGCCGGGAACTTTCATTTGGAGATTCAGGCCAAAATAGGGCCACTTCATCACATCACTTCGTCACATGTCTTGGTGTTCCGACTTCCATAATTTTTTAACTAAAGACGTTACCAGCATGCAGTTTTCACAGCAAGCAGTAATGCTGAGATTGTGCTCTTTTCAAATCTTTAAAACAAACAAATGAACACGGTCGACAAACGACTCATTTAGCTTGATCGCATCACAATATTCATAATTTGTTTAATTAATGTTTACCATGATTTTGATGTTTTTAATACATGTATTGTAAATTATTATGCAATTTGACCTTTGGGTCACAATGTGATGATGTGAATAAAATATACCATATATCATTAGCGCACGAAATATTCGGTGATAAGATACGTACGTCTGGCTATGCATCTGAAATTATGTTGTGTGTTTGTTGACAATGTTGTAATTCCAACTATCAAATAAAATTTGGGTTATCTGTAATAACTCTTTTTCATTTTTGCAGTGTTGGACGTTCCATAGTTTTGCAAACCGTGGTTGGCAAAGATACAGTTTGCCAACCAAGCGTAGAAAAGTCTATAGCCGGCCAGGAATGCGCATAAAAGATTTTTTTGGCCTTACCGCAAAATGACCCCATATCTACATGTACACTAATAGAGTTTGACCGCATATCTACATGTACACTGATCTATCGTATGCTACCTATACGTACAATACATGCAAGCGTGTTGTGTTCACTGCATTGTTGTGCATGGAGGTCTTCGAGTGATCCAGATCAGGCGCAGCGTCGAGTGGGCCTATCCCAATTTTAGCTGGACTAATCCTCCGTACTACTCGTCGAGTTATGACTAGCAGCATATTGGTGAGGATGTGGGTGAACAAGGCGTTGTCAGGCCGGAGCTCGAATATCCTCATTTTCGTGATTGATCATGAAACGTATGTACATGCACACGCACTGACCGGCGTTTGTCAAGTGACCACGGGAATTAGCGGGTTTGACAGAAATTTGCCCCCTCCTCGCCTGCCTATAGTGAGATTCGAACCCTGGCTATGGGTGCACGTACATAACAAATATTTATGTGTACTCGCACTGTTGTAAAAGGATATATAGTTCAACGCATATGAGGAGTTAGCTGGAGTTACCCAGCCCTGAGTTTTATCATTGGGTTGTCTATTAGGGCTGGAGCGCATTTTTCTCGTAACTTGTAGTATTTGCAAAAAAAAATTGGAAAATGTTCAATTTTGTCCCCGTTACACACTAATTGCAACTGCAACTCACCCCAAACTTGCCTGGAATAACCATTACACAGGTCCTTGAAGTAAAAAACGATCCACGATGAAGATTCAGCCTACAATTGCAGTGAAAACAGGAGGAATAACCGCTAACTTGACAACCTTGCTGGATTGGCCAGGACCGCTATTGGTTTGTGCACAAAAAAATTGTGTACAATGAATGGCGGTCGATTAACAGGCACAGAGAGCGATCGCTGTCAACTACTCGTTTTTGCCGGCTGCGCTGGCTGTTGGCGCAGACGTCACGCGGAAGCGTAACACCCGATGACTGTTTCACGCACTAGTATAAGGTTTACCACTCGCATCACAGCTTTGGTACTGGAACCGCAACCAATAGTGCATGAAACAGTCATCGGGTCATACGCTTCCGCGTGACGTCATGCGCCAACAGCCAGCGCAGCCGGCAAAACGAGTAGTTGACAGCGATCGCTCTCTGTGCCTGTTAATCGACCGCCATTCATTGTACACAATTTTTTTGTGCACAAACCAATAGCGGTCCTGGCCAATCCAGCAAGGTTGTCAAGTTAGCGGTTATTCCTCCTGTTTTCACTGCAATTGTAGGCTGAATCTTCATCGTGGATCGTTTTTTACTTCAAGGACCTGTGTAATGGTTATTCCAGGCAAGTTTGGGGTGAGTTGCAGTTGCAATTAGTGTGTAACGGGGACAAAATTGAACATTTTCCAATTTTTTTTTGCAAATACTACAAGTTACGAGAAAAATGCGCTCCAGCCCTAATAGACAACCCAATGATAAAACTCAGGGCTGGGTAACTCCAGCTAATGAGGAGTGTGTTTTGTGCATCTATATCTCCGCGTGTGCGGTTCGCAGCCCCTTGAGCAGAAACCTGGGAAGTTCATACGATAAGTTGTTTTAGCGCAGAGTTTTCGCAGTGATGATCTTATATTATCGGCGTATTGTGATAGTGGAAACAAATATTTTGAGGGTCATTGATCGAAGACCTTCTAATAGTAAGCTTCTTATGGAAATAATGGAATACAATTCTCCGACGTTTCGGATACATACTGATGGATATCCTACAAAACGCAGCGTAAAAAGCTATAACCATGAAATTTCAAAGATTCAATACTGTATTGTGTATTTAGGTCCTAGTAACCCCTTTGCCAAACATGGTTCAGTTGGCTGTAATTGTTTAGACAAAATTTAGAGCTGATTTGATACATGTAATGTCAGTCACGGTGGAATTGCCCAGATAATGAAGACATTAAATCCTGTAGCTTGTGTAGGTAATCTCGCCGTCGGTTGAATATTCTCTCCCAGAACTTGTCTGCACGGTTGACATGTACATGTGAACTCCAGTTCTCTTTCTCAGTGAGCGCTACATTTCAGCATATTCCTGTTTAGATTTTCGTTCTCCAAGTTTCCGTACAACCATGTCCAACTAATATATTAAAGTGCAAGCAGCAAACCTTTGTCCAGAAATAGAAGCAAATAATTATAAGGTTTCAACTGTACAAAGTGTATGTTACATTAACATATTAAGATAGCATGCACATGCCTTGTGCAGGGCCGGGTCCTTATTCACAAAGCATCCGTAAATGCTTGCGGGCGCGCAACTTCCCCGCAACCCTCACTTAAACACTTGCGGGTTATTCACGAAGCCCCCTTAAATCTGCGTGTGCCCGTAAACCACCCGTAAATTTGCGGGACCTCCAGACGTCCCGCAAGCACACCACAACTTGCGTGGATCATCTCGATTGTCACAATGGCGACACTCTAGGCATGTATTTTAGATCTTCGAACTGAATCGACGTGCCGGTTCATTTTCCGTGACCGGTTGAACCAACTATAGGATAAGTTAAAAAGAAAGTGACCGAATTTGAAAAATGTGTTCAAAATATTTGGCGCGTTCCATTTTCATGGGCGTCAATCGGTGGGGGACAAGTCCTCCCCCCACTTTTTTTTTTTAAGTGGCGGATATCATATCGTTGCCCCCCCCCCCCCCCCCACACACACACTTTTTCTATCCCCGAATAAAAATTGTAGCCTACATAATGATTCTATAGTAGCTGATTCAATGACTAAAAACTCAAAAAATGATGTTTAAAAGATGATCTTTTGCTCACAAAAGTGGTTTGAGTGCTCAGAAATTGCCTCGGATCGCACCACAGATTAAGCATCTAGAATTCAAAAAATTTCGGGGCCCGCTCCATGCCGTAATAGGTATGTCCTCCACTTTTGGGAAGCGACTGCCGCCCTTTGTTTTTTTATGGGACGAAGTACATCTTATGGGATTTTAAGTGTGAACATTTCACCTAAATTGCACAGTCTAATCCGAAGTTATGTCTATTTCAATAAAACGATCACAAACTTGTTTACCACTCATCACGTGATGCAAACTGAACACCCATTGAGTACAATGAAACGTGGACTTTCCCACCTCCACTGAATGAACAAGAGCATGGGAAAGGATACAAAAATCACCATCAATATTTAAAAAAATTAGAGCTAACTTGTTTCTTATATATTGAAAGCACACATTCTGACAGTGGTTTCTGTCTTGAGTTCAATTATTAAAGGGAACCTGCAAAAGGATTTGTATGACTTAAATAGATTTAAAACAGCTTTTTTGCCATGTTACTATGACTTTCAATCTTCTTTTGTAGTAGTAAAAGGGAGAAATTTCAACATTTCAATTTTTATGCTATTGAAACTTTCCATATTCATGAGCCAAAGCGTGATGTCATTCAAAGCAGAACAGAAGTGTCTCTACAGCTTTGAGTACAAATATATATCACACTTGTTTCTATTTTCTTGCAGTAAGTTCCACTTTTTACTTGTTTATCATGTTAAACAGCTTGTTTGGACACTAGCAGTCACCACTAGTTTTTTTCGAAGCTTTTTTTGTGGGTAACTTTGAAGGAGTTATGTTTGTACTGTTCATATGCACTTTTGACAAGGAGTTCCTTGTGCGTCAAAAGCAAAATAGCGCCCATTACATGCGATTGTTTTGATGAAAGGATTTGCTAACAATTGAAAAACTACCACTCTCTTGTCACTTCCAACGAAAACAAGTAAGACGATCCTGTATGTATTGTTGCGACACATAATAATGTGTAAGAGAACAAGATGGACTGAATTTCCACTGCATGTTTCCTTTAAAGTCTTGTTGGCATTTTAAAGTTTGTCTGTAATATGATTCTCACTATTAACTCAATAGCTTCCAATGACATTCAAGGACAGCTATAAAAATGGGCTACGTTTGTAACACATGCATAACTTCTGAAAGCATTGGTAATTTTTAGTGATTCATTTTTTTCTTTAAATGAGTGGAAGAACATGCTCTTAAAGACATGCTTGATTGGTGTTGATTGTTTGCTAAGAAAACAAAGACAAGTTAATCTTTAATCGAATCTGCCTGTAATTTTTACAACGAGCAAGTTCTCTAAAATGGGATAAAATGTCTTGGTATTAAGTTCAACCAATTAGTTGCGGGTGCCCGCAACATGCGGGTCCACTAAGGGAACTCTAAGGGTGCTTCGTGAATACCACTTAACGCAAGTCTTACGTGCCCTTAACATCCACTTACGGGTCCCCGCAACGCAAACATTTACGGGTGCTTTGTGAATAAGGACCCTGGCCCTGACCACAGTTTCCCCACATACACTTTGTTACGCAACTTTACGTAAATCTCACTGATAGCTGAGCTAGGCAAGGCCACTGGGCCGATGACCACCAGTGATTGTATGCTCTCTCATTGGTTGTATCTGTCAGTGCACAAACCATCGGCGCTGTTGTCTTATTGGCTCATTCTGGTTTGTACACGAACCATCGGTACCGATAGTTCGTGTACATTCAATTAAATGTCACTTCTATCGAGAGTGTCCGAGTAATGACCGGTACCGGAATCTGATGTAACGTCAAAATCTCGAAAAACGTACAATAATATATATTAGCTGTGTCATCAAATCGGGGTGTAATTTAAGGAACTCTTTTGTGTGCGTGCAAAACTCGTACGGCTATAGCTGTTGGGTTATCCCGTCGGTTATTCTAAATTAAAAGTCACTGTAAATTCACAGAGTAGGAATCATGCATTCTTCTCGGTGTTTTTCTCCAACGTCCCTTATTTGGACTTTCCTTTCATGAGTATGCGGCACCCATTATATCCAAACTTCCCATCTGGGGTTTGTTGTTACGCGTCACCCGAAAGTAAGGAGGTGGAAAACATAAAACTTGAACAAATGTGTAAACATGCGCTTTGAATTTTGTGTTAAAAACGAATAATAATGTATATCGCAATTCTCAAGGTTATAAATTTCAGTGGTCGATTGCGGTGAATTACTGTCTAGTGTGTTATGTGTATTCCACACAAAAGAGGGAAAACGAATACTGTAAAAACGTCTTTAGTTCATGTTTTGAATGTTGTATTAAAGATAGGGCCCATGATGATAATATTTCCGTGGTCAAACATGTTGTTAATTGTTTAAAGTGTATTGTGCAAAGTGTGGATTCGTAGTTCCGAATCCAAACTTTACGAAACATTCGTACATATGAATTCACACTTTTAACAATAGTGTGACGTCATAGCAATGGTTTAATTTGTGTAGAAAGTATGTGAATTTGGATCCAAGTGACTCCTCAAACTGAATTAAGTAGGCCTACACTCTAAAAACAACTTAGTCAAGATATTGACTGGTTTTCCTTGTCATTCAAAATTGACTAGGAATTTAGGTAAACATTCAAAGTTTCTTACTATGACTAGAAAAAGTAGTTGGAATTGACTCCAACTTTAGTTATTTGCTTAACTTTTGTTCAATACCGACTGGAAAATCTAGTCAGATTGACCGATTTTCAGTTTCACCCACTGAGAGCTTGTTTTCCTTCAAAATTGCATCGCACGACCCCCATTTTGTTTTACGTTTTAACAAATTTCGAGCTGAGATCTGACGACCCTTTGTTGAATATCAGACGACTATTTACTGTACGCTGACTAAATACATAAAACAGTCACCGAGTTGTGCTATAAATACATATACGACGCGTCGCACTTACGACGTGTTTCGTGAAATGGATCGCCGGACGTGTCGCAGCTGCGACGCATCGTAGGGATACGACGCGTCACAGCGCTGCGATGCATCGTAAGTTACGAAGAGTTTGATGAAATCGGGTGCTGGTCTTAAACACTTTTCCAGTGTCACAATAAAATGTGGACTCCTAAAAATCCAGTGCCTCTTATTGTTTCATTGGTTGAACGTTCACAATCCTCACGTAGGCATGCGCAACACTACCAGGAGTCAGAATTTTTTACTATACCTCATACATATTCATGATCGAGAGCCGAACTCTCACTGGTCAATTCACCATCACGTGCAAGATGTTATTCTTGCTGTTTACCAAACGCGCGCGCGAGGATTCACGCACAGGGTAAATACGCGTGCGTAGTAGACTGTCGCATGGGTTACCCGTGCGACCGTCTACTACGCATGCGCTTTACAGAGCAATCGAGGAACTGTCGCACGGGTGCAGTACGCACGCGCGAACATCGCCCAGGATCAGGGAGCGCCATGCATGGTTGCACGGTTCGCGTAAATGTTAATTTCCAGAGCTCAATGATGCCGTACTGGAGAAAGTTTACAAAAGAAGGTTGTACACAAACAACTGTATTTACAACTGTAGTAACTGTATTATATTGCAAACGAACCGAACTAGTAATTGAAGTTGAGCAACCAAAATATTCTTTAGGTGAGATGTACAAGTTTCCCCGAATTTTGTTTTAGGTGCATAAAAAAAAATCGTCAACTGAATATGTATGAGGTATAGTAAAACAAATATAACATGGTTTATTTCGGGTGGACAGTCGATATTAGCTTCCCTCGGTATTGGAAGTTGACAAACAAGTTCCCTCGGCTTCGCCTCGGGAACTAGTTTGTCAACTTCCAATACCTCGGGGAGCGAATATCGACTGTCCACCCTCAAACCATGTTATATTTGTATAATAGTTCTAAATTCAAAACGCAACGCGCCAGGTGCGTTCTGCGCGACATCGCGCAGAACATGATACGCGCGCGTCAATCTCCATAAAAGGGTTGTTTACATCTTACTCGCCAGCTGAACATTCCATTATTTTGCAAGACGGATGTTTCAAAAAGCATAAAGTGAATTTGTTGAACAAAATCGGGATGTTTTGAACGAATAATATGATTTTTTCTTACCGAAAAGGTATTTATGAATAGGAATAAATATGTGCTCCGTCGGTATTTATCTTTCTGTTTAAGACCACTTAGAGTCTGGGTGTTGATAATTACCCTCGCCTCCGGCTCGGGTAATTATCAGCACCCAGACTCTAAGTGGTCTTAAACAGAGTGATAAAAACCTCCAGAGCACACATTTATTCCCTTAATAATAATGTATATCGCAATTCTCAAGGTTATAAATTTCAGTGGTCGATTGCGGTGAATTACTGTCTAGTGTGTTATGTGTATTCCACACAAAAGAGGGAAAACGAATACTGTAAAAACGTCTTTAGTTCATGTTTTGAATGTTGTATTAAAGATAATGTTAGCCCTATGATGATAATATATTTCCGTGGTCAAACATGTTGTTAATTGTTTAAAGTGTATTGTGCAAAGTGTGGATTCGTAGTTCCGAATCCAAACTTTGCGAAACATTCGTAGATAGGAATCCACACTTTTAACAATAGTGTGACGTCATAGCAATGGTTTAATTTGTGTAGAAAGTATGTGAATTTGGATCCAAGTGACTCCTCAAACTGAATTAAGTAGGCCTACACTCTAAAAACAACTTAGTCAAGATATTGACTGGTTTTCCTTGTCATTCAAAATTGACTAGGAATTTAGGTAAACATGCAAAGTTTCTTACTATGACTAGAAAAAGTAGTTGGAATTGAATCCAACTTTAGTTATTTGCTTAACTTTTGTTCAATACCGACTGGAAAATCTAGTCAGATTGACCGATTTTCAGTTTCACCCAGCTGACCCTGAATGGCTAGTCAAACTTAACTGTTTCTAGTCAAATCTGACTAATGTGTTTTTTGTTTTTTTGTTTTTTTAGAGTGTTGTGAATAAAGGTGAACTGGCGCTTTGGAGGTGTTTCTCCACACTCACCATAACACTCTTTTGTTGTTTAATATAGCAAAGTAAACAGGTGTCAGTCAGGTGACAATAATACTACAAATTTTTTTGTGTGCGCAGGAATATTATCGACGAACGTGAAACGAAGAATATACGCCTACACTAGAAAGGTGTCGGCATCTACTTATTTTGAAATCCTAACAAGTCGCAACCGTCTCTTTGCTCGTGCTGTGATTTGGCTAAAATGGTATCGGCCGGACTTCAGCAACCCGTGACGGTGAATTACGACCAGGACAGATGGGGATGGCTCATGGTGGCCGCAGCGTTCGTCAATGCGTTCGTCATCATGGGTCAGCTCAAAGCACTAGGTGTACTCCTCATACCGATGACCAACGACCTCGACAGTGAACTGTGGCTTGTTGGCTGGGTGGCAGTTCTGTATAGCATGACACAGAATTGTTTCGGTGAGAAGTTAAATGTCTTATTTCCGTCAGAAACTTTCTGGATTAACAATTACAATTTTCAGACTAAAAACTACGTCTTGCAATAATGTGATTTGTGAGTATCAAACTTGGCACCTGGCATTCCTAAGCGGTAATTACGATCTGATCACTAGACATGAACATGTTGGAGCAGTTCATTGTCAGAATGAATGTTAAGAACCTTGATGGCGTAACATTTCCTCAGTTCAGTTCAATTATTTAAAATCCAATTCTCCATATTGCAAGAAACAAGCATTGCAGAAAGAGTGCTTGAGAAGCAACCTTAAATTCTCGTCTTCCATACTTCCATATCATTGTATTGCGAAGAACCAAATTTGCATGTTAAATGTAATGGCAGGATTAACATGTTGCTTTCTTAACATTTACAAATGGTGGAGATTTGTAATTTTGAAATGAAGTAAAACTTTGAATTGTATTTTGGGCATTGTTTTTCTAATAAGAATTTTTTCGGTTGGGGATGGTTCATGAGGTATAAATCATATAGCTGACACCATTAAAGTCAGTCAACTATTTGTTCCCATTCTCTTTACGTATATAGCACCTGTCGTAGGAGCACTCTCTCGTCTACTAGGCGCACGCCCCATGATCGTCATGGGTGGAGTTCTGTATACTTTGGGCTTGATTCTGGCATCGATATCACCTTCAGTTCCGCTGTTGGCAGTTTTCGTTATTGGACTATCAGGTAACAGACCTATTTTAATATATTCCACATAAAATTTGGTATATTTGCAACCGGGATAATGTGCGTATTGTTCCTAAGCGCTGGTGCTACAGAGCTGGGTTCAAGCTCTGTAAATTTTTAACTAATTTCGTAAGTAGATTTTAAAGTAATTTTGTATCTATAATAGAATTACATTTTAATTGTGTTGAGATTAAATCAAATAGTTATCCCTTGAAATCTGGAAATCGGTGACCCATGTAGCATTATAATTTCCTAGAATGTTCCATTATAACTTCATAGAACGTTCCGACTCGGGAGACTAATTTTACCATACCACTCGCAGCAGTCAATTTTCGTATACTGTGCCATTAGGCCTTTAAAAAGTATGAGTTTAAAAAGTATGAGGATGTTCTGTTGGTTTCATGTGTTATGCGCATTTCAATTGAGTAATTTTTTTGTGATGGAATTGTCATTGCTATCTTTATCTGCACGATCAAAAAGACTATAATATTATTTGTAGCAACGAAGGTGCCATACGCATATCAACCAAAGTACTAAAGTATGCTTTCCTGTAAATGCACGGCAGTGGGAATTAAGCTGCGGGCTTCATGCGCGAACAAGACACGTACTTTTCACTCCAATAGGACGTGCGGTATATTATTATAAGCTTATAAGTGCTGCGAACCTGACTGCGCCATTGCAAACAATACGGAGTCGGCCCTGGTAACCAGGCCCTCCCTCTTGTTAAATGCCAAGTTTAACTGCTTTATACGTGCGTTATTGAACGAAAAACGTACTTTAACGTTTCAATGTTCTGTATAACAAGCAAGCCCTAAAAATTCTATAGCTGGAAATTCGTTTCGGGAAAAATTCCATGTGGTGATATATTCCCGTTAAACAGGTTGTTCAGGTATCGAACAATTCAAATTTCAGATCGTGTATGTGTCACTTGCGCACGGAGCCCATTGCGTGCCTGTCGCAGCAACAATGAAAGGGACTTTACTAATTGTAAACCCACATTCCACCAACGCATTGATTTTGTTCTCATGCAATCACATTTAGTACATACCTGGTGTGCATTTAAACCAAATTATTTTGTTGGTTGTCCTTCGCCTTTCGATTGAAACTTAGGCCGCATATTTTGTATGCTATGATGCTCATTTTCGACCGACTCTGGGCGAAAAAGGAGGAAATGGCTGCCGACCTTGTCGGTGTCCGGACCAACATACAAATACGACAATGCTCTTTCATTTCCAAAACAAAAGGAAAGTCACTCTATTTGAGTGAATCCAGGTTCAAGACGATTTAGAGTGAAATATGTATTCATTCCATCGAATTGATCGAGTTTTCACTCGAGTTTCCATGCACTTCCTATATTTTATCATAGTACTTCAGCATTTGATTCATTCGTAATAATTTGGTCCCTAGTTTCACTCTTTGGATTATAAATCAAAATTGTCTGCAAGTTGTATTTTCTTTATTTGATTCATTGATTGGTTGATTTTTTGCAGGTTTTGGTGCTGCGTTCAATTGGTTCATTGGTTTTGCTGTAATGGCTTCTTACTTCAAGGAGAAATATCCGTTAGCTATTGGACTGTCAACGATGGGTGTTCCCCTTGGTATAATGGCTTATGGGCCCGTAACCCAGGTTCTTCTCAACACCTACGGCTGGAGAGGAACCATGCTTTTACTAGGAGGGATCTCGTTTCATCTTGTGGCGTGTGCCTTGTTAGTGCGACGGGATCCATCTTCCAATTCAGCTAATTCAGACACTGATCAGTACCAACAAGTGTCGGTTCTCGATGAAGAAGAAAACGCGCAGGAAGAAGGGGGTGCTCCCAATCATACAAGACGCACACAAGAAAAGAGAGAAAAAACGTATTGCCAGCGCTTGATAGAGGCGATGGATTTCAAAGTGCTTGCCGATATAAGGTTTGCTTTGCTTGTTTGTGGCAGGTGCTCAGCCGTGTTTGCATACAGCGCTTGGCTGGTGTTCATGGTGCCGTATGGGAAATTCCAAGGCCTGAATGACACTCAGGCGTCGTTCCTGCCTACTGCATTCGGTATTGGCAACGTCATTGGTAAGGCACTGGCACCCCTCTTACAGGAGCTCGGCATGAAACCGCCCATGACATTCTGGGCGTGTTTCGGGGCAGCTCTAATAAGTGGTTCGTTCGTCGTAAATGCCTTTATAAGACCGTTCATCGGACTGTTAGCCGTTACGGGACTAATGGGTGTTGGTTACGGGGCGATGTACCAAGCCATTGATGTCATGATACGGTTCATCTCGACAGACGACCGGTTGGTTAGTATACTAGGCTGGCAGGGAGTCTTTACTGGAGTTGCAGGAGCGCTTGGTGGATTGGTGTCAGGTTAGAATTGTCTTTTGTTAATTTATACATAACATGATTATGACGAATTATTATATTCCTACTGGTGCCATGCGCTGTGGTCAAGGACCACTGTAGTCGAGAATTGAGAACCGGACCCGTAGGCACGGAAAATGTTTGAGCGATAGTTAACCATAATACAATTTAGTTGACTGTCTTCACTGAAACCCTACGCTAGTCGATGACATTAATCAATTAGTGGGATCGGCCTTAGGTCGATCGAATCGCTGGTAACAATAGGCCTATCCACACGCATTATGAAAGCACAACGACAAGCCACGATTGGACAGGCGTTTGCACGTCTTGACCGTCTTTCGACGAGAGGCAGTGACGTTCGCACGTTGTTGACAGTGCGCAGGCGTAAATTCTGTTGCCAATCAACGACGAAGTCGACTCGTGTCTTGGATTGAACGTGTTCACATAGTTGCATCGCTGGTTCTTAATATATCTTTGTGAATTATTGACACGAAAATAATGTACGGATATAGCTGGCGAGGGTAGAGAGAAAGGCAACCAACGAAAAATGTGTACGACAATGTGAACATTATCAACAATGGGATTGCGAGCATTGTATGAGAATTGACAGAACGACTTTTGGTTGAACCACATTGTGTTCGCGCTCAGAATTGCTCTCTGATTTACCGAACCAGGGTCTAAAATGTAACCATAAAATGTTGGCATTGATATAATGAACAACGTGTTTGCTATATGTTGCAATCAGCTCCTTTCCTATCGCACATGTGCACACCCATATCTTGTCGAATTTGCTTGTATTTCTCGCACATTTTTTTGTGATATTGAAATATGTCTTATTTCGTTGAAGGTTGGATTTACGAGTGGACGGGGACTTTCTTCATATCCTTCTTCGTGTATGCTGGGCTGGCATTGCTTTCGATTCCCTTTTTCATCAGGCTGTATATGCTAAACAGACGAACTGATACAACCAGGCTTTGAGATTGAAGTTGCAGCTCGGATTTTTTTTTTCAATTCAATTCAATAATGGTTTATTAAAACGTGCCTCGCAGTTAAAGAACTGAAGTGTACATGTGAACATCCGATTTTTAAATACATATATATATATATATATATATATATATATATATATGTTTTCTCGGTCAATTTCAGCAAATGAACAGCCAATTTAACCACTACGCTATTCTATTTCACGCGAAATCAAATGCTACTGAAAGGGTCATTCGATTTTGTTTTATGACCAGTCAAATGTACTGTTGCGTCATTCGATTTAACAAAATAATCATGCAATTTAACAATTCAACAAAGCAGCATTCAAATTCGCAGGAGCTTTTTGAGGCGTGTGTTTAGTCATTCAATTTCATTTTTGGGCAGTCATTTCTGGAATCTAAAAAACGCTTTGTTAAATTTTTGTTTCCTTAAGAATGTTGAAGGCATAAAAACGGTTCACTTATTGGCACTTGAGTCACTTTGCCGATGTACTTCGAAGACGAGCTTTCGCTACAGTTTTACACGCATATTTCTAGAAATGGCTGCTCGTGGTCGCTACGTTAGAGTGGCCCAGGTAGATCGAGAAAGGTTGATTGAGGCCTTCGAGGGAAACGAGCAAGACTACCTTCAGCTTGCGGTCAATTTGAACATCAACAAGTCCACAGCCAGATCAATTGTTGCAACATATTTGAGGACTGGAAGGCGAGAGACGCTGGCAAGAGGAGGAGCAAGCCACAGCAAGATGGATGATGACATGCGAAACCATCTGCAAGGCATCCTTGACGCTAATCCCGTCTTGACACTTCAACAAATGAAGGCTAGTTTGAGTGAGCATCTGCCAGAGAAGCCCCAGGTTTCTACTGCCACCATAGCCAGGGCCTTGGATGGGATGATGATTACACTGAAACTAGTGGAGGACGTCCCTGATGCAAGAAATTCCCCTGAAGTTCTTGATCAACGCGTCCAGTATGGTGAGTGGTTCCTGTGTGACAGGTAATTCTGTCCCCCCTGGTAAATGTGTCCCCCCGGACACATTTACCGGATCGTGGCCCGGTAAATGTGTCCGGGGGGACACTTTTACCTAGGTAAATTTGTCCCCCTCCAGGTAAAAATGTCCCCCTGCCCAACGGTGAAAGTGTCCCCCTGGTAAATGTGTCCCCATACAGTATGTAATGAGAGCAGCAGCGTGTCGCACGCGCCCAGTACATGCTGCAAGATTTGAGGCAGTGATTATCACATGTGTACATCTGCATCTCCCTCTACAATGGAAATTCGTCCAATAGGAAATTTCGTTACGCGCTATGATGGGAACACAGACCAATCCAAGTAGACGTTGTATCATACTATCAATGAGACGAGGGCCATCGCCATGCATCGCCGCTGTGTTGAACTATCGCGGTAGAATCGCGATAGACTCTTAATCACCGTATTCCGAATCGAAACATTGTGTTCACGTAACATCTAATAGACTAAATTAAATATTTTTATATTCATGAAGGGCAGACTAAAAGTCCAAAATGTAAACCTTTAAGTTGTAGAGTGAATTCATCAAAACAATAACCTTCCGGGTTTTAAAAGAGGGGGACAGAATTACCTGGGGGGGGGGGGGGGACAGAATTACCTGGAGGGGGACAGAATTAACGGGCCAGGGAGGACACTTTTACCTAGGTAATTCTGTCCCCCGGACACTTTTACCGGGGGACAGAATTACCTGCCACACCTGCAGCATGATGTTCTGGCGCATCTAGTCTTCATTGACGAGACAGGTTTATAACGTCTGGACTCGACGCTCCCAGGGTAGAGCTCCACGAGGGATCGCTGCAAGACGAGTCGTCGACAGACAACGAGGGAGAAATTGCAATGTCACCTTCGCTGTTTCTAGTGAAGTATAGGCTTGGTGCACCACCGAATCGCATTCGAAACTGTGACGCGAGAGAGATTCGAGGAGTTTCTTGCGGACACAATTCAAGAGTGTGATGCAGTTTTCCCAGACGACGAACCCATTTACCTCATATACGACAATGCGAGGCCTCACGTGCGAGCCCAACTCCCTGAAGGTGCCAACCCAATGATCCAGCTGAAGCGCCTCCCTCCCTACTCCCCATTCCTGAACAGCACGGAGATGGCACACTCTGCATTCAAGGCTGCAGTTAAACGCATCCTTGGGTTACCTGACTTGTAACAACGTGTCGGAGACAGACAGGCTGCCCAGCAAGCAGGAATGAACATGCAGCAGTGGAGGTGCGATCTCCTTCAACAAGCAGCCATCCAGAGCGTTGATGTCATCACCCAAGTGAAGTGCATGCAGTGGTACAACCATACCCAAACATATATGCCAAGATGTCTGGCACGCCAACAGATTAATGGTTGAGGAAGAAACAACATAAACAATAAAAAAAACCAGGAAAAACATAAAGAAACACCCCATTCAAACACAATACAAAATTAGGTCTTGGTCAGTTAACCAATAAAGATCCCCCCCCAAAAAAAAAAGAATGAAGAAGAAAACAAAGAAGAAGAAAAATTAAATTGGCTGCTCATTTGCCGAAATTGACCGAGAAAACCTATACTAAAAATACAATACGATAAGGAGTTATGCACTTTGAGACTAAAGCATAAAACTTCGTACGTTGGTTCTTCATGCAATGAATGTTATGATCGGATGTGAGAAAATGTTTCATATTTGCCTTCTGGTCACTTTCGTGAGGTCAAACTTTGTATACCCAGTTTATTGATATTCAAAGATGTATTATTCAAACCCTACTTTTCCACGACTCATATCTAATCTTACGATGATGAATTCTTACCATGATAATGAACCATCAAAGGTGGGGAAAGTTCATAGCTGGTGAAGTTATGGGCGTCGCCAGGATTTTTTTCTAGAGGGGGCAAAGCACACCCCCCCCCCAAAAAAAAATCCCTGTACTCTTCCAGCGTATTTCGATTTTTCGAGGGTGGACAGGGACATCAACCCTTACAACAATAATGTGTAAGTAATGGTATAAATTATAAGAGGCAAGCCAGACAAAGCTACAACAGTGCACCAGTGAATTTGGTAAAAGGGTTACAAAATGTGGCTGGTTATCGTGAACTAGAAATAATATGTTTTGGCTACTTTGATTCCGTGCAAAGATCATAAATCAGAAGTTTGAAGAATACAAATTATAAGGTAAACAAAGTTAATTGAACTGTCCCAGGGCAACGGAGATCTGATATGCTCTCCCCACATCGGAAATAATTTAAAATGGACAACGGAATATCAGTAGAACATCTGTGAAGTTTCAATAAGCCTCTGTACTAATGGCGTCACACTTTGTTTACGTGTGTGCTTTCCTATGGTGCTCAGTGGAGCGTGGACCCCACTGGCTCCATATATAGGCAATTGCACATGTAAACAAAGTGTGACGTCATTAGTACAGAGGCAACCTGTTGAAATGTTTTGTTGTCGTGATCATTTAAAGTCGGCACTCTCATGCGCCCTCCGATCGATATACATTATGGAACGTGTAATGGAAAAGTTAACATTTAAGCTTATACCTGTTTTGGTATTTGCAAATTTTGTGACGAAAGTATGCCCTATTTTCAATAACTTGGTGTCAAAATAGCCGCAAGACATCAGAATAACTGTCAGAGAAACTTGGCGGACTTTAATAAATGCATTGCGACGTTAGGAGCCAAAATGTACACGGAGGGGGGGGGGGGGGGGTTGCAGCCCCGCCCTGTTTGCGCAGCTCTTAATTTAAGTTAATTAGTCTGCCAAAAGGAACAGGCTCTTTAAAGTTATATTTTCATGTTCAAGAAGTGCCAAGGCATCAATAAAAATGGTTTCATTTTCCCAATTTAAATTGTGTAGTACATTTGCACAGTTTCAATTCAATCTCTTAGTCGGCACTGTCATGCACGCTTTCATGTACATGTACTTTTCAATGGGAAAAGTTTACATTTAGGCCTACCTGTGTTGGAAAATGGACATTTCGTGTCAAAGTTATGCCCTATTTTCATAAACTTGGTGTCGAAATCACCGCAAGACATCAGAACAACTGTTAAAGAAACTTGGCAGGATTAAACAAATGCCTTGCAACGATAGGAGGTAATTAAGGTAATTAGTCTGGCCTAAAACCACTCTTAAGTTATATTTTTATATTCCATGAGTGTTAAGGCATCAATACAAACTGGTTTCACTTTATCCTCTACCATTGCTAATGGTATCAGCAAAAAAGGAAAAAAAAGGGTGAAGGCCATGTCCACCCTCCACGCTTTTCGGGCCGTTTTTATGTTAATATGTCTGATCTAAAATCATTCTTAAGTCATATTTCCATAATCTACACATTTTGATTAAATGCAAAATTGGCCCCACTTGGCATGGCGCCAATGGGCCTTAGTCTGATCTAGCTATCTAAGAATGGCCATTCTGTGATCAGGGTCGATGATACTATGCTTTAAGACAATCAGGGGATTTGTTCCCGAAATTTTGATTAAACGCTATCCAGCTCTCCGTTTAGTTTGGTAAGTCAAGACTGTTTGGGTTATAATCAACCGAGATTATGGCATACCAAATTAGTCGCTGTTGCCTCTTCTACATGTCTATACAGCACAGTACGCGTTGGCATTGAAATTACAAGAAAACTTGAAGGAAAACCAAGTATCGAAGCTGCAAATCTTCAGAGTTTATTTCGAATAGTGTGACAATAATTCCTGTTAAATGTACCCTTAAGGAGACAAGAGGGGGCCTCGTAGCCGAGCGGTTAGAACGTGGAGCTACGGAGTGGACGGTTGGCAGTTCGAATCCCATTCGGACCAAAAACTGGAAAACTCTCTCTGACGACCCAACAGTAAAATGGGTACCTGATTCGTTCAGGGAAGGTAAGACGGCGAGAGGAGAGGACTGGGACCCGCCACTCATATACCACGCCCAAGACACAGTGGACCTCCAACATCCCACTGCCCCTATACGGCCAGTATGGCTACGGGACCTTTACCTTTACCTAAGGAGACATTGTTTTCGTCATTAGTTTTACCTTAGACACTGAATATTAGGGAGACATTTCAGTCTCCCGAATGTCACAACTCCTATTTAGAGGCAAAGTATACTGTCCCAAATAGGCTAGATCGATTGCTCGTGGTCCAAAACATAGAAATACCAAAATTTGTGGGGGTAGGATAAGGGAAAATTGGGGTTAGGGGTCATTAAAGTTGGAAACATTCTGTGCACAACCCTATGGGAATGTCCCCCTTTACCGTAATAATTACACAGAGTTTTTCCCAAAAGGCGGAAACTGGAAACGACACGAGTAAGATCATCATTCTTGTTCACTCAGATCGAAGAAAACCTCATGAGAGGTTTTCCTTGTTGGAATACTCCGATGATGAATAGGAAGATGGAGATGTAACACATTGATGACATCAGACTCAGACAAAAAGCATTCAAATTTGAAGAACGTTCATAGATCCCCTATTTTGAGTCAATTTTCTGAAATTTCAAGTTAAAGAAACAACAGTGCTATACTCAGGCTTCAAACAGTAAGAAGCGGACCTTTTCTATTGAAGAAGAAAACGTACTAGAACTGTGGAAAAAATATGAATGTCCAGAAGTCGTGAGACAATATTCGTATAATATATCACAATACAGTTGGTGTTGGTTTTTGAAAGTTTCTAATGCCATCATATACGTGTATTGACCAAATGTACCCAAAATTAATTAAAGCCCAAATAAAGAGCAAATGATTGTGAATGTACAGCAGCAATTGATATGAAAACGTCAGTTGGGACGTAAAGCCGTAGGTCCCGTGTGTTTTTTTAATGCACGGAAAAGAACCCAGTAATACTTATCGCTATTAAAGAGAAGGGGTTTGCCCCAGTGTTTCTGGCAGTGGCTGCAATATGCGCCGCAGCACCTTGTATACCCGTTATAAAAGGTGCTACATAATGGGTCTCATATTTCTCATGAACTTCATTTACCTGTCTTTAAAAATATACATAATTACCAGCGCCTTGAGCACCTAATTGTTGGTAGATACGTGCGCTATATCAGACTCTGGTATTATTATTACATGTATTATTAACATACAGAAGAAAGAGTATTAAAAATCCAGAAATCAAACTGGACTGTGTACTACTTTCATCAATCCTGTTCAAAACCGCCACAACTACCTAATGGATTTTGAATGATCTAAAAGGGGTAGGATTCATTTTATTGACATCCATTCCCAAAATCAGTGTCTGGATCGGTCTCACAAAGATCAAGTGAAAATGTCTCCAGTTATTATCTCTTTGATGACCTCTTTCGATTTGCCTTTCCGCCCGCTGATGATCCTCCCTTCTTCAGCTGCCTCCCCTGGCCCTTCTGGAAGGGCTTACCCTTGGGGAACTTGCCCTTTTTCTTGGCTAGCATCATGCTCTTGGGGTCTCGTCCTTGGACCCATTTGTCCCTCCTGATCTCCCAGTTCAGCTGCTTGGCATCTGTATTGATAAACACAAAGGAAAGCTTAATCCTAAACTTTACAGTGGCCTTAGGGCGTGTATCGCTTCTCAAAAGTGGGGGGGGGGGGGACAAACCTTGATCAGAACTAATGCGAGTGCGAAGCCCTTACGGCATTTTTTTTCTTTCTTCTAGATGTTTTGTGGTGCGATCTGAGAAATTTCTGACCACTTTAACCAAATTGTTTTGAGCAAAAGTTCATCATTCAAACAGCATTTTCGAGTTTGTAGTCATTGAATCGGCTATTTATGGATGAAAACAGAGGGGGGGGGGAACAAATGATATGATATCCCCCCACTTTAAAAAGTAGGAGAGGGGGTGGGGACATGTCCCCCCGTCCCCCACAGATTGACGCCAATGCAGTGGCCTGAGAGGTAAGAAATGTCATATGAGTCTATAAAGTCTGTGTATACATGTGGCCTAATACAAATATCCAGTGTTTGACGGATACTGGTTTACAAATACATTATCGTATTGGATACTCATGACTTTTTCCTCATAAATGTTCACAAAATCTGTTCCGCCCACATTGGCACATGTGTCTTTTAACAGTAGGATAGCGGGACACTTTTCATGGAGGGCTTTACCGAAAATATAATAAGTGTGATGGTAAAAGGGATGGGGGGGGGGGGGGGCGGTGGCAGCTTTTTATCATCAATGCTCTGAGGTGCTGCTCATAATGTATAGTGTTTTTGTCCCTTAGGCCAAAAAAAAAAATATTCGGTCTCTGGTCAGACCAAAGTTACGGAATTGACGCGGCTTTTTTTTTTTTTTGCTTTTTTTTTTTTCTTCAAGCTTGGAAAGTACAGACAAGGTGGGGTACTATTTTGCTTTTTTGATGTCCTCATGTACATTGTTGTCCTCCATAATTTGCCTTGGTGCTCTCGATCATTTGCCTTGGTGCAATTTCCCATTCCTTGGTGCTCTTTGGTAAAAAAAATTGAGGAGGTGCGGCAATAGAGGGCGCTTTCTTTTCCTTTTTAGGAGGGTCAGGGTTAGTCATTTGGAAAAAGTCATTTTTTAAACTTTTTTTTTTACAGCGAGAGATTTTATTCTCATTTTTGAATATGATGATTGAAAAACAATAGTTTTCAACAAATTTGACAGCTATATCAGAGACCTATTCAAACACTCCATAATACAAAGGCTAAAATTGTTCAATAGCATCATACCTGCGTTGTCCTTGTTTGCCATGGCATTTAGTCCAATGCTGTCAAACTTGGCTCCAACATGGTCGTCCATCAATGATGAAAACTAGACGAATAAATAAACAACATAGCTACAATATCTAGAGATCAAAATGGTTTTCCACAACATTTAGGCCAGATGAAAGCTTTGCATATCTGGTATACTTGCTTAAAATACTGGAGCAAGTACAAGTGAGAACTATGCATGGTTCATCCAGACCACAGTTTTAAGTGTCAAGTTATAAACTATTATCATGATGCGGTCATCTTGATTTTTTTTCCCATTCAAATAGTCGGGTTTCTGTTTGCACACAAAAAACATTATCACTCAGTACTGTTATTGGATACAGGGAACAAGATTGAAATGGTGGCAGCATGATAAAGGGTTATTACTCAAGACCAGCCTACCCAGGTTGGACTCATTGCTTGTTACCAATACAGTCACATTCCTGCTTGAGTCAAAAGACCTAAGACATAATAACATCACACATTGTTTACATGTGCGCTTTCCTATGGGAGCCATAGTATCGCAAACTGAGACTGGCTTAATTTTCAGCAATTGCTTTTTTCATTTATGATTCAGGGATAATAATTTCTGTAATGATAGTATGATGTAGAAGCCCATGGTATGATGCATAATAACTTGCACCTTGCGAGTTCAAGACGCCTGACTTGAAGCACATGTAGCTTGTTATAATGTAAGTCACCACAAAGGATCCAAGGATCCCAGTGTTGATGAGCCTTTGACTTCAGTAGAGTCATTTGCTGGCAGTAACTGAAGCTGAGTCATGACTTGAGTGGAGCTGAGTCACTGATAATAGCAATGAGTCTGACTTCATTAATTAACTATTTGATTATCTTATGTCTTTGTTTTCTCTTCTAAAGGCACTCCCCTACAAGCCTTGGCTTATTAGGATTGTGCCTCCACAATATTGTATTTTGCTTTCTGTTATGTTATTGTTTCAGTATGGAAATAAATGTAGTATTGAATTAAATTGAATTGAATTGACTCAAGTTGAGTCGCTACTGCTCGACTGATTAAAAACACCGCCTTTCTGCCTGAGGAATTTCCATGGCCGTCCATACCTCTTCTGCCGTTGCCTGTAAGCTACCTCCACTCTGCCCGGCTCCTTCTACCTTCCTCCGCTTCTTGCCGCCCCTCTTTGCCGCCCCACCTTTTCTCTTCCCGGTTCCCATGGCTCCTAGAAAGTCCATCTCCCTCTCGGAATCCGAGTCTTTGTCAGCATCAGCTTGTCTGGTGGGTTTCTTGGTTTTCCGTTTGGTTGCCTTAGCTGGTGATGGATGCTCTTCTGAAGTCGACAAACAGTTTGAATACATAAGGAGAAAAATGTGCGAAGATGGAGTTTTCAACTAAAGCTTACGACTTGTTAGGAGCCTACTCATAGACCTCGGTCCCAAAACTTATCATCTCCTTTGAGAGAATTAATGATTTTTAATCACTGATTAAAAATCAGAGTACAAAGGGGGTACTGCAATCGATTTGACATATGATGGATTTTCGAACCCTACACTAACATTATTTTTGGATTAGCCCTACTGTCTGAGACATCCATAAATGTCTGAGTCTAACTGAGTCTCAGATACAGAATTTATTGAAATTATCATTGAAATTATCAAAGTGCTTTGAAATGATTTGGTGCTCCAGGAAGCCTGTCACAGTTGACTATCTACGGGAAGACCACGTACCACATTATGTTGGCAGTATCTTTAAAAACACAGATTCCCTTTAAGATCAGCTACCAGTTGCTATATGAGACATGACCCAGTGTAGAGCCATTATATGGCCGATTTATATGACAATACAGGTTGTCCCACCAATTAATCAAGGTACATTGCATGTGGGTTTTGGAATATTTTCAAATTACCTCTTAAAGTCAGATAACCAGTCTACCATACAAACTTTATATCATTCAAATCGATGTATTGGAACAAACACTATGCTTCATCGAACTCAAGGGTTGAAAATCGTCTTAGGCCACTTTCCTTGAAAGTAAGAAAGCGCAGTAAGAGAAATACACAAAGGATTTATTTCCTTTGTTCAAGAGTAACGTGCGACTTATTCTACGGCTTCGATCTGTTAACTTGATAAATAAAGAAGTGGCCCATGTGGTTTTTCAAGTCCCATATTGGGAGTGCTGTATCTTTTGAACAAAACATCCTAATGAAACCAACTAAAAAGTACTTGGAACACCAATTACTTACTCAGCAATACATTAGACATGATTTTGAATACTACCCCCACTTTTCTGAAAACATGCCCGATTCAACTGGTTTTTTTGTGGGACAACCTGTATAAGAAACTAAGGATATTTGCGGTAAACAAACTGACCTGCCGAATCTGATTCCCCAAAACCTTCCTCGTCAAATTCATCATTGGCAATCTTGAATTCATCATCATTGTCATCGTCATCTTGATCGTCATCGGTGGAGTCAAAGTTGTCCTCTCCTATCTCACTTCCTTCATCCTCATCGTCTGGATAATCAAAGTCCTCCTCACTCTCACTTGAGTCATCTTCAGAAGCTTTGCCCTTCTGCTTTGTTGTCTTGTCTTTCTTCTTCCGTTTCACCTCACTAAGAAAAAAGGAACAGATGCCAAGAAACTATACCCAAATTTCTTGACAGTCGGTTGGCAATGGGTGATATAAAAACTCCAAAATAAATACGTATGCCATCTCAGTGGATTAAGGCAATCTTTCCACTTGTGCATTTTCAGGTTTGTGTTCATCGCATAGTAAGGCCTACAGTTTAGATAATTTGGAGCAAACATAAGCAACAGAAACTGAATCAAAACAGTCTGAAAACAAAATCTGGAAAGGCGGCATTAGGCTACAGGTCAGTCTGCGTCCAAATCACCTTGGGCAAAACATATCCTGTCAAGTGGAATGCATTAGAACCAGAAGTTTAGTAGCCCTCTTAATCAATTTGCCCCAGGATTATTTTTGGCCGAAAAACACCAGTTTTGAAAAAGGTAAGATACTTCTTAAAATTAAGTCAAACACCACAAACACTGACTCTTGAGAGTCATTTGTACAATATTTCTACTACACTTCTCATCGCAACTTCATATTTTCCCACAATTCAGGGCCCCGCAGAGCCGTGTACAGCAACCAAGTTCAAGTTCAAAACAAGATGTGTGTCGAACCACTGACGTGTATACAAATTCACTGCCAGAGACTCGGAGAGAGCATGACAATTAAACCCATCTACTGCCACTGTACATTGCCAGATCTTGTTTACACACCCTTCAGCATTGACCTTTTCTAAAATTAATATAATGAACATAAAAAAGGCATCATTTTTAATAGAAAAAGGGGGATTTTCATGTTAATCATCATCTTAGAACTCACCCAGCAAAGTCCATAACATCATCATCATCATCATCATCATCTTCATCAGTATCTTCCAAGTCCACTGTTTCTATAACATGGCAAAAAATACAAAGACACCTTCCCAAAGTAATTTAAGGCTACAAGGCTTTGGAACTGGTCTGATAAAGCCACGTATGATCATTTGCAATTACCCGGAGAAGTATCTTGTCGATAAAGACAGAAATCTTGTGCAAAATGAAGATACATGTAGGACAGTTTTAAAAATCTGCGAAATTATTCCGCCTGAATTGGAATCGTTTGGAAGAAAATTTACATTAAAGATGGCTTCTAAATATGGTGTCCGCAGGAACACTGTTTTAGGTGCGTTAAAAACCAAAATTTAGTTACCCAAAACAATAAGCCAGTTCGGTATTCAACTACACATGCTCACAATGATATGGGTCACGGGTCATTCAGGATAATCGAAGACGTATGAACGCGCGCGGAGATGGGCACCTGACGCTCGTGCACTATTTACATCCAGAATGGGCATCTGTGTAACATCGCGTATCATCATCGCGTCAGCGATTTTATACCGAATGACCTTTGACCTGGACTACTTCATCGACATACCAAACTGGCTTACTGTGTATACATTTTCTCCATTTTCTCAAAATGTTTGGCACTGTGGAAATAAACTAAACTGAACTGAACTGAAATGTCTAGTACCCACCAACCAAACATTTTAGCAGGTTGCCATGCCGCCTACTTAAACAAACAGACACGTTCAACCCCAAAAAATGCTTGAATATGGAATTAATTTGACAGATTTTTTTTTTAATATGTGACATTACATCTCCAGAGAGCATATTTCAACCCTTACCAAGTATCCTGTCAAATTCATCATCGTCAACACTTGATGCATCGCTGTCAAATTCAAAGTCATCCTCATCATCATCATCCTCCTTGACACTTTTCTCTTTTTTTCTGTCGGTGACTTGTTGGGGTTTCTTCCCTTTTGAGGTGAAATACCTGGAGGACAATATGGATACATCAGGTAGAGACTAAAGTAGCATCTAGATGGATGTACACATGGCAGAATGTGTACATTTTGGTACAAAATAAAAGCTGATAAATTGCATCGCCATGCAAGAGGCTATTCTGTAAAGGTAATTTGAAGTTTGTGGAAACAATATAATGTGAAGTGAACATTTATACAGGGTGTCCCAAAAAATACCCAATCATATTTTCAGGAACTTCATGATACATGTACTGGTTTTCACGTATGTGACAGGAAATTTTCTGAAATGAACAATAATCTTTATTTCATCCAAAACAACCAACCATTCAAGAGTTACGCCCATTTTAGTGAAGCAATGTCATGTCTTTACAGTGAAGTAAAATTCCTTAAGTTGATCAATAAGCGGGGACAGTGAGGAGTGCTGATTTTTGTTTGCTTATGATTGTGCAGTTTAGTTGGCCAAACAATCAGAAAGTATTCAAACCTATTTAATTTACAAAACCAGAAGCATCACAGTGCTTGATTAAATTTGGGGTAAAGTGTTATTTTTTCAATGACTGCCAGCTATTTATCGACAATGTCAATCACTGTTAATTTATCATCTCAAACATGCTGGTCTGCAGACATAATGGGCACGCATCAGCCTTTTAAAAAATGTTTAAACGTTTAATACGGGAATAAATGTGTGCTTCAGACATTTTAAACACTATGTTTAAGACCGGTTGGAGAATGAATGCTGATAATTACCCGAGCCAAAGGCGAGGGTAATTATCAGCATCCAGACTCCAACCGGTCTTAAACAGAGTGTTTAATACCGACCAAGCACATATTGTTTCCCATTCATAAATACCTTTTCGGTCAAATAAAAATCAAGACTTTTCAATCCAAAAGTCAAAACAAGTTAGAAATAATAAATTTTCAACGATTTTGATCAACAAAACATCCCTCTGGCGATACAATGGTAAGGCCCTCTGGTAAACAACTCCTTATATTGAGATTGACGCATGCGATGTGGCGCAGTTGTCTCGACCAATGGGAATGGGCAAACTGTCTTAGGTATTTATGAATGGTATTTAAAATATTGGCTCAAAGTTTCTGCAAATTAAACGCAAAGTCACAAATAAAACTGAATTACAACGTTTAGTATGAGACCCACTTGTGAAAGAAGAGCTCATCGATAGGGATCTTCTCCTGGGCCGTCTTGAGGTAATCCTTGGTGTTGACAGCCATCAGTCGGATGGCGGAGGGCTTGTAGGATTTGCCTTTGGGCTCCATGATGGACACTTTCACTGCAAAAATGGAACACATATGCAACCGGCTATAGTGGAGCTGCTAAGCGAAAAATCGTGCACTTTCTGGTAAAAGCATGAAATTTGGCAGGTGGGGTCAAAATGGGCTAAAAATCATTTTAAGATCGGGACCCATCCTGGATCTTGCCCATTTTGGGGGCGGAGCTTGATTTTTCAAAAAAGGGGTTGCAAACAATACAAACTCATGAAAACTGTATTTAACATCAAATTTCCTTGTTTTTTTACGCTTTGAAATAAACTTAAACATGAAATAAGACATTCTAGCATTCTAACACCTGTTATTTTCCACCCATTTTGTGGGCGTGGTCTAAATGGTAAAAGAGGCGGTATACATTAGCAGTTTGGTTCTAATATGGAAAACATCATTCAGTTTGGTGGTAAAATTCTGAAAATTGGCATGTCCAATTGAAATGGGCTAAACATAATTTTTAGAGGTGAACGCATCTTGGATCTTGCCCATTTGGGGGGCGGAGCTTGATTTTTCAAAAAGGGGAGTGCAAAAAAAGAAAACTCAGAAAACTGTATTTTACATCCACTTTGTTTCTCATGCTTTGAAACAAAGTGGATGTAAATTCTAACATTCTAACACGTGTTATTTTCACCCTTTTGCGGGCGTGGCCTAAATATGTAAAGAGGCGGTACATTAGAGCAGCTTGATTCAAACGAGGGAAAATCATCATTTTTGCTGGTAAAAACACAACTTTTTTATCGGTTAACTATGGGTGGGTGTGTGGGTGTGTGTTCCTGCATGGCATTACGCCTGAGGACAGACAACAAAAGGAGCACAAAGGGGCCATTGATCCTCGAAGGAAGGTGCCTATTGTCCTCGAACGCAGGTTTGTGTGCTTAGTCTATGGGAGAGTGTTATATTACAGGGACAAAGGAAAACACAAAGCCAATGCTCGGAAGCATAGCAAAAAACGACTGGGTGTGCGTGTGTGTGTTCGGACAAATCTAATCAGCGCGATAACTTGAGAAATACTTAACATATGAACTTCAAATTTGCTTTGTGTATTGTTCTTGGTAATCCTATGAGGCCTATTGAATTTGGGGCCGAAAGGTCAAGGGTCCGAAAGGTCAAGGGTCAAGGTCACAGTGGCTGAAACAATAGAAATTTTGTCAGCGCGATAACTTGAGAAATACTTTACATGCGAACTTCAAATTTGGTTTGTGGATCGTTCTTGGTAATCCAAATAGGCCTATCGCAGTGGGGGTCGAAAGGTCAAGGGTCAAGGTCACAGTGGCTAAAACAATAGAAATCTTGTATTTATTTTGAGATCATAGGGATTAGGGATTAATTCATATAAAACCTACAGAAGACACTAATGCTGTCAATGAATGTTCCATGTGACCAAGGTACATAAGTTGATGTTAAAAGAGTGGTGTTATGTCATGGGAACAGTCACGGTTGCGGGGCATTTGTGTTTGTAAAAACACCTGACTTGTTTGTATTGGGCATTCCTCACTTAACATTTCCATTATTTGTTTAATTGTTGTAAAATCCTTCCGGTTTTATGTTATATTCACTTCTCAGTGCACTTCCAGTAGCACCGTAAGTAATTGACAAATGGCTTTGTACACGGGAATCCAAGACATTGCCTGAGGCAATGCCTGCCACATTACAAAAGTATGATAACGGTGGTCCATTCTTTTGAGAAAGTTATAATTCAAACTAGATTTATGTTTGTGGACAAACACAGGACTGTTTCGGTATTTTTTTGTGACTTGTGACATGTAAAGTTTCAAGTATATGTTCCATCAAGGAAGGGTGTGTAGTTCTGTTTATAATAAATGGTGGTATATAATATGTGATTATATTCTCATAGGGCTGTGAATTATGACGTCACATGTCACGTGATGACGTCACATCAAGTTTCATCTATAACTATAATATTATGGTAAAGAACAACTTCGCCAGAGCATACATCATTGAAAGCAAGTTCACATTTTTCACCAATTTTAAATTACAAGGCACTTCCGGTTTCAACCGGAAGAAAGGGTCACGTGATTTTGCACATAATATAAAAAATGAAGACCCTCGATAATTCTATCATATCCCAAGAAAATCATGTTCAGGTCTCTCACAGTTGATTTTATATTGACTTTTAAATATCAAATCTATTAATCTCTAATGAGACGTCACGTAACCCATTATGACGTCATCATGACGTCACTTCAATTTTCATCTATAACACATCCCGGTCTAGGTACATACCAACTTTCAACCCAATCGGACCAGTGGTTCTGTAGATATTGGCCTTCAAAATATGCAATTTTAATATGACTTCACATGTCACGTGACGTCATATTAAAAATAAAAAGATGAAATACAAAAAATCACCATGTCTGTTTGCAAACAGAACACAGGGCTTTTCGCATTTTACAAATGTTTATGTTTCGTTGGTCCTTTTGCAGTCACTTGTCATAGTGCTTCATGCAGTTAAAGGTTGTTCAAATGCTTAGAATAATTCCTAAAATATAATTTTATCACATGACGTCACATGCCCTGCAATGACGTCATCTTTAAAACCCTTCTCAATACACATTTTTTCATTGTGGTCTTGGTTTGAATCAAGTTTAATGTCAATCCGATGAAAGAAAGTGTGCAATTTTGGAAGCAGAATAAAATCATAAATATTTAAAAAATCATTAAAAAAATCAAACGATGACGTCATCGTGACGTCACTTCGGACTTTGCATACTAGTACCATTATCTACCTACCCAAGTTTTTCAAAAATGTTGTGCAAATACCTATTACCTTACAAACCAAATACAAAAAGAATTTTTAACTTTGCATGTTGCGTTCGTGAGATATGGCTAAACGGTCCAAAAATTCAAATATTCATATAAAATCTCAGGATGGCGTCATTATGACCTCACTTCATTTTTTTTTTACCTATAACACATCCCGGTCTGGCCACATACCAAACGCTTATAGTGTAGCAAAACCTAAAAGGTAAAAACTAATTATTTTCAGAATTTAGCAAACGGTTTTTAGTAAAAGTGTTTGCTTAATTTTCATTCATACAGATGCGAGTAAATGCTTCAAAGTGGTAGCAAAAGCAAATGCCATGTTTTATTCATACAAACATGGTATCATTTGTACTTTATGAACTTTAATAAATGCAGTAATTTTTGCGCAGAATTATTTTACTTTATAATTTCAAGGTTGCCCCAACCCAGCCTTGTAAATGACAAGTGCATATATGAAATCCGAAGCATTTACTCCTTTATATTCATACGAAACGAAGTAAACGATAAATATTTTTTTTCTGGTAATGAAACCAAGGATCCTCGCAAACAATAGCTCGTAAACCCCGAAAAAAACAACGTATAGAGTAGACAATGAGAAGAAATTACAGTTTTAGAGGTGGGAGGAAAACCCCAGAAGAATAGTCTGGGGAAAACCCATGGAATCAGGTAGGGACTGAAAACCCAATCCACATGTAGACCATGGGTGCCGATGCACAGCGCATTGTGCGCGTAAATGGCATTGCGTTCGTCACGTTTGGTGCGCTTTTTTGTATCTGTCCTTCAGCACGTGACCCTCCCCAGTGCCGCTTTCCGTTTCGGTTACGATAATTTTATTTTCTGCAAACCTATAAATGGTAAAGCTTACATTTTGCAGGCCATTTGCTCAAGAGCAAATGGTCTTCAGTAAAAGCCTTTGATTAATTTTTATTCATACAGATGGGAGTAATGCAAATGCCAGTGTTTATTCATACGAACTACCGTATGGTATTATTTGTACTTTTTCGCGATTAACATTAATAAATGCAGTAATTTTAACATTAATAAATGCAGTAATGCAAATGCCAGTCTTTATTCATACGAACTACCGTATGGTATTATTTGTACTTTTTCGCGATTTACATTTATAAATGCAGTAATTTTTGCGCAGAATTATGTATTTTAATATCTTCAAGGTAGCCCCAACCCAACCTTGAAATATGACAGTAAATTTTTGAAATCTGAAGCATTTACTCCGTTTTATTCATAAGAAACGAAGTAAACGCTTATAGTGTCGCAAAAGCTTAAAGGTAAAAACTAATTATTTTCAGAATTTAGCAAACGGAATTTAGTAAAAGTGTTTGCTTAATTTTCATTCATACAGATGCGAGTAAATGCTTCAAAGTGGTAGCAAAAGCAAATGCCATGTTTTATTCATACAAACATGGCATCATTTGTACTTTTGTAATTTTTGCGCAGAATTATTTTACTTTATAATTTCAAGGTTGCCCCAATCCAGCCTTGTAAATGACAAGTGCATATTTGAAATCTGAAGCATTTACTCCTTTATATTCATACGAAACGTACAGATGGGAGTAATGCAAATGCCAGTTTTTATTCATACGAACTACCGTATGGTATTATTTGTACTTTTTCGCGATTAACATTAATAAATGCAGTAATTTTTGCGCATAATTCATTGTGTGTAATTATGTGCTTTATATTCATACGAAACGAAGTAAACGATAAATATATTTTTTTTCTGGTAATGAAACCAAGGATCCTCAAAAGTGCATGCCCCAGGCACTGTAGCTCGCAAACCCCCCCAAAAAAAACCCGTAGAGAGAAGACAATGAGAAGAAATTACAGTTTTAGAGGTGGGAAGAAAACCCCAGAAGAATAGTCTGGGGAAAACCCATGGAATCAGGTAGGGACTGAAAGCCAATCCACATGTAGACCATGGGTGCCGATGCACAACGCATTGTGCACGTAAACGGCATTGCGTTCGTCACGTTTGGTGCGCTTTTTTTGTATCTGTCCTCCAGCACGTGACCCTCCCCCGTGCCGCTTTCCGTTTCGGTTACGATAGTTTTATTTTCTGCAAACTTATAAACGTGTAAAGCTTTACATTTTGCAGGCCATTTACTCAAGAGCAAATGGTTTTTAGTGAAAGTGTTTGCTTAATTTTCATTCATACAGATGCGAGTAAATGCTTCGAAAGTGGTAGAAAAAGCAAATGCCATGCTTTATTCATACAAACATATGGTATCATTTGTACTTTAGAACTTGAATAAATGCAGTAGTTTTTGCGCAGAATTTTTTTGCTTTATAATTTCAAGGTTGCCCCAACCCAGCCTTGTAAATGACAAGTGCATATTTGAAATCTGAAGCATTTACTCCTTTTTATTCATACGAAACGAAGTAAACGATTATTGGCCAAAAAAGGCTCTGGTTTCTGGTATGCGCGCGTCGCCATAGCGCGTCGGTAATGTAAGATGATGTCTTTCAATGTAAGATGATGTCTCAAACCACCAAACTCACTGGTTTCGACTGAAATCCTGCTGCTGCACAATTTTAACGTGTTATTTCTCATAAAATTATTTCTCATGTCTAAGTTTATTTCAAGCATGAAGAACAAAGGAAAATGGATGTTAAATACAGTTTTTCTTAGTTTTTTTATTTTTTGCACTCCCCTTTTTGAAAAATCAAGCTCCGCCCCCAAATGTGCAAGATCCAAGATGTGTTCACCTCTTAAAATTATTTTCAGCCCATTTTAACTTGTCCTGCCAATTTTCAGGATTTTACTACCAAACCGAAAAATGTTTTCCATAATTATTAGAACCAAACTGCTAATATATACTGCCTCTTTTGTACATTTAGGCCACGCCCACAAAATGGGTAGAAATTAACTGGTGTTAGAATGCTAGAATGTTATATTTTATGTTTAAGTTTATTTCAAACCATAGAAAAACAAGGAAAATGGATGTTAAATACAGTTTTTATGAGTTTGTATTGTTTGCACCCCCTTTAAAAAAAAATCAAACTCCGCCCCCAAAATGGGCAAGATCCAGGATGGGTCCCGATCTTAAAATGATTTTTAGCCCATTTTGACCCCACATGCCAAATTTCATGCTTTTACCACAAAGTGCACGATTTGGGCCAAAAATGGACCTAAGCAGCTCCACTACTATGAGTCAGGTTGGCGCGCAGTGGTTCTTTCCTCGCCTTTCACCTCTATGGTCCAGGTTTCATTCCTGCCCAGGTCTACCGGTACATGTGGATTGGGTTTTCAGTCCCTACCCAATTCCCTGGGTTTTCCTCTTACCTCTACATATGTAATTTCTTGATTGTCTTTTCTCTAAGGGTTTCTTCAGGATCGCAAGCTACAGTGCCTAGGGCACTTTTGAGTAATCCTCAAATGATAATTAATAATAATAATAATAATAATTACCTTGGATTAGACATTTGGGAGACATTCCAATAGACTTGTGAAATTTTTCAAACTTAAATGTGCCCTAACCCAATATTCCCTAAATCCTTTTTCCTTGAATTTTGATAATTTTACTAATTAGAACAGGAGCTACAAACATAACCTAATTGCAACAGTAAAATTTTGCCTCTAAAGGGGGCTGTGACATTAGGGAGACATGTCTCCCTAATGACTGGTGTCTCCCTCCGTTCTAAAAAATTACGATAATGTGCCTCCCAAAGGTACCATTTAGTCGTGTTAATGCACTGGAAGGGTCCTCACTCTGTGTAGTCTTGTGACACACAAACTGTACCTTGCATCTCACTATCCGATATGGGTGTGCAAGGCACAGACATGTCACTAACTGCATATGAGTGTGATGGGATAATCAAGCCATGCTAAAAGGCATCGTTGGGTGTTATAATTTGCAATGGCACAGCCGACAGGAAATGGAGCATGCAACCAAATTTGTATAATACTTGCCAGAATTGGAACAAAACCCAACTACTACACTTTTTACCAGTCTACAACCCATGTTTAATAAAAAATACGAATATTAATGAGTATAGCAAATGAATATAATATAATTGTTAAAAAAAGGGGGGGAGGGAGGGGTAAAGCATAAATTACCCTTCTCTGTTTGTTTCTTGGGGTTTCTGTACACAAAGCGATCCAGGAAGCGCATCTGTGTGAAATCCTGCAGGGGGTTGCCCATGTAGTGTACCTTCAGACCCTCGCGTATGGTCTTAGCGAAGAGCGCCACCGAGGGATGGTAGTGGTTCTGCAGCTGCAAATCATCAAATGCAAAAAGGATTTTAGCGGAGCAAAAGAGCTGAAATCTGCATTTTTGTACATGAAATATAAGACAGAAATTGGAGTGGTAAGTCCTTGATTGTTAATGTGAACCAGTGTTAAAGGTATAGTCCATCGTTTGTAATTTGTGCATTTTGTTCATTTGAAGCAACAAACGTTCTCAAAATCTAAAGAAGGGTGATAAACAACTAACCTGATGAAGTTTCAGCTCAGCTTCAGCTGTATTTTTCGAGAACAACATTCTAGGATCTCGATTTCAAATCAAAAGTTGCTGAATCATGTTTTGAATTGGGCCTGAATTCAGCATCCGAGACACGTTCTCAATGAGCCGAATGCAGCTACACGATGTAGCGCACTGATCTGACGTCGTGTCAACGCTTGCGTGCGCTTCGCCGTTTAAAAAAACGAACTACTAACGGAAATTTCCAATGGTGCGTCTTGAGGTTGAGTGAAAATAAATCCCGCGCCTCGTTCCTTTCTCTTCAAAATAATCCCGGCGAGAACTGGTTAAATAGCGGTGAAATTTTGGGGGAAACAAAATAGCTAAAAAACACATGGCAGAGGGTTTGGAAAGCTGCTGAGGGCCCTGGAGCAATGTAGGGTCTATGGCATAGGTTTGTATTTGCCTAAAAGGAAGCCCTTAAAATACCCATTTTCTTTTGCTTTATACATGTATAGACGCTTATAGTTATAGACACCTTCACAAATTCAAGATTTCAAAAGGGATTTTTTTTCCTTTTTTTTAATCTGACAAGTAAGGTCACACATTACAAGGGATGAGAAACAATGACAAATGAATGCCTTTGACACACTTCACTTCAATGGCTTGTCAGTTGGGAGGACTTGTGTAGTTGTTTTTGTCTGAATAACATCCACAGGAATGCTGAAATGAACTCACTTTGGTCAGTTCCCAAAAGACGCTGCCTTCAGCACCGCTGAACTGTGGATTTCTGTTGGTTGGGTCATACTGTGTCTTCTTGTCTGGATTGACAACAAAAACCCAATCAAGGCAATCAAATCAACGGAAAAAGATTTATGAGCAAGTGACCCTGCATGTGATTCACACTGCAGCTACATGTAGAATTAAACTGTGGAAACAGAATGCACAGAGTACACAATGCATTCCATGTCATGAAGGTACAATGTATGTTTTCTGTTTGCTGAAATCTTGCAGGTTGTAATTTTTAGCTTCTAAATCACATCAAGGAAATGATTGTAACAGTTAGTAAATTGAGGACAGACTGCAAGAGTGTCATAATTTTGAAGTAATATATACCTGAGACAGTTTACCCATTCCTAATGGTCGAGAACTCGTCACGTGGGTGGTTTTAACCCTAAAAGGACTGGGGGGGGGAATTCAAACCCCCCCCCTCAAATTTTCCGCAAAAGCCTTGAACAAATGTTTTTTTCGTGACCCAAGCTGTTCTGACTTTTTAGCTCGAGTCTCGCGCATCTTTTGATACCAAAAAAATAAAATTCGGACCACGAATAAAATTGTGAATAAAACTGAATTTATACCTAGTGTACACAAAGCACAATTACCATTCGTACATATGAATAATTAATTAGCCATAATTTCACAACCCTTTGACCTATAGCCATGAAATTTCTTGGGTATGTTCATGATAAGTTGTTTTATGCATGTACTGAGTTTCATAATTTTTTGTCCATCGATAGCCGAGATCTTAGGGGGGGGAGGGGCAGAATCCCCCCCCCCCCCCTCTCGGCTGTGAGATGGTCAAAATATAAACCCGGTCTTTCAGGGCTAAAGTGTGGGTAAAACATGGGTCACTGTTTAAACAGCGATATTTGAAACCGGTCACAGACACCCGCACTCCGTGCCACATGCAGCGCAGTACACGCCGCGCGCTCCACCAGCTGAAGAGCCACTGATATGATCTCCATATAAGGAGACCTGTCCGCACGCACCGCGCGCACCATAGAAAAGTCCCAGACACAAAGTAAAATGGTAGAACAAAAATTTTGACTTTTCTGGTTTATCACCAAAAAGGTATTTATCAATGGGGATAATAGTGTAATGGAGCAGTTATAAACGTGATGTTTAAAACCGGTTAGAGGTCTGGTCGCCTTGGGCTCGGGCCAGTATTGGTAGCCAGGCCCCTACCCAGTTTTAATCCACACGTTTATAAACACTCCATCTCTTTATTATCCCCTTATTGAAGACACTACCTGGGTTTTCTATCTTGTGATGCACCCAAGATGAAGCTGACTTGGATGCGTCTTTTTCAACATCTGTCTCTCCTTTCTTATCTGTTCTGGCGTCATCTTCTTCATCGATGTCAACGAAGTGTTCCTCATCATCAGAATCCTGTGAGGCAAAACACCACAATTACTAAACGTGAGACTTGATGTACATTGTAAATAAAAATACAATGAATGTGTTATTATTTTGGAGTGCTGTGGCCTCGTGGTTAAGGGCACTGGATTCGTGGTCTGTGGGTAAAGCTGCAGGTCGTGGGTTAAGCTGCGGGTTGTGGGTTCGAGTCCAGCCGGGGTCATGGTGCGTGTACCCTTGAGCAAGGCACTTTGTCACTCACTGCTTCTCTCCACCCAGGAGTAAATGGGTACCTGTGAGGGCAGAGATGGTTATTGTGATTGAATTAGCTTCCTTGCGCCTAACAGGCAGCATCGAGCTGTATACTCCCCAGGGAGCTGAGATGGTATTTGGAATGTGTAATTGGCCCAATGATCAGGGGTAGTACTGTAAGCGCTGTGATTTAGTTGACTAATAAGAGCGTTCTTAAATGCCGATTATTATTATTATTATTTTCTTGGACATTGGATTCAGGTAGTATTCAGGTAGGTGCTTTGACAAAAATGTTTGGGGAGTTAAGAGTTTCTGCAGGCAAGCATCTTCAATAACAATACTCTAATACTTGAAAGTTTTGCAATTGCCACTGAAAAAAAATTTCACTTGTGCTTAAAAAATATTCTTATCACAGCTAGCCTGTTATGCACATACGTAGCTGTCAATGGAATTTGTCGTGTTCATACTTCATGCAGTGGGGAGTGTGGCCTAGTGGTTAGAATTTGTGACTCATAATCGGAGGGTCGGGGGTTTGAATCCAGCTGCTGGCCATATTATGTTGTGTCCTTGGGCAAGCAACCTCACCCCCACTTGCTTCTCTCCACCCAGGAGTATAAATGGCTACCAGCATTAGCTGGGGAGTAACCTGCGAAGGACTGGCATCCCATCCAGGGGGAGTAGAAATATTCTTAGTCGTTTCATGCTACTGAAAACCGGAGATAAACGCCAGCCTGATGGGCCATATTGGTTCGTGACAGACTTTACTTACTTTTTTATATTTCACGCAATTGTGAAAATGAATGCAAATGTGAAACTTGTGGCAAACATAAATTGTCTGAGTTGAACAGTTAAGTTTATACAGGTTGCACTTGTGCTCCAATACTTTAGTTCACCTTTGTCAAGTAAACAACTTTAGCCCCTTTTCCCAGTTTTAAGACAGCTTAACCAGCATCAGCATTACTATAAGCAGAAGAAAGCTGTTGGTTTTTTTTCACTGCTAGATCAACTTTCAAAAACCATTTCAAAGAGACAGCACAGCAAACTTGCAGCACACAATTTCAACCTTTACAGCCATCTACCCTCTTCCAAACACTCTTTGAGGATGCTGCTGCCAGTTCTAATAACGGTGATAAATTGATAATTTATTTACCATAGCATCCATGGCAGCACTGCGAAGAGCAGGTCGTATATCCATTATCTCCGAGATCAGGAACAGGGCACCGCAGACAAACGGTGGCTGCTGGGTGGAACACATCTGCAGAAGCCTCTTGACAAATGCCTAAGGGACGGGGGAATCAAAACATAAATCACAACACATGCAAAAAATAGGTGAGACTTGAAGTTGTAAAACAGGCCAAAGTAAGCTCAGTGCTGAAGTGGGCTGTGGTTGTAAGCAGGAGGCCGTGGGTTCTAGTCCATTCTAAGCAAGCTTGTAAATGTTCTCTTAACAACAAGCTGTCTGCCAGCACTAGATTTACAGAACTAATCAAATTAAATTAGGGAAGGGAAAAAGAAACAAACCTTATCTACCTGCCCAACTAATCAGAGTGAAGATACAAATTGCATTCATCAGAAATGAGGGGTAGAATATGGAGTGTCGTGGCCGAGCGGTTAAGAGCAAAGCACCAGACTCATGCTCTGGTGTTTCAGAGGCAGCAGAATGTGAGTTCGTGCCCGGGTCTGGACACTTGTGCCCTTAAGCAAGACACTTAACCATTATGGAGTACCCAAGTGCCTACGTCACCGCACAAAATGTGTGTGAAAGACATTAGCGCGTGATTCAGGCCTGTGAACCAACACGCGCGCGTACTCCATTCGTTTGCACTACACTTTCTGGTTCTAAATTATGTCACACTTCTGTACTCCATTGCTTCGTCTTTCGGATGGGACGTACAGCCGTAGGTCCTGTGTGTTGTGTAATGCAATGCAAGAACCCAGTTACACTTATAGCTAAGAGAAGGGGTTTCCCGGGTGTTTCTGGTCTCCTGCTAAAACTCCCCTGCAGAGTGTTTAGGAGAAGAACCAACCAAGTATCAAGTAGGGGTGCAAGTCACATGAACGCATACATTCTCAACGGGTAAAAACCGGTGGAGAGCTATTTTGTTAAGTCCAAATAAAGGTGCTGTAGCCAGTCACAAAAATAAGCTTACATAATAGTGTAAAAGTGCTTTGATCTTAGTTAAAAGCGCTATATAAGTACTCGTTAGTGTTAAGCTTATAGTCCCCTCCCTTTGACAATCCAGTGTGTGCAAATTGGTATAAAGTCTTGAAACTTGGCACAGATGTTACTGATGCATGACAAACGGAACCTGATATCAGGTCACTACGTGAGGACTTGTTATTGAGGATTAATTAATCTAGCTGTGACCTGACCGATCAATAATGAGGGGACTATTACTCAGTGTTCAAAATGGGATGTTTTGGAGTCTTACATGTAGATGCTCCCTTACGAATTGCTGAATGTCTTACTTTGATTCTGCCGATGATGGCATCAGCTTTCATGGACTGGTAGAGAAGATTCAGAAACATAGCCTGCCTGGGGGAGTTTTCCAAACTTCGATCCAGCAGCTTGCTGTACAGAGCTGAATAGAAGCGATCTGATATGGCTTGCCTGACACACAAAAAGTACGATACAATGAGTGATCAGTCGGTACGACACCTGGTGGTGACCATTTCTTAAAATTAGGGACATAATTGCTTTGATGATCATGGCTTTGAAGATGGTCACTATTAAAGGGTCCATTACACGAACTTTACTCTGGAACTTATTTTGTGCAAATATCCATTCCTCCTAAATGTATGAAAAGTATACAGACATCCCTTTTTGGTTAACATTCGCGTAAACATTTAAGATATTACATGCTTTTTTTCCTGTTGCTTTGATGTCACTTTTAAATAGGCGCACACTATTTAGTTTAGGGGTTTCTGTTCAATTTGTAAACCCAATTTCTTGGTAACCGAAAAATCTTTGTGCATAAATTGTGTTGAGAGACTTTGTACAATCCTTCATTATCCACAAAGATATAAATCATGACATGCCCTCAATCCTTCTAAATCTTCCAGTATTCAAATTTTAATCAATTTTCAATCTTTCAAAATCTTTCAATCATGCAAAGATGATACTCGATGATTTGGGAGGGTAAAGGGCTTAAGTTGTGCCCTCATCAAGATTGGTCATAGTTTAATTTGATTTATAATGTTTTTAGATGGAGTACTTACCTGGTATCCAGCACCTGTTTCAATAGCAGCAGTGCCTGTATGGAAGTATTGAAGGGCGCAATGTGGACCACTTTAAACAACGAGTCCGTCTGTTCACCGACTCTCTCATCTCCAACTTTGAAGAAAAAAGTATTACAAATTCTGTTATTGGGACCCAATTTCATGGCTCTGCTTACTGTCAGCAAAGAACCTTCACTTTAGCAGATGCTTCTGTGTTAAGCATAGTATGTAGGGGTGTGCATTTACGGGTAGTACGGGAACTGGGTACCCTATTGAAGTAAGACACGAGTACCAGAGCACCCATAACAGAATCCCAACCCCAAAATTCAAATCCCTGGAGTTGCTATTCAGAATTTTCATAAAGGTGCACACGATAACACTACCACATCAGTGCGTCAGTGCAGCAAGATACAAGTGTTTACAGTGCGGTAGACAGGATTTGCAACTTTAAAATGCGCGAAATGATGAAATCTGTTTTGATTTTCCATACAGCCTGGTATTGATTTTGAAAATTCCCTAGAAAGGCATTATAAATATTTCTTCTTCATTGTCTGAGAAGTTATAAGTAATTTGTAAAGTTGGTTACGGGCACCAGATCCCATAATCTGGAACAGGTTCCTAACAAGGTGCAGTCGGGTACTTGGGTACCCGGTTCTGATGCACACCCCTCATAGCTTGGCTTGTCAACGGTGTTGGTCTGTTCAAAATTAGCTGTTATGAGTTTTTCTGATGATGTTCTTCATTGTACCATTTGTAGAGGCCTGCATTGAATCCTATACTTGTGACTAAGGTTATTTCGCTGATAAGGTTGGTCCAGGATTTCTTTGCAACCACTGCACGCACAGACGTCTGTCGTTAAAACGGCAATGATTGGATCCAAATTATCATTTAACACTTGTGATTTTGAAAAACAATAAGAATGCAAAGCCCAAGGGGTCGTTTGCCTATACTCTGAAACTTCCTTCAAAATTTCGTGACTAAACATCCAGTGAATTTATTTCATTAGTGTTTTTGTAATTTTTTGGGAAAATAACCGTAGGTTGTGACAAATTTTTTTTTTTTTTTTAGCCTTGCTTCAGATTCAGTTCCATACCATGACTTGGACACTATGGTCTCTGTGCACAACTACTCCCTCATCGGTAAGAAAGGGAGAGTTGGGGGAGACCATCGGGAGTGACATTCGAACGCTGATAACGCCGGACGCTCACGTGAGGACGCTATGGCTTTGTGCACATGCATGCAGAATAAAATAGGTCGTGCCTACTATATGCGCTTGAACCAGTACGCACACGTTGTGTCCCGTCCAAAGGGCTTTCAAAAGTGGTCCAAAAACGCCCTCTCTTGTTTGCGATTGGAGAGGATAGTAGCCATTATGGAAAAGCAAATTAGGAATTTTGAAACTTAAAAAAAAAAAAATGTTTTAGAGATCTCGTATAAATACCAACCATTTGAGTATGGGTAAGCCCTGTTGACCCCGGTCAGTACAGCTCCCAGCATCTTCTGATCAGCATTACGTTTCTTCATGCAAGCCTGTATATTGAACCAGAACAGAAAGAGTTAATTGGAAAGGAACTGAAAAAGGAATGCAAGGACTTCAAATAATTCAACTTCCAAAAATTGTATAACGATATACTGTGAACTATGAATGTAAAAGTACATGTACATATTCCATATGTTCACAGACTCCAGACTCCACTAAAACATGCAGAGGAAAGGTTGATGTGCTACCGGAGTCATGGTAGTATCAAAATTTGACTGAGAGGCTACATTTGACTGATTTAGAGATGACATACCAGACGAAACACAAGATTTCCAAGATGAGACTGACAAATGTGGTACATGTATCCTCGATGTACCGGTTTTCAAGCGTGTAAGGATTTATTTCAAGCACGAGAAAAGCACCGACATAGCCTTTGGTTTCCAAATTTTTGGGGCTGGCGGTGGAACACGTACACAACGAATCAACTGGTTGTGTGGTACAAATCTGCACGTGTCACTACAAGGTCAAACCTCGGAAACTTGATGCCTCGAAAACAGGTACACAGACGATGCTTCAAATCCTGAAAGTTTTAATAACTTTATCAAAAGTACACTTCACTCGGACTGAGAATATTTTGAAAATACAAAGAAATTAACAATCAAACATGAGCCACTTTGTGGACCACTCATCATTTTTTCACCTACCTTGAAAAAAGAGAAGTAGACTACAATCAGCTTGGTAGCAAGATCAGGCTCATCATGACTCAAGATCAGCTGGTTCAGGAAGCAGACGGCATAGTACCTTGGAAGCAAAAAAAAGGAAGAAAGCAAAATGATGTAAAAAAAAAACAACAGACAGGTGTCGTGAAATGTCCATCTCCTCCATAAAAGAACATTCCAAGTTAACCAGTTCGCGTTGGAGGACGTGATAACACGCACTGGCTGTTTTTATACACAGGCACGGCTGACAGGCTAAAACGTCAGGATTGCCTCAACTCGCCTCCGGGTGACGTCTAAACACGCTAATCCCTCGTGTCTTTTGTACACACACACAGTCCGTGAAGTCTGTGGAGGCGGACAGCGTGTTGATTTTGAATTGGCCGTTGTGCACAGCCTATTGTACAATTTTCGCTCGAGTGCACACCCCGGAGTATTGAAACATATGAGGTTTCAGCACAAAGTATTGTACAAATACTGTTGAAATTACTCTTGCGAATCAGTGTATGTATTTGTGGTGTTTGGCTGTATATCAGAAGTTGGCTGGAAATGTTGCCTTTTGCGAAAATCAAATTTTTTTGTACAAATAGTCCCTGCGCGAAGAGGTTAATATCTCAGTTGGAAGAACCACGGACAGGCTGTCCAGAGGTCTTGGGTTCAAGTCCCGGGTTGGTGTGCAATTCATAGTGTTCCATACTTACTGTGCTTTGGAGCTGACATTGGCTCGGTAAAGCAAAGCTTCTACTTCAGTGACTACCACACCTTTCATGGTGGTGTGCACCTCAACTGGAAAGAAGAACACAAGAGTAAATGGTTCTATTCATATACACCGATGACTGCAAAACCGGTTTTTTACATCAGTCGGGAACTCGGGTACCCGGTTCCGATGCACGGCCCTTGATGCAACACTATCATCTAGTGGCATTTCAAGTGACATTTCAATTGAAACAATTGCCAACATCCTATCTTCTATACAAACTTCACTTTGTCCATGTACATGAATAAACAGATTTTGACACATTCACATAAACTGCTACTTTGTCAACGCAATGATTCAATATTTAATTGCTAGAATCACTTACCTAACTTTTGCAATAAGTGAACAGCACGAGCAGCAATCTTGTAGTCAGGATCTCCAATCTTGTTCACCAGTAACGTCAACAGGGCCTTGACATGCATAGAATAAAACAAAATTATCCTTTGCCTAGTTTTATATTTGGAAAGTACCTTTTCACATCACTACTTTGTTACACCAAAACTTCCGATTCTATCAAGGTTTTCAAGCCATCTCTCGGGAATTATATAACTTCAAACTTTCACTAAACATGTCCAGTGGTTTCATGTTATAGTTTGTACTTTGTAGATTGTTTCTCATTGGGCAGTGAGTCTTCACTCAGTGGCTTTCCGAGGCAGTTGTCCATGTTTTCTTGTTTTGGCTGTTATTCTCAACAATTACTGTGATATTGAATTGTTTTGTTCTTGCCTCCATGATGTTTAGAATGGAAGCTTGTTCTTTGAATAGTGTTTTATAATTTTTGTTTTTTCTATTATTATTTTTTTTTTTTACACTTTTTCTATTACTTCTGAATAAGGAGTTGTCAATCCCAACCAAAGGACTTTAATTGTAACCACTGAAGAAAAAAAAAACATTATCTCACCTTAGTGCTCACTTAAAGTTTCATTCAAAGTTGAGTAACAGTGCAATATTTTGTTAGAGTGTTTGGCCTTGCATATTGCTTGGATGCTTTCCCTTTAGTAAATTCATTTTCACTAGTACATGTACTAACACTAATGTTATGGTCACATTCACAACAGGACATAATATTTGACATTTTGAGGAGTATTAGATACAAAATCTGGGGGAAGGACGCAAAGCCCATCCCCTGGACAAAAATTTGGGGGGGAGGGAGATAAATCGTCCAAATTACAGGATTTATGCCTGTTTGTGAGCTCTGTACCAATTTTTACTTTGAAAATCTTTACCTTTTCCTGCTCTGGTTTATGACTCAGCATCTCGTGACTTGTACTCATCGCTTTCTGCTTAACAGCTTGTATGGTATCATGGGAGAGTTTCTACAGTTAAAGAAAAATGAAAAGACAAAGATTGAAGAGTACATTGTACAACTGGAAAAAGTGGGGAGGTACAGCAGTAACTTCTCTAGTATGGGGATTCATCAAAACGGGGGGGGGGGGGGGGGGGGGGGGGGGGGGGGTTACATTATAGAAAGTGTTCAAAAAAAGTGGGGCAAATGTGCCCCTCTCCAGCCTATACAGAGGGAGGGTGAAGGAGGGGACTTACTCTCTTGAAGAAATTTTTTCAAGAAACCTCAGCATCACCTTATTTTCAGGTTATTATTAAGCTATTTATTGTTGTGTATTCAGACAAATGAGTATTAAAACAACAGATACAATTTGTTATCATAATTGAAGAACTTAGGTTTTTCCCCGTTTTTTCCCCCTTTTTTTCGGCCAAATGTTTAACATGCATAAGTGATATTTGGGCATGTTAAGGAAGAATTGTTCCCCTGACAATCAGGAGTGAGCTCATGATGTTAAGATGAATAACCTCCAGTGTCTTGACAAACTCCAGGTACTTCTGCTTCAGTTGATCTTCACAGTACCACAGCAGCAGTCGTTTATTTCTTTCGGGTCGTTTCCCTTCGCTTAAGTCGTTGAGCAGTGAAAATGGATGCTGTGAGAAAAACCAACCAAGCACATACGAAATAACCAATAGTGCCTGTTTTAAACATCACTTTGGTGGGTAATATACAAATAATGGATGATTATGAGTGCAATGGTAAGAATAATTTCATGAGATGAAAGATGAGACGTAACCAAGTGGAATGGAACATTCCAACTGTCACCGAATGAAATTATTCTTTCCATTGCACGAATGTGAAACATTCAGTATTTGTTTTATACAACACCTGAGTAAATCCTCGTCATCTGATTGGTCAGAGCCACCGACTGTGTGACCGTGCAATGGAACTTCTATTTACCGTGGAATAAAACTCCAGTTTTTCAGTGCAGCCAGGCCAGTGGTTGGGACAAACAATTAAATAACATGTGATCAATGACCCACAATCACATGACGGAGATTTATTCAGGCGTATAAAAGCCCACATCTCACAGTGGTGACAGGTAATATAAAAACTGGTAATATTTGAAAAAAAAATATGGAAAACTTATTCTGCAAATGCAAAAGGGTCATTCCATAAATTGGTGGTCCAATTTGGGGTTCAATCTGATATAAGATTCTGTAAATTTAGGACACATTCTTTACTGCCTTCTATCCCCAAGAGTAATCATGTGAAGCCCAAAACACCTGCAAAACAAATAAAACTAGATTGAAATCAATTTTTCAAAGATACTTGCATGGGAAACTAGAAAGCACTCAGAGGTGAAACGTCCACCATGGCTGAATAATTCCATAACTTTTTGAGTTATTATGTTTACCAACAAACCAACACAACTTAAAACTAACGATGATGATAACATAACCTCCTTGGTGGAGATAATTACACAGCTCAGGTGTAACGGCGACACACAAAAATGTCACACATTTGGACCCCACATTTATGGATTGACCCAGATACATACATGTAGACAATTTTCAGCAATTTTAACCCTAACAGAACTCAACCCATCAAACCCCAACAGCATGTATTGTTGGAATCTGTCAGGATGGGTACAGTACCCCTAAACTGACAGTATTTTACATTGGGTTGGCACACCTCCAGAAACTAAGTAAGAAATATGTGTGCACAGTTTCCCATATGGTGTTGGAATTTGCCAGGATGGGTATGGTTCCTAGTAAATCATGCTCTAGAGGGAGTAAGGGTTAAGGAGTTAATGACTTTAGAAATTCCAAACTCTTTTACAAGAATATGAAATACAAAACACGAGGCACCACAGACACTGTTCTCTCCAAATGCTTGAATAATGGTTTCTTGAAACTCGTTCCAAATGCAAGTGCGCAAAATGTACCTGAGAGAACAGTCGCAGTTTCCGTCTCTCCGGCAACAGCTCCTGCAGGAAGAGCTGCTTGAGTGCGTCCATGGCAACCAGTGTCTCCCTCCGTCCCTTCTTCTTCAGCATGGTCATGAGGCTGTCCAGTGAGGCCGGCGTGTGGACGGGTGCCGTCTGAACCTCCAGGGTCAGGGCCGCGACCTTGTCTGAGAGGACACCAGAGGAGACCACGGTCTGCATCCACTGGGCCTTAGTGCTCAGGTCACCTTTCTTTTCTACATGATTTAAGAAGTAGGAGTCACAAAAATTAATCAGTACTAATGGAGGCTGCTGGGATTGGATGAAAAACACACACACTGCACATACAGTCGTGAATTTCTATATGCCCAAGGACAATGCTTTGTGTTCCCTTTGTCCCTGTAATACAACACTCTCCCTTAGACTAAGCACATAACCGTATGATCGAGGACCCTTTTCAACAAAAGACCCAGCGCTCGAGAACTGAAAGGATCTTTTGTTCTCCCTTTGTGTGTCTGTCCTCTATCGTAAAGCCATACATTATGTAAATACATACATGTGTTACAGAAAGGTTTCTTCGATGAACAATGCAACCAAAATGTTCCCCATTAGGGGTGCGCATATACGGGTAGTACGTGAACCAGGTACCCGATTTAAAAAAAACACCGGTACCCGGGTATCCGTTAAAGAAATCCAACCCCAAAATTCAAATCTCAAAAGTTGCTGTTCAGATTATTCACAAAGGTTCACATGATAATACTGCCACATCGGTGTGTCAATACAGCAAGATACAAGTGTGTACAGTGAGCTTTATAGTGTATGCTGTAAACTGCAATTTTCGTGAGTGTCAAAAACGTGAAACGTTTTGTTTTCCCATGTAGCCTGTGACATTCAGAACCCGTCTTTTTTATCATCTGAGAAGTTACTACATGTTAATAATTTGTGAAGTTGCTTACGGGTACCCGATTCCATAATCTGGAACCGGTTTCTGACATCAACGGTCGGGAACTTGGGTACCCAGTTCCGATGCACAGCCCTATTTCCCATCACCCTGTCATATAATATGGTGTCCAGCCCGCACCTCTCCCCCCCCCCCCTCCCCCCCAAACCCCCTCCTTGCATCCCTCACCCTGAGAAAAAAAACAAAGCTGGGTAAACATGTTGATGTGCTACACTTACTTGATAGATAAATCTGTACTTCATTAGAATACAATCTGCCAGCAAGTGTCCGATATGCGGCAACAGTGGCATCATCAGAAAGTTCAAACTTCTTGGGATCTGATTGAAACTGAATCAAAATCATTAACCCATTAGCATTTTATATCACTGTATTGAAATCTATTTATTCCCTGATAAATCCATAAAACAAACAGTGCTGGAGCAACAGGCAGGGCAGGTTTGGGCATGACATGTTACAGGGCCCAATTGTTAGTTAACCGTAACCCTGCCAGACGCAACATAGTGCATTCAGGTGGAAAAGTCTGGTGCACTTTGATGTTATACAAATACAATGTATAAACTGCACTGAAGGAGGCTAGTTTTACTACACCACAACATAAAGCAGTCAATATTTGTTTTATAACACCTCACCCACAGATTCTGCTTGATTTTAAGCGATAACTGATCAATTTAATATGAATACAATTAAAATTTACTTCTATTTCAGTACGAAATTAGTTGAAATGAACTTGCACTTTTCCAAACTACCCCTTCACGAAATGTTTGAACCCAGCTCTGTAGCACTAGCGCTTATGAACAATACGCGCAACGTACAACGCGCAATGCACACACCGTATGCATTTGCACACAATGTGTATAGTACTTTGGTTGCTATGGGTATAGTACTTTGGTTGCTATGAGTATAGTACTTAGCTTGCTATGGGTACAGTACTTATGGCCGTGCACAGCAAGATAGCAAAAATGGCGCATGCCATGTGACTGGCAATCGGCCAATCAAGATACAGAATCTATGGGTGAGGTGTTATAAATTCAGCTATGAACACTAGTGCATAAACAGCCAGTTCTGAAACAATGAGAGCTAATCCCATTGAACAATGCCACAGTTGTATCCTGCTGCATTCAGTGACCACAGACTCTGAGGCACTTTGGCCTTGAGACTTTTAGCCTGATGGATCTTGCTACACTAGGCAGGCTCGTCACGTAGACAAGTGTTGCATGTTGCTGCATTTGGCAGGGTTTCTAGCCAAAATAATAGGTTTAACCTAGGGTAATAGGGTTAAGGCACATATTAACTATCAAAACATGTCAAATATATTTCAACAAGCTTTGTTGTTAACTCAAGATTTTAACAATATCATTGTTAAAAGACAAGCAACACACACGCCGTACTCTACCTCCCGATAGTAGCACAATCCTTCTGGCTCAAACAGCAGCTGCTTCCTGGGTGTGAAATCCTCTAAGAGCTTCTGTGCCGAGATCTGCCTCTTGGGAACCTGCTGATGATGCGCATGGCTCTCGGATGAGGTGCTTGAGACTTCAGAATGCTGCAAGACTGCTCCTGCATTGACCAGTGGTTTCTTTCCCAGAGATTTCGCATCTGAAACACCACCTGTGGGCTTCTTGCAGTCTTGTACTTTTTTGGCGGGTACCGTTTCATCCTGGGAAGTTTCTTTAGATGTTTTTGCGTCTTTGAGGGATGCGTCTGGCTCAGATTTCAATTTCTTCTTCTCTGCCTTTTTCTCCTTTTTGGTTAGTTTATCCTTCTTGCGGTCTTGTTTGTTATCACTTTTTGAAGTTCCAGGGGGGTTGTCGTCATCTTTTGGAGAGTCAAAATCTCCGCTGCTGGAAGAGAAACAAGAATACACAGCTAAATGTACGAAACTAAACTTGACTCAACTAGAATATCTTCCCCGAAATATATGTTCCAACTCAAAAGGCAGTTTGTAAGCAGAATTATAACAGTTTCCTAAATCACCATGGTCACAGGGAAGACTAAAACATGCATGTACACGTACGTGCATTGTACATATGTAAATAATTTGTAACTTAGCAGTTTTATCAGGTTCATATTGATGCACTTTTCAAACGAAACTCACGATGAAAACAGATTCAACACCGTCCCCAATGTCTGAACCCATGTGCACATATTATACTCATGACTGCACATGTTTGAAATAGTGCTATTAACAGTCAGAAATTTACATTGTCTTAAAAAGAAAAAAATGTGTAGGCCTACATGTTTACCAGGTGGCAAAAAGCGAATTTTTAAAAAGCCATAGCGTAGATTTTTTTTCTTTGTGATGTACGTTCCATAGCTGAATTTAACTTACTCTGCAGATACATTTTGGAAACCCAGACTTTGAAAATATGCCTTCAGCTCTTGAGGATCAATGTCTTGCTCTTCCTCTGTTTGACTGACTTCTTCCTCATCCGACTCTGAGATGTCTCCGATCAACCTCAAGTCATCCTGGAAAGATAAACAGTGGTTTTTTGTTTCAAAATTGAAGGAATTTACAGTACGTTTTTCTTCTTGTTTAAATTTTTTCAGCATGCGGGCGGTGGATGGTAAACTGGAATTTTCATTATTATTGTAACGGACAGTTTGTATGCCTTTTGTTGTTGCTTTTATTCCTAGCCGCCGCCGTTTTGTTTGGCTAAGTACAAAGTGCGCATTTCATTCTATAAATAGGTCACTAAGAGGTTTGGCAAACGTGTGCAAACGAATCTGGAAATTTCACGAAAAATTGAAATCTGAAAAAGGCAGCACTTTTTCAGATGTCTATTTTTCGTGAAATTTCCAGATTCGTTTGCACACGTTTGCGTATCAAAATTTCAACATAAAATTTCACGAAAATTAGACATCTGAAAAAGGCAGCACTTTCTGATTAGCCTATACAGAGGATGGGTATGCTTCTATTAAAGCCAAAATAAACAATAAACTAAGCCTAAATGTGAAAATCAAAATTTAACAAAGTTCGACAAGTTTTTGTACATGGTGGAAGTGTGGCCTTTACGGAGGTAGTCCAGTAAATTGGACACATTTATGTGGGGCTAGCATAATGCCTAATGGGACTAAACAAATTGCAATTACTCCCAAATTTGGCACAATTGCAGAATACCCCGCCACTCGATCTATCCACCTCGTAGCCGGCTACGAGGTCACGGCTGATTGACCTCAATAAACATTCTCAGTGCTACTTCATGTACTATGCGTCATGCTCAATTGCACTCCCACTTCGTCATGTTCGTAGCCGCCAACAGGGTAGTTGGTTTGGACTTAAAAATTTTTCAGCAACTCCCATTCCTTTTGTGTTGCTTCGTTCTCAAGCATATTCAAGGGGACTCCCACTCCGTAGCCTCGTAGCTGCCAACAGGGTGGTTGGTTTGGACTTAGAATTTTTTTCAGCAACTCCCATTCCTTTTGTGTTGCTTCGTTCTCAAGCATATTCAAGGGGACTCCCACTCCGTAGCCTCGTAGTCGTAGCCGCCAACAACAAAGGCAACAGGGTGGTTGGTTTGGACTTAGAATTTTTTTCAGCAACTCCCATTCATTTTGTGTTGCTTCGTTCTCAAATAATGGACCCCCACTCAGTATCCGCGTAGCTGGCAATGGACTTGAATTGTTTCTTTTGCAGTGATTCCAACCTCGTAGCCAGTGATTTTAGGGGTGTATTTCCGAGTGGCGGGGTATTCTGCAATTACTCCAAAAATTTACATCTCCTTAAAAGTTTTACTGTTTGGGTGTCATACCCAACATTATTTCCCAAAACTGACCTCGTTTCCACCGATGGCTTCTATATCTTGTAGAGTGAGTTTTTCCAACTGTTTCCGTTTCTTTTGTGTCTTAAATTTGACTGATTTTCTCTTTTCTTTTGGAGCACGTTTTTGGTCTGTGGTGGATTCCATGTTGATAGCGCCCTCTAATGTACGATACGTGCATGGGCGCAGCTGCAGTTGGCCCGATCTCTGGTGTCGAACTCAGCCTCGAAGTAACGCAGGATATAAAAACTAAAACACATGCTGCGGAGGGAGCTTAAAAAAATCTTCCCGTTTTATTATAACTTTTTCTGAATTATTATTACGAACAAATTTATAAGTACAAAGTACATCACATTTAAACAGTTTTATCAATAACATAAGGTGAATTTGAGCTTTTTTTTATCTCAAACCTGCGTGTTTAAAAGATGATTCCGAAACATAATTAATTTTAAAAAAAAATTAGGGCGCATGGTCTAGAATACCGTTCTCCCCTAATTTTAAATAAAGTGTTCACGTGTTCGCAAAAGTTGCCATTTCTTTTGCATTCATCGAGGCATACTTAAGTTTGGATAAGTGCGATGTCTCATTGGAAATCTCATAACTAATGTTATGCTAGAAAATTATCAATTCAATTTGAAAAACTATTTTTCGAGGTGCCACACCCAAAAAGCATGTATACACCAACTATTTTTATTTGAAAGTTGTCATTTTTATTGTATTATCTGAAAGACCATACCTCTGGACACACTTTTTTATTTAATCGGTCAACGAATTAAAGCCAGCCGGATTTTTACCATCCGACCGACCAACGGACCGACGATTGATTGGTTGATTGAATTTAGCCAGCAACTGCCGAGATGCTTTTTGTGTACATTTAACGAAATTTGTATTAGTATTGTAGCGGGAACTCCGATCCCCGTGCCAACCTAAGTCTGTTGGGACCAAGTCTTGACACCTATGGTGAAGACAATCTTCTCAAACCAAGGCTCTTCCCTAGACGAGAGATCACTCAGAGCGACCTTCAAGGTTAAGGGTGCAGGTCCGTTTTGGTGGAAATCTACCGCCGATGGTGAGTGATTGTTACTTAATTGCACAATGAACCTGTAACAAAGACACCTGAAACAGAATTGTCGGTAACCTCAAACCAACAATGATCTTTTATTTAACAATAATCAATAAATGTACCCGTAAGTTGGGATTAATTGGCGTGGTTGTTCAATTATCTGGGTCCTTTAATTATTGGGGAAATGATCCAAAGCTACTGCACTACGCAGCAGTAATGCGCAACAGCTTCCAAAATGCACAACAATGTCAGCAATGCACCGCAATGCATCAGCATGGCATCAAAATGTCTACAATGCGCCCAAGCATCAGCAATAGTACAACCGCACAGGTTGATGTTTTTTCCCCTTAAATTTTTGTTTTTTCAAAACAATTCTTAAATTTGGACAATCTCAGCTCATAACATGATTGTAAAATTCATATATAATGTTCTCAGAAATGTTCGTGAGCATAGGTAGTCTGAAACTTGTGGAAATTATGTGATATTGTTTTCGGCTGATCAACGGGTGTGGAATGGCGCCATCTGTCGTCTGTACGATTCGAGAATCTTTTGTCCAGTACGCATGCTGGGAAAAAACTAAGTGGTGAACAAGTGCATTGGCATGAACATAGTGTTCCTTGAAAGTGAGAAAGCGCAGTTGGAGAAACACACAAATGATTTATTTCCTTTGTTCAAGAGTAACGTGTGACTTATTCTACCGGCTTCGATCTGTAAGCTTGATATATAAAAAAAGAAGTTTCCCAAGTGTTTTATCAAGTCCCATATTTGGAGTGCTGTATCTTTTGAACAAAAAAATCCAAATGAAACCAACTAAAAAGCATTTGGAGGACAATTTATTCTACTCGGCAATACATTAGACACGATTTTGAATATACCCCACTTTAATGAAAACATGCGCAAATCGACTGTTAGGGGGGACTGGCAACCTGGTAATTAGAGTAGTCCATCTCACACCAGAATGTTGTTGTTTCGTGGCAGAAACCTGGCGAATTGATGCCTATAGTTCACCAGTGGCCGATCATAAACGGGTGGGGGTTGGGGAGGGGGGGTTGGAAGAAAGAAACAGAAAGAACAAGTAACAAAATACCAGCTGCCTGAGTGACTATATTATTTTTTTAAGTCTTTGCTCAAAATAACATACAGTTTAACAGAAACAAGTCTTTATTTCATTATTGTTATGTTTTTACAAGTAAGTGAAATCGACGGACAACTTCCAATGAAATAAAGGCGTTTGTGATCACCTTGCGTTTGTTTGCAAAGCAAAACTTGTAGTTTTATTTTTGAAAGATTAGTGCAGCGCGTGTAGCCTACATACACACAATCACTATTACGATGTCAGTGCTCTTTTAATGTAGTGTTTTAGTCAACTGACATTTTTTACATACCAATTTATCATCATTATAGGCAAAGTCCCCCCAAAAAGACAAAACTAGTACCAAGTACATACATTATATTACAATTAAACTAAATGCATTAAATTATAAATATCGTTGCTTTCCCGCCTGCATGCCTTTACCCGAGCGAGTGGGGTGAGCTATACTGGAACGCACCCTGAGAACGGGAACCGCAAGCGCAAAGTGGCGTGTTTAGCCAATGGGTGCAATTAACCCTGCAAAAAAAATCTCATAGACACTAGTGCTAAATGCGCATACTTCAAAATTCTTTTTAAAAATACTCAGAACTCTCACAGGTATTCAAGCTGCACAGAAAAATGATGATCAATGTGTCATCTTTTATTTTATTTTCATTTTTGGTGGGTTGACCGTTGACTTTTCGAGATATTCTCACCCAAAGAAGACGACCCATATTTTCCCCAAAGCGGAAAAGCAGCCATCTTGAAAAACGATCCCTCCACAACATGGCAAAATAGCGCCACTTTCGAGCCCCATAGCATCCAAAATGCTCAGAATTGGAAGCCCCAAGTCCGGGCCAGAGGTTCATCACCATATCATTTCAATTCCCTAATTTTATAGCTCTCAAAACACTCTAATATAGAATATTTTGAGGGTATAACTTTTATGAGCTCGGCGGACGGATTTTTGGCCTATTTCCAGCGTGCACCCCAATGGCGGTGCGTGCGCGTGTATGATGCAGTCACTTAATTACCTCTTATTCCTCCATGGTAATTGGTATCATCGGAAGATGCCCCAAAGAAGACGGACATCTTCGCGATCGAGCGTTCACTGAGTCGAGCCACATTGGCGCATTCTTTCGAAATAAAAACAAAATAACACTCTTTAGTAGTTATGATGACTAGTTTGAATACAGTCATTTAAAAACAAAAAGTTGGTTACAAATTTGCTTTTTTATGTGTAGACTCATTTTGAATCACTTGCTCCATGGTTCGACAAATTCAGTTTTCTCTAGCTCCCTGTTCTACATGTATTCTAGTTTTTATGCATCTGCGCCACTTGGCTAATGAGTTCGAAGTTCGAAATCGGGCATAGCGGTCAGGTGATAGCGCCCTCAACGTTGATCACTTGAATTTGGTATCCAGACGTCATTGTATTACGTACGAACGTAATCTAATATTAGGGTATCTGACTGCAATAAATAAAAACACTCATTGACTCAAACGGCAACCTCGTCCCCAGTGCTTACTTTATTTCCAACCTGGTTTCCAATAGTAAACCCTGGATAGGAAACTTTCTTCCTGTATCCTGATTCGATACCGCAATTGGCTAGTAATGGATTTTTATCGTGTACTTGGTGTTATTATTCACAACGTGCAGTACGTGTTTTCGCGATCATTTGTCCATGCCTTCTCGAAAATACTAATTTCCTTTCCAATATGGTCATATTAATATGAAATATGATACTGCATGTTGTCTCGATAAAATCGTAACAGTTTAATTTTAAAAAATCGTGTTTTTGTAACTCACGCCGTGCTCGCGCTGCGACGAATTGACTCTGTTTTTACCCTAGACACCGCATACAAAAACAAACGCTAATGTAACGCATATCCAGGCACCAGACTATTGCTCATTTGCATACGTGTTCACAAATCTTGCACATGGAAATGATCCAATACCAGGGTGAGAGAGCAGGTAGTGATGGGCGCGTACTGTTCGACACCCTGGGGACGAGGTTGCTCAAACGGTACTGTAGAAATGGAGCGGAACGGCCACCGGCGGTAGGCTACTTTTTATACTTTGCCGAATAAACATACAATGACAGATGCAAGTGCCTACAGTAAGATTCATGCAATTTAGATGATTAAATTCTTCATTTTCAATTATTTACCGTGAATCATGCCAAGGAAGAAGAAGAAGTACAATGCCCGATTTCCGCCTGTAAGTTGGATCAGAATTTTTTTCGTAACTAGTCAGGTCAACTCGACCGTTTGCCCGGCGATCGTGAAGTGAAGTGAAGGGCCCCTGTTTTGTTTTGATCAAATTAAGGGTTCAAGGTTCAAGGTTCATTTATTTTCCACAGTATCAAATCAATAAATAAATGACATGAAATAATTACATAACAGAAAAGAATTACAAATAATACAACAATAGTGATATTTTAGGGACACTGCAGAGGGGCCCATTGAGAAGCAGAGCTTTTAAGCATGGGCCCCAGAGAATGTCAGACAAGTCGACCGTCGAGACAACTCGACTCGGGACAAGTCGACCGTTGAGACAACTCGACCGTTGAGACAGGTCGACCGTTGAGACAACTCGACTCGGGACAACTCGACCGTTGAGACTGCTCGACTTAATGGAAATGAATACACGTGGAGCAGAACAAGTTGCACAAATATGTGGCAAGACCGATCACGGGTGCGGCGCGGGCATACTCGAAATACAGAGGGCGTCGCATCGGGCCGGTGCGCCCCGCCCGGCCGCGAGGACCGGGCCGGGCCCGGCACGCGGGCACGTCGACCGGCGCGGCAAATGGCGCACAGGCCCGGCAAAAACGATGCCACCATGCACGGTACGGCCACGTTGACCGGGGATGCGCGCACGTGGCTATATCGGCTCTGTTATATGCCACAAAAAAAACTCATGTGTCATCACTCCCAAACGGCGATCAGCCGCAGTCAAAATCCCCGGTACTATCCCCGAAACTAGGCCCAAAACATGCGAGGCGACTTGTCTCAACGGTCGACTTGTCTTTTCATTTATCGCACATACGGTCGAGTTGTCTCAACGGTTGAGTTGTCTCAACGGTCGACTTGTCCCGAGTCGAGTTGTCTCAACGGTCGACTTGTCTGACCCCCGCCCCAGACAGGCAATTAGAGTCAACATGTTTTTTTATTGCTCAAAAATCACCTTTACAATCAAAATGAAGCTTTTCTCAATTCTAATGACACCCGTTTTGCAATTTTAAACAGATTCTTCTTCATCATGTTCATGTTCGACTTGGGGTAGAAATCACGATCTTCCTGCACGGTTTGAGCCTTGTGATTCAGCGCGCTGTGCATGCATGCTCATGGTACATTTGCGGTGATCGCCATCTTTATTTTCGGGTCACGTGTTGTCGCCGCGCTGTCATCATCATTTTACCCCCAAATTTACCTCAAAAAATCAAAACCCTGCCCTCTATCTGTGAGTGACATAGGCCTACTCCTAGAACTATGAGGCTCCGCGTGAGCGGAGCCTCATAGATCAAGAGGGTCGCACTAAAAAGCGTCAACACAGCGTCAACATTGCGTCAACACATGACAGAGGCGTCAACACACCGTCAACACATCCAAAACACATTCTGAATTGACAAAAAAGGTATATAATTGTAAAGCATAGAATAAAAGAGAATTTCCATCGGATTGAGTTTCCATTTTGTTGTTAAAAATATAGTATTTTCACGCGAAAAAATGTCCTTTAACTTGCACGGTCGTTGTCCGCCATCTTGACTTCGCACAAAGCTTGGACTACACCATTTCAAGTAGGGGTGTGTAGGTAATGACATTTCTTGTCATAAACAACAGAGGGCGCCTTCATGCAGAGATGGATACCAGTGCACGCTGATCTGTGAGAGACTGAGGGACAGAGGTTTATTGTACAACGCTATCACCCTTTAGCATAATGGTATGGTCCGCGCTGCCACTGAGGCAACGTAACATGGCAGATGATCTCGGAGCGGCACGGAGAGCCAATTTTCTTGAACTGAAAATCGCAATTTTCAGACGTTTAACCTATCGATTTTAAGCCAAAATCTTGTTTCTGTCCATACTGTATGGGTTACATACTGCTTTTGCCACTTTTAATGCATTTTGGATGTGTTGACGATGTGTGACGCTGTGCACGTTTCAAGTGTCAGGTTGGCTCAGTGCGGAAAGGGCATATTTTTCATCATTTTGGCCTAAAAACTGACAGAATCCACCTATGTTAGTTCTGCGCATGATACGTGATATGACAAGAGATAAAGTACAGAGTATAGGGGCAAACTGTGCAGCGGTTCTGTGTGAAATGTCTCCATTTTGATGGACGTTTTTGTACTTTATTAGTGTTTTGTGCTGCAGGCAATTTTGCGGGCTTCTTGATCTATGAGGCTCCGCTCACGCGGAGCCTCATAGTTCTAAGAGTAACATAGGCCCTACCAGGCTACCTGTTTATTGAGAATGTCGCCAACTAGATTGATACTGATAAGTCCAATAGTTTTAAAGTGGATTTTGTTCCCTTGAACCGGGCCCTACACTATGCGATCGCCATTTGCCCTATAGTCTTGGCCCAAGACGTCAGTGATCAAGAGCAATAGTTGCATTGTTGTGTAGCGCCCTTGCATAATTGGTTTTTTACTTTCTCGGAAAGATTCCAATATCTGGCCATCACTTGTCACCCTGTGCACAAACGGTATGAGACTGGTCTGAAAATTTTGTAGTGTTTTCTCAGTAAATACTTTTTTTCCCTGCTACTTTAGTGCTAGTAAAAAACAGTGCTACTGCTATAATTTGACTCTTTACTCGGACTTATTATCACTTTCTGATAGTGATAGGTCACGGAAGGGAAAAATTAGTGATGGCCAGGTATGGGAATCTTTCCACTTTCTCTCACTAACGTCTTGGTCATTTCGTAGCAATTGAGGGCGGGTCCATTTAATGTAAATAAGACCGTCTGTATAAGTTCGAACAAGCACAGTTTCTTGGTATAGCTCCATGCTTGATTACCGTTCCCCTAGAACTATGGTGCTCCACTGCTCCGCACAGCAGAGCCCCATAGACGAATCACCAACGAAGTTGTTGACTAAGTACAAAACGACTACTAAGCAATGCTAAGCACAAAAGGTACATCAAAATGTAGTCTACTGGCCAGTGGCCTGCCAGAAAACCGCTGCACATATCACGCAAACGTATATCACGCAAACATCCCGGGTGGATTCTGTCCTGAAATTTGCAAGAAAAGATGAAAAAATCTGGGAAAGATTTCCATATACGAAGTTCACTCAACACCCTGTGTACAAACCCTATGAGATTGGACTGAAAAATTCTAAGTGTTTTCTAAGAAAATGCTTGTATTTTCTCACTGCTCAAATTGACTTTGATGACATGAAATTGCTATCTGGGGGCTTGTTAGTCAATACAGAGGAAAATTAGTGAACTTCGTATATATGGAAATCTTTCCAAAATCGGTGTTCCGTACTGAGCAACTGGAGAAGTTGCATGTTCATGAAGATCGCTTGCATCAGACAGGCCAATCACAGTTAGTCTGGTTCCCTGACCCGATTGTCCTTCGGACATCAAAATGGGGAAACAGTCTAAATCAAAGTGCGCTCTGATTGGGCGCTGTAAAGGCACCCAATTGAAGCGCCCAATCCAGGAGCACTGTGATTGGCCAGTTTGATGCTAGCCATGCGCGCACAAGTCAATCGCAAGCGATCTTCATGAACATGTAACTTCTCCATGTTGCTCAGTACGGAACCCGGATTTTTTTCATCATTTTTGCAAAGATCGGGACAGAATACACCCAGGATGTTTGAAATACAACTGAAATACAACTTTTTAGGAAATTCAGCACGCATTGCTTGTGGCTCACATAATTCCAGGGCTAGGAGCTATAAAATGTGATATTTCTATCCTCCATTCTACAGGCACGAATCAAGAAGATAATGCAGCTAGATGAAGATGTCGGCAAGGTTGCAGCTCCTGTGCCTGTTCTTATCTGTATCCTTACAGACTCTTCGGACTGTGGTGTACAATTTCATTGAAACTCTAAAGAGTGGTCCAACAAAAAGTTTACGCTTTTTAAGACGCAGATTTCTCAGAATTGGGGAGACATGTTAAAATTGTTTTAAGATAAATTTCTAAACGACAGCATCTTTGTGGTATACATGTACAGTGAAAATGGCACTGAAAATAAAGCCTAAATTAAGAAATGGCAGTGGTTTAAAGAGAGATGGTCAAAAACCAGTTTGTCCACACCCAAGTCCATGAGATACATTTTTGTATGGTCAACACAATAGCACTGCGCGCACAAAGATATATATATATGCATGACTGTACGTGTGTGGACAAACTAGTTTTTGACCACCTTTCTGTAAATGGCCGCAAGAGTTGCAGATGTCCAAAATAGAAATGGATGGATTAGGGGGGTTGGTCCAATTATAATTCGGTACATTGTAGTTTTGTTTTTTGATGTTTGCAAATGTTGTGTACATGTATTCCCTTTAAATAAAACATACACTATAAAAATGTGTTGGGAGAAAAAAATTGGTACTACATGTATGTGTATTTTTTGTAACCGACCATGCGTCATTTTCATTATTTAACTGTATTCCTAACTTAAGTGTGTTGCACCTGTATTGAGACTGAAACTGTTAGAATCCGATCAAGGTAGCTGTTGGCTGTATTTAGTTCTCTCTTTCATAGCTACATGTAGTTTGAATCCTTGACCACTAACCCTACACAGCGAAGGCGCTGGAGATTTTTATAGAATCCCTCCTGACGAAATCGCTGCAACAAACGCGAGCAAGGAGTGCCAAGACAATGTCAACCTCTCACATGTAAGAACACAATTTTGTTATATCATGTTGTTGATACTGAAATTTCAGTGGTCTAGGGCGGCCACGTGCCCATAGTCCGTAAAAATACCTTTGTGCTTCATATACACTGCGTTGCATATAAATGACTCGTATACACTGGGTTGCATATACTTTACCTCATTTACACTGAGTTGTATATAACAGGGTTCTCCCCACGTACAAACGTGCGTATCGGCCCGATACGCTGGAATTGCGGCCCGATACGCCGACAAAAATGCCGATCACATTTTTCAGCCCCCGATACGCACAATATAATTATTATACAAGCCATTAAAATGCACAACATAATCGTTTCATACACCATTATTTCATCTTGACATGCAAAATCTTGACAAAAATCCCGCATTTCTGATGCATGCGTGATCAAAATGCACACGATGACGGGTCTTTCGCGTCAACCGCCAGCTATATATTAGCGCATACAGCACGGTACACTGGTTCCCTTCGCGTGCTAACAGTATCAATGCTATGATGAAGGACCGGAACCAGTGACTACTGCCTCGTGCGTGCATACATGATGATGATGTCGGCCGAAGTTGGATCGTAAAAACACCAAACAAACATTGATGGAGAAAGAGAATTTCTGCAAATTAATTCACAGAACGTGATCTTTATTTTCTGTGTATGTATTTTCCATTAAAATGACGAGATTGCAAAGCTCGAACTTGTGGCGAAACATCGTAGCGTGCTTCTTAGAAGCAGTAGGGCCGTACACAGTGCAGTAATGCACACTGATACTGCGCGATGTACGGCCGGCCAGACTGAATGTTGGCAGTGCCAGGGGCCGTGATCGATGTACGTTAAGCATAGTGGAATCAACCTCCTCAAATATATTTTTAATTAGGTGAGGCAAGTTTTAATCACTTCTGATGGTCAGTCTTGATAATTTTCGTGGTGCAAAGGAAAATAATCCAGGCACAAAACTACATGATTCCTTGTTCAATATGCTCCATTCAATCATGTGTTTTTATTCCTCCATGATTCAATCAGCAGCCCAAAAAAATGGCGAAATAATTTTTCCGACCTACCGACGCTATTTTGAAAGCCATGTAGTCGGAAGCAAAAGTGATTTTTTTCTTCACCTTAATTTCTTAATTTGAAACTTGCTTGTAAATATAATCCATACTTTCTAGATCAAGAAGGTTTAACACAGGTTTTGAAATGTTGATTTTTTTTTTTAAGTTAAAAACGTTGATATTTTTTTTCTCTAATTACAAAAAATATCACAAGATCTCCTCTAAATTTTAAGGAAAAATCTTCCTTAAAGACTCCCCAGATTTGCTCTAAAATGCACCAGAGAGCCTCTAAAGTTCAAAATTTTTCGGGGCCCTTAAACGGGCCCCGAACCCCACGCCGTGGCTTCGCAGGTTGGTGAATCACAACAAAACTTCCCCAACAGGTTTGAAAAAATCCTGGGGAGAACCCTGATATAAGTTATCTCTGCGTTGCATGCGCGGGTCGAGACTGCCCGTGCATCTTGCAACTGAGAACTGCAACCACTCTGTCTCACCTCTGGCAGGATAGCTCACAGCTATCAAAGGCTACATCGCAGTGATTTAATTTATTTCTTGCATTGTAAGTTACAAGCCTTTATCTTTTTGATTCACGCGGCACCCGCAAGCTAGGTGGAGTATTACTTTGACCTCAATTTGCATGTTGACCCCAAATGGGAGTGGTTAACCTTGGTCATGTTGGTGAAGCAATTTCACCACATTTTTCATCATTTACGTTATTTTTTTTGCGTAATAGCGATACGTTTTTGAGTATTCATGTAGGGATAATGTTGTAATATTTAACTGTTGAAAGTCTCAAAGAAACAAATTTGGCAAAAAGCAAAACAAACCAAATAATTTGTTTTTTCATGTGCCAGCCGTGACTTCAGAGGACAGTGAAATTGGAGTATATTTAAGGACCTGCATACAATAACCAAGGCTCTCCATTAACCTTGCTTTTTAGCCTTTTACAAAAAAACATGACACACAGACATCAGACAGACAGACCTAGAGACGTCAGGCAAAAGGACAGTGTAGGACCTTGTAATTTAGAATAAGATTTGCATGATATAACGATACAATTGTTGACTGCTGTGATGTTGGATATGGCTGTTTAACCCCCTTGGGACTCATAGCAGGGCCCCTCGGGTGTTAAAAACGTCATATCCCACATCACTAGCAGCCAACAATTGTTAAATACATCCTTGAGCAGTTCCCCTGATCCAGTGTTTTCTAAGAACTCCTTGAACAAACATATTGGAAAAATTCGGGAACCACCAACATAGGGCTGGGTAGGTCAGTTGGTAGAGCAACCCTGCTAAAGTCAATTTCTTTGTTCAACTTTAAAATTATACTAATGCACCTGAGCAGTTTCCCTGTGTGGTTTATTAAAAAAAAAAAAAACCTTTATAATGTTAAAATATAATTATTTTCTCATAAACTAAACACCTTAAGAAGTGACTCAGGTCATCTCAAGTGAAATTTGATATCAGACTACATGTACATATATTTATATTAATTTTCTTTTTACTAGTAGACTCTAGAGCCATTCTGTATGATTGCAACCGTCGATTTTTCAATGTAGTTTCCCCATTTGTTTTAATGTCGAACTTTGCATGCACTTAATCCAACTGTTTGGAATAATTTGGTGTGGTATTGACTGTAGAATGCCAGTCTGGAACGGGTGTTCAATAATTTGATGAAATATTGATTTTTGTTTTTCTCCACCCACAGTAAGCACTGCATTCAGAGTGAGAGCACGTTTGATTTCCTGAAGGATCTTGTGGAGAACGTGCCAGATATGCCCTGTGAAGAGGATGAGGGGGGCCCACCTCCAGTGACTCACAGAACAGAGCGTAAACACAGGCAACAGAGGTGGGAGAGTAGTCAGGATACCAGACCATGCTCCATTGAATACAATATGTTAATGCCTAGGCAGGTTTGCTTGGAACCAACCTAAATACCTAAAAATACCACTTCGTAGGAAACGATGTTCTTAAAAGGACATTTAAATCCATGTAAAGTTTCATGGCCTATTTACCCATACGCCACTTTGTCGTGCGACAATGTTGTGCATTTTAATAAAATACGCACAAATCAATGAGCGTATTTACAGTTACTCAACAAAGTCTTGCGACTTATCGTGCGCTGTGTTTATATCAAAATCAAAATGATCTTTTCGCGCCACAAAAACGTTGCATGGATATTTCACAAAGAACCTGATCCTGAAATGATGGGTTGTAAAAAGATGGAAGAAAATATCACTACACCTCATAAATATTCATGATCAAATTGGAACACGTTATTGGCTGATTCTGCCGCGCGTACAGGAAGTAAAAATGATACTCGGTATTTTTTTCTGGTAGCGCCAAAACATCCCTCTGGAACCCGTAGTAGCTAGTCTGTGGCATGTAGTCTGTGGCATGAAATCTTTATGGAACTACAGTCGACTCCCGTTATAACGAGCTCGGTCATAACGATAACCCGGATGTAACGAGCACATTCTCCCAGTCCCGATCAATTTGTGTACATTACTATGGGGAAATATTTGGTTATTACGTGCACGGACATAACGAGACTTCGGCTATTACGACGATTTTGGCTGACCCAATGCGAGGAAAAGCATTGTTCTCAACCCATTTACGACGACATCTTTTCAAAACTACGGGCATTGCAGCTTGTCAACAACAGACCTTTTGTCCCGAAACGGGTATCATGCTCCCGTCTTCCAATTCAAGCAACACACTTAAGCTTCACCCATCAATGTACCTTTTTGTAAAGACTTCAACCCAACGTTATTTCATCTCGCCGATCTTTATAAATAAATTCAATGGGACTGTGATAATCGGCGCAGTGGACCGCTGGTCTAGTCGCTAATCCTCCGCTGCGGTTTCCCTTAGCGTGACCAGGTTTGAAGTTTGCTTACGACTGCGGTACCACGTTTCTATATTATTACAAACTAACAATAGGGGGCGCTCAGGAGTTAAGTGTTAACATTGTAAGGAATAGCCTTTAGTACTGCCGCCCTAACATCGGGTGCGTAATTGCTCCCTATTGTTGGCTTGTGGCTATAAAAAAAAAACGAAGTAAAGAACACAGCATCACAAAACAAACGGCTCTTTTCAGAGCCACCACAACTTCCAAAAAGAGATAATTCAGTCTGTCTTCAAAAAATAAAGTTTAAAACATACCGTGGTTCCCACCCCCAAAAAAGAATCCGAAGAATAAAAAAATAAAAATCTTAAACAAATTAAGAACCCCTCAGGCCCCGCCGAAAAAACAATCCCAATGAAAACAGGTTTCCAAGATCTTCAAACGCCCCACCACATATACATTGTACAAATTTTAATCCAAAATTATTACTTTTGTTTATTTATTATTTTTATCTTAAAAGAATCCCTCCCGACAAACAATAATCACCAATTGCTGCGAAATTACACATGGAGACACTTGAACAAGGAAGTAATATTAGCGCCCTCTCTTGCCCGATTCCAGCAAATGCAAAACGAAAGCAAAATGTCACTTGGCACGAATGTGCGCTATAGTTAACCAAAATAATTACAATTTCAAAGAATCCCTTCAGAAACAATAATACCCAACTGTTCCAAAAAGTCAACAACCAAAAGGCATCTAAGGATCAGGAGTCATTAAAACCCGGAAGTAATGCATGTATTGGCGCCCTCTCTTGCCCGATTCCAGCAAATGCAAAATGAAAGCAAAATGTCACTCGGCACGATTTGTGCGAGTGACCTACTTGCCTGATTCTTCTCAGCGATGATGCCTTTTCCTTCGGATTCAGGTCCTCAAATATTGAACAATGTTCCCTTAAAGGTATTTTATTTATTTCATTTATTCATCACCATCAGTTAAATATTTAATATACATTATTAACAGACGTACATACCAACAAATGACCATCTTTTCATGTCTTCGGACGTGCGTTACACAATTAAAACACGCACGCACATGTACCGTACCTTGTGCACAACGAATGGGGAAAACTGCGCTCCGGTTTTAGCGAGGTTCCGGCTATAACGACAGTATTGTGAAAGTCCATCGGACCTCGTTATAACGGGAGCCGACTGTAGTCTGTTGTTGTATTCCTTGTAACTACTGCAGTAAAGACACAGTAAAGAGTGTTGGCACCAGACTATATCATTGACTGACAAAGAACTTGAATATCTTGTACTGAATAAAGATGCAAAAGGCATTATCAACAAGGCAGTGAGGCCACTAAAAAGGCAGTGAGGCTACTAAATATTTACAATGTATGAGGTGTAGTAAAACAAATGCATCATGGTTTATTTCTGGAAAATAGGTGGAATTACTGGTCCCTCGGTGTACGTCAGCTTGACTACCTCCCTCTGCTTCGCGTCGGGAGGTAGTCAAGCTGACCTACACCTCGGGACCAGTAATTCCCACTACTTCCCCTCAAACCAGGCTGTATTTGTATAATACCATGCGACTGTTCACGTATGTGTAAACACGCCCGAGTGTGTGTGGCATTGCCATGCAACAAAGTCGTGTGTGCCTGAGCTCTACCTTCCTGATACGAAAGATCTAGGAGGGTTTAGGATAGATAATAAACTCTGACATTTACTGCTCACTTGCACCAGGCAACAGCAGTGGAAAAAAAATATCGGTAAAAAAAACCCCTGTATTTCCAGACTCATCAAACCGGTTTTTGAGAATGTAAAATAGTTGGAGATGATGAAACCATTCATAAGATGGAATTTGCATCGGAGTGATGTAAATTCAATATCGGGTTTTGCCCTTCACTGACGTATGATGAAACCAAGAAATGTACAAATGCCACTGTTTCCACATCATTAAAATTGTTAATACAATCGAAGCAGCTATATGTGGTGGAATCTACAGCCTTTAAACTTCTCTATGAAAGGTGCAAGTTGTGTTATTTACCTGAAGTTCCAGCTACAGAGATTTCCAAAAACTTCTGCAAATTTTGATGGTTTTTGTGTTCATCACTAGGCCGAGGAAGAAACGGGGGGACAAAGATGGAGAAGCTGGGCCTAGTAACAGTCAGCTTGTCAAGCAGTCATCAGAAGAGCCGTCATCCTCAGAGGTATAATCCCCCAAACCAATACATGAAATCCTTTATTATGACCCATGCATGTCAGACCACTAAAATGAACCCTATCCCCCCCCCCCCCCAATCCTCTAAAATCTCTTGCCGGTTTTGGATGATTTTCGAGGATTGAGGATTAATGGCAGATGTATCGCTTTTTGTGGAGGATGCATTATGTCAAGCCAGTAGGCCATATTCTGCGTTGGTTATGTTCAGCCATGCATAAATCAGCCCTGTGTTTTTCTCATATTTCATCCGCACTGCTTCTAAAAGCCAGTTGCACTAACTCAAACCATAGCAGTAATTGGCAGAGGATTTTGGAGGATTGAGGCAGTGGTCACCCCCACAGACTAAATTCAAGAAAATAACGGATGATTTTGGAGGATTGAGGCTGAATCCAATTTTGTCTTGGTGGCAATTGGAGGATTTTGCAGGATGGAGGTTGCATTCTAGCCAGAGGGCCTAGTGGGTTAGGGTTAAAGCAAAGTTTAAACTTTTAAAATGAGCTCCAATGCAAGTTGGATTACAGCTATTCAATTCTATTTCGTTACTGCCGTCACTATTTTTGAATTATGGCTCTTGCAAGTAAAACATTTGGGCCATGAGCACCACCATGACTCCCCAGTGTTTTTTTTTAGTGTGATGCAAAAAAAATCTCTATCCAGACTGATTCCCTAGAATCCTAATGTAAATGTGACAAGTAATTTCTAGAATAGAGAGTTGGGGGAGACCACTGGGAGGGTAGTCTTGAATGCATTCCCGACAGCCCCTGAATGGTCACATGATGATCACTACATGTTTGTGTACATTCAGAAAAAAAAACAGTTGTGTGCAAGCTTTGTGCCCCTCCAATACAGCTCTCAAAAGTGGCAGGGGCGGATCTAGCTTTCAGGAGAGAGGAGAAGATATGCCCTGCTAGGGGGTTGGGAGGCCCCCCCCCCCAAAAATTAAAGTTGCGCTTAGCGAGCGTGATATTCCAAGTGTATAACTGGAAGGTTTTGTTGGACTATTCGAGCTAGACAACTGTACACGGTTGTGTGGTGCAATGGAAGCATGCTTTATTTGACCTTTCAAGTGACCTTGTCTATGGAGCGCTTTGTACTACAAAATAACAGTGATCTTGCATAGAATGGAATGCCTTTTTGATACGAAGTGAATGGCAATGAATTCTACAGCGAGATTTTCAATGGGCATTGCAACACTCAATTGAATGCGGGGCCTGCATCATTGCATTCAGTTGTGTGTTGCGATGCCCAATGAAAATCTCACCAAGTGCAGCTTTTTGTTTTGGGGTTTCAGGAGCTTCAGCGCTGGCATTCACTTTATTTCTTATTAATAATAATAATAATAATAATTGTGCTTATATAGCACTTTCCATCGTATCAACGATCTCAAAGCGCTTTACAATTATTACCCCGTTCATCAGGCCATGGGACCACGCGGCAGCCGATATCAGCGCTCAATCGGTCCTCGACCCTCACAGGTACCCATTCATACTCCTGGGTGGAGAGAGGCAATTGTAGTTAAGTGTCTTGCCCAAGGGCACAAACACCATGGTCCTGGCCGGGTTCGAACCCACGCACCTTTGTACATGAGTCAAACACTGTAACCACTGGACCATGGCATTACACAGTGTTCCCAATTGAGGTATCAAATTTAACTGGAAAGTTTTGGTGGCAAAACGTATATTTCAGATTTCTTTTGTTCACCGAGAAATGTCCAAACAAGGATGATTATAAAAATTGCTTAGTTTCTTTTTGTGCCAGGTGTATGTCCCTGTACCCATTTTCCTTGTGGCAGGAGGAGCAATTAATGACAAAGTTTTCTGTCCACCGAATAACTCTACTAAATAGTTGTTTTTAAATAAATTTACAGGATGACACTGAGACAGAGGAAGAAGAAGGAATGAGCAATAGTGATAGCAACAATGTCTCTCAAGACTCGCAATCTTTACCAACTGGCCCAGTTCAGATCCCCAGTGCTGCAGTGTAAGTTTCTTACATCTACTGATGGGAAGCAGTGTAATAACAGATATAAACCTAGTCATGGTTACTGACTCACTTGAAGTTATTGACACATTTAAAAAAGGCAAAACCAATTCAGGCGTTTCACAATGCAGTGCGCCACCAGGAGATTGCCACGGAGAGTTCATTTTTCCCAGTGCATGGTGGGAGATGGTCGACAAATTCGCAGCGCGGGACATTTGAAATTGTTAGTTTTTCCAGTCAGTAGTTTCATCAGCGTATGATTCGAGGATCTGTTTGCCTTTTCTTTTTATCAATATGGTGTTTTTTGTAAGGCGGCAGAACGCTATGCTCCAATCCTTAACAAAATAGCTCAAGTTGTCTACTACTACTCGTTCAAATGGGCTGTGTTTTGTCGACTGTAAACTTGAAAAAAGGACTCTCCGTGGCAAACTCTTGGTGGCGCACTGCATTGTGAAACGCCAGAATTCCGTGTGCAGACTGGAAAATGAACCACTTCAATGAAAATGGCTTTTGCCATTTTTTGCAGAAATGCAAAACATATATTTATGAAAAAAATATATACTCTATTTGCAACAAAAAAATGGTGAACTTCGGTACAAATCATCTGACTCAACCTGCACATGTAATTGTTTCATAATTTGCACTTGTTTCAAATTATAAGTATTATTCGCTAGTGAACTGAAGAGAGTTACAGTAAAGAAAAGATGTATATATCTGACACAAATTTATATTCATTTTATATTTCGCCTTGCAGTATCCAAGGCCTACCCCAACACATACCCCACCCAGTACCCTCACTACCTATGCCTACCATGGGAGTCTTTCAGGCCCCTGCATCTGCCTCAGGGACCATTCAGACAGGGATGGGGGCGTACCAAGCCCCCAAGAACAACAGCACCGATGACGACGAGAACTATGACACATAGCAAACAAGTTGGCTGCACTCATTAGCATTGTTATTTTTTTTAGTGCAGTAAGCTACATCAATATTCTACTGTGAATGTGCACATTAAAGCTGTGTTCCCTGTGCTCTTCAACAAATTCATTCCCCCCCCCCCCCATCAATAAATCAGGCATGCAACTTTTCCTTGGATCAGCTGATTTCCTCTTTTTTTACTTCCCATTTGTGCCATTGAAAATAGAGAAACACTGTACAAAGTCTGGGAAAGATTTGAGTTTCCTTTTTTTTTGTGACTTCCCAGTTGCATGCCTGATATTGTTCAAGGTGTATGTTTTATTCCAACCCAAAAACTCTCCTTTTTTTCGTTTTTTTTTTTTTTTTTACATCTGCAACCCTCTGAATTGTTTTTTTTTTTGGAGGGGGGGGGGGGGGCACAAACATCCACTTTGCCAGCAGACTGGTTCCCGCTTCATACATTATCAATACTGATTGTGGGGCGGGAACCAGCCCACCCCACAAGAACAGAATTATTGACTGGCAGCCAATAATTTGAAATTGTAAAGTAATAACTTAATAACTAAATATGGGATAAAACTTGAGAATAGCATGGGAAACGCAACTTTAAGCTGTGATGATTCCCCTGTCGAGATAAACAATTTGCCTTATGTTTTTCTTGAAAAGTCTTATGGGTTCCCCCCCCCCCCCCACCCCCGCCCCTTCACACACAAAAACCTATTTCAAAGTAAGTACTGTGCATATTTTTTTATCTTCTTTATGATTGCATGAAAAGTCACAAAAACTAGATTTGATCACCCTTTTCTCCTGTAGACATGTGTTCATATCTTTTGCTAGAATTAAATTAAACATTATCACTGGCTTATAGTGTTAAATGACTTGAGAAATCATAAAAACTGGGTTGTTAAAGTTTTATGTTGTCCACGGAAAATTAAGAATTTTTGTCTTGTCTCACATTCCTAAAAGTGCACATGTAGATGCAAGCATGGACTCCCATCACGTTTCTATATAACTTTTTGGGGGGGGGCAAATAAAATATTTTAATATTGTACATTGAGGGAAATAATAAATACGATTTTGGAATGTTTGTGTTTAATTTTTTTTTCTTCAGGAATAGCGTTCATGTAGTGATCATCAAATGATATACCATGTACACAGTGAAAATATGAAAACAAGAGCATGCATTCTGCTTTGAATAAATGTACATGTTGCATACCTGTCTAGTGACAAAATACCTGTGTCGCAAGTGAATACACATTATTACATTATACTTCAGGGAACTTGTCTTTTTCTTCTGATGGTTAAAGAAATATACAGCTGATATCACATGAAAGATACTTAAATAGTTTAAAGACTTTTATTAGTAACGAGAGGTTTCTGTTGCTTCAGTGTCCTGTTTGAAATGTAAAATGTTTTGAAAAGGATACCTGTTATAATTGTTTGCGTAATGGCAGACAGAGTTGTAATGACTCGAGTCAATGACTCGACTCGAGTCCGACTCGAGCCACAATTTTTGGTGACTCGACTCGACTTGAGTCCCTAAGGGTAAATAACTTGACTCAAGTCACTGCGAGCAAAGGACTCGACTCGACTCGAATCTAAAGCTCGAATATAAAGCTCTTGGATTCGAACACTGGCTAAACTTATGACCTCCTTTTATAAATTTTGGTATATACATTTACTGTTCAAATATTCGTGACTCGAATTGACTCGAGCTAAATATTTGACTCGACTCGACCTTTTGACCTAATGACTCGACTCGAGTCACTTCTTTAAAATGATTCGACTCGACTTGAGTCGCAAAAATCAGTGACTTGTTAAACTCTGATGGCAGATCACTTGCTCGTATCTTCAAAATTTGTTTCAATCAATACGTCCCACTTGAAGTATGGGTATCAAAGTGGGGCTTCAAACACATGGTATGGAGGATATCTTTAATGGAACAAATATTTAAGTTAAAGAATATCACATATTTTTATTTAATTCCAAGATCCTTGTGTTACAGGCCAGCACTCTCAAATATGTCAAATTGCAAGTAAGTTTTGTAAACACATTTACATTTATCTACACTGTACATATACAATATTTGGATGAACAAATGTCGACATGATTGTACAGTTTGGTTTCGAAACACTGAAACAAATTTACATTATTTCATCCTAAAATAAGAGGAGAAAATTGGCTCCGTTTTGGTTTTTTAATGATTTGATCCTGTATTGTTAATAAATCAGATTCCATTAAAATAGAATTGTTGGGATTTGTACTCTTGCTGATGCCCTGATAGCTTTTTTTATGTTTTCTGGTTTTCAAAACGATTTGTTTATCATGGACATTTGGTTGGTTCCTTGGTTGTTATATTGGTAGATCGTAGATTAGTTGTTCATTTGATTAATTGATTGACAGGTGATTTTATCGAACGGACCGATGGATTGCTGGCAGTTTGCTGATGAAAGGTTAAAGTAATATCGTTCTATCAACAGATCAGTCAGAATCACTTGCTACAATGTAGCCTGGCCTAAATATCGCCTGGGTCTTCATCAGGTGGAGCTGTACTTGGGCAAATGTTGACAATAGAGGTAGACAAAGTTGTAAGTTTACATCAGTCTCGGACACTGCTTCTGTTTTTGTAGACAAAATTTAATGGGGGGAGCTATTTTCCATTTTAGATATTAAATACGTTGCTCACATTAGAAGTTGCTGTTCCCTTGGGGTGCATACCTATGTTCCCCAATACCGATGTTCCCCAATACCGATGTTCCCCGAAATCCCTACCAATATAACCCTAACCCTAATCTTAAGGATTTGGGGGAACATCGGTATTGGGGAACATCGAGGAGATCCCGTCCCCTTGCTACTTTTCTAGTTTCACCCCGAAACAAATACAACTGCATTATTTTCTGGCAACTCGAAGACATCAGCGTCACATAAATAAACTTAGCTGGCCACCACTCCGAGAGCGCCGCCGTTTGAACAGACTTCAATGGAGACATCGACTTGATTGACTACAACAAGTATATTAACACCCCAAAACAGACAGGACAAGAAGAGGACACAAAAAACACTGAATTCCAAATTTATTATACAATACAATACAATACAATAAAAACTTTATTATCCCATTGCGGGAAATTCCATGGCCTAATTCTACCAGGATAGATGCAAATACAATTTCGTTTTTCCAGAGAACAACAAAGACTGGTCAGTTGTCACCATCCATCGTTTCACAAAAAACCTACACCATCCTTCCAATCTGCTTTGAAAACCATACAAATGTTATTAACCACCCCCAACCCACCTCCAGTGAAAACTCTTTATATGGAGTATTTAGGAAGATAGTATTGATCCAATATCAAAAAGATCCGCTTAGCTAGGCGTTTAATAATTATGGATTCCTGACTAAGAATTTAGAACTAGTTGCGGCCCGACATCAAATCACTGAGGCACATTTTTGTATTTCTAGAATATAGAGGCAGAGTACAACCGACAGCTTGTTTTCCCAAAAGGATTTTATATGCCAAAAATCAGAGATTTTTTCTCTTTAAAATAATCCATACAAAGTGAAGAAAAAAGAATCGAATTTGTCGAAGAGCACGGGAGCAACTTCAAAAGTTTCTGGCTAATAATAAGCTTGACGGTGGAGCTAGCCAAGCAGCTATGGATCAAGCCGAACATCGGTCCGTTTTACAAACCCCGGCTTTGTCTCCGATCTGGCTTTATGCGCGAAGCTTGGCCATGCATTCGAGCTGGAGTGGAGCCAGATACGGATTCCAAGCCAGGGTTTGAAAAATGGCCACATGCCAGATCTATGCGGAAGTTTTGAACCGCTGTAGGGCAAATTGGGGGCGCTGTTTATTGTCGCGCGCAAGTGCCCAAATGAATCACTTTGTGATGCACTTTGAAGAAGATGGGAAATGATTTCGATGAAATAGAGAAAATTGAGGGTGCTGTTTTGAAGTTAAGAAGGCAAAGTGATGACATGTTCGGCGACCTACAAAAGGTAATGAGTACGTAGTGGTCACAGCTGAAATTTACGGTGTACGTTTTAGGGAAAGAATCCTCGAGTCACTAGTTAATCAACTTAATGACCGACTACTCCTAGAACTATGGAGCCTCATAGTTCTAGGAGTAATGACCGACATGACCGAGTACTATGTGCATGGTAAACAAACAGACGTTACTTCTTTATCTTTGGTTGTGTACAAAGTCTATGAAGAGTCGATTGCATTTTCAAAGTATTTTCTAACAAAATTGAAAAATTTTCTCAGTCCCAGATATGTCTTTTCAACATTTTTGCAATGACTGACCTTCATTGAGATCATTTTTATTTGATGAAAATAAAGTGCATGGTAAACAAACAGACGTTACTTCTTTGGTTGTGTACAAAGTCTATGAAGAGTTAGTCTTGGTCAATGCTCTCGTCGTTATTCGTCCCGTACGCGGTAATCAATCCGCGACATATCCTCGCGCGTTATGCAGTGCATGTAAAATACTAGTGGGAACAGCGACCTCATGCGGCCACTATTTTTATGCAAATCAGTTGGAGACGATCGAGAGCCTTGGTTCAATCGTCGGCGAAAGCTTATGTTTTTCTTTATTTTGCGCTGGATTTCTAGCGCACGACCTCGTATAGCATGCTCCTATGTATGCTACAATTAGTACAAAAACTAGGGGAAGGTTGCTAGAGAATACAAACGTCATTTTGGAACGATAAAAATCGTTTTAAAATTAAGGTCATGGAGGTAGAAGGACTTAAGTTTGTCTTGAGTGATATTTGTTTGCTCTTACTTCAACAGGCCAAGCAGGAGGAGTTGTCGTGTCAGAGATGTAAAGAACGATTGTTGAAGGAGAAAGAACTCAAAGCAGTTTCCATTCAGACGAGATTGGCTGCAGTCGAAGATGTCATTGCGACATTACCAACCTCCTCAAGAAAATTGTAATTTGCTTTGATATTATTTTCAGTTTGTCCTTATGCCAGTGTTTCATTGTTTAGGACTCACAATCAATTGTAATAACACTTCCTGAATCATGTGCACAGAGTATGCAGTTGCCATGGAAAAAGGTTTGTAATACTGCATAATTACAAAGGCACTGTTTCAAAACAAAAATCTTTAACAAACAATTTTTTAATCACAACATTTTTCAGTTAGAAGCAGAATTTTTTAATCAGTATCACACTTGACAAGAAGCATCATGCAGTTGGTTAATGACTTCAACCGGTTTAATTGCAGGTTTAACCAGTTGTACTCCCAAGTCGATGAGATCTACCAGTTAGAGCTACTGCTGCTCGAGTTGAAGCAGCGACTGATGGTTGCCAAGGCAACCAGAGAGGAGGAAAGAATTCTAAATGCTCTCAGAAAAGGTGAACATGAATCGTATTGTGATATGTACCACATTTTGTTCAGAGGTTGAAATTACAAATATTTTTCAGAAGTGAATGAGTGCAATCCGTTTTTGAGTTGTCACAGAAATGTAACTTAAGGCCAAGTAAAAACAAAACCCAGTTTCTCGTCCCACCCGCATTCTTTTTTTCCTGCTCGCCTCATTTTTTTTCTTTTTTCTTTGGTTTATTTAATAATATTTTTGCAATATATATTGTCTTTCTATGTGTTTTCAGCAAAATTGTAGCAATGTATGAAAACTCTATCTGGTCACAGATAGGGTGACAGCTTCTTTGGCACAAAAATACCAGCAAAAGAGTCAAGACAATGGTAAAATCCATCTTGGAAAATATTTTATCTTGAAAAAAAAAAAAAACAGCAGGTCGCCTTCTCCCTTTTTCAAAAAGCCGGGATGAGGAACTTTTTTTTTTTTTTACTCTGCTTAAATTCTTCAGTACAAAGTGTGACTGAGCTCATCTGTTTTGTTTGGACAGAGATGGGAAATGGTCTTAAAATGTCTGATGTCTCACCATAATTTCACCTTCCGAATGGTTATTTGTCATCTTGCCCAAGGAGACAGCGAGCGAACACCTACTGTATCAAAGCTTTGGGTGTGAACATTGAATGGGATGATCAAATTGGGCCTAGGATAGACTGAGAGATGTGATCAACTGTGATTCTGCAAGGTGACTGCTCTATGTTCTGACACCCCTATGTTACACTCCTATGTTCCGACAACCCGCACATAAGATTGTGTTCCTCCTGGTTAGGGTTAGGGATAGGAATACATGCATGTTTAGTCAGAACATAGGTGTGTTGGAACATAGGTGTGTTGGAACATAGGTGTGTCGGAACATGGGTGTGTCGGAACATAGGTGTGTCGGAACATGGGTGTGTCGGAACATAGGTGTGTCGGAACATGGGTGTGTCGGAACATGGGTGTGTCAGAACATAGGTGTGTTGGAACATAGGTGTGTCGGAACATGGGTGTGTTGGAACATAGGTGTGTTGGAACATACTGTAGGTGTGTCAAAACATAGGTGTGTCGGAAAATAGGTGTGTCGGAACATAGGTGTGTAACCATTCTGCAAAGTGCCTTGATAATTTAATGAAACTAATTTGCTTACTTTCTTTAATAAAGGTTCATGTGAAAGGAAAAGGAGGAGCACAGACAGCAACGATGACCATGCGTGTATACTGAGTGAATGGTTTCAGCAAATTTCCTGTGTGAAAAATGGCAGTGACCCAGACACAAATCTGACGATGACATCAAAGGATGGTATGTACACATGACAACCAGATAAAGAACCATGCATGCAAAATGCTGTATGGGCTTTGTGCACAAGTACCCCCTCAACAGTAAGGGAGGAGAGTTGGGGGAGACAACTTGAAGTGACATTCGTGCTGGGGGGGGGGGGGGGTTGTACTTGTGCAAGGAATCCACACCTCAATCCCGTTAGCTCGGTGGTCGAGTGGAGGGACATCTGCACTAGAAAGCAGGTTGTGGGTTCGAGTCCCACCCGAGTAATTTTTTCAATCTTTCACTCGGGAGGTAACACACTGAGTATACAGTGTATAAGCGTTGGTGAGGGGCAAAACCTAATTTGAAATATATTACTTGTAGATAAACCACTATATCTGAAAATCATATATGTTAATCAGTACATTTTGAACAAAGACATTGACAAAAACAAAGGAACTACCAACATATAGGGCTGGAAAGCTCTGTTGGTAAAATACAGGAACAGCAATCCGGAGGTTGCAGCTTCAAAACCCGCTTCAGTCAATCTCTTTGTTCAACTTTACAATTAGTTTATTTTTTTGCCAGTCTGGATAGATATTTTATCCGAAAGTGTTTTGTCAGTTGGCTTACGGAGTCCTTTTGATTCCATACAGGAAGCTGCATAGAGAAAGACCGTGTATTCTACTGGGCAAAGTATGAGATGTCGCCAAACAGTGTTGGCAGTCGTACTTTACGCTTTTCCACAAGGCATTGTGGGATATGCCTGCGACTATGTATAGCAGCACCAATGTAAGTGCCAAAACATTATGCAATACAGTGCACATTGAGTCAAAATGAAAATATCACAAGGAACACATGTTTCCATTCAGGAAGCATACATGTACGTATTTCTGACTGTCCATTTCACACGTGTTGACTTCAACCATTTTAACCGAAAAAGTCATTTCTGAAAGTCTTCTTTAGAAAGTCACTTCAAACGCATAATCAAGAAACCATTATTTGTTCCAATTTCTTAACTGTTTTATTTTTTGTGAAACTTTCCCTTTTTTAAACAATACTCCTCTATTTATGCAGTGTGCATTAAGCCGCTCTCGAGTATTTGCCCTGGAACCATTGCGCAAATGTTTATGGTGAAATTTTGTCAGGTACATGTAACAGGGAATTGCAGTAAAACTACATGTAATACAGTGAATACCTTTTTCATGAGCCTAAATATACCTCATTTGTTCAACTCCAACAAATCTTATATTTTTGATCCCATTTGCTTGCAGACGACTCAGTGAAGGCTCTCCTGGATGCAGTCCAGATGACTTCTCGGTGACCTCCGACCTACCTCTAGAGGGCCTTCAGCTTGGGCTGCAGCGTAGCATTCAGGATGGGCAAATGGCCCATGAGTTTGTCATCAGGACAGTCTGGAGACTCATAGAGCAGCAAATGGTATCTCTCACATTTAACTAATTTAAGACCTAGTACTCTGAGGCAGGGACCAAATCTCAAAAGTTGAGACTATGAACCACCGAGACTTTAAACAAAACGAGGCTTGTCTAGTCGAGCTGGACCCGAAAGTCTCAGTTTAGGACAGTATTTGTACTCAGTGACTCAGTCAGTCAATTAGGCTTGCCTAGTTGAGCTGAATTCGAAAGTCTCAGTTGAGGACATTATTCATACTCAGTGACTCGGGGAGTCAGTCAGTCAGTGAGCGTCAGTCAAGAGGACGGTAGGCTGACCCTTTTGGTCCCAGCAAAATGTTTTTAGACTGCGGTCTTGATAGTCTGGGAACTACCTCACTGATGTTTACATTTTCGTCTTTGTTTTGTTAATGCTTAGTAGAAATGTACTAGCACTATCACATTTGGTGTAGATGTTACATGTTTAGGAAGCGTCTCAAAACATAAGACGGAGCAGTAGAGTACAGATTATATGCCTTAAAAGCACAATGGTCACTAGGTGGGACTGGAGCACTTAAATTTGAAGGTAGTGCATTAAGAGACAGACTCCTTACATAAAGTACTGCTTGTGTATTTAGATCTGTTTGCTGTTGTCGTGGGTATGTATATTCTCACCTCCATTCCCTCAAACTTAACTAAAGCATCTCATGTGTTAATCAGTATCGTTCACAGGTACCTTGTATGAGCCAGTTAGATGACCAATAAGAAATAACAATCAATCGAAAGCCTGTCGTGTTCACAATCAGACATTTTCTATTTTGTATGTTGTTTAAAGGTTTCACTTAAATAAATTATCATCACAAATAATTTGGTGTGGAATGTTTGGTTTTTTGGAATTGCTGTGCATCACATGTTCCGCGTTAATTGGCTGGCTGTACTTAAACCGTATGTGGTCATAGCATGGTGCTGTTTTAATACATGGATAAGATTTCTTAGCAAAAGTTTGTTTACACTCCTGGAGCCGCAAAATTCCAGCATATCAGATTATAATGCCCCGCTGGCAAAGCCAAAGAGGGATGCTGTTTCTGCCTTGTCCTTCCATGTCCAGGTGTTTGTGCACGCAATCAGTTTCATCAGGATAACTAAACAACTTGACACATCAACTTAAAACTTGGCACGAGAGTTGGTCTTTGGTTAAAGTTCAAGGTCATTACGGTTCAAACAATAAAAACGGTTTCAACAGGATATCTCAAGAATTGCTTGGCATATCAACTTCAAACTTGGTATGTGTATTGGTCTTACGTTCCCTCAGAAGTCCATTTGTCTGGGTCCTCACAGGTCAAAGGTTAAGGCTATACATTTTGTAAATTCAAAAACAGTAAGAAGTTAGTCTCAAGCATAAATGACTTGGCAAATCAACTTCCAACATATGGCACTACACGGGTTGATTACTTCTGATTTGTGTTTTATGTTTGTACTGTACACATACATGTACATGCATGGTACTGCATATGTAGTCATGAGATTTAGCATTGGCTCAGCAAGGCACTTGTATTTGATATTAATTTTTTTTATCTAACAAATGTGGCAAGAATGTAATCCTCTCCACACCATCCATTCCTCAAAATAACATTATTACTTTTATTTGGTTACTTTTTTACCCTTGAAATCACACATTTGCTGAATAAATACTTTGGTTTTGTTACAATTTCTTTAAAAACTGGAAGCGTACATACAGCATTCACAAGCGGCTTTTACATCACACAATACATAATGGCCTATTCAGAATCCGATGATAAATTAGGGACATGCCCTGCCCCATACATGTGACTGAGTTGCCCAATACAAACATCAGGGTTCCCACAGAAATCTGAAAACCAAATTCCATCACTTTTCCAGTACTTTCCAGGACTAAAACAAGAAAATTTCTATGACATTTAACACCATTTTGCGGGAAAACAAGTTGTTTGGTATTATGATACTGATGAACCGCTGATGTTCGGCTAACAATCTCTTAGCTTCTGAAAATAAGTTGTAATTAATGACGGCCTCCTCCCCTTACAGCCATTCTTAAAGAGGCCCATCAAAAATACCCCTTACATGATCTTGATTTCCATGATTTTTCCATGACTTACTTATTTTTTCCATGACTTTCCAGGACAACTTTTTTCCCAGGACTTTCCATGATTTTTCCATGACTTTTTAATTTTTTTCCGATGACTTTCCAGGACAACTTTTTTCCAGGACTTTCCATGATTTTTCCATGCCTTTTTAATTTTTTTTCCGATGACTTTCCAGGACAACTTTTTTCCCCAGGACTTTCCATGATTTTCCTTTGACCATGGGAACCCTGAAACATAATACTTGGATGCTCGGGCGCAATGCCTGTGTGTCCCCATCAAGTCAAATGGTCCTGTTTTTCCTTTACCAGGATTCTGTCCTCATATTTCCGCTTTCATTCAAATGATTTTGTTGAAAAAAATAACTGGACAAGTAAGAAAGCTTTGTACCCTATTAATATAAACGTTATGAGAACACTGTAGTTAATAGTTATATTATGTACAAAGTAAAAAAGAAACATTGCACACAATTTCAGGGCATTAAGTATTAAAACACTTAAAATATTTGACTACAATAATATTTTAGTCCCACAAATACCTTTGAAAAACCCCATTGAACTTTGTTCATACAGTTTGCATAATGATACATTTAATACAAATTGGCAGTACCCATGTATATTATATATAAAAGTTGGGCATATTTTTTGATTGATTTTTGCCCTTGTGACAGTGTGTCAAGTTTTTTTTTAATTTAGGAAACAGAGGTACCAGGTTAGGAAGATAATCAAGTGCAGCATCTATTGGACTTAAAAACATTTGAAAAGCAGATTTTGTTTTTTGCCGATTCTGTTTCTGCAGTGTTTCTTTGTTCTTTCAGTGCACATGCACAAGCTACTACAATATACTACATTTGGTTAAAAATAGGCCCATTTCATACAATTACGACAAATGCAAACAATTATATGTACCTTTAAATCACCACTGGTAATGAGAGTGTTAACAAAACATTTCTGCTTTAAAGCAGAAATTGGCCCCTATATAGACATCATGCAGTTACCCCCAGCCTGGATGCAGTACTACGTGAGGCCCTGGTGCTAGTAGACTCCTGAGACGTCAGCCCACTGCGGTTTGTCCCGACCCTAAGCCTGTGGACCTGTGGGCCCACGTTGGAATCGATGGAACTAGGCCGGCGGCTCTGGCTAGGCGAGACCGTGCCATCACTCACATCAGAATACTCAAAGCTCTGTTTGAAAAAAGAAAATACAAAGAAAAAAAGATCATCAGTGATGAGTGTTGTTCATTTCGAGTTTCAAAATCTTTGGTTCATACTTCCCTGTGAATAAAAATAGAAAACAATCTGGTTTTTATAGTGTTTTTTTTTTTTACAGTATGCATTTTACCAACAACTGTGATTCATTTTGATTTTGACCCTTGTAAATCTGCCTGGTGCAGTAAAACTTTTTAATTTTCAAAAGATTTAGTTTAACTTGATGATCAATGTTTGTTCTTATATATCATTATGTCCTTTCTATTTGTATTCATCATTTAGTTTAGTATGAGCATAGAGCTATATTAAATTACTAGAGCGCAAACTCCTCATTCTTGCGCGCGGAGACGCTTTGAAGCCGTCCTGGGCGCAGACATTTTGAATTCATGTGCGTGTTTGTAGAACACAATGAAATGAGATGGATTGAATTTTGAAAGTGTACTCTACATGCAACGCGCAAGTAGAACATACGCAGACAACTTAAACGAGTCATGACTGTTCAAAAAACGTCACGGCAAAAGGCATCTGCAGCGAATACGCCCACGCATTGCGCTGTTTGCGCTTGCGTAGAGAAAAATGAAACGCTCATTTGCTGATCGTGCGTTTCGGTTTTGGGCGTATCGGCTTCGATGACACACCGGTATGGAATACAAACGCAGATATGCAAATAGCCGTACAAAAGTCGTACAAAATTTCGAGTTTTCCATAGGTTTGTGTACAAACATGGATGCGCCCATCAGGCATTACTTTGTACATCGAGTTAGCGCTCTAGTAATTTAATATAGCTCTATGAGTATGAGTAACTCTCTTAATGTTTTTTTAATGTAATTTAACCGCAATTCAGCTTTTGGCTGCCATGGTTAAATAAAATAAACCATTTCAAATCAAATCAAATCTCTTCATGTGACTTGGATCAGACTAGGTGCAAAGTCCAATTTTTCCTTTATGAAAGAAAATTGCAGTGTAAACATCCATCTCTGGACATGTTAATAAACCTCATTCATGTTTTTAAAATGATGAGATGTTTGAGCCAACGGTAAGGATGAATGGAAATGCAGTGTTAAGTCCCGTGGGAAAGAAAGAATGTTAGGCTTAATGATTGAATACATATTGAGACACCAAAACATATTAAGGTTATCAAAAAGAGGCTGGCTGCAGAACTGCTAAAACTTTGATTGTGGTTGGAAAGTTGAGCACAAAAAGGGCTATGACTTTGGGACAAAAAGTTGTGATATTCGAAAACAATGACAATACATATCCAGGAATGCATGGAAGTGCAGTGCTCTGATTGTTACAAGGATCAGGCAAGTGGATTTATTTTTGTGGTGTTTTCTGCACTGAAACCTGACCGCAAAATAATGATGAGTTAATGAGAAGAAAGGAGTTAGCTTAATAAAAAAAATTCTGGTGCATGCAAATCATGAAAAGTGAACTGGTGGCAAGCAGGCATGCAGCTGAAAAAAAATTCAACTGCATTTTTTTACTTTTGATGGCATTCATGGAATTAATTAAAGGAAAAAGGAAAACAGCTTATCTTAGACAAAGCTGCATGCTTAAAAAAGGAGAAATTGCCATCTTAAATTGCACCAACAAATAATGTTTGAGGAATAAATGTGGAATCTGTAGAAGGGTTGTTGCTGTTTTTGGTTTTCATGGGAGGGTGAAAATTAATGTCGTCGGAAACATATAATTGAGATTTCATATATTTCTTACTGAACCTGTTAGATTGTAAGGCTGTGGTGTAATCTCATGTCCACAGCTAATGGTATGTGGGAACAAGCTGACCACAGACATAGCCATAGATCTCAGAAACCGTTTTTGAACACGGCTTCAGTTTGTACATGGTTGCAACATTTTTGAAGGGTAGAAACCAAACTCCTTCATAGGAACACCATGAGACTCGATCCTCTGCCGTTTCAAACAATTGTGACCTACACTTAAAAATGGCTCGAATTAAATTTGAAGTTTCTTTAACAAGAGAATCCATGCTCAAAATGAAGATAGGACTGGTATGGAATTCCCAGTGAAATTATTCCGCCTGAAATGGTAGCATTTGGGAGTAAACAACAATTGAAGGTGGTTTTAGAAAATGTGCCTGTGGGCACAGATTTCTACGTGTGTTGTTAGCAACAGAATCCAATTACGAGACCCCCACAATTGTGCATACGTTTTCTCTGATTTCTCAGAAATGTCATGAATGTAAAGTATCCACTGAACTGAAACTTCAACAACTAATAGTTTTATGCAACCTTGTTAAGATTTGGAACAATTTTGTTCTTTCAAAATGAAAAAAAAAATGCAGAGAAAGCAACTGTTCCCCGATACCTTTCTGAGTGTAAATGTCACAAAATGTACTGTGGTAAAATTTAACCTTCTCCCCTCCCTCCTTCAATTTTCACAGACAACCCCCCCCCCCCCCCCATCAAACTTGTGCATGTCCAAGGTTAGTAGAAAAAAACAGGCAAGAGATTTCAGGCAAACTGACTTTATGGGGAAGTCCAACCATCAGCAGGTATATCAATTCTCCACTCCTACAGATGATGGCGTGCAAAGGGGGTAAATTGGAGGGAGCAAAGGCAGAGGAGAGAGTGGAGTTAATAAGCAAAGCCAATGTCAACCAGAGGGGCAAGTCAGTGGAACTGACGGAGGCATGCAGGCAACATTCTGACATGTCACTACCAGAGGAAGCTTTGTGTTAGATTTTGCTTCGAGGAGTTTCAATTTTTTTAATTTGATTTTGGGGTTTGCACTTCACTAACGTGACTTATGGCCACTGTTTTTCTAGTATTGTTAAGTTTGCTTGGGAGACTTTCTGCTATACCAGCCCAGATGTCTCACAATTTCTACGCTTCAATTAAATCAACATCTAAAAATGCTTTGAAACTGTGGTTTTGAACTGGTTTTTTCCTACTCAAATTGAACAAAATACAAGCACCATCCAGCGATGAAAAGACAATTATATCATTCAGAGAAAATGCGGAAAACAGTGTGAAAAGTAGTTTCAATGCAGAAAGCACAGAAGGCATTTTCACAGGAAGAAACTACAGCTCTCTCAAAGTGAATTTTAAAAGAACTGTAAAATCATTAAACATTGTATATACAGACGATGACTTTTGCATATGTCGCAGCTGTTCAGTGAATGCTTAAAAGCAAAACTAATGCTGATCTCAATGGTAATGATCCCAATACACTAATCAATCTGCTCAAATTGTTTGTTTTTTTCTTTACCAAGGACTTAATAATAACACATTTTTTTTTGGTGATGTCCCTCAACCATACCTTCCACTGCAGCCCCTCGCTGATGGAGAAGGTGATGCCGGTGCCTCCTGTTCTGCTCTGGGGTGCGGTAGAGACAGACGGAAGCTTGAAATCTCGCCGCGGCTCCTTCATGTCAATAAACTTCTTCAGTCGCTGCTTGGTCAGCTTCTGTACCTTTGTGGCTGTTGAGAAGGAGTTTAAATTTGCAGGAAAATCATTACATGGAACATTTTCACTACTTCAATCAAAAGTGTCTCAGACAAATTCATACTGGACCTTCCAATGTGTTCAGAAACTATTCTAAGATTTTGATGGCTTCGCATCTTAGGACTGTATGTGCAAACTAAAGACTTATTCCTGGGCTTTTCATCACAGTATTGACTCAAAAATGAAGCAAGTAAATGTTCAGTTAAGCTTGACAGATTAGTTGATACCTGTTATATTACATTCAAAAACTATCAAGGATTTTTTTGTTATGTTGTCAACAATAGAGAGTATTAAATGCTTGCAATCTGGAGCCACTAGTGGGCGTTTTCAGTTCTGGTAGGTAATGGCCGATGTGGTCAAAAGGGTAATTTCTACAAAACATTAGTACCACAATACTCACAAGGAAGTCTAGGATTTTTGTCGTGGTATTCCTTGAAGCGTCGTGTGAAGGCCGACCAATAGGGAAGCATCTCTTTGAAGACCGTGTACTGAGCGTCATCAAACAGTGTTGGGTTGTGAGGATCCTTGCCTTTGTCCTTCAGGTAGTTGTCTGTCAGTCTGAGCAACTTGCTGGCAACCTCTGGTGGTACATCGACCTGTAAAGAGAATGTCATAGGCTTTAATCCATTGTATACCTTGTATGACATTGTATGACATTGCACAACAGTGTATTACATTGTATAACAGTGTATTACATTGTGTAACAGTGTATTACATTGTGTAACAGTGTGCTGGAATTTACTACCTTACGGAGACATGAACACAATAGGGAACAAAAGATTGTATACGTCTCCAGAAGAACATTTCTATAGATGAATACGTCTCAACAAGAATTTCACGAAATAGATATATGGATTTTACTCAAAAACTAGGAATTTCCAAGGTAGGTTGATCTGTCGCAAATGGAAGAGTTTTAGAAAAGGGATATTTAGTCCAAATTTCAGCCCAGGAAATTAATTCTGGTTAAAATAAGAGCATTTTGAAACTTCAATTTCAAACTCGAAAACTTTACTACACGAGAACAAAGAAATGTCTCCACAGGAATACAAATTCCAGAATGCATGTATTACATTGTGTAACAGTGTATTACATTGTGTATTACATTGTGTAACAGTGTATTACATTGTATAACAGTGTATTACATTGTATTTGTCCCCGATGAATCCACAAAACTATACAGTGCTGGGATGGTTTTGAGTAGTACAGGGAGCAACAGACAAGGGCCAGTCTGGGACGGTACAGGGGAATAGGCGTTATACAAACTAAAGCTGCGCGCTCATTTCATGCAAGAGAGCATGTCAACCAGGGTTAAGGTAGACTGACTGTGATTTGATTTAAGTTGCCCAAAACCTCTTGTTCAAGTTCACATCTTGCTTCCAAGTGACTCTTTGAACAATATGTTAAAGCTATATCAATCAAACTAACAAAGAAAATGAATTGAGCGGGATTTGAACCTGCAACCCTCGCAATACTAAACTAGCACACTACAAACTTAACTCTTGGTGGTCTCTCAATTTTGTCAAAGTGTTGGATGTTCATGGGAAAATATATTTGATTGGACATATTCACACAATGCCAATACCTACATGTACAGTGTGAGGGAATAGCCAATGCTATGGAGTATAGTTACAATCTTGAAACTGAGTGTACTTGCCTGGAGTCCTGGGTTCGAAACCGGGGAGTCAATGAAGCAATCAACAATCACTTCAACCTTCCGCTTCAGCATGAGCATGTCTGAATAGGAATGATGAGCTTCCTGCAGAAAGAAGACAATTCAACTGACTTTTACTTGTTTATTCTTTGTAGGGTTCAGATGCTTTATAGCAAATCAAGTTTTGCTCCAGCTCAAGCAAATTGCTAAGCATGAACAAAGTGCCAACAGGCCAAGTTGGTGGCAGATAAAAACATGATGACTGCTACATTAACATTTCTTTGTAACATTCTACCCTGTGTTTAAAGCATGCTAACTAAAGCAAAATGTGATTTTGGGGCTAATATTCATGAGCTATAATGAAAAAATATTACTTAACAGCAAAATTAACATGCTCATCAATTAAATAAGTGAACAAAATTTAACAAAACCCCAAGAGTTGAAGACAAGTTTATAAAAAGTCATCTCAAAAGTAAAGCACAAGTTAACCCAAAGTCAAGATACCAGCTATTCAAATGAGTTACGACAAGGGTACATTCGTTCCTTACTAAGGGAATAAATGTGTGCTTTGGAGGTTTTAATCACTTTGTATAAGACCGCTTGGCGTCTGGGTATTATCAGCACCCAGACTCCAAGCGGTCTTAAACAGAGTGATTAATACTGACCAAGCACATATTTATTCCCATTCATAAATACCTTTTTGGTAAAAAAAATTCAAAACTTTTTGGTAAAAAAAAACAATTTTGTACAACAAGTTCACTTCATGTTTTTTGAAACACCCCTCTGGCTAAATAATGGAGTGTCCAGCTCGCGAATAAGATGTAAACAACTCCTTTTATGGACATTTGCGCGTGGAATCATAGATATAGAATAAAAAGATGCAGAATGCACATGGGGCGTTGTGTTGTGAATTTAGGACTATAAAATACTGACTCACTGGTAGTATTGCGCATGCATACGCGAGGATTATCAACGTTCAACCAATAAAACGTTAAGAGGCACTGGATTTTAGGAGTCCAAATTTCATGTGACACTGGAAAAGTATTAAGACCAACTAGCCATGTCTTTATCATTCGTTTAAGTCCGGCCACATGACGGGCTCTCGACCAATGGGAATGGGTCAACTGTCTTAGGTATTTATGAATGTACATTGTTATCCTCTGTTCCTTTTGACATTACTGTCTTGCAGATCTTGTGATGGGCTTGTGATTGACAAGTAGTTGACTTCAACTCTGCAAACCTGCATGTCATTCCTCAGATCTCTAAACATACCAGTATCCCTTAAGAAAATTACTATGGGCTATTGACTAGTTAAGGCCAAACCCCTCTTTAAAACCTCCTACAATACACCACCCAAAACAAACAAGCTTTAAGCCTTGTCCGCATTACTTGGCTATGGCTCGTGGTAACCACTTGTCCATGGGATGTGGCTAAACCACTTCAATAGGCACATGTGTATTGCTAGCCGTACCCGAGTCATTCTGTCGCAGCCTTATTTGGACATACCTTAAACCTCTGTACTTCCAGATAGAAGACCAGATCCTTCTCCAGTAGCGGCATTTGGTCTTTGTCCCCGTACTCCATCAGGTATCGGTGGAAGTACATCATCTTCGCAGGAGGCACTCCCCTGGCTGACTTGAGCAGGAAGGACTGGAACTCATTCTTATCCTGGGATGTAGGCATCTGCTGGCCAGAGTGCTGGGGGGGGGGGGGGGGGTTTAGGAGGTTGAGGTCAAAGGTTAGGGAGTCACGACACAGAAATCAAGAGCCGCTAAGCACAGACACTATTTGCTCAGCAGAGATATCAATAATGCCATGTGCTGTTTGTTACTTGTGACAGATTCTCGGATGACTTCTGGGCTCAATTTCATAGCGCTGCTTAACAGCCAATTTTGTGCTTACCGAGCCTCCATATATTTCATAGAGACCGTAAGGACTAAGCACAGCAACAGCATGCTTATTAACCTCAGAGGAAAAAGTTGCTTAAATCAGTGACGTGCGTAACAATGGAAATCTCCATGCAAGTGCAACCGTTAGCACATCCACGCCATGAAATAGTGCTTAAACAGCAGCATGATTTTCTGCTATAGTAAGCACAAATTTTCTGCTAACGCTTAAGCAGCACTATGAAATTGGGCCCTGCTCAACACATCAATTTGCTAAACAGTATTTTCTGTGAAGCTGTTCCGTGAAATTGTTCTCCAGAATAATGCTTCCAAACGAATGCAACTCAAACAACCTGTTTCATATATCCCAATGATGATGTGTTATTCTTTCAGCCGAACAAAATTTTGTAAATGAAATTCTGATCTTCATTTATACTTAGCACAGCAAAATTGAGTGGCAGATGATCAGGTAACACATGAAACACTTTTTTTGTTTGTGTCAATGATACTTTTAAGCAACTGATGACAAGAAGACTGAGTATAAATGATTGCAAATATATGACTGCACATAGAAAACACAACACAATAATAACAACTGTGCAAGATGTTTTGAAAAATAGGTTGCTGATGAGTGACATGCGAAACTGGAAAATGAATTGTATGATGTATATGATACTCATTGTATCTTTGCTTACCGGACATGGACAATCCACAAATGCAATAAAAAACATTCCCATCCTTACTCAGGAGAAAACAATCTTTGTCCCCTTCCTTGCCTACTGCACCTTAAATCTACCCATCCACTTTAACAACCCCTTATCTTTGAATGACATGTGAGAGGATGAACACTACTCAGGAATTGATTCCATGAGCCTATACAGAGCGAGTAGTCAAGTCAATCACAAGTGTTCACTAGTAATTACAACGGATGAGCAATGACTTAGAATAATTGTTTCTTGAATCGAGACTGGATGATGTGTGACTGACTTGTGATGGCTTGTGATGACTTGTGATTACTTGTGATGACTTGCAATCGATCACAACTATGCCAATGCCATTGCGATTCTGTAATTCATGACTGGCATTTTCTGAATGTTTCTCAAACAGCACACTCGATCCTTGTCCCCTTTACATTTTGAAAATGACTATCTTCAGTTGGGGGATTTGTGCTGTTCTGTTGAATACAGTCCAGTGTGAATGAAGGACTCCAAAACTCACTGCAAACCCACTCCAAGCCTGAATCACAAACTGGTAGTCTTACCGGACCCTTGCCGCGTCTACGCCTTTTCCAGGCGAGCACCAAGCTTTGCGTGCTTCCCGACCTCAGGGCCTGGTCAAATTTGGAGTCGCCGCCCCCTCCACCCTGGTCATCCATAGACTCTGTGTGGGCCTAGGTAAGGGGATAAAGTGTGTATAGAAGGGGAGGGGGAAGGGAGGGGAGGGGGAAGGCAAATGACAAGATGGCAATGAGGATGAAGTGAAAAGAGTGATGGTCTATAATAAGCAATGAGGCTTCTAAAATTACAATGACAGTAGTATATGACAGTAGTATACTACAGGTGCAGCTGACATTAAGAATTAAATATCTGACTTTGGAACATCCATCTTAAAAAACGAAAGTATGTTTTAAGATTTTGTTTATAAACAAAGCATATATACTTAGTGCTGTTGGACATTTGTGGTATTCGTGAATGGTAACACCCAATATTAAAATGGATGTCTTCTTTACATAACAAGTCATTTCTCGAACTGCGCGTCTCGCCTGCTTTTGCGACTATCTTTAAAGAGTGACCTTTGACCTTGGTGTGAGTGACCTTTGACATCATTATCTCGTGAAGGTTCCCATGTTGCATCTATGACCCAGTTTGGTTCAAATGGAACTTCAACTTTTGAAATGAGACCAACTACCTACTGTGTATGAAATTCATCGACCACCCTGGCAGGGTTGGCTGGCCAAGTCTCAAAATTTGAGAATCAATTCCACCCTTGACACTTGAGCCCGTATGACTTGGGACTTTCCCCGAGTATTGACACTGGACTTGACAAGATGTACAGGTACGTAGCACGCAAGAGACCTGTGAACTATTAACTTCAGAGATAACCTTAAACACTTGAAACTTCACTTTCCTGGAAATGACCTTGACAATGATTCAATATGTTGCCAAAGTAGTTAGGCAACCATGGGCATATACTCACCACAATCTGATGAATTTATGGTGTTGACCAGTATGGTAAATATGACTGTCGTGGACCAAGTCCAAAACTCAAATTACAATTACTTATGGTCACAGAAAACTACAATGGTGGCAACAAACATTCAAACAAGCTGATCTTATCTAATTCTATCTATTGTGCCATGATTTGAACCACAACAAAGTTTGTTTGCAGTAACTATGCAAACCTATTACACATCCAGTTGTACAAACAATGTATATGGTACATAGTTTGTGGTTGTCCCCTTCGATTTTAACTAGTGCTTCAACAGTGGTGACTGTTTTTAAAGTGAATTATGTGTATAGGTGTCATCATAACTTTATATAATTCTTCATGTATACACGCATTATCAATTATATTATCTTTAACAATGATCTACAGGAGTATGAATAATCGTCAGTGATGTTGCAAATTGACATTAACATGTATTTTAAACATTAAGTGTAAGCGACAAGTTTTGGGCCTACCAGAACCAAGGGAAAACTTCTACTTCCTTTAGTAGTTGCTGTATGCAAGGCATCAACTTCAAAATGAAGTTCAATTGTTGATGTATTTATTTGTAATGTATACATTTTTGTATTACATTACCTAAAACATGTAAAACATTTTCCGATACACAGACAAAATCACACATATTGTTGACGAACACTGTTTCTAATGAAGTCTACATGTATTATGTTGCAACTCATACATGTATGTATCGAAAAGTGCACAATGAAAAATGGTGCGACAGTGCCAACAAGAGTACAACAGATGCAGCTGTTTTAAACGAAATGACTTTATGAAAGCGTTCCAAAACACAAGAGTCCATGTCTTGCCAGTTTTACTTACTCTGAAAAAGTTTTGTGGGTTTTTTTTATTGAAATTTGACACCAGGAGGATACAGTGTCAGAAATGAAGCAAATTTTAAAATTCTGAAGGAGTTTCTTTTACTGAATTTTACTTAACTTTTTAGTTACAGTGTCAAATTTTTTTCCCCTTATTGCTCCCATGCCAAAAGTTGTCATAAATGAAAACATGATGTATGGGCTCTGCGTACAAGTGCCCCCTCACCGGCAAGAAAAGAAGAGTTGAGAGAGACCATCGGGAGAAACATTCGAATGCATTGCCAACAACGCCTGATGACGCTCACGCAAAGACATTATGGCTTTGTGCACATATAGAGGAGAAACAAATTGTGTGTACTTCGCACTACAACGAGTGCAAACCAGTACGCACACGCAGTGTCCTATCCACAGTGCTCTCAAAAGTGGTAAAAAAGCACTCTTGTTTTGGCGCACAGAGACCATACACAGCCCCTCTCCACCCCGACTCGACTGTGTCTCAGAAAAAAGTCACTGATCTTTTGTAATATTCTTAAAGCAGTAATTTTACTGAAATTGTAAAGATCCTGTTTTAAGGGCAGCATATGACTCTTGTGTCTTTCATACTAAATGCCCGTATACTCTAAGTCTGCCATAAGATCAATGGTATGCGGTGACAGGTGACAGAGCTTTTCTCTCTTGAATACCTTTGAAGTAAGAACCATCAGCATCTGTACCTCATCGGTAGTGAGGTAAGTCTTACCAGCACTGTCTGCCTCAGTCTGATAGACAGTGGAACGGTAAATCTGTTGCGGGGGGATTCAATGGTTTGTTAAATTGTCACCAGAACATGGATGGAGTCACCAAAAGAATGATGTACCTAAGAAATGCACCTGAGTACTATGTGTCCACCTCTTGCCTTACCTGTTAAAAAAAAAGGTGCTTCCTAAAACAGTGTTGTGGTCGAGACTTTGCAAGACCATCACAAGACCATCACAAGACCTCAGGTCACAAGCTATTCAAATGAACTGCAACAAAGGCATTCCTTTGTTACTGTTCGTGCCCTGTTACTTGTGGCTGGACTTGTGAATGGTCTTGTGCTGGTCTTGTGTCTGGTCTTGTGATGGTCTCGACTACAACACTGCCTCCAAAATCATCAACTATCTAACACATTAGGTGTGTCTCTTCAATGCTGCAGAACGGAATTGTCCTTGTCTCCTTTTCCCTCACGCATTTAAGAGGGAATGTTATTTTTGAAATTTTTTAACAGGTACTAATTCTAAGATGGGGTCTTGTCAAAACGTGACAGGATCACATAAAACAATAATCGTTTGAAGATCTTTAACGCAATTTCCAGTTTTAGACTACATGTATCTCTTGACAATTTTCATTTTCTACCAACTGTATGCCACACTTAACTGTTAGCTTCTGAAAGATTACAATTAACTCATCATAATTAAATCACGACAGCAACCAACAAAAATTGACTTAGAGTTAACAGAATCAGTTTCCTGAGTGGATACCATGGTAAGAAGGAAAATCAAGGGTAAGAACATACAGAAGTCAACTTACAATCCAGAAGTTACTGAAGACCTGTTCCAGCTTGGGAATGGCATGTTTCTGGGCTGCCTCTAAGGTCTTGACGTTGGGTCTGTCTCCCTCGCTACTCAGACGATTCAAGATGTCGTGGGATAAATCTACAGCCCTAGACAAGAGTCATCACAACACAGTTTAGGAGGAAGCCATTTTAAGAATACTGGGCAAACTCACCAATCAAACTAGAAGGGAGGAGGCACTATAAAGGGTCAATGCGATAAAAAAAATTCTCAGGAACACATTTTGCTTAACTTTCTACTCCTCTTAAATGTATGAAAACTATTTGATATCCCCTTTCGATAATTTTATTGAAAAGTGCACTTCTTTAAACATTTAAAATTGTCCATGCTTTTCAAGCCAACGGAGGGTGTTGTAGCTGTGATGTCATTTTAGAAAGACACTGTTCAGTTTAGGGGATTTCTGTTCAAATTGTGAACCCAAAATTTGCTCATTGAAAACATTTGTGAGAAAGCATGGAAAGGGTTGCTTATTGCCCTACTGCCATGTACTTACACAACAAATCACCAGAGAATAGAACATTTATGACAGCAAAATATCCAAAATTCTACCAACTTTTGTGCTGAAATGGCTTGTAACACTGAGGTTTCTGCCCGGAATGACATCACAGTTTTGCTCATGAATATGGAAATACACATTAGCATAAAAAATAAAAAGGCACCAAAATACCCTTGAAAATGGCAAAACGAAAAAATTTAAAATAAGGTTAAAAGTGATACAAAGGTGCATTTTCAAAGATTGCATTAAACAAAAAAATTATATTGCATGGGCCCTTTAAATTGCATAGCGACAATAAGATTATGAGGGCATTGACATTTTCTCATTTTTTGTTCGACATGAATAAGTCAGGTCTAGCAAAAAAAGTGTCAACCAATATTTATAAAAAGAAAAAAAGACTGCACAGCAGAAGAATTCTTACTTCTTTGAAGAGGGATCAAAATAGGTGTTGCAGATCTGTCTTGAGAGGTTGTATCGCTTCTCAGCGTGGGCGTCTGGAAGACGAAGCGCTGCCTCGATGTCAAAGTACATGTTGAATGCACTCAGGTTCTCCTTGCCTTCAATCTCTTGCATGTAATTCTTGAACAAGTTCATCAGCCTTCACACAACGAATAGACAATAAAGTAAATACTTTTTTTTCTTCACGAGACTCTTAAAAATCAGCAGCATCTATTATAGCAAAGGTTGAACTTATTATTAAGGTATGCTTAAAATTGACTATGGTAGTTGTGTGGAAAAGGGGACATGTTTACATTCTTCGTTGTATTTGAGGGCTATTGTCAAAGTGATTAAGACAAAAAGATGTGCAGGTTACAAGAACCCTCCTGCTATTTAAGCAGTCACGGACAGTCAAACTTCACTTCCACTTCCCCTGCTAAACTTTTAACAAAGGCTAGTCACCAGCAGTCAGATCATATGTCAAGCAAGCACTGCGTCTAGTCACACTGGGTCAACAGACAAAGCAGGCAAGTTGTGGTCACTGCTGTTTTATCACTCACCTGGGAGTCAAAGCATAGCTGTATCAAGTTACTTAATCAGTCCCAGCCAGTCAATCCTGCTTTATGTGGGCTGGGAATTCATACAGGTTGAAAACAGTCACTCGATTGATTTTAACTGCAAGGACAACTTGGCACAGAATTTATGTTTGCATTGTAGGGTTAAATACTGCTACAAAGTTACTTTCTTTGCCCAACCTAATGTTGTACTAAAGATTCACAATACATGATTGAATTGTTATTACTGTTTGTTCTTGGCCATTTTCTTGAAGGTGGCATCCTCTCTGCTCTCTTCTGACACTTTCACATCCGGCGGCTGGTAGGTCTGTATCTGTGGCACGGTGCCCCCTTGTTCCTCCTTCCCCTTGCCCCCGGTCCCCTTGTTCCCCCCAGCCCGCGCCCCGTCCCCTTTCCCCTGGTCCTGGTCGGTCTGAAATTTCACCCCCGGTTTCTTCTTGGCCTCGGCTCTTGCTTTCTTGACCTGCCGGAGCAGTTTCTTCTGCATGGCTAGCTGCTCCTTGCGTTTCTTCTGCTGGGCTTTCTTCTTGGAGGCAGGGCTGAGCTCTCGACTCTTCTGACGGGCTTGGCCGGCCTTGGACTGACGGCGCTGGCTACGCGGCTGGCGTTTGGGTATTTTCGTTGGGGTACTATTAAAAAAGAACAAAGTTTGAGTTACATGTATATCTAACAGTTCCTTGCCTTTGCGATTATTTGTGATGATATATTTTTGTTAAGAAGGCACACAGCAGAGAAAACGAAACACATGCAAATAGGATATCACTGCAACAGCATGCAAATACATGTAGAATACCACTGCAAACCATGCCCAACCAAAGTGGTTTTCAAAACATGAGTCAATACAAAAATACAAAAAATACAGTAATCTTGTTGACGTGTCTTAGCACAAGACTCGGTCTGAACTGAAAGCAGGGAATGTACAACAACATATGCCAATGTTTTAAAACTTCCTTTTTCCAAGGCTACTAAAGAACAATTCTGAAATCAGATTACAACACCATGCACGTGCAACAATGTTATACAAAGTGGGAACAGCAAACCAACTGAGAAAACACGTTCTTCTCAACGCTGCTCAAGTTGTGACATGCAAAAAAAAAACTGAAATAAAAATAAGTCTTTTTATACTTCAACCAATGAATCAAGTTATGACCAACGATGTACCGTACCCAGGTAAAATCAAAATCATTTCAAAGCAAGCAAGTGATAGTGTTCCGGTGTACATACTGTTAACATGTTTAGAAGTAAACAGTCACCTACGGCCCTACACAGTTGAGGAAACTGCAAGCTATATCTTTATTCATATAATGCATTAGTACCAACATTTTTTGCATCAGTTGTGCTGTTACAAGCATTTCAATATGCAGAAAGAAGTCAGTCCTTATCAATTATTCAGCAGGTAAACTGGTCAAACCCAACCATGCCAACTGGGTAAGCCATTCACCAACGTAACTTCAATAACAATATATACTCAGTGTTGTCCAAGGGCTTGCAAAAATCATTCATAAGCTTATATCGGTGGGACTCGAACCCACGACTTACTGATTACAAGTGCACATGTCTTACTGCTCGAAATCCGAGTTTGCTGGGGATATTGATATTTGCTCTTAAAGTCTTGGGTTCTAGTCCCAATTAACCGAGCAAGCTTGTGAAACTGTTTTTCGTAAGCCCTCATCAGGCAACACTGTAAAAAAAATTACGTCTACTAAAGGTCCGTAAAGATAGATTCGTCTACAAATGATTTTGACATGCAAGCATGCTGTAAATGCAAGTAATATAGTTCTACGTGTAAAGAGTTAGTATAAATCATCACGCATTTTTTAAAGTTGAAGTCAAAACCAGAACTTTTGTCTGAACTCTTCTTCGTGTCGATTACACAAAATTAGAAATGAATTTCTTAAAAGGTATTGTCCAACTTTTAGAAAAAAAAATCACTGCGCTCAGTCAAATTTTGGGGTTAATCTCAAGACAGCAACTAGATTAGTTTCAATCATTCTCTTCAAGACAAGAGTGCCATACTGGCATCATATGATATACCATCAGTGAATGAAACAACCGTATATTTGTCATGATGTAGATTACAGAACAACTTGATGCTCAAACATGTCCATCATCTACTTTATCTTGTGAATTAAATCCTTGCCGTAACAAATGTTTTATTAAGAAACCTGTCGTGCAGTTATATGCTTTCCCACTCCACTGCCAAAAGCATGATTAACTTTACAACAGACCAACTCATTCCATCGTTTGTTGTGGGGTGTTTTTTTTTTTACTTTCGAGGCCACATTCAGTGATGGTTTATCTTATTTCATCTTCAAGCAAACTTGAATTCTGAATTCTGATTGGTCAATCCATGGCATCGCACTGCACGTATCGTGCTACCAGTATTCTGAGGTACACAGGTTTGGGATAACAGCTGAAATCAATATTAGGTTTTGCCCTTCACCGATCTTTAAACACCGTATACTCAGTGTGTTACCTCTCGAGTGAAAGTTGGAAAAAATCACTCGGGTGGGACTCGAACCCACAACCTCCTGCTTTCTAGTGCAGAAACTGAGCTTACAGGATCGGTTAGCTGGTTCAAATCTGAATCTCAAATTTTGAATCTCGGTGGTCGAGTGGTTAGACGTCTGCACTATAGAAAGCAGGAGGTCGTGGGTTTGAGTCCCACACAATTGATTTTTTGTTACACCACCAAGTATACAGTGTTTAAAGGTCGGTGAAGGGCAAAACCTAATATTGATCTACATCACCCCGATGCAAAATTCCATCTTATGAATAACAGCTGAAATGTTACAACAGCGTACACTTCGCATCTGTACTGTGCGTCAAGTTTGCTTGAAGATAAATTTGTTATCTTACTCTCGCTTGTGGAGCACGAAAAACATGAAGTGTATCTGTGTTCCATGTACCACTCAGTTTTTGGCCTTGAGACATTTGGATATTCTGTTTTCCACTTGTACTCATGGGATACATTTAACTCATAACCTAAATGTGTGATAAACATGGCTCATCATGGCCTTCAAGCATATTCATGGGGACAGGACACAGGAACAGGGCTAGGCTGCGATACAATATTGTTATACTTTACCTACATCTATTTTCATGGTAACAGAAGTACAAAATGCGTATGTTCAGAACCATATTAAGAGTTGTCATGCAAATTGATCCAGTTAAAAATGACACTGTAAAAACACAAGGCAGCTGTTTTCACAATGCCCAGCACTATTTTCTTTTAATTTGAAAGGCAAGTGGTTTTGTCAACCGACTTCATACTTCACACTAGTACTCTGTAGCACTAGCATTGTAGATTTTTCTCTCCAATAGACAACACATAATTGTTGCCTGCTGTTTGGACATGAACTCCGGAAGATTGTGCCAGGTGGGGTTGGGGGAGGGGGTGAGTGAAGGGGTACGGGGAACAAACTGCAGCAATCATTTCACCTGCTATCATCATGATCGCTGGACTCTGTTTCCTCACTGTAACTGTCCTCATCACTACAAAACACAAGGCCAGGAAGGAGAGAGATAAAACAACCAAGAATGAAGCAAGCAGCAGTGAGTGGACCATTAAGAGCTTATCCCAGTGGACAATTTTACAATGTCAATTCCTCACATGTAACCGGGCTACTAATGCAGCAAAGGCTACTTGTAGGATTGTATATATCCCAGGTAAAAATTCCAGTTGAAAGCAGGGGCCAATTTCACGGCGCTGCTAAGCACAAAAATTTGCTTAGCACAAAAAAAGTCTGGCTTATAAAAGCAGGTTACCCGCATAAACACCATGTGTCGTGATGTATATTGCTCGTGATTAGTATTCAGCTGTTGTTTGCTTAGCATCAAAATCACAAGGAGTTTTGGCTGATAACCTGCTTTTATAAGCCAGACTTTTTTGTGCTAAGTAAATGTTTGTGCTTAGCAGCAACGTGAAATTGGACCCAGTTCAACTGTTTCAACTGGCTTCAACTGGTGTAAGTTAAACTGGACATTGGTGACTGGTTTTGAACTGGATGAACTGGCTGGAACTGGTATAACCAGTTTTAAACCAGTCAAACCAGTTCCAAACCAGTCACTAATTTCCAGTTCAACTGGTTTCAACTGGAATTTTCACCTTGGTAGTAATACAACTTGCAAAAGTAAATGCACAACTGGCAAATACTGGAAAAGATCATCTGGAATAAGCACTTATTTGTCCACTGGCACAGTGGAAAGTCACAAAATAATACCATGGCAGCATACAAGTATGTATGTCGCATCAGAAACAATACCTACCACATCTACTTTCAATGTTGGGTTTATAGATGTAGCGAACTGCAACATCATTTTATTCCCATTTCAGTTGATAATCGACAAATTCAAAATAATTTCACGTGGGTGAGTGTATTATTTCTGATGCAAAGCTATGCAAAAGCTCGCTCAAACACATGCAAAAAAATTTGCAGAAGCAGCATGCTGAACAAAACAGCATTAGATAAATGCAGCAGCACAATACACAACTAAGAAGCAGTTGAATAATGAAAATGAATTAATCATGTTGTAAAATGTTCCTGCGTCTGAGACAACTAGGCTCAAGTTGCAAAAATTGAGAACACTGCATTTTCGACATGGATGAATTAACACCACCTTTTTTTTTATTAGTACCGGTTACAATTGGCATGATTGGCCATATGATCCAAACTTTGTTCGTATTAACTGCAATGATACCAAATGCAGTCTCGGACACATAAAACCGAGTTTCACAATTTCTGCAACTTGCACCTTATTATCTCTAACCTTAAAACAAATGAGTACATTCAACAAAACTGAGAATATTAGCCATGTCTAAAACTGGACAATAACAGCTAGATGTACATATCTGTTTCACCCATGAAACACAACTGTACATGTTCATTATGTAGCTACACCAACGGCCGGTTTCAGTTACTGTGCATTTGATGTCTATGTTCAGTGCGTACTTTTCATAAAACAACAAAACTAAACAATGTTTCTGGATAATGTGGCTTCAAACAGACTCAAGTCCAATTACAGTAACACACATGCAACATTTATGTGTGGTTCACAAAACAACATTGATTCATGCAGTGAAGATAACATGCACATTTGTTTTACCACGATGGATCGTCGTTTTAATACCTTGGTCTATGAGTGATAATGGAGACAGTGTGAGAGAATGGTGTACAACATCACATAGAGGGAGGGAGCTGATGAATGAATCATTGCGAAGGATGAGACAAAAATATGACTTGAATGAAAAATGGAAATCACTGAATTGAAATACACCACACGGTTTCGTAAATTAGTTAGATGTCATAAACTTGAACGTGGAAGTTTTTCAGTTCATTGAAAAGAGCATAAAAGAGGCTTTCTCTTTTTATACATGTACATGTACATGTACATGATGTATGCTTGAAATATATTTATGAAAGTTTGAATATTCCTGAAAGAAGACAAAATTTGGTAAGTTTATAAGGTTCGAAGATTAATTCTTTGTCTAAAAGGTACTCATTTCCGGTCATACTGATAAATCTGTTACAGATAAGGTATCTTTTAGAGATATGCATGCTTACAATGGTCAGGAAATATGAACGATAAAAAATACTGAATGGGCATATACCATGTATACTTAGACAATTTAAAAATAATATACGTCACATTTTCATGTAGAATATGAGGCCACAAACTGGCAACACTTATCCCAGCTGAAATGAATGTTGTTAGTTTTGTGAATTATTTGATTGTGAATTTTGCGTGATTTATTTTCTTTGTTAGTATTAGAATGCCCGCTTTATGCATAGTTGCTCAACTGCATTTTTGCCACACGTTATAATGCAGCAATGATTAGCAGCCGCCTCTGCTATACACCCAGCAACAGATTCCTGCAAATGAAGTCGGACATCCGCCTGTTAGATACTAGCCTTTAGTCAAGTCCCACGCGCTTACCCGGACACGTGACGCACCCCGGATGCTGACACGTAAAAAGACTAGCACGAGCGGCGAAGCAGCGAGGGCCTTTACCATCTCGTGGAGAACGCTTATGTTTTTCTTTACATTTGTCTACCGATTTGGTAGACATGCATAATGCTTTACCCATTGTGAATTGACCAATGAAAATGCAGAATTACTAACGTAAATCTGCCGCTGGCGCTAGACAGCACGCGCGCCATGGAGCGGGTGCTGTTGCTGGTAACCGCCAACCACCGTTAGATGATTGGTTTATATTGATTGATTTATATTTACGTGAATAAATGAATAAGTGATTAGTTCCACGAGATAGTAAAGGCCCTCGCGGCTTCGCCGCTCGTGCTAGTCTTTTTACGTGCCAGCATCCGGGGTGCGTTATGTGTCCGGATGGTCCGGGTATAGGCCCGTGGGACTTGACTAAAGGCTAGTTAGATACCTGTATACATGTATACACAAATGATATGAATGAGTGGCACTATATCTACATGGAACTGTAACAAGATTTGAAACCGATGTGACAAGACTGCGTTTACCTGGCTCTAGTTAACCTAAAATGGACTTGGCTAAAAATAACCAGAGAAATTGGTAAAAGAAAACAGTTATCTGAAATAATTATTCACAGCGTATACAATTCTACATGTAAAAGAATATAAGACAAAAATTGATCAAGTACATGTGTAAAAGTGTAAAATGCATTTAAGAGAAGCCATGTTCCGAGGATAAATTGTATGGTTTATGCTTGCCGTTTACGCACTCATTACGCAATCATGTCGCTTGCTGATGCCAGCTGGTGTATTTATGTAAAGGAAACTTTCATCTGCATTACTTTGCGTTTCATGCTTGTGCAGTACAAATCTATAAATAAGCTCACTTATTGTGAAGAGCAGCAAATGGATATGAGAAAAAAAAATTGTCTAAAACTACCTTTTTGGCCAATGTGATTAAGATCCTATACATGATTGCTATTACAATATTTATAGCTGTGCTGCATGAACAAGTAGGGCATACATCTCGATCCACATCAAAATAGTCTTCAGTTTTTTAACAGTGAAAAGTGCAAATATTAGCAGTCCCTGAGTGTTAAACTTGGGTACCCTGTGCTCGTTTTGAGTTTCATCCCGAAAAATAGATTCCTTTTTTCTAAATTGCTGGTTTTCTAGCAATACAGAAATTATTCACTTTTGAATGAGACATCGACCGAAAAAAATTGGCCCAAGTTCAGTCACTGAATTATTGGAATAACTTTTCGAATTTCGAATTAAGTAAAAATTGAATTTGTTGAAGAGCACGGGGAACGGAACTTTACATTTTCTAAATACATACCTTTGCATTATTCCCTTCAACTGTCAAAAAAAAATTCTTTTAAAAGCTCCCCTATATAAAGCAAACTTGACGTGGTGAAAATGGAGCCTTTCTTCTTTGAATAAATTACCAATGCACCAACAAATCTTCAGTCCCAAATCATAAGGTCAGAGGTCAAGTGACATTTGTTAACTCACCGACTAGACTGTGCCTTCTCAAGAACGGCGGATTTGGCAGATGAACGGTGGGAACTTCTGGAGGAAAACCTGTCCTCGGGCCTGGCCCTACACCTATACACAGAATGTGCAAAGATGATGGTTTTGCATGTATATTATAACGCAGACATGCATCATCATTTTGAATTTTTAAATTAGGCTCTTCTTATATTTCAGATTTACAAACATGAATTTTCCACTTTGGTAGTGCAGGTGCAGTGGGGGGGGGGGGGGGTGCAGAAATCATTACTTTCAAAAGTGGATCACCATGTCAGCGCCACTGAAACATGAATGTTATCACGAAAGCTCTCAGAAGGGGCTAAACTGTAATACAGTATCATTACACTGTACCGGGGACACCTTTTTTGTTTGAACACTTTGGTGCACAGATTATTTGCATTATAATGTACAGATTATATTTTTGGGGGCGCTAACGACTGCCCTGTCATGCATGTGTGTCAAAGGGTTAATGTATACTGTCTCTGGCTTCCTAACAAAACATGAACAGGCATTTAAAGCCCGAGTCCATCATTTGCAGCTATCCAAAAAAGTAACCGGCGTAATTATTGTTGAAAAACATACTGGTTGAAAGATAGTAAGGGGACTAAACTCCCTGTGAAATTATCCTTTCTGGCAAGCTCTCATTTTGAAGAAATCAATGAAAGAAGGCATTTCCAACGGTGCTTCTTAAGAAGCACCGTAGGAAAATTTAAATTAGTAGTTCGTTTTGTTATTCGGCGCAGCGCGCACAAGCATTGGAACGACGCACAGGCGCGCGCGGTTGCTATAATTCGTTGGATCAGTGCGCAACATCGCGTAAAGCTGCAATTCAAAACAATTTGAAACATGATTTAGCAACTTTTGATTTTAAATTGAGATCCTAGAATGCTGTTTTTCTCGGAATATGAAGCTGAAGCTGAGCTGAAACTTCATCAAGTAAGTTGTTCAGTATCCTTCATTAGATTTTGAACACTTTTGTTGCTTCAAACGAACAAAATGCACTAATTACAAATGATGGACTATAGCTTTAAGGGATGTAGTCGAGTCCACCACAAGTACTTGCAAGTTCCTCACAAGTCCTCCAATCCCAATTCAAATCACAAGCTATTCCAATGAGTTTTGACAAAGGCATTCCATTGGGGTGTTTTATTTCAGAGTAGAGTTGCTGTTATACAGTCCATCACAAGTCAAATCACAACTCCATTAAAACTCATCAGGTCAAAAGTAGTACAGGATAAATAATGACTTGGGATTGCTGTCATATTACAGCTCACTTGAATATCTTATGACTTGACTTAAGACTGGATGACAGGTGATGGACTTGGGACCGACTTGTGACGACCTCACTACGACCCAGCTCTGGTCAAGACTTACTGTAAGAATTCCCTAAGGTCCTCCTTCAGGTACATTAACCATTCCCTCTGGAGCATCAACACTGCATATTCCTTGGCACGGTTGAAGGTGGACGCCTCCACAAAGTCACTGGTCATTAAGAGTCGGCGGTGGATGTTGTCTCTCTCATAAGGATCTAAACCTGTTGGGGTAGGGGGGATAGGCCATGTTATTGGGAAAACGGAGTGCATGAAAGAGGGTGTTTATCACCTTTACAAAGGTTGGCAGCTGACCATGTCAGATGAACAAGGTGTCCCCCCCCCCCCCTCAAAAAAAAACCCGAACCCTTAAAGTGCCCTCTTTTTCACAGCTTTTAAAAAAATACATCGTAAATATCGATACATATTTGAAGAGTATAGTTCATTAGCAGTCAACAACGAAAAATATGTTTCCAATCGGGTAAATATTTATTGAAAACAAGTGCCGCTTTTTCATTTTGTCCAGGGCGACTGATATTTGACTGCTGCAATGAGAACACCGGCTGATCCATCCGTGAAAGAGGCTACCAAGTAGAGGGCAGAGCAGAACAGTAAATTTACATCTAAGAAGTTAACCAAGGAGTCGTTTACTGAAGTGGGGCTGCACCTGTGACCTCCAGAGCATTGAAGTAGTGTACAACCAACAGAGCTATTACATACCTATGTTCCACATGCCCCCATCCATGATAAACTTGTTGAATATAGACCACGCGTGTCCCATGCGCAGTAGTCTATCGGCAGCACGGTCCTCTGCAGCTCCGTAATCTGTCACATCTTGCCAGAAGAGAAGATTGGCAAGTAGCTTCATGTCCACTTGCCTGAAACGAATAAATACAGATAATATCTTGTTTTTTTTAATTAAATTTTGTGACTTAAATTGCTCAGAACAAAATGTGTACGTTGATCCTTCTGACATACTTCAACATTTTCTTTTTAACAGATCTTTTTAAGCGGGTTAGGGGTTATATAAATAGGGGTTAATCAAAAATAGAGGCAGTCGTGAAACTCACCTTTCCAAGTGGCGCTGGAAGGGCCTCCCCGCTTCTCTGTCGCAGGCCAGCCCGACGTGAAATCTGGCTGACAGCGGCCTGGGCACGTACGGCACCGCATTCAGGTCTACAAGACGACCCGGTTGCACCACATCCTCCATACGGCGCCCTCCCATGGCCACTTTACTCCAGTCTCGGCTAGAGGAAGCCAGTCGGACGCAGGAGGACGGACGGACAGGGAGGCTGTTGACCAGGGAGATGGAGGGCAGGAAGGAGAGCTGGGGACTCTTGGGATCATTGTCCATGTCGGAGGTTTGCAAACGGTGCTTCTCAGAGCTGCAAAGTCAAGAAAGGTTTTGGATAATTGAGGAACACACGTGTTCCTCCATGGTCACAAGAGGCAGTTGGGAGGGACCACTGGGAGAGACTCTTGAAGAGGTAACCAACGATACATGTTTGTACACATGCAGATTACAAGGAGCAAAATAATGTAAGTACCCATGTGTTACCCATTCACTCAGTGTGCATAAAACTCTTGCCACTCCCGACGACCCAGTCCATACCCATTATACATACCCCAAAACCATTGAAAGTACCTTATGTTACCCATTCTCTCCTTATCATGGCTTATGCAGGAAAGACCTAGCCACCTAAATTAACCCAGTAGTACAACTTCACTCCCATACCCAGAACCCAACTAAAAGTGTTTTACATTTCCCCACCTCTCCTTCTGTAAGATAAACCTAGCACCCAGAATTAACCCAGTCGAACCCGCTACACATGACAGCAAACCAATGGAAGTACCTTAGGTTGCCCGTTCTCTCCTTGTGCAGGACAAACCTAGCCACCCAGTATGAGCGCATCCTCCTCAGGACATCATACTGGGTCCGTGTGAAGACCGACTCACTCAGCCCCGTGTTACCCTGCGCTCTTTTGATTTGTTCCTTGGCGTCGGAAGTCAAGTTGAACTTGTACTTATCCTGTATGTCCCTGCAATATTATTCACATAAAGTCGGTATCAATCATTACATATTGTGTGAGTTTAATTTGGTATGACTTAATTTCAATACTAGAAATGTTTCGAAATGTTCACCACTGACGAAAATGTAACCTGTCTCTGTAGAGACCTTTATCATGCTGCCACCATCTCTGTCATGTTCCCGGTATGCAATAACAGTACCGAATGATGTTTTTTGTGCAAAAAGGAACCAGACTATTTTTCCTTCCAGCCTCGCTTTCGTTGATTTGAATGGGAAAAAATCAAGATGGCCAAAACATGATAATGGTCTATAAAGAAAAGGGGCAGGGATTCACATTTTAACATGTCTAGCTGTTGTTAAACTAAGTCTCCTGACAACAGGCAGCACCCGATTTCACAAAGCGCTGCGATGCGTCGCAACCCGAGTTACCACGTGTAATACTTCATATGATCCATTACATGAAACTTGCCATGTGTTGAACGCGTCGTAAGTTCCTTGACAACAGCTTAAAACACGTCGCAAGTTACGACGTGTCTAGTGGTCATCGCAAACGTTTTATGTCTTAAAAATACATAAACAAGACTATAATACCGAGACAATGTGTGTAAATTTGTAAATAGATAATGCATTGAATAGTTATGAATTAGCCTGGAATATTGCAGTTGAAATTTCAAAGTAGCTATACAGTACATCGTTTTTGAACAAGAATCACCAACAACCAAGAACTGATTTTGTAAGATCAATTCTTTGACATTAAAGTCTGTTTTCCTTCAATGCAAAAACCCTTCATTGCAGAATTTGTTTTGACAGGTGTATTTCACCCAAGTGGAAAAATGGAAAACCAAAAACCCAAATATGTCAACTTCTAAAAATGTGCTATCCCCATTACAAAAACTAAATCTCTAGACTCAAATAAGTAATCGTTAGAAGAGAAGAAAGAAGGAATATCCCCTTTATTCGATTAATTTCAAAAACTTATTTACAGTGTTTTGATGTAATTTCCTTTTTACTACATAGTGCTTTTTTATGTTTTTTTGCTTTTGCGGCACAAGTAAGGAATAATGAATGATTCACTTATTTTATGCATACCTAAATAACCTGGTCATGGTTGAATTTGTTGCGGTCTCCCCGAGGTGTATGGCTTGAACGTTGTCACTGTACAATTCACAGTCTAACCAAAAATTCATCATGTCCTCCCCAGCTGTGCCACTCAGGAATGACTTGAAGTATCCCATGCCTTCCAACTTGGTGGAGAAAGAAGAACAAGGTTTAATATTCAAATACACACAATATTTTACAAGAATTGAACAAATTACATGCATGTTGTTGCCTTTTGGACTATGATACACCCAAAATATGAAAATTGTCAACAGTGAATAGGGTGAAAGGTTGCAGCACAAAAGTCCATATCGACAACCCTGGACATAGTCTCATTTTGCACAATGGACTTAAGTCAGATTTTTTTTAATTGTGAACAGCAACATTTGCCTTTGTGTTTGTCTAGCACTGCAAGGAAAGAATGGACAAGTGATTAACTCAAGGATAATACGTGCATATTAACTGATTAAGTTGAAAAGTGGTCCCTTTATGCCAAATACTTAGTTTTGGTCAAGGTGTTATTGTATTATATTGGACGCTCGATCATTGCTGAAAGAGGGTGTATCAAAGTGAACTGCTTTCACACATGAACCGCTATCACAACAACATCTTGGGAATCTTGTACTGGTCGTGTCATGTCCGCACACCTGTTTTGCCTAACGCATGCAGCTCGCATTCAACACCTTGAATACTAGCTGTGAACCAAACTCCAAAACTTCAGCCAGTAGCATGCTACCATGACTTTTGTGCATATTCATGACGGCCCTTTGCCTGCAGAAGCAGCGCATGCGCACTAGTTCCCCCAATTATTCAGGAGATATTACAAGATTCCCAAGACGTTGTTGTGATAGCAGTTTGTGGGAGATACTCAATCAATGTGATTACGCCCTCTTGCGGCAGGTGATTGCGTATCTAATATACAACAATGTCCTGATCCAAGACTAGCTAATGCATGGTGGAGTGCAGTACTGTGAACGTCTCCAAAAATACAGGGTGACCAAAAAAACATTTGCAACCCTGAAGCAGTTGCCTTTTTCCAAAAACGTGATCTGTGAATTTGTATGTCTTGGATATAAGATTAAAGCCGAGAGCTTTTTCTTTAAAATATTGAAAAAAACAATGAAATATCCCTTTTAGTTTGTATTTTAAACCATTTCAGCATCATAAATATGTCAAAAAATTAAAGAAATTATCCAAATGAAAGCCAATTGCACAGTGGGCTTACAGTAACATTTGTAACTGTTTGAAGCACTTTTGGAAAGGATGAAAAAAAATCACTTCTTATACATAATTAGCATTTTGTCAGCAACCCAATGTGCCGATTTCATGATTTTTTGCAGTATTTGAAAGAAAAAGCTCTCAGTTTCAATCTGATATCCAAAACATAAAAGTTCACCGATGACGTTTTTGAAATAAAAAGGCAAATGTTTTAGGGTTGCATTTATTTTGGGTCACCCTGTATATGACATCACACAGCTTGCAGACTCACACTGCCAATCATGTGATCCTTGAGCTGCTGAAAGGTGACTCGGTGCCGTCCCTCCATCTCTCTCAGCTCAGACTCTGTCCTCTCGTCCTCCTCGTCATCATACTCAATCACACTTGCCGTTCCCGTGGCTTCCTCTTCTTCTTCATCTACTTCTTCATCTTCAGCATCTCCAGCCAGCAGGCTCTGCTCTAATGAGGTCTGGTAGGTGGGGCTACGGGCCGGAGGTTGGGCAGGGAAATCGTCAGAAGGAGAAGGAACCCTGACAACAAGTTGAGTTATTTTATTAAGGATTAATTTTTTTTTAGTTTGTTGTGTCATTTACCAGTAGAGTTGGAATTGAGTCAATCACTAGTAGTTAAAATTACAATTCAAGCCACAGGTCAGGTGACAAGTACAGCGTACGAACAACCGGATAACTTGTGACTGACTTGTGATGACTTGTGAGTACTTGATCACAACTCTTACAACTCGCATTATTAACTCATTTTGCTAATACGCCTATTGGGACACAGACACAACCTCTTACTTTAATGAGACCTGTGTTTTATTGAATTCAACTCGATGGATAATATACTCCAATTTTCGAGATATCCCAAGTATAGGTTTCCCTTATTAAAATCTGGTTTCATATTGAAATCCGGCATCTGCAAAGGTGAAATAAAAAGATACATATGTGGAATCTCGAGCCTTAGACTGTACTTAGAGTACAGTGTGTACATGATTTTCATAATATGTCTGGGTCTACAGTGTGCTTTAATTATGCGATATCTTATTCCTGGTGGCTGTGTCATCTTTTAAGGTCAATTGAATCAATCAATCTTACTTAATTCCAGTGTGTGCAATTGTTTTCATTATGTTTTTTTGTTTTGGATGGACCATTACTTTTGCCCATTTTTCTGTTTCATATTTGAACTACATTGTTGTGTAATATTTAATGTTTTTATATTGTAACATTCTTGGTCTGAGGGCCACGAGTTGAATAAAAATAAACCAATATAAATAGAGTATAGCGGCACTTCAATTTTTCACAGAGATATGACAGTTGCTGATTAATATGCATATTAATCATGAGTGATTAAACTCCTATAATGACTGCTTGCAAATGGTACATTGAGCACATTGGCCCTTTTGAAATCAAACAAAATACTTGTCAAGTTGACGCACCATAACAATATACAGTTCACGATAGGTACAATAGTGTTGATTTACAAAGTTTACAAACTTAATCTTATTTCAAAATTGTCGTACCTGTCTAAGAATTGGAAGGTGCTGCTAGATTCCTCCAGCGTATGGCTGACAGTGTCGTCTGTACTTGGGATCATGATGGTGGTTTTCTTCTTCGGTGATAGTCCTTTGATTCCTGGACTCCTGAGGGCGCTCTTTCTACTGACTAAGAACGTGAATAACAAAATCCAGACAAGGAAATGAAGACATTTATTTGCACTTTCTGTCATTATTAAAGTCATAAAAGATGTCAGGAAAGAGAAATTAAATGAAAATGTTCTTGCATAGTAATTTTGGTTTTAAGGCATGCAGACGCTCAACAAAATTGTTGGCAACCTTTAGTTGAAATTAAGTCATCACAAGTCAATTACAAGTCATCCTGTCTGTTATCAACTGACAAAAGTATTGGTCATCATCCGTAACATTTGACTTGACTTGACTCATGACCGACTTGATTACAATAATTTCTATCATAAATTTCCAAAGCCCCAAAAGATGTGAAAAAAAATATTTAATTCAGTAAGTTACATGGTAAATATTCAATTACTTGTATGCAACATTAAACAAAGCCAACACTTTACAAAGGCTTCCAGCTGCCTAATATTTGTGTGGTAGCAAGTAGTCCTGGTGAACACTTTTCTACAGATTTTGATTATTTTTCCATTAAATGTGCATACGTCACAAGCGACAAGGTGCAACTTGCCTGCCCCTCCCTCGTGTTTCGAGCTACTCTCAGCATCCCCGTTGAGACTCAACCTCCGCTGGACGTCCTCCGTGAACTCTGACATGTTGTCTGCCACCCAGCCATTCTCAGTTGGCTCTGGCTGAGTGCTAGGAGGTAGCTGGACCACTTTGCTGACTGAGCGCCGGCCTGATGCCGACTTACTGGATGGTTTGGTTACGGCGGTATCGCGGTGACCGACGTTCCTGACTGCAGCAGGGACGTCCGAGTGGACTTCATTACTCCACAAAGGACTGCTTGGGCCTGTGGAGAAAAATGGCGGGAAATGTCTCTATTGTCTTATAAATGTAAAGAGACACAACTAACTTAGCAAGCACCTCAATGTTTTATGAGAACAAATGTTGAAACATCAAAATCTATTTTTTTAACAGTATCTTTTCAAATAAACCATACTGGGAAACTGTTAAATTGCACATGGGTCATTCTATGAATCTGGGTCCATTTTCTTCCTGTCCTTGTAACATCTGACATCTATGATTTTGTAATTCTAGACGCACTCCTTAATTGTATTTCTGCCCCCAAGTGTGATCAGGTGAAGCAAACAAACTATTCAACAAAATAAAAAATTAGTTTGACGTAATTTTAATGATACTTGAACGGCAAATTACAAAGTACCAAGGTCACAGGGACAGGAATAATGTCACACTTTGGACTCTCAATTTATAGAATGACCCACTTACAAATATAGATTAACACAAAGAATTCAAAATGACTAGAGCTTGATTTCCAGTGTTACAGACGTTGCAAATTAATATCCCATACCAGTCAAATTTTATGTTCAACCATTTGTCAGTGGATAAAATAAGATAAGGCCAAAAAAAAAAATAGTTCGGTCTCTGGTCAGCGCGCGCGTTGATTTTAATCATGCGCGTCAATCTTTTTTTTTTCCAAAATGTTCCGCGGTAGCTCCAACAGTGCCCTCTATTGCCGCACCTCCTCAATTTTTTTTTACCAAAGAGCACCAAGGAATGGGAAATTGCACCAAGGCAAATGATCGAGAGCACCAAGGCAAATTATGGAGGACACCAATGTACATGAGGACACCAAAAAAGCAAATAGTACCCTACCTTGTCTGTACAATCCAAGCTTGAAGAAAAAAAAAAAAGCAAAAAAAAAACCCCAAAAAGCCGCGTCCCTGCGTCAATTCCGGAACTTTGGTCTGACCAGAGACCGAATATTATTTTTTTTTGGCCTTACAAAAATTTCTCCTAAAAAAAACCTGGGCCCCATCAATCACCAGTCTCCTGATGAAGAGCAGAGCATACTGTTTGAAACGTCGAGTTAAACCAACTGGTTCTTCTTAGAACCACACAACTCACTGAGCGATATTATTCACATGGTGTTACCGCAAACCTCCCATTCGTTGAGGTCAATCAAGTTTTAGCTGTCAGATACAGAGCATCAAATTCTCACTGGGCACATCTGTTTTATTTGGACGAGTTTGGTAAGAGGTCAGAAAAAAAATCTAACGTTTGAACGCAAGTTTATCTGCTCAATTGTTGTAAAAACAATGACATGGCATCGAGCCTCACCAATGTCTAACATGGGTGGCAGACTGATGCACCGACTGCCCGGTCGCAGATATCTAAACATCGCCATGCGTTCGTTCTCATCCAGCCAGTACGCATACTCGCTGCCTTCGTTGTCGTACATGGACGGCTCACGGCTCTGGGCTAAGCTGGCTGAGGTGGACGTGAAGCTGGTAGTCTGTCGGCTGTAACCTCGTAGGTCACGGGAGGAGTTCTGGCGGCTGGCCGGCCGGCGCTCATCCAACGGCCGCAGCAGCAGCTTGCATAGCTTGTACTCTAGGAAGAGCTTTGTTCTGTAGGTGGAGGTTACAAATAATCAGAGGGGGTTTCATATGGACTCAATGTGCAAATCATGTGAAAATGCTACTGTTGCCAAAAATCTTTGACATGTTTGTTGGTGAATTTTGAACTCATTCAGTTTTATTTTCTGATAGTTATAACTTTGAGAGTAAATTATTGGAAAATTCATTGGAATTTGGTCCTAAATTGGGCATAAATCAGGCAGAGGGTCCCTTATTTATATTCTGCCGCACTCAAACAAATCTCAATGGGAGTAAAATATGCAAACATATTTTGAAGTTGATAAATTATGATTAACCAGTATTATCTAGAGCTGTTTACACCCGTAACTTGAGATTTCAGTTTCTAATTTTTTTGGCACAAGATAAACAGGTTTGCTGTGCTCGTTAGATTGAAATCTTGCAAGCGTGTTGGAATGACATTACTTGTAACTCCCAGTTTTGGGTAATTTTTGTCTGGTACAAGTCGCTGATCATGCTGATAGGTAGCACTTTATTGTGATAAGCAAATGGAATGGGCAAGCTTAGCAGTTCGATCCACATACCTTAAAAAAAGTGGTAGCCTCTCTTTTTTGGCCCAGTCAAGGATTCGTTCTCTCTCCTCGTCTCCAGGGGCATACGCCGCGACGTGACGCAATCGCAGCCGTGATCCTGGGATGCCCTCTTCGATGGACGCCAGAGCAGAAGTTGTCTTTTGGCCATCGTCATCCACTTCTTGAAAGGTTCCCGTCAGACGATTGTAATACAGTGGTTGAGGAAATGCCTGAAGAATAAAAAAATAACAAAAAAGAAACGTGAGGCTTTAAAGGAACTTGTATAACACAATTAATGTCAATAAAGAAAATTGTCACATACAGTGTCCCAGTGTTGTCGTACTCGGTACTGGTACTCGAGTACTACTCGAGTCCTTTTTTTTTAGAGTACTCGTACTCGAATGTCAAAGTACTCATACTCGAGATGACGATACTCGTACTCAGGCAGCAAAGTACTCGTACTCGGGCAGCAAAGTACTCGTACTCGACATGATGAAATTGTACTCGATCATCAAAGTACTCGTACTCGAATAGCAGTACAAAAATTTTGTATAGCGTGACTTACCACAGCCTTATTTTATTATCGATACTTTCAGTTCGAAATGGTTGATTGGCTTGCAGAGAAATAAAAGTTTCCTGATTTTTCTCTGTGCACGTCCGGACAAACACATTTAACAGCTAGCCGTGAGTGGGTCTATATCTCGGTCTGGGCCAATTACGCACAATGAATCATTTGCCGTATGGCCGTATTCGGAAATAGAAGTACTCATACATGCCATACTCGTACTCGGAATACAAGTACTCATACTCGTACTTGTGTACAAGTACTCGTACTCGGAGACCTGTACTTGTACTTGGAAGTACAGGTACTAGTACTTGATTTGGTAACCTAAGTACTCAGCAGTACTCGGAAAAAAGTACTCGACTACAACAATGCAGTGTACATGTCAAAGTTAATTGTGTATTGCAGAATAAAAGACAAACTGGTAATAAATTAAAATGTAGAAAAGAAATATTGCTGGTATGATCATTACGCATACATACACATTTATAGCCTAGACATGTTACATGACTTGTGTTTTAGTTTTAAAGTTCAAATCACCCCGAAAATAGTAAGTCATATACAGTCGATTCTCATTAGTACAAACTCTGTTAATACAAATTCTGGTTATAACAAACATAAAGCCTCGGTCCTGACTGTGCATGTATGTGCACAATGAATGGCACTGATATTCCTCTTAATACAAAATTCCGATATAACAAACAATTTGGCTAGGTCCAAACGAGTTTGTATTAATGAGACTCGACTGTACTCTTAAAATATGTTACTTGAAACTTACTGGTAGTTGCAGGAAAGCATTGAAGTAGTCCAGGAATAAATCATCATAGACAAGAAGAGCCTCAAAGTTCTCCTCACTCACTTCAATGGCTGTCAATCAAACAATAGTTAAAGAATTTTAAACAAGTTAACAAATTTTGTATATACAATATCAATTAAAAAGGTGTAGACAGGTGTAGGCTAACCTTGCTTTGTTACATCAATTGGAGGTTGGTATATTTTGAGAGTTCAGTAGATTACCACACATAAACACGACGGACACAAAACAAAAACAAGGACATATGTACCGGTACTTGAAGTTGACGAGACAGCAGTTGCTGGTGATGTGGTATTTTCAGTTAACTCCATTTTTCCGATTCACCGTGTGTTTTGCAGTGCGCATATCACTTATCTCGTGATAAAGAAAATCAACACTTTGTGCAAACGGTTCAAGAAGTTCCGTTGCTAATTATCCGGACGGAACTCGAGTGGTATTCGGTGCATTAATGTATTACATGCAGATACCGATATAGCTATTTGATAGCTAGGCTGAGGTGTGCGTTTCTGCACTTCAAAGTACAAAGTTAAAAACGTGTGCAATCACAGGTGCACAAAAACTGGGTGAACTTTTAATAAATAGAGACAGGTGTCTGTGGCAGTTGCCAGGGAATGACACAACTATGTCTGCACTTGTACTTGTGGGCTCCAGTGTTCTGAGCTGGCTGCACTTGAATTCAAAAGTTGGAATGGGAAGTGGTCATGCAGGCTCTACACAGTACATAGAATTATTGTTATCCTTGTGAAAAGTGACATTTGTACAAAGAAGTTTAATCAGCATTTTCCATCTGGCAAGTGATTTTTCTGCATCATCAAGAGTTCTCAGACAATAATTTATCAAAATTTTCCAGACAAAATTTGATTTTAATACCGCGGTATACCGGTATGTATGGTTTTGTATACAATTTCTTTGTCGTTGTTTGTTTTCCACAATAATAGGCCTATCTGATTGCTGTTGGGCAAAAACCATCAGTTGCAAAGTGACATGATAATAAACATGATAAACTTACATTTGTTTGTGCAACATCCATGATTTCTTCCAAAATAAACAACTGCTCACTGCTTGCTGTATTTCCATTTATTATGTCTACACGTATGTAGGCCTATACATCGTCGCTGTTATCTCACGAAATGCCAAAAAACTAGAAATTTTTTTTTTTTTTCAATTTTGAATTTTGCTAGCTTTTTATTATATTTGTCTCAAAGAACATTTTGACCAAATTTCAAAAGGAAATATTGTTTACTTTCTTAATTATTGTAATTAGTCAAAAACCCAAAAACCCGGCCAATGTGTTTTTTTTCCCCTGGGTTTTTTTTTTTTTTGGGGGGGGGGTTACGAAGTGTTAAACAAATTTACAAAGTGACAAAATTCACCTCGCTAGGGCCAGAGGGAACATACATGTACATGTACATGGATTTTCATGTGTCAGGATGGGTGTGTGTGGACGTGCGTGCGCGAACAATGTTGAAGAACAGATGCTCAACAAAATTACTCTATGTTGTACACAGTATGTATGACTCATAAAAGTAACTATTTCTCACAAAGTAACAAAAATATAGTATGTTCCCAGGAAGTGACAAAAACTGTGTATAAAGTAATGGAAAAATAATGAAGGCCTCAGCGTATTGATGTTCTCACAACTTTTATTAATGAATTACTGTTTAAATAAGATATATTTTTTTACAAACAAGCATGCATTTATAGCAAAAACAAATCATAAGTTATTGGACATGCAAACATTTCTCAAATCTGCTGCAAACTGGTTGAAAATGTAATTTTGAAAAAAAAGGATTAACTTCAAATGCGATTATCTTGTGAAGAACTTTTGCTAGATAGAGGCATCACATGGAGTAATTGCAGTTATACCCAGGCTGACAATTTTAGCCGAATTTCGGCTAAATTTGACAGAATAAAAAAAAAAAAAAGATTTGACAGAAACCTTAGCAGAATGCATTTTTTTAGCAGAAAAATATAGCTTTTAGTTTTGAAAAAAGCTTAAATTTCAGGTTCCCTGAAGTGTATTAGAACAAAGTTAAGTACTTTAGACCATTGCAAGCCAGGCTACCGGTAGCTTAGCCTTGGTCAATGCTCTCGTCGTTATTCGTCCCGTACGCGGTCAATCATCGGCATATATATCCTCACGCGCTATGCACATGCATGTAAAAATACAGCGCGAACAGCAACCTCACGCGGCCACTATTTTTATGCAAATCAGTTGGAGACGATGTCGAGCCTTGGTTCAATCGTCCATGTGAGGTTTTGGGGGTGGTGCTCATTATGTTAATAGCCTTAGCTGACCTTAAATGTTGTTTTCTTATTGGTCGATCGTTGCGTGGAAACTTGCATAGTGAAACGTGGCACCGTACGTAATCCATACACGCGTCCGCGTCCACATTGTGTGTCTCTGCACACGGCACCAATGCACAAAAACTGTGGTTCCTGTCACGTCCGCAAAAGCCGGAATAGCTGCAAATAATTTGATGACGTCCAGATTTACCAAGGTGTGATTGGACACTCCACATATTAGCCCCGCCTACATTATCTGTATTCGCATACGAGGTCGTGCGCTGGAAATCTAGCGCAAAGTAAAGAAAAACATAAGCTTTGGCCGACGATTGAACCAAGGCTCGACATCGTCTCCAACTAATTTGCATAAATATAGTGGCCGCGTGAGGTCGCTGTTCGCGCTGTATTTTTACATGCATGTGCATAGCGCGTGAGGATATATGCCGACGATTGACCGCGTACGGCACGAATAACGACGAGAGCATTGACCAAGGCTACCGGTAGCTACGAAAGATCCTATAGTGCCGCATAGCGAGATATGCAAATTATTTTTTTTTATTATTTAATTTTTTTAAAGGAAATTGTATGATTTTTGTTTTGTTTAAGGAAATTTTATAACATCTGCATGTGAGTATAAGTGTTTACAATGTACATCATGTAATAATAGATGATTTAGCAGATTTTTGCTAAATCTGGCAGATTTTCGAAGTGCATCAAGCAGAATTTTACCATTACCTTCACGGTCACCCTGGTTATACCCCACCACTTGAAGATCACCCCCTTAAATTCAGTGGCTACGCAGTTAAAGGAGCTAGAAAAAAAGTCTTAAGTCCAAAGTAATTCCCCTGGAGTGGCTACGCGGATACGGGGCAAAAACATGAGGGGATACGAAGTAGGACTGAGTCAGGAAGGGATAAAAGAGGGTGCTATTTTCCCTTTTTAAAAAAAATCTTCCAAGGGGATGAATCAGTACTTACTACGTAAAGTACAAAAAAAAACTTGGCCCAGTATGTGGTTTTGACCCCTGAAAGATAAACAACGAATGCTCAGTCATCCGTGGCCACAGACACACAATCAAGGTATCACTGACTGGAAAGAGGACACATTGGCTTCTCACATGATCTTTTACTTATTTGAAAATATTTATTAGATTTTTTCACATCAACTGGGTTTTCTTTTTTTTGATACACCCTGTTTTGGTGTTATTACTTTTGCCAATTAAAGGGAATGTACATCATTGGTTTTTGATGTAATTTTCAGAAATGAACTATTTGAGGGGTTAGTATATAGATCAAATAGTGTTAGGCCAAAAAAAAAAAATATTCGGTCTCTGGTCAGACCAAAGTTCCGGAATTGACGCGGCCACGCGGCTTTTTTTTTTTTTTTTCTTCAGCTTGGATTGTACAGACAAGGTGGGTACTATTTTGCTTTTTTGGTGTCCTCATGTACATTGGTGGCCTCCATAATTTGCCTTGGTGCTTTCGATCATTTGCCTTGGTGCAGTTTCCCATTCCTTGGTGCTCTTTGGAAAAAAAAGTTGAGGAGGTGCGGAAATAGAGGGCGCTGTTGGAGCTACCGCGGAACATTTTTGAAAAAAAAAAGATCGACGCGCATGCTTAAAATCGACGCGCGCGCTGACCAGAGACCGACTTATTTTTTTTTTTGGCCTTACACTGACATTTTTGAAGTTTTGTGTTCGAAAAGGTTGGAAAAACCAAGAAAAACAAAAATGTTTAATTAGTCTGGTTCCCTGACTCCACAAAAGATAAAATGGATCAATTTATAGATGATGGAAAATTGTAAGGCACGGGAACCAGTCTAACTGGCCTGCACCCGTTCATGAAACATGTAACCAATAGCAAACAAAATTTGGACTGAAAAAAAATGGTTAATTTGGAGCAGTAGTTGAAAAATAGTTAGGTTTTTCCAACGCTGGTCGGCCGACCACCGTTGGAAATGTATACAAAAATACCATTTTCTTGAAAATGACTTCACACCAGGCAATGCCAGGTGCCATAATTTTACAAGATGCTTGAGACTGTCATTTACCAACATCCTAGTAAGGTATTTCGTAAAAACTGGGTAGTTTTATTTTTCGATGTTTGCAAATGTTGTATATTCCCTTTAAGACCATTTTGTAGGACTAGCCTACATTATAACCCCCATCTTTCTCAACCATGCAATCAGAGATCATGTCACAAAATCATTTGCTAATCAGCGAAGTGCTTTGAAACGTTATCGTCAACTCCATTTTTCAAGTCATGTTTTGTCATCATCGCTGTGGTTTACCCCCTAATTTCCCTCACAAATCAATACCCTGCCCTCTTTCCACACAATACATTCTGTTGATATTATGGGATATCACTGCCAGCTGTCCAGATAATTCTAAAAACATAAGATTAGCATTTCGCCAGCTTATTGGATGAGTGCAAAACATAAGAATGTTTTTTTTTTTTTTATAGGAATGGGACCCTAAAAGTAACTTCCAAATGTTGCGTCAGGATACTGTATTTTCATTCAAATTAGGCATGGATATTTGGCTGGCGCCAGCTTTCATTTAGTAAATGATTAAGCCACAACAGCACTGAAACATGTGCACTTTATTTCCTTAAAAAAAATCCTCCACAAGAGTCCAATGCCACAAATCAGAATAGGGTTTTGAACCCGGGATCTCTCACCATCCACTCAGCCCACACCTGCTGCTGGAACGATTCTGGTAATTTATGCGCCTATCGAATGTAATGACCCCCCCCCCCCCCCCGGCTACTCCAGGTCCGAAGTTGGGGCAGCCTGGGGGGGGGGGGGGGGAGCTAAACAATTGATAGACGCATAACTTCTCCCCGTTCCTCAGTATGGAACGCGGCACCTCGGCACCTTGCCAACTCGGCACCTTGCCAACTCGGCACCCGCCAACTCGACACCTGTAAAATACCAACTCAGCACCTAAGAATAGTGCCTGACGAGAATGTTGCACTTAGCCGCTGACCGATAAAGCGCAGCATGTTTTCGTGTGTTGCAGACCATGGAGCTTAGGGAACATGAGCAGACCAGGCTTGTACGCACAGGTTACTCCTAGAACCATGAGGCTCCGCGTGAGCGGAGCCTCATAGATGTAGAAGCCCGCAAAATTGTCTGCAGCACAAAACACTAATAAAGTACAAAAACGTCCATCAAAATTGCAGACATTTCACACAGAACCGCTGCACAGTTTGCCCCTATACTCCGTACTTTACCTCTTGACATACTCACGTATCTGGGGCACAACTAACATAGGTGGATTCTGTCGGTTTTTAGGCCAAAATGATGAAAAATATGCCCTTTCCGCACTGAGCCAACCGAACACTTGAAACGTGCACGCATATGATCGAGCGATGATTTTCGGTTCGCTCGGAGCGCGCCGCAGGGGGTACGGTACAGGCGAAATGATAGTATGTGCATGCGTACAAGTGCATGTACCGTACCCCCCGCGGCGCGCTCCGAGCGAACCGAAAATCATCGCTCGATCATATGCGTGCACGTTTCAAGTGTTCGGTTGGCTCAGTGCGGAAAGGGCATATTTTTCATCATTTTGGCCTAAAAACCGACAGAATCCACTTATGTTAGTTGTGCCCCAGATACGTGAGTATGTCAAGAGGTAAAGTACGGAGTATAGGGGCAAACTGTGCAGCGGTTCTGTGTGAAATGTCTGCAATTTTGATGGACGTTTTTGTACTTTATTAGTGTTTTGTGCTGCAGACAATTTTGCGGGCTTCTACATCTATGAGGCTCCGCTCACGTGGAGCCTCATAGTTCTAGGAGTACGCACAGGTCTCTCCGCCAGTCAACGTGACCGTCCGTTGGACGGTTAAATAGTTTTGTGCCGGTGTATACATGTGTCACGCGCGCACGGTGAAGCCTGGCGGCGCGATTCGCCCACAATTTGGTGGATGGTTTCACTATACTCCGCGCAAAGCACACGGTTATTTAATTGGCACTTGCGAGGAAAAGACCTGTCGAGCACAATTTGGGTCCCCGTGCAAGTTTAGTTTAAACCTGCGCACACGCAGGCGCAGGTTTAAACTTGCGCGTGCATTAATTTCCTTGCTACAAATTGTGCACGCAAGCTTAAACTTGCGCGCTACATAGATTTTTCCCATGCATGCAAAGCCGCCAAACTAATTTTTTTCCTGGTAAACTCATGCAGATATGTAACATTATTTTTAAAAGCAGATTTTTCTCCAATTAATAGCACCACTGTGCTTCGTTAGACAATGCCTTAATGCCTTTTTTGAAACATTTTATTTACAGTATTATGCTAATGAGGTTGACTGTGTGGGTTCAGAGATAAGGGTAGTCCAAAAATTTGGGACTCTCAATACTGTGTATGAGACTGGAGTCCCAAAACTTAAGGTATCCATTTCGTGCAAATGTTTGTGCTGCATAATAAAACCAGTGTGAATCAAAACATGGAGCTATAAAACACATCAAAGCGACCCGAAGTGATTGACATTCGTTCTCAGCTAGCTCAGCTGGCATGCATGGCTGGGAAATTAAAAAGCGAACTTCTCAATCTCAACTTGACGAAAATTAGATTAAGAAAGATCTAACTTTTGTTACTTACGTTTCATGTCTGTGATTTATATGGTGACGAGCTCTATTTCTGTAAATCCACACAGGCTATGTCCAGATGAAAGCAATGAATCAAGTAACAAGACAAATATTGCCCATCCATCATGATCATCTGTCTGCAAATGTACTGTCCGGCGCCATTTTACACTGAACAGCGTACCGTTTCCAGGGAGCTTGGCTGTTACATCAATCACACTTACTGTTTTTGTTATCGCCGGTCGGCAATACAAATATATGTCCCAAACTATTAATCTCTTCATATGAAATTATCATACTGGTATAAATCAAATAAAAAATGGTACTTTTGTTACAGAATGTGTTATATTACTTCTGTGAGCAAGGTTCAGTGGCTGTAAATTCAGAATATGTTCTTCCCTTTTATAAGGAGTGACCGTGACATATTGCACAGCCCAATGCAACGACAACAACCTGTAGCCACTTGTTTGGTTGTTTGTGCACTAGTTTTTTTCCTCCACCTAAGGTTGAAAATAATTTTTACGATTTGAGTTACGGTTGTAACTCGAAAAAAACTCTCGTTATCATTGAAAATGTTAATGCTAGTGAACGAGAATTTACACTAACAAATATGGCAGTTTTCATCTTCACGCTAAGACAAAGCAGTCAGTGTTTCCTTCCTCCATGGTTTCAACTTAATTCGCTCGTACCCCCCCCCCCCCCCCCCCGCCCTGCAAACAGGGCGGGGTGTACGAGCGAAGGTTTCAACGCGCTGAAACCGCTGAAACCGGTAGCATAACTTACCGATGATCATCAAGTGGGACGACACTAGAGGAGGCGGCGCGACAGTAGAAAGAGGACTTGTTAAATGTGATATCATCGGTAAGTGGGACGACACTAGAGGGTGGCGGCGCGACAGTAGAAAGAGGACTTGTTAAATGTGATATCATCGGTAAGTGGGACGACACTAGAGGGTGGCGGCGCGACAGTAGAAAGAGGACTTGTTAAATGTGATATCGTCGGTAAGTGGGACGACACTAGAGGATGGCGGCGCGACAGTAGAAAGAGGACTTGTTAAATGTGATATCATCGGTGAGTGGGACGACACTAGAGGATGGCGGCGCGACAGTAGAAAGAGGACTTGTTAAATGTGATATCATCGGTGGGATGCAGCACATACAGTGTGCATCTACATGTACATGTATATCTATCAGTACCGTGCGTGATATATTACTCATGAGCTTCTAGTGACGTCATAGTCATGCATATTCATCACGCGCTCTACTGTCGTGCCATTTTATGCTACCGCTGAAACCACACCAAACAGGATATTGGTTTCGTTTCTTCTTTTTTGCGGTAAACACATAGTTTGGGATAATAATAATGTTGCAACCTGACGCCACTTTGTTCTTCATATATCATCTCAATGAAGGTCATTCATTGCAAAAATGATGGTAAGACGTGAATCTTGGATAAAAACATCAGTTCCATAATATTTGCACGCAGCCTAACAGATTCGGATGCAGCCTTAGGCTGCATCCGAATCTGTTGTCTAGAGCTAGGTCTAGGTCTTCGCTCCATTAGAAATACGCGGAGACGCGCTGACAATAGACGTAGCCGTAGCTCTGGAAGCCCGTTTCGGACACGGCCTTAGTCTCTAAATGTATCGGCAGACTGCATCAATGTCACCGTGCACAGACGTCCATATTGACAGGTCAGCGCGGCCCAACAAGAACCGTGTCACTTTGCACGAATGGCTACCGTAGGTTGACCGCAAACGTACCGCGTGGGCCTGTGCATGCTGCGCACACAGTGCGAGTAACCTGCCGCAGCGGCCGGCAGTTTCGCGATAAATAAATTCTTTTTTTGGGGGGGGGGGGGGGGGGGAAGAGAGCCCACACCAAAAAGAGATTCGCCTTTATTTTAACAATAAGCAGTCCACTTTCAATGAGTTACGACTCGTGATGGTACGAGTCGTCTTAACTGAAGGTACGACTTGCCGAAGGCACGAGTTGTCCAAGGTACGACTCGGTATAACGATGTCGAGTTGAAGGTACGAGTTGTCCAAGGTACGAGTTGTCCAAGGTACGAGATGACCTGCTACCGTTTGGCTGAACTTGTTGACTTCAACACCTCATCCACTCAACCCCCGGGAAAATCCTGGATTCAGCTGGAACTTTATGTGACAACCTCCTGCCCTTTGAAAAGTCTGTGATACAAAAGGTATTAGTGAAATGAACCAGGTTCAGGTTAACTTTTGCGCCCATTGCGCGCTTTATATATTACAGTAACAAATTTGTGATTACTGTAGATGGCGCTATTGCATTTTCATAAGAGCCAGGTAACCAGGAGAAGCGTGCATTACTTAAGTTGGCGCTCGCGAAAAACAATTTTCGCGTGTCCTACATAGTTTTGCCAACTTGAAAGAGAAATACTGTGATGTGATAATTACTTGAACTACAAGTAAGCATATGATCCAAGGTCAACATTTCCATTATACCCAAAATATGCACCATAATAGGCCCGTAGTATGCGCCCTTTTATTCTTCATGTAGGTGACCACGATATCACCATTTGTCTCCTACTGGGTTCGCCGCTGAGCAGTTATCCAGGTACTACCGTTACAGCAAAATCGTTCCCATAGATAACTCCTGCGATGTCCCACTAAATATTATTTGCAGTGGAGGAGAACATTTTTGCGAGGACGTATTTTTTTCATGAAGTTCTTGATATTTTCCTTGCCAGTTTTATAGGTTCAAAATATTAGTGGAGCTGGAGGGAAACTTATTCTCTAAAAGGTTTTTTCCTTGTTCGATTTTAAGTGGTCGCAATCTATGGTAGAACCTCCTCAATTTTTTTTTGTAGTTTTCGGACGCGCTGTAAACTCTGGGCCTGGGAAAAAAAGTTCCTGGTAGATTTGACCCGGAATCCGAGTTTTCAGAGCAATTTTTCTGAGTCAAAGTGACACTTTTGCCAAGTTTTTTTTTTTTTGTCAAATGGGTCATGTCGACCCGGAAAAATGTATTTTAGACCCTAAAAATTATTAAGCCAAACAGAACCGGGATTCTAAATCAACAGGCTGATCAGGGATTTTTAAATGTAGGTCAAAACATTCATTAAATACTGCTGATAGACATTAAAGCAAATTCAATGTAATCCATTTTATAAACAACCACTGTAAACAATTCTTGTTTTGTTTTATTTTTGGACAGGTCCAGCCTGTAGCATAACAAACGAAATACGATCAACAAAAATTATAATTTTCTTAATTTAAATGATTCCCGTGCGTGTAACACGTGCTGACCGTCACAGTACGGCCCACGATTAGGGAGTAAGGCAGTGTAGCCCGATTGTATGTGCCTCATTCAAGGGATCACATCCCCCATTCCCCGAAACACCAAGTATATATCTGGAACTATCTTTTACACAAAATATAATCTCGAAAAAATAATCATAAATACTCTACATTTTCAAAATCTGAATTGAAAACACGGTTCGCTCACTCCATCCTCACTCTATCCTTGTATTGCAACTGTAGCAAAACAGCTTCATCGTCACAAAACTAATACATGTATATTCCTTCGGGGCAAATTATGTCTACACCATTGAAAGACATTTGTTTAAAGAATAATTTAGAATAATAATAAAGAAGAATGTTTTGAGAAAGGATGTTCTAAAGTTTGAAGGCAAAAGACATTTCTATATGTCCCAAAACTATTGTTGAAATCAATCATCTCCGTTCGGGGAACAGTGCCGACGTAATTTTAACTTTCCTTCAAATTCCTGTCAAGTTAAAAAAAAAAGAACAGCACGACAAATGAAATCGCATCCATAGATGAACAAAATTAACCATCTCATGGTCATTGCCAGTGGAATATGTGTATTATTGTATCGAATCACTGTGTTGAAACTTCGACCGTGACTTGAAAATAGCGTTTCGGCTCCAACAAAACGGGTCTACGGTGCCCAGTTGAACCAACCCGTTATATGGCTACAGATCGGAGAGAAATTCTGCCTTGATCAAGCACGGCCCCTGAATACAGCTCACAGAATCGTAGGTTGGACAGGAAAACTTTTCTGTTGTAGCCTGAATAAGAAATTGCAAAAAAATATAGAATTATTAATCAGTTGACTATGGCTTGGCATAATTATTCAAGGCAAGTTTTATTAACATAGTCGAATGAAATGAGCTAGACTCCAGATTTTTTTGAGAGATGTAGCAATATACATAAAGTGCATGAATGGAATTTCAAATAAATATTGGAAATAAATAATTTCGCGTGCACGAATCATTTCGTCCTTTTGAAGGGTCACTTATATGAGTACTTTGCTGTACCCTTCACAAAAAAAATTGTCTGCCAAAAAATGCTTGTATTTCTCAACACATTCTCGATTTAGAGGGGGGGCAACTCATTAAATGTACACCACTTTGTCTTCGCGCCTCTTTTTTTTTTTTTTTTTTTTTTTTTTCTCCTTTTTTTTTTTTTTTTGGTTGCTTTTCCGGGGGGGGGGGGGGGGGGGCAAGTGCCCCCTTGCCCCCCCCCCCTCGCGACGCCCATGCTTGCTGCGCCCATCCCTAGCCCCTATAAGGCAAAGTCAGATATTCGTGCGACTCATCTCCACACCTTGTACGGGCTTTTGTTAGCTTCACTGACAAGCCTCGCCATTCCAGCCAGACACGCTGTAAGCTGCTGCTCCGTGTAGCCCGTTCTCTGGACAAGATCGGCGGTCCAGCAGTCCTCATCGACCCACGGACCCGCAAGGTGGCGGGCTAGGCAAGTTGCCGCCGCGGCCCGCTCGGACGGGTAGTACTTGAGAAGCGAGGCGTCGGTCAGAGCCAAGTCAAGGATGTAGTTGGCAAAGTGGAATTCAACCTAGCAATAGAACAAAATCTCCAGTCATAATATATCGAAAATGCAGTTTTGTTATGATTACAAATTAACGTAGAAATGTCATACGATTTCATCAGACTGAGATGCATTTTGCGCATTTTGTCCTTGAAACAAGCAGTAAGCTAGCAATATTATATTTGAATACTTGACTACCACGTTTTGGCTGGTTTGGTGTGGTAAAGAAACGAATACCAATAGACCCAAAACAATTCTCAGCGAGTACCTGGCGGAGCACTTTTGTCCTAGAAGCATTCACTACCCATTATCTGTCTCATCTTGACTTTATTTGGAAACTTGGTTACTCCGAATATTACATTTATAACCCCGGAAAACAAAAAATGAGGCTCCCCATTGTTTTGTATACATTGTAATTTTGATTTATTTAGGTTTTTTTGTTTTGTTGCTTTTAACCTTACCCGTTGTTCATCAGTGTCCGCCTTGAGGAACTGTTCCAAGAACGTCATCGGTGTGGGGCTGAAGAGATCGAATTGCAGGACATGGAGAATACGTCTTTCCATCATCAACACGGCATCATGGGTGTATGTGTAGTCAGTCAACTTGCACAGGGTTTCCACCTGAACAGGTGTAAAAAAAAAAAAATCGCAGACAAACCGAAGCGTTAATTTAACATAATTTTGATGTATATTCTCAGACATCCAGTAGTGTAAAGACGAGATATCAAATGAATCTTTTTCTGGATTTAATACATCATCAATTGCCTGGCGAAGTCCATTGGTTTCGGACGCAACGTCGCACGTTGCGAAACCAAGTGTTATTTGCTGCGCGCTAAATTAGGTGTGGCAGTGACAGGGGCTCTAGTATAAGCTTGATCCTTCTGTATCTTTTTTTTCGTGGGTGTATAGTGGACAAGAACTAGAGCTAAAACCAAAACCCAAAACAGATGTCTGACGTAAACAAATGGGGCTTTCTGTGATCTAGACCTTGAAATAAGGCAAGAAAACAGTATGAAACACTAAATATCACGAGATCCGGACTAACTTGCACTTTCTTGTAAAACTCGCAGAGCTGCGACCTCACGCTATATAGCTCATTTAGGAAGCAAAGGTTAAGTGCCTGGTCAGCTTTTTCAGAAAGGTCCGGACCCTAGAAAGTCTTGGGTTGGCATAAGAAAAGAGGTATTGACAGGTTACCAGGCGTTGTGATATATCGTTTTCAGTTGATGTACCTCGGGTGCAGATCGCTCCTCGTACTTGCTTGCAACAAACAGGCACGACACCCCAAGCAGCTGGAGAAGGTTCAGACCGATAGGTTGCTGGGACAGGAACCGGTCTAGGAGTATGGCAGTCAGGTGCAGGGTTTCTTCAGAGAGCTCCAGGTGAACCTACACACAGATATGTGAAATAAGAATGTGAAATAATTCATCACTATCTCCCAGTGTTGGAGCAAAGGCTTAAACCTTCAAGGCCAAGGCTTTGACCATCAAGGCCAAGGCCAAGGCCAAGGCTTAGACCTTCAAGCCTCGAGGCCAAGGCCAAGGCTTAACCCTCAAGGCTAAGGCCAAGGCCAAGGCCCTGTTTAATAAAATGACCACTGATATAGAACTAATTATAGTCACATGACACATCATCACGAATCGCCCATTAAGAAGAACAACATGTCTTAAATTGCAATCAACATGCTCGCATAAACCGTTTTATGACTGCATTAGATCTATTAAAGTATAAGTTCAGGTCTTCAATATGGTTTAACTAAAACAAAATAAAATTTACTTCTATTGACGCACAATTCTCCCGAGTGTAACAAAAGGGGGATCCAAGAAACTGGTTTGGGAAATTTTTATTTGCTGGGCCAACATGGTCAGAAATATCAGCATTATCTAAAACAGATACATGCAAATCTTTAGCACTTATCAGGGAGACATACAACCAATCAGATCTATTCCATAATTGTATGCAATTTAAGTGATCATCTCATTAGCCCCACAAGCGTACAGAATATGTTTGCAGCAAATCTACTACAATGGTAACAACATGTGATGCTATCAAAGTGGAAGTGTGCCCAACACACAAATCTACAAGGGGTTTCCCTCCTCCATGGTAATACGATTAAAATGGTAACAGCAAAATTTCGAACAGATTTATCTGGAAAATGCAAAACTCTATGGGCCTTGAAGAGCCTTGACTCAAAATTGCAAGGCCGTGATCCCTCAAGGCCAAGGCTTTGCCCTCAAGCCTCGAGGCCAAGGCCAAGGCCCTAAAATCCAGCCTTAAGGCAGCCTTAAGGCCAAGGCCCAGCATCAAGGCACTACATCACTGCTATCTCCCACAGAACCGTGGTGCAATTTAGTCCTTGATTTTGTGGAACAAGCATTTATCAAATAACCTCTGTTTTTATGTCACTCATGAACGTAAACAATAAGACAAGCGCCTCCAAGACTTTAACTGTTTTTGTCTTTAATTTTGTTCTGTTCTCAATTGTTGTATTTTGTTCTCAATGGTATATCAATTATTATTACAGTTCGCACGAGCCAATTATATAGTCGACCTACACCTATTACTCTCTAAATTCCAAAGAGTGAATATAGGGACTAGACGTTTTGGAGTGAAATTCCTTCAATTGTAAAGATCGAGTTTTCACTCGAGCTTCGTCTGAAGTGGTTCTTTTTTCAGACTATTTCAATCAAACATGAGAGTGATTTTCACTCTAAAACGTCTTGTCCCTAATTTCACTCTTTGGAATTTAGAGAGTAATTAAGTTCAGAGCTTATAGTATGGAAGGTCCTTTTGGCAAAAATGAGCTACTAAAATATGGTACTGATAAGAAAATCCTTTTCATACCTGAACTTGGACGAGCCAATTGATAAGGACAGCCCTGGTGTTTGGGGTTACAGCAGGTCCTGTTAGATAGCTGGTTGGCACCACGCATTTATACTCCATGCTCTGTGGAATGCAACACAACATTCAAACTTGTTTGTTTCAATTTTGTTGAAGTCTCAGGGCTAATTAACCTGGCAATAAACGCTTGTCGAGAGTTAACCGAGCTGTCGAGTAATCCGGATTATAATTTTTAGATTAAAAATCGCCTCATCGCTCAATCCCCTAGATATGGCTTTCGTTAGATTTCGGTCTTCACTGATTCAGTCGAAAATAGACCCCAGCGAGGTATTTTTGTTATTATATAATAGTTCATTTTGAAAATAAATGCATGGTTGTTTCGGAAAACAAAGCAATGTTATACTCGATCGATAGTGGCTTCAATTAATTTAGTGCAGGATCATAGTTCGATGCATATAAAACAAAAAGCACACTCTGGGTTCAGGACGGAAACTCTTTCGAACTCTAGCTACTGCGTATAAGGCCGGGCTGCGCTGTTTTGATCTAGATGGGCGCTGAAAACCACCCCTTTAATTTGTGACATTACTTTGCCTCTGTGATGAGTGCGCTACGCACGCCCGAATGTTGAGCACGTGCCAAAGCAATAATCGTCTTATTGATCTAAAATATTAGCACCCTCTCCTTGATCCGTCTCTGATATTGAAAATACTTGATCGATTTTCATCCGGAAAAAAAGTCTTTTTATAAATTATCATGGAGTCCTTGGGTTTCAAAATCGTATACATTTGTATAATTATTTGGTTCCACAGTCACGACACTGAGTTTGTTTTAGTTCAGACTTCAAATGCATTTACCCGTAGGTATCTGTAGATTTCTGTGGAATACTCGGACATGAGCATGGGATCATTCTCTGGTTCTGCTTCTGGGCATTCTGAGCTAGCAATCTCCTCCATGCAATCCAACTCCAGCTTGAGAGCACTGAATTCCATTGGCTCGACTGAAACAAAACAATATTGGCAGTTTTTGTAAGGACCTCGTCATTGTTACACTTTTTTTCATTAATTGAGAGATGCCATGGATGGGGGAGCGCGATTCGATTGGGGGGGGGGATGGAAAGAATGTAACGCCGCTTCTTTTTGTGTACAAAGTCTATGGAAAGTTGAGTGCATTTTCAAAGTATTTTGTAACAAAATTCGAAACGTTTCTCAGTCCCAGATTCATCTCTCTTCAACATTTTTTTTGCAATGACTGACCTTCATTGAGATAAAATATGATGAAAAACGTGGCGTCAGGATGCAACATTCTTTTTCTACATTATGTTCTATAATAAACCACATGAAAGTTGATGAAACTAAAATACAACCTTTGATACATTCTCGAAAAATAACGAATATATTTTTTTTCGGGAGGGGACACAATGCAGGTTGGGGCTAGACTAACCCTCTCCCCCACCACCACCACCACCACTACCTAAACTCACTTTGTTCTTAGCAAAAGCTTGCTTTACGAAGAACATTTTAATGCTCAATTATGGCCTTACCATCTTGTGCAATGTGCAGTCCGAAGGGAGGCGCACCGCACTGTTCCCGTGCCGGTGCCAAGCAGCCATGGTGCTCTGTATCTTGGATGTCGTCTCTCTTTCCCCGTCGTACTGCGGGTGCCGTTGCCTCCTTCGATTTGCCTACCTTACCTGCTCGGCCAACCAGCTTACCATGGTTAGTCTTATCACTGACACACGGTGGCACATTCTCGGAGCACCATTTGGGTGGGTTTGCCCGGATGTCACAGGCCTTGGTGCTTCTGAAGGAGCGCTCTTTGGTGTCTAGTGGTTTCGCATCTCGCGCTTGAAGATTGGTTACGTCTCTGAAAAGATGATGCTGAGAAGGCCAAGTATTATTGGTTCGAATTCAACTCACTGTCACGTTTGGTAGCAACTGAGAGAATGGACTTCTGCAGTTTCTTGATGCATGCAAAATAAAAATCATTTGTAAGTACGTGGGCTCAGGACAAGTTGACCCTCGTATTCCTAAAGCTCAAGAACTAGTCTACTCCAGCGTAATTTCAGTGTTTTCAAGTTTATATTACTGAGGAAACCCGGCGGTTCAAAGCCGCGCAGAATTTCAGTTCAAACGCCGGCGTGTATCAGTTTTGGTCTTGGAAAGAGGTTTTTTTTACACCGTGGACCTAGCCCCTCCAACTATCCAACTACAACCCCTCACATAATAGACTACATGTATAGACCTTTGTCCAACTATACCAAGCACATGAAATGTGATAACTACATGGTGACTTTACACGAAAAAAAGATTTACCTCGGATTTCTCCTGGACTTGTTTGACGATCTTGACCGAATATCCTCCAATCTTACTCGCAGCCCATGTTCCTGATGGCCGATGGGCTACCAAAACACGCGACATCTCGATGATTATAGTGTTGCATGGACCGCTGTATTTCAAATGCGTGAAGATACCCCGGCGTCAGGTTTTATACCAACAAGGAGCTGGGTTTACAGAATGATCAATACACCTGGACAAATTCCTACAACACAATGGGATGCTACACACAGACGATCAGGCTATCAGTGCACGGCGATGGAAATCATTGCTGTTTCGTTGTCAGGATCGAATTTGCCGCCGTTTTTGGAAGGAGATGCGCCTGCGCGAGTTCAAACATGAGGATCAACTATGAGATAGCCAGTTTATATACACTGCAAAAGAAATGGTCAAATTTTGCCCAACTTTGTTCCCAACGATGATACAATAGTCAACATCCACATCTTTCGAGCGAAAAATGCCCAGCGGCCTTTGGGCAAACACGTTTACCTGAAACTTGCGAAAAATTACAGACGGAAGCCTGTTGGGTACTTTTAATCATCCATTAGTTGGGTAAATGTTAAGAACCAATTGTTGGTAAGCCATCATTTGAAAAATGGTCAATAATTTTTGACAAGTTGTTGGTTAGTATTTCCCAATTATTGGTTACTAAGAAGAGTCATTATGTTGGGTACTATATTATATAGATTTGCTCAATTTTAGGGCAATTTTGTTGACCAATGGTTGGTGTTTGCGCCTGAATGCTTAAATAAGGGATAGGCCTACCTTTAAATAATACTACTTTTTAATATTTTATTACAAACATCATCATCCAACACGGCAAACTTTTGAACACTTTTAAACTTCAAACTTTTGAGCAAAACTGTTTAAAGCATTTAAAGGGGAGTTGATCACGCTACATGAGACTTTTTTTTAATAATGATCTTCTTAAAATACGATTTCCAAAGAGATGATTAAAATTAAATCTGCAAAGTTTCCCTTGATCAACTGACAATAATACGTTGATGACTTGGTGTTCAATTATTTCAGAATTAAATATAACTCGAGTCCAGACAACATATTTAAACTAATATATGTTGATGACTTGGTTTTCAATTACTACATAATTAAATATAACTCAAATCAAGACAGCATGCTCCAAAACATATGTTGATAACTTGGTTTTCAATTACTACAGGATTAAATATACTTTAAATCGAGACAGCATGTTCAAAACAAAATGGGGGAAAAATTCAACATAACGATGATTGCTTTTTGTTACAATTTATAAGACATCGATGGCCTTCATCAGAGACTGCTGTGGTAAATGCCGTTTCTCGATTATCACAAACACGTCTGTTGGCTCTAGTTCAGATTTGTTGGAAAGAAAAGGCAAACAAAGGCAAAAATATGAAAATTAACTAAACCACTTAATTGTTATAATTTTCCGTTGGGGGGGGGTGTCACAGCAGGGGGGGGGGGGGGTCGACCGCGCCTGTGAACCCCATCTCCGTAAACAATTAAAAAAGGGGCGCACGACTCCCTTGATCTAAACTAAATCTTAGTATAGTCGATTATCTCGTATTACCCTACCTGTGTCTGTATTTGCACTTTTGCCACTAAGCACTCACGCCTATGCATACAAGTTTAATAAGTTTATCCCAGTGTTAATTTTTTTTGCGGTTTTCCCCGCGGTTCCGTCACCAACCAACCGCCGTTTGGACGTCACAAGAAAGTAGTTTGACGTTGACTGAGGGCCTACATTCATTGTGCAGCGATCAAGTCACGCCGGTGTGTACTAAGGCCTATCTTAAAAAAAGTTTTGAAAAAAAGTTAGATTTAAAATTGAAGACCTGTTTTTTTAATTCTCCTTTTTACGGAACCAATTTTTTTCTACCACAGATTGTAAATAATATGATTTCTGTTTCATGTCATTAGTACTGTTTTGATTTCTGAAATCAACAGGAATTTTAAACCAGTTGCAGGTGCACCATTTTACCATGATATATATCACAAATATGATAAAAAAGTTATTTCAGTAAAAGGGTGCATCTTAAGATAACGTCTGCAAATGCAATATTATGGCACTTTGACGTTGAACGCAAAACGTAACTCTATGATGAGATGGCAAAAAGACGCATATGCTTTATCCTTTACGTCCGGCACACTTACGCAGGCTGTACCACCATCTCAGCTCAATAACTGATTCAAACGTGCACGAGATAGCGCCTATAGTACATCCCGCTATCTTTGATACGGAGGGTCACACTACGGACATGAGCGTTCCATGGAAATAACGCCCCAATAATCTCAAAAGTGACTTTATCTTCAAAGGTCAAAAATTCAATTTACACTAAAGTCGTTCTGCGCAATGCTCGTCTTGGATGAAGACTAGTACATGCAACCGCCTGTCGCGAATATTTTATTTACACAACTATCTGGGGTACCCATTTTTCAGGCGACTTGAATCACGGTTATAGGATTGTAGAGCGCCGCGTAGCGGCGCTCTACCTTTTACCTACGCGCGCGCGCGTATACTCTCTCCACATATGTGTGAAAGTATATAATTTATGAATTGCAGGGATATTTCGAGCACCGCCGTTGCTTTAGTGGTTAGGCATGCTGGCTAATATTAGATCGGAGGTCTCGATTTCGATTCCTCGCTCTGCCAATAAAGATTTTGCTCTTTTTTTCAACAATTTTAAGATGAATCTTAAAAACGTTATTTTTCAGTCGGATACTACTTGTATAGCAGCAATTTCCTTTTTTCTTTTCCTGATCTGAGGCTCTGGAGGATTTTTTTAAAAAGGGAAATAAAGTCCGAAATCCGTACCAAGTTGAAAAATAGTAGCCTGCACTCAAGCCTGGTTATAAAAACCAAGCCCCATAGGAAAGCGCACAAAGTACCCCAGATAGTTGTGAAAAAAAAATATCGCCACCCTGTCCAACACGTTGAACGTGCACTATTTTTTATGTACTGGGAACCAGACCACAATTTCTCGCGTTCACTTAGGTAACTTGTATTCATATCAGACAGGTGCCGCTCCATCGGTTCGTCGCCGCCAGGGTGACCGTTTTAGCCGATTTTCGGCTAACTTTGACAGATTTTTTTGGTTAAAAACGAGTTTGTCAGAAAATTTGACAGAATGGATATTTTTGGCAGATTTCTGGCAGAAGTCTGCAAAAATGGATATTTGACAGAAAACCATAGCAAATTTGAAAAAAAATGGTACATTTGTATAAAAAACTTTTAATCTTTTCAAACAAACCCTATACATAATGGGACAGGTTGGCTGGTCTAGGTGCTGAGGTTCACAGAGAACCGGACCTCGTCCTGATCGACGCCTGTTTTGCCTGAAATTTACGCAATAATTTCATAACATCATTTTTTTGTGGCTATAGATTGTTTATACTGTAATTTGAACCTTAATTAAGGCAATACTACAACATCTGCATGTGATTTTAAGTGTTTATTGTGTATTTCGAGTAATTCTGGGGAATTTGGCAGATTTTTTATAAATCTGACAGATTTTTGAAGTGCATTTAGCAGACTTTTGCCATGACCTTACGGTCACCCTGGTCGCCGCGTATACATGCATTGTTTTATTCGTTATCTGTTTACTTTTATAATAGCCAAGGCAAGAGGCTCGTCACATTTTGATGTTTTCATTGGTCAATTTATGAAGGTGTGTGGTCATGTTCTGAATCGCGTGACTCTCCAAAAAAAAAATTGCGACTGGTATAAGTAACGTGTAAAATGTTGGTGATTTAATTCAGTTTCATACTTGCAACAGAGTTCGTTAGTTTGTCTCTTTCACTCAGTTTTTCATGTCTTTTACTACACAGCGACATGTGAATCGTGATGTCTGGTGATGCAATATCAAGTGAGTCGTAATTGCGTAGGGTGCGCTGCAAAACTGGTAAGCTTGTTTTTTTGTAAACATTGGTAAATGAAGCCTCAAGCAAGGTTGTGATTAATTTATGAATTCATTGTTTCCTCCATGGAGCTACCAAGTGCAGCTGGCTAAGCCTAGTATTAGATAGGAGCTTTAAAATTTTGAAATTGAGGTTAGATTTTTTTTGGGGGGGGGGGGGTTCATCAAAACTAAATGTTAAAATAAAATTGATAAATAAACAAGGCCTAAAAAAGAAAATTGTATTGATTGTATAGCACCCTTGCTCATGTGAACGATCGAGGAGGCCTACACCATTATAAGATATTAAATTATCATTTCTCGTCGGGCGAATGCATGGCGTAGTGCTAGTAGTGGATAGCGCACCCGCCTCGCAGCAATGCTGCTCGAGTTCGAGTCCCAGCGTGAACTGATGTTTTTGAAACTTAATTTTTTTGTGTCCCAAAAATAAAAATTGTCTTCTTTTATTGTTTTAAATCGAATCTTACAGTTAATCGCAGAGTATTTTATCTACTTTTTCTGATTCGTGGCTCTGGAGGATTTTTTTTAAAGGGAAATAAAGTCCGAAATTGTAAAACATAGCAACCGATGAAAAGTGGTGTGCAAATGAATACACATGGATATTTTCACCGGATGACGTAAGCCCAACCCCGACCCACATGTATGACTATGAATCTGAGGGGAAGGAACTGGACACAGGCTCCTGCTGCCTTTGACAAAACTTTGTACATGTATTTCTTATTAACCCTATTAACTCCCCAGGCATTTTTGCTAGGATGCAACCTCAATCCTGAAAATCCTCCAACGGCCTCCATGTAAAACTTAAATACATCCTCAGTCCTGCAAAATCCTCCATTATTTCTTGAATGTGGTCCTTGGAGGGGTGACCACTACCTCAATCCTGCAAAATTCTCCAGCAACCACTGTCAGTATGTCGAGGCAGAGCCAGTGACATCCTGGAGCAGTGCGGAGGATTTCAAGTACATTAATATTGAATTATCTAGGCCTAAATATATGCACAGCTAGGCTGAGCATCAACAACACAAGGTACGGCCCAAGATCTTGACACAGCGCATCCTTTAAATCAGTTGCACATTTTTGCCATATGTATTCTTCCTGCAAAATCCTCATCCTGCAAAATCCTCAATTTTGCAAAGAGGATTTTAGAGGATTTGGGAAGGTTAGGGTTAGAAAGGGTTACAAGGGCCTGTATTTAATTTAAATGAGCTGTTGAGTTTCATGAAGAGCGCAGTCACATTAAAAAATAAGCTAAAACAGATAAGATCTTGCACTTTTGATTTGGGTATTGATTTTCTCCCCAGTGATTATCAGTGCTACTTAAATAAGATACCAAATTGAAGGACTCTGTAACTACCATGGCCAGCATCTCTATCGCAGCATTCAACCGTGCAACCTGCAGCACCACATGCATCAAGACAGCGATGCACAGGTCTGCATTGATGAAAAGTACTGGGTTGAAACACAGATGTCTAAAGATACACTCCAATGTCTTCCGGTCCTCGACAAGATTGAGCTCAGGTTACGTTACCAGGCAGAACATCGGGGTTGTTGGTGTGCCCATCCATGAAGGACAGGTTAGCGGCTTTTGCAAAAATCTTCGGTTTTATAAGAGGATGGACCCTTTCATGTGTGTCTGTCAATCAAACTTTGCGCATTGACCAATTGAGGCATGACTTTTGGTCAGGTGACCACATTCGTCAGGTGACCACATTGGTCAGGTGACCATTTTATGGTAGCTTGAGAAACTCCAGCTCCAACGCTCATTGGTAATTCGACATTTAGAGCTGGAGGTCAATCTACTTTGTATCCAGGGTCCAAAAACGGCCGAGGCCATCAAATTTGGCCTCCACTAAAATGGTCCTGTCCCCTATTAGCCAAACCCAGATGAGATTAAACATACCTCGTACCATGCAGCAGTCATTCACGAAGCAAATGATCGACATGAAACAGAACAAGCTAGCCTTATGCATGTTATGGTAAATTGGCAAATTGTGTCACATGAATTGTGAGGAATGTGCACGAACCAAATATGGGTTTACTTTTGGTCAAATTCTTGTTAACATCCTACTTATCGTTGAAAATCTGAGGCTCCCAATACCACTTCCCCTCCCCCCCCCCCAAAAAAAACCCCAACCCAACAATTCTGCCCTGTGTAACCAAATAACTCTAGCTCCAACACTCATCGTGCTCGTGGCATTTGGAAATTAGCGAGTATAGTAGGTATTTCCAAGTGCCGGGAGCGTAAGGGCTGGTGTTACTCAAGCTACGTTCATGTACCAGCCAACACCAGTACATGCAGGGTAGATGTATAGGCCTAAACTACAATTGTACAAAGTGCGGTAATTATTAACCCTAACTCCCTAGTCCTTTTTGCTAGGATATAGAGTCAATCCTGCAAATTCCTTCAATTGGCCTCATGGAAAAATAACATACACATGTAGCCTCAATCCTGCAAATTCCTCCATTATTTCTTGAATATGGTCCGTGGATGGGAGACCACTGCCTGAATCCTGCAAAATATTGACAGTGACTGTCAATATGTTGAGGCTTGGCCTGCAGTGACATCCTGGAGCAGTACGGAGGATTTCAAACATAATCCAGGCCTACATTTATGCATGGCTGAGCAAAAACAACACAAGGTCCGGCCCTAGACCTTGACAAAGTTCATCCTACAAAATCAGTAACGCACTTTTGCCATGTAACCTCAATCCTCCAAATTCCTCCACTTTTGCAAAGAGGATTTTGAAGGATTCAGGGCAGTTAGGGTTACTGCACAATGCAACAAAAGGTGCTGGACATTGCATATTTGTTGCATTCAACAGGGTTCTTATTCTCTTCTGTTGGATCTTGTTGCATTTTGCAGGGTGCATATAGAGACCATATGATGGACATAAATTTTGGTTGAGCCACAACATAAGCATAATGTTTAACAAACAAAAAAGGAAAAGAATTCTGAGGGGTAATGAAATTTTTACATTGACTTTTATATTTGTAGGGCCACATGGGTGTAATGTACGGACCATCAGTTATAAGAGAGGCTGGCTTGATGTCAAGATTTAAGCAGATGGGTGAGTACACAGTCCACATATTTAGCATCACGCTGACTCATGATGTAGGCCTATAGATGCTTCAATGCTCAAATTTCAAGAAAGTTTCTACCTAGATTTCATTTTCCCTTGATCAAAAAGTATAACTACAAAAGCAATTTTTTTTCCATGACTGGTGCAAAAACAAAACCTTAAAATTATTTGCTGTTTGAATTGAAAAGGTATTAAAATGTAAAGTGAAGAACATGGGCCTTTTATTGCTAAAGATAATGCGGTAACAAAAACCGATATAAACAATAGTTCTTAAAGATTAACATTTTGTTTGGTTTTACCATTCAATTTGAGCATCTGATACAAGTGACCACAAATAAGGAACTTCAAATCAGTGGGCTCTGTCCAGCATTGTACTGTAGTGAATAATTCGAACATTGTGCTAACACTTCAAATCTTCAGCATTTATGGGAAAAGGGGGGGGGGGGGCTGTTTGCCGAAAATGGAGGCGAAACCTAAACATTCAAGCGGAGAATATATTTGCTCATGTGGGTGAAACTTTCCGTCTTTGAAGTAATTAAATAACCAGTTGACAGCAGAAGAAAGGTTGGAAACAAAGAAAAAAGACAAGACGTACCTCCTAAAAAGAAAGAAAAAAAAATGGTGAAAAACAAAGGGGGGCTTTTTCCGGCTGCATCCCCCTTTGGATCCGTCGCTGCAAGTAGTGTTCATGCTTATGATTCACACTACAAAATGTTGAGTTTTTAATTTGCTTACACTACAGATGAAGGAATAGGCCTACTACTAGTGGAGCTGCTTAGGTCCATTTTTGGCCCAAATCGTGCACTTTGTGGTAAAAGCATGAAATTTGGCAGATGGGGTCCCAATGGGCTAGAATTCATTTTAAGATCGTGACCCATCCTGGATCTTGCCCATTTTGGGGGGCGGAGCTTGATTTTTTTTAAAAGGGGGTGCAAACAATACAAACTCATGAAAACTGTATTTAACATCCATTTTCCTTGTTTTTCTATGGTTTGAAATAAACTTAAACATAAAATATAACATTCTAGCTTTCGAACACCAGTTAATTTACACCCATTTTGTAGGCGTGGCCTAAATGTACAAAAGAGGCGGTATATATTAGCAGTTTGGTTCTAATATAGAAAACATTATTCGGTTTGGTAGTAAAATCCTGAAAATTGGCAGGTCTAGTTAAAAATGGGCTGAAAATAATTTTAAGAGGTGAACACATCTGGGATCTTGCACAATTTTGGGGGGCGGAGCTTGATTTTTCAAAAAGGGGAGTGCAAAAAATAAAAAACTCAGAAAAACTGTATTTAACATCCATTTTCCTTTGTTCTTCATGCTTGAAATAAACTTAGACATGAGAAATAACTTTATGAGAAATAACACGTTAAAATTGTGCAGCAGCAGGATTCCAGTCGAACCAGTGAGTTTGGTGGTTTGAGACATCATCTTACATTGAAAGACATCATCTTACATTGCCGACGCGCATGGCTATGGCGACGCGCGCGCATACCAGAAACCAGAGCCTTTTTTGGCCTAATAATCGTTTTCTTCGTTTTGTATGAATAAAAAGGAGTAAATGCTTCAGATTTCAAATATGCACTTGTCATTTACAAGGCTGGGTTGGGGCAACCTTGAAATTATAAAGCAAAATAATTCTGCGCAAAAACTACTGCATTTATTAAAGTTCATAAAGTACAAATGATACCATATATGTTTGTATGAATAAAGCATGGCATTTGCTTTTTCTACCACTTTCGAAGCATTTACTCGCATCAGTATGAATGAAAATTAAGCAAACACTTTTACTAAAAACCATTTGCTCTTGAGTAAATGGCCTGCAAAATGTAAAGCTTTACATGTTTATAAGTTTGCAGAAAATAAAACTATCATAACCGAAACGGAAAGCGGCACCGGGGAGGGTCACGTGCTGGAGGACAGATACAAAAAAAGCGCATCAAACGCGACGAACGCAATGCCGTTTACGTGCACAATGCGCTGTGCATCGGCACCCATGGTCTACATGTGGATTGGGTTTTCAGTCCCTACCTGATTCCGTGGGTTTTCCCCAGACTATTCTTCTGGGGTTTTCCTCCCACTTCTAAAACTGTAATTTCTTCTCATTGTCTTCTCTCTACGTTTTTTTTGGGGGGGGGTTTGCGAGCTACAGTGCCTGGGGCATGCACTTTTGAGGATCCTTGGTTTCATTACCAGAAAAAAATTATTTATCGTTTACTTCGTTTCGTATGAATATAAAGGAGTAAATGCTTCAGATTTCAAATATGCACTTGTCATTTACAAGGCTAGTTTGGGCAACCTTGAAATTATAAAGTAAAATACTTCTGCGCAAAAATTACTGCATTTATTAAAGTTCATAAAGTATAAATGATACCATGTTCGTATGAATAAAACATGGCATTTGCTTTTGCTACCATTTTGAAGCATTTACTCGCATCTGTATGAATGAAAATTAAGCAAACACTTTTACTAAAAACCGTTTGCTAAATTCTGAAAATAATTACTTTTACCTTAAGCTTTTGCTACACTATAAGCGTTTACTTCGTTTCTTATGAATAAAGGGAGTAAATGCTACACATTTTTAATATTTACTTGTCATATTTCAAGGTTGGGTTGGGGCTACCTTGAAAATATAAAAGCACATAATTATGCGCAAAAATTACTGCATTTATTAATGTTAATCGTGAAAAAGTACAAATAATACCATACGGTAGTTCGTATAAATAAAAACTGGCATTTGCATTACTCCCATCTGTACGTTTCGTATGAATATAAAGGAGTAAATGTTTCAGATTTTAAATATGCACTTGTCATTCACAAGGCTGGGTTGGGGCAACCTTGAAATTATAATAATTCTGCGCAAATAATTCTGCGCAAAAGCTACAGCATTTATTATATGTTAATCGCGAAAAATTAATATTGTGGCGGTCTTGTGTCGACGATGCCTTGGATATTGCTCTCTGCCGACCCGACGAGCGGCTGTGGGGAAGGCCAGGGGAACAGGTCCGTTTTGGGGCAGTCTACCGCCAGGCGCTCATGGAACACACTCACTCGCGCTCTCCCGCAAACCTCACGAACACACTTGGGGAAGGGTTAACGTCCAATGAATAGATCAGACACTCGGGTATTTAGGGCTTCACTGCTTTATTATAACCACTTGGAGACCCAATAAGATGCGTCCTACTTAGGTGCGTCCTACTTAGGTGCGTCCTACTTAGGTGCGTCCTACTTAGGTGTGTCCTGCTCAATTGTAAGAATTGGCCCCTTTCCAATAATCGTCAAGAACTGGAATGCTTCCCGTACCAACCAACCTGAGTGAGAGACTGACCACAGCTGTACTACACACGCTCCAGCAACTCCAAGTCTCTGAGCGGGAACTGTGCTACGCTTCGCGCCACAATTAACAGCTAAAGCACACAACGTGAGCAGTGCAATGGGAGAGTGCAATCCATGGACGAGTGAAATGGAAGAGAGTGAGTGCGCGCGCGACACGCGCTTATATACCCGCGCTGGGTACCAACCAGCCACGCTACTCGCGCGCTGTACAACGGACAGAAGTCCGCGTACCAACCAACTAAACTACGGTGAACCTAGCGCGCCAATATTAACTGTTCCGCTACAATATTAACAAAGTTCATAAAGTACAAATGATACCATGTTCGTATGAGTAAAACATGGCATTTGCTTTTACTTCCAATTTTGAAGCATTTACTCGCATCTATATGAATGAAAATTAAGCAAACACGTTCGTGTAGGTTTTATATGAATTAATCCCTAATCCCTATGATCTCAGAATAAATACAAGATTTCTATTGTTTTAGCCACTGTGACCTTGACCCTTGACCTTTCGACCCCCAATGCGATAGGCCTATGACCGAAGAACGATCCACAAATCAAATTTGAAGTTCACATGTAAAGTATTTCTCAAGTTATCGCGCTGAAAAAAATTCATTTGTTTTAGCCACTGTGACCTTGACCCTTGACCTTTTGGCCCCAAATGCAAAAGGCTTCTTAGGATTGCCAAGGACAATCTACAAACCAAATTTGAAGTTCATATGTAAAGTATATCTCAAGTTATCACGCTGACAAAATTTCTGTTGTTTTAGCCACTGTGACCTTGACCCTTGACCTTTCGGCCCCAAATGCAATAGGCTTCTTAGGATTACCAAGAAAAATACGCAAACCAAATTTGAAGTTGATATGTACAGTATTTCTCAAGTTATCATGCTGACAAAATGTCTTTTGTTTTAGCCACTGTGACCTTGACCCTTGACCTTTTGGCCCCAAATGCAAAAGGCTTCTTAAGATTGCCAAGGACAATCCACAAACCAAATTTGAAGTTCATATGTAAAGTATATCTCAAGTTATCACGCTGACAAAATTTCTTTTGTTTTAGCCACTGTGACCTTGACCCTTGACCTTTCGGCCCCAAATGCAATAGGCTTCTTAGGATTACCAAGAAAAATACGCAAACCAAATTTGAAGTTGATATGTACAGTATTTCTCAAGTTATCATGCTGACAAAATGTCTTTTGTTTTAGCCACTGTGACCTTGACCCTTGACCTTTTGGCCCCAAATGCAAAAGGCTTCTTAAGATTGCCAAGGACAATCCACAAACCAAATTTGAAGTTCATATGTAAAGTATATCTCAAGTTATCACGCTGACAAAATTTCTTTTGTTTTAGCCACTGTGACCTTGACCCTTGACCTTTTGGCCCCAAATGCAAAAGGCTTCTTAGGATTGCCAAGGACAATCCACAAACCAAATTTGAAGTTCATATGTAAAGTATTTCTCAAGTTATCGCGCTGACAAAATTTCTATTGTTTCAGCCACTGTGACATTGACCCTTGACCTTTTGGTCCCAAATGCAATAGGCTTCTTAGGATTACCAAGAACAATACACGAACCAAATTTGAAGTTCATATGTTTAAGTATTTCTCAAGGTATCGCGCTGACAAGATTTGTCCGGACACACACACACACCCAGGTTTACGCTACATACCTTGTGTGGACATTCCTTTGTTTTCGTGTAGTTAAGAAAACTCGGTACAAAAAATAACTTTACTTAAACTGTGAAAACTCTTTCAACCCAATTTTTTTTCTATGATTCCCTATAGTGTTTCTCTTCATTCTGCTACGGATAAACCTAACCCAAAAATGCCTCTAAACCTGTTTTCCAGAAAGGGCAAAACGTTATGTGGACACGGCTTAGTCCACATAACGTTAACACAACCTGCATTATGTGGACATCTTTTGTTCACAAGTCCACATAGGTAATGTAAGACAAACTCACACACCCACCCACCCACGGAAGGACAAGGCGGAAACAGTATGCCCCTTCGGCTTCGCCACGGGGCATAAAAACGCCTGAAAGGGCACCCCCTAGCACGTCAAAGAAAGTTAGACTATTTTTAATTTAAAAACCATTCATCCAAATTTTACCAAACTTACCCTTAGATATTATATAGAAAAACATAATGACTTCGTGAGGCTTCGTGACATTGCTAATGCATTATTTAAGAAGTTACATAATTTCTCGAAAAAACCCAACATTATTCCCTCCTTTTCAGTCAGTAACACATTACTCCCCCAAGTCCCAACATCCATCTAATATAAATCCAACAGTATACACTGCAAGGAATGGACGCTAGCCCCCCAAAAATAAATTCCGTAAAAAAAGAAATTGCATTAGCATAAAGAAGGATTGTGATGTACATGCGAACGGTCTCCCCCTAAAGAAGAAATAGCTGTGACAAGGGTACATTAGTTAATATAGCGTGAATGATTTTAGGATTTTATTGGCGCTCCCCATTGAAAATATGGCATGAACCCCCCCCCCCCCCTCCCCACCTATTGATTTTCGGAGGCCTAAGTGTCTGGAAAAAATAACCGTTCAACATTTCAGCACGCCTCCCTGAAAAAGTTCTGGATCCACCGTGCTAGCCCCCCCCCCCCCCCCAAAAAAAATATTGGTTCTAGAACCGCGCCTGAATGGACGTATATTCTGTGCACATTTTTATGTTTATATGCCTATATATATATATATATATATATATTAAACATATTAGAAGAGCACTTTCAAGAAATCCTTCATTGGGCCGCCCCTAGTTCCCCTCCCTCTCCTTGTGATCCCCATAGTGTTTATAATACATGCACAATTAGGAAATGCCGCCATTGTAAGTATACAGGGTGAGTGAACAAAAAAGGAAACCCAAATGACGGGACCATTTTCTTAATAACGTTTTGCATGTAGTACTTTCAAAATCTAGGATATGAAAGCCGATTCATAAGCTTTCTTTTAGTACAAGAATCATTCAAATCACTCATATGTACTTTTCAAGTTACGGAATTTTAAACACAACCACTGTTTTAAAGTTCTGTCCACGTATCACAAAAAATGGTGTGTCTTCGTTCAGCAAAACGAAAACAATTCCAGCGCATCCCCCTATATGTGAATTGTTTTCGTTTTGCTGACAGAACTTTTAAGACGGTGTTTGTGTTTAAAATTCTGTAACTTGCAAAGTACATAAGTGATTTGAATGACTCTTGTACTAAAACAAAGCTTATAAATTAGGCTTTCATATCTTGATTTTGAAAGTGCTACATGCAGAACTTCATTAAAAAATTTTGTCCTGCCATTTGGGTTTCCTTTTTTTGACTCATCCTGTGTAAGTTACTTGTAGACAATCATACCAATTTAGATATGATTTTTTTTATAGCCGCCTACTTTAAAATGTAGCTCCACCCCTAAAGGGCAACAATTAGTCTTGCAACCGTTTAAACTTATCTTTACAGTGTATGGTAAACATAGTTAACCGATAGAAAAGTTGTGTTTTTACCAGCAAAAATGATGATTTTCCCTAGTTTGAGTCAAGCTGCTCTAATGTACCGCCTCTTTACATATTTAGGCCACGCCCGCAAAAGGGTGAAAATAACACGTTAGAATGTTAGAATTTACAAAGTGAATGTAAAATACAGTTTTCTGAGTTTTCTTTTTTTGCACTCCCCTTTTTGAAAAATCAAGCTCCGCCCCCCAAATGGGCAAGATCCCAGATGCGTTCACCTCAAAAAATTATGTTCGCCCATTTCAATTGGACATGCCAATTTTCAGAATTTTACCACCAAACTGAATGACGTTTTCCATATTAGAACCAAACTGCTAATATATACCGCCTCTTTTAACATTTAGACCACGCCCACAAAATGGGTGGAAAATTAACAGGTGTTAGAATGCTAGAATGTCTTATTTCATGTTTAAGTTTATTTCAAAGCGTAAAAAAACAAGGAAATTTGATGTTAAATACAGTTTTCATGAGTTTGTATTGTTTGCACCCCCTTTTTTGAAAAATCAAGCTCCGCCCCCAAAATGGGCAAGATCCAGGATGGGTCCCGATCTTAAAATGATTTTTAGCCCATTTTGACCACACATGCCAAATTTCATGCTTTTACCACAAAGTGCACGATTTTTCGCTTAGCAGCTCCACTAGGCCTATACCTAGCAAAAAAATATGAATGCCAAGTTTATATCGCATTAAGTGAAATATTCAATCTTTCAATGTCTAAATTTGTTGCCTCTTATTTCTTCTTTGTGTTTGCCAGGGTTGAATGTTGTAGATCATGGTGATTTGAAATACGAGTCAGTCCAAGAAGACAAGGTCCAAACGGGAGTCTTGAAGAGTAATAGGACGCTAGGAGGAGCGTTACACAAGGTATGCATCACCCCAGACTGGGACCTTGAGTGCCAAAAAAAACCATACAAAACAAATTCAGCCAAACTTTACTCACTGTTTAGCTGATAAAATTCTGACAAATTTTCATGAGTCGAAGACAAGGGTGATCAGTATTTCACCGCCAAGTTTGAGGTCTCAATTCAATTTTTAAAGGAGACTTTTTTTCAATTGTTTGCACCTGAGAGTGCAGCCAAGTGACTTCAATTTGAAGCCTAAGACTAGACTGGTGCATGTCCAACTTTTTGAAAAGATAAACCCTTTAGTAGTCTGGTGAAATGACTGTGGAGAATGTGTAGAAATAGAGACAAGGTACCGGATGTTTCTTTTAACGTAGTTGATTGATGCAGTACTAAAGGTGTGTTGGACTGGTTGTTTCATATGCCAGTCTATTTTCTTGTGTTGTATGTTTTTATTATCTGACGTTTTGGGACTCTCTTAAGTACACAGTGCTGAGAGTCCCAAATTTTCAGACTAGCACATGTACTACTCATTCTGCTGCTAATTGCATATTGGCCAATTCAGTTAACCTTGGATGGAATCAGATTTAATCGGATATGATTTCAAAACCAAAAGCTATTATAATACTGATGTCTGTGCGTTTTCCAAATTTGGAAAGCCTAATCAAAAGCTATTCCTCCAGCAAACATGTACATGTCTTTTTTTAATGGGGGGCGGGGGGGATTTTTTATTTTTTTTTTCCACTCATTTTTAATGTTTGCTAATAAAGTTCTCAATACTTGTTACATGTACTGGCATCAAATCAGCCGTGCATCCTCTTTGCTCTGAAATTTGGCATGCGAAGGATAACTGGATGACTGCATCCTGAATAATAAGCTAAGGCCAAAAAAAAATACCTCGGTCTCTGGTCAGCGCGCGCCTTGATTTTAATCATGTGCGTCAACCTTTTTTTTTTTTTTCAAATTAACACGGAAGCAACAACAGCACCCTTTATTGCCGCACCTCAAATTTGTGTACCAAGGAGCACCAAGGAATGGGGAAATTGCTCCAAGGCAAATGATAAAGGGCACCAAGGCAAATTATGGAGGACACCAATGTATAATGAGGACACAAAAAAGCAAAATAGTACCCACCTTGTCTGTACAATTCAAGCTTTGAAAAAAAAAAAAAAAAAAAAAAAAAGTGTCGCCGCATCAATTCCGGAACTTAGGTCTGACCAGAGACCGATTATTTTTTTGGGGCCTAATACATTTCGTTTAGGTTTGCGTCCAAGACATGTTTATATTTGTCTCAGTCTAATTCAGTGTGGCATATTGCCACATTTAATTCCATTCTTCTTTTGGTTAGGTATCATAAATGTGGTTTTGTCCAAAAAGGAACTTGAGGAAATGATAAAGTCAACAAGAGAAAACAAGAATTTAATTTATTATGAGCCTCATGTTTAAAAGGAAGATACAACATTTGCAAACATCAAAGAACGGAATGATCAAATTATCACGTAATACCTTACTGAATTGTTAGGGAATGACAGTCTAAAAGCATCCTTTAAAACCGTGGCTCCTGGTGTGCTGTCATTTAAAAAAAACCTGTATTTTTCCAACGCTGGTCGACCGACCAGAGTTGGAGAAAACTGGCTTTTTTTACAAAAACTGTTCCTACTTTTTCATATTTAGTTATTCTGACTTTTCTTTGCAATTGATTACACACCTGTGAAGCGGTTCAAGCTTGCTAGACTTATTCTCTGACCTAACAATTCCCCAAAGTGTATTAATTGCTCCGTTTCATCTTAAGTGGGGGTCAGGGAACCAGACTACAAGAATATGATAGAATAGAATTACATGTAAGTCAGTTTAACAATATTTTCTGTAACATACTAATCCTCCAAATCCATTTATTTCTGAGAATTGCAGCAAAAGCAAATGTTGTACATTCCCTTTAAACATAAGGTTTTCCAATAATACAGGCATGCAGCTTTTCCTCGGTTCAGCTGATTTTGTCGTTACAAAAATATTGTGTAATGTCTCATACACCTGTACTTGGAATGTCCTCTTTTTGTTACTCTCCAGTTCTATACCTGATAATATCAATTCACCATGCAACTTATTTTTTCACTTATTTTGATCAGTTTTGTGGATCATAATATTATGGAGCATTCATGGTGATGGTTTTGGTAAACAGAACACAATCAAGCCTTTTGCGCATGTTCAGTCTGATGGGCTTTGCTGGTCAATGGAATGGAATGCACTTTGCTAGGGTCAGGGGTTCACTTATAAAGTTCGCAGGGGATCTCGATTTAAAACAAGTGTGGTTCGTGATGTGGTTGATGGTGCTGTTGAGTGACAACTTGCTTTTGTGCCTGAGGCATCTTTGCCTTAAGTCACTTGCCAGCATCAATGAAAGGGCTGATAAATTCCTATGACACTGTTTTGACTGCTCTCAACATATTGTAGAAACTAATGTGTACTTGCATTTAGGAGTTGACAACTTTCTCAAGTGTTATTTGCCAAAAATAATTCCCTGTCCTCAAATGACCTCGCACAGCCCCCCCCCCCCCCCCCCCACACACACACACAAAGAGCCCTGTATAATTAATATTGAAAACCTATTCTATGCATTCAGTATTCACAAGCATGTGGTAGAGTTTGTGCATCACTTAAAGGGAATATACAACATTTGCAAACATCGAAAAATAAAACTACCAAGTTTTTGCGAAATACCTTAATAGGATGTTGGTAAATGACAGTCTAAAGCATCCTGTAAAATTATGGCACCTGGTATACTGTCATTTTCAAGAAAAGTGGTATTTTTGTATCAATTTCCAACGCTGATCGGCCGATCAGCGTTGGAAACAACTGGCTTTTTTTTTCAAATACTGGCCCCAATTGACCATTGCACTTGTTTGCAATCGATTACAAACCTATGAACGGGTACGAGCCAGCTAGACTGGTTCCCTGACCTTACAATTCCCCAATGTGTGTAAACTGCTCTGTTTCTTCTTATATGGAGTCAGGGGACCAGACTACAGGAAAATGATCGTTTTTCTTGGTTTTTATAGCACTTTCGAACCCAAAACCTCCAAAAAGTCAGTGTAACTATATTTGCTTTATATTTCCAACCCCCCAATTCCATCCATTTCTGAAAATTACAGCAAAAGCAAATGATGTATATTCCCTTTAAAGGGAAAATACAACATTTGCAAACATCAAAAAACGAAATGATCAAATTATCACGAAATACCTTACTGAATTGTTAGGGACTGACAGTCTAAAGCATCCTTAAAATCGTGGCTCCCGGTGGGCGGACATTTTCAAGAAAAACTGCCGACCAGCGTTGGAGAAAACTGGCTTTTTTCAAAAACTGTTCTTAATTTTTCATATTTAGTTATTCTGACTTTTCTTTGCAATTGATCACACACCTGTGAAGGGGTACAAGCCTGCTAGACTGATTCTCTGACCTTACAATTCCCCAAAGTGTATTAATTGCTTCGTTTCATCTTAAGTGGGGTCAGGAAACCAGACTACAAGAACATGATAGGTTTTCTTGGTTTTTCCAACATCTACCATGTCTACAAGCCCAAAACATGAAACAAGTCAGTTTAACAATATTTTATTTAACATACTAATCCTCCAAATCCATTTATTTCTGAAAATTGCAGCAAAAGAAAATGTTGTACATTCCCTTTAATTCTGTCTCACATGCCAATATTGTGAAAATTCATTTGAGTGATACACTGTAAATGGCTGGTGCCTGGTGGGGGACCCTCGACTGCTGAGCAGAGTTGGTTGCCCCAGCCATACATGTACATTACTGTTCAACATCAGCTATGGTGGCACTCGGTATGCTCAACTGGATTAATGTTGAACATGCATTTCAGACCGGCGTTTGTTGAATATGCATTTCAGTCCATGTCTCATTGGAAAGCCAATAAGTAGGCCTATTGCTAGAAAAAATTGAAATTTAGAAAAGGAATCTTTTTTTGGAATGATAATCAAAAATAGCACAGGGAACGCGACTTTCAAATTATCTTTTAATACCTATATTTGGTGCCATAGTCTTTGCTCAAGGTGATTTGTCACACAGCGTTAGTGTGACCATCGTGTCTCTCAACAATTTACCTTTCCAGCTTTCGGACACTGTCTACAGCATCATGAAAGACCACGACCAGGCCTGTGTGGCGCTGGGCGGGGACCACAGTCTCACGATAGGATCGCTGCACGGCCACGCCCAGGCCGAGCCCGATATGTGCGTGGTGTGGATCGACGCCCATGCCGACATCAACCTACCCCAGGTATCCCCCTCGGGAAATCTCCACGGTATGGTGCTGTCATTCCTGGTGTATGAGTTGAGGGACTATATGCCTACCATACCAGGGTTTGAATGGGTCAAGCCGTGTATGTCGGTCAACGACATTGCTTATATTGGGATCCGAGACTTGGACGAGTGCGAAAGGTAAGATGTAAAAAAAGGCAGGTCGAATTGGGTGACTCCAACATTTGGGCAGGCCCAGATTATCCTATAGGCACAGTAAGCACTGTGCATAGGGCCTACAAATAATAGGGGGCCTACCAACAATTTGAGGGCCTACGAAAATACCGTAGTGTGCCATAAAACAAATACACCCACCCCAACACACACACACGTGTGTAAATGCCGGCAATCGTGGACGCCCCATTGTCCCTAATCCTCTTTCCTTTGTTTGTACTCTAACTTTTTAGCGACAGCTCTCATTGGTTTTGTACACGATTTGAGATCGTGGACGTTCGGTCAATCGTGGACGTATTGTTTGCGCCCAAATTCTTTTGTCCTACGTCCACGATTGCCGGTGTTTACATACTCACCCTTACACAGGCATAGAAGAGGGGTATTTCCTTTGTTCTCATGTACTAAAATTTTGCAATGTGGCACACTAATTTCAAAATGCTCTTATTTTAACCAGAATTAATTTCCTGGGCTGAAATTTGGACTAAATATCCCTTTTCTAAAACTCTTCCATTTGCGACGGATCAACCCACCTTGGAAATTCCTAGTTTTTGAGTAAAATCCATATATCTCTTTCGTGAAAAACTTGTGGGGTACCAAAACGGTACCCCGCAAGTCGGTGGGCATTCCTTGTGAGGTACCTCCCGTTGTTCAGGTACCCCATAATGCAGTGTTTAAACGTTCACCCATCTTCGTAAACACCGGCAATCGTGGACCCCCCATTGTTCCTAATCCTCATTCCTTTGTTTGTACTCAACAGCTTGCATTGGTTTTGTACACAAATTTCAATCGTGGACGTTCTAGATCCGCTGTTGAGTTGCAATTCACACTCCATATTAGGAAATGATTCTATTCAGTTCTAAATTACCTCAAGGCACACAAGCCTAGGAAAGCAGGGTGAATTTAGAGCCCTCATTTGATCAACTTTTATATGAGACAAAACAGTTGCTAAATAGTTAGCAATTGGACCATGTTTTTGAAGGCCTTTTCACATTCGACAAATATCTCAGGAGTGGCTCGACCTGGATAATGATGACATAAACATACATGTACATTTATGTGAGGCATTCTGGCAAAATGAGACGGAACTGGGCACAGGTCGTAGTGGAAAAATATGCAAACAATCCGAATGGGGATGATTTTTTTTGACATCACATTTATTGATATTTGTAATGTTTGATATATCTACTACACACATTGTAAAGAAATAGTATTAAAATTGTGTTATTTCAGTGTTTTTAAGAAAACCTTTCATTTTCATGACTCCAAAACTCAAGACTTTGTAGGCTTTTTCTCAGTATTTTACTTGTTTTTACACGTCGATAAATGTAAACTTTAATCAGCCATAACTTGTCATCTGAATGTCAGATTGAAGTGCAACAAATGGTGTTGGAAGGGGAATTTTATTCTCATTCCTGCTACCTGCAAACTCTCATTTTGACCTTTGCCCAGTTCTGTCTCATTTTGCCAGAACGCCTCACATTTGACATCAAAAGCCCTGTCACACTGCTGCAAATACAGCTAACGTGTGCCCTGACGTTTTTTGAAATTTGGGTGTACGTTCGTGTAAGTTGTCATTCGTTCGTGACACGTTTGACATAAGTTGTATTCGTTAGCGGTTCGTAGGGGTTCGCAGAGGTGTGCTGGGGTCTAGGAAAATTTTGAGTGGCGACAACGTAGTGATCAATACGCTATGTATACGTTGAGCATTCACTGTGTGAACGTTTCGCGCGTTGGGTGTAGGTTGCTTCTTCGTCAGCTGTTCGGACATGTACATCCAACCCAAGGATCTTTGTCATAATAGCGAATGCCCAGCGTATACATGTATAGAGTTTGTCTAATGAATGGCTAACGAGTGTGACGACGTGGACTTGGAGAGCGTATTTATGGGTCAGCGGAGACACGTCATGTGACCAGCTGCAGCACGCTAGGCATACGTTGGCCATTCGTTGTGTACGTTCAGCATTCATTGGATGGACGCTACGCATGTGTTGTCATTCGTTACTATGGACGCTAGTTATATGCTCAGCATCCGTTCCTCATTTGTTGGCCATTTGTCTTATACGTCAGGAGTTCGCAAAAAAAAAAAAATTGGCCGAGAATTTGAGCGTATCTGGACTTTGCCAAATTTCGAGAAAAAAATTCAGTACTCTAGGCATAAGTTAGCCCTATTCGCTACTATGTGACAGGGGCTTTACCACAGAGCCACTATAGAGATAACTTTCGGCCCCAGAGCAAGTCAATCCAGCTCCTCTCTCCCTTGAAAAAAAACCCAAAATGCATGGAGAATCTGAAATCATGTTTCATTATCGATATTTGTCCTTGTTTGTAGTTACATCATGAAGCAGAAAGGAATCACATGTTTCACCATGCATGACGTGGAGAAGATAGGCGTGGCAGAGACGTTAAGTCGCTCCTTAGAGAAAATCAACCCAAAGTAAGTATTTTGGTTTCACTGGCAAATATACCTGATAACAATAATAGTCACATATGTGAAAAGAATCCCAGTTTATGTCCAATTGGATCAATGTAGTGTTGAGTGAAGTACACATCATACCTATATTAGTATTTTATGTCTGGCTCTTGCAGACTTTTATGCAAAAAAGGGTTGGACATGTCAACAGTTCCATTTCAAATTTCAGGGGCAATCTTTTTTTTATATGTGATGGTCATTCAGGTTTTTTCTGCCCTCTGTGTTTGAGGATTGAACTTGGATGTAAATGCAACATTTTCAGCATACTAAATCTATTTGATCATCATTTGTCAACAACTACGACGTTGGCCGCATAAGATCCAATGGGGATCATGCTACCGCTCCTTGGGCTGATTGTTTTCGGCGCGCCCGTCCTTCCTTGCGCCACTTCTTCTCCGCCGCATCTGCTCCCTCATGGACTGCTTTCCGCCACGCTCCCCTCACAGCACATAGCTCCTCCACTCCGCATTGAGGATTGAACTTGGATGTAAATGCAACATTTTTAGCATACTAAATCTATTTGATCATCATTTGTCAACAACTAACAAAAGCATAAATGTCGGAGGCAAGCTGTGAAACCGAGTTGAAGTATTCACAGGTGACATGGGTGGCTAGTGCGTAAAGTGCTTGCCTTTCCACCAATGTGGCCTGGGTTTGATTCCCAGCTCGGACCATATGCGAGTACAGTTACTCGGCAACCTAAGTACTCGGCAGTATTCGGTACTTGGAAAAAATACTCGACTACAACACTGGTAAACAGTTCCATTTCAAATTTCAGGGGCAACCTTTTTTTATATGTGATGGTCATTCAGGTTTTTTCTGCCCTCTGTCATGTCTGTGTTTGAGGCTTGAACTTGGATGTAAATGCAACATTTTTAGCATACTAAATCTATTTGATCATCATTTGTCAACAACTAACGAAAGCATAAATGTTGGTGACAATCTGTGAAACCGAGTCTTAAGCCGTGTCTGCACTGGCCTTTTTTTTGGAAGGTTTTACTGAGACGATGGTAAACTGAAAAATGGTCAAATGTGATCCCGTCCGTGCTTGGACTTGCGAAACGGGAAATTTTACCCAGACCACGTGGGAGAAGTAACCGATCCAGCTGTGTCAGTACAGTATAATGATTCACGCAGTATAGTTTTTCAGCCCCCGATACGCACAATATAATACATGTGTTACACACGCCATTTACCTGCACAATATAATGGTTATATACACACGATATTATTTCATCTTGACACGCTAAATCTTGACGAAAAAGCCATATTTTGACGCATTTGTGATGGACGGCATCAAAGCCATGCCGCTGTACGATGTTCCATACAGCATGGGTCAGACATGCATGGCTGCAGCCTAAGGTGCCTTTACATGCCTTCAGCTCAACCACGTTGTAGCCGCGTCCTTCGCAATTAAACTTCTCAGCTGCGAGTAAGGATGATTGGCCCCCAAATTAGTATTATTATATTACAAGGAAACCACAAGTAAGTTCATAAGTAACACAAGATGAACATTGACAAAAGTATGCCTTTGTCACTGTTACTTTTTTTACATGATTTGAGACTGGATGACTTGTGAGGACATCGTAACAGCTTTGCTGTGACTTCATCATACTCATGTACATTCACTTCTTTCTGACTGGTCACCATAGAGCTATATTAAATTACTAGAGCGCTAACTTCGTGTACAAAGTAATGCCTGCTGGGCGCATCCATGTTTGTGCACAAACCTATGGAGACATAGAAATTTTGTACGGCTTTTGTAAGGCTATTTGCATATCTGCGTTTGTATTCCATACCGGTGTGTTTTCGAAGCCAATACGCCCAAAACCGAAACGCACGATCAGCAAATGAGCGTGTCATTTTGCTGTACGCAAACAGCGCAACGCGTGCGCGTATTCGCTGCAGATGCGTTTTGCTGTCACGTTTTTTTGAACCGTCAATGACGTGCTTAAGTTGTTTGCGCATGTTCTATACTTGCGCATTGCATGTAGAGTACACTTTCAAAATTCAATCCATCTAATTTCGTTATGTTACATGTTCTACAAACACGCACATGAATTCAAAATGTCTGCGCCCAAGACGGCTTCAATGCGTCTCCGCGTGCAGAATGACGCGTTAGCGCTCTAGTAATTTTAATATAGCTCCATGCTGGTCACAAATCCACACCAAATGTGACATTCTGATGTAATCACAATTGGAGTCAGACGCTGGGTCATAAGTATCCTGATTGAATATTTTCTGAGATTGGTAAAAGTTTTTGTACATGTATGCTTTATTTATATTTTAAGGGGTAATCGACCAGTTCATCTAAGCTTTGACATTGACTCGTTTGACCCCCACGTAGCTCCAAGCACAGGAACACCATGTAAGTACACATCCAATGTAAATCATGTGGAATTATGCTGATGCATGAGCACGCTGATGGGACGGATCCAGCATCACACTCATTTGTACAGTGCATGATTTTGTGCTGTTTTGTCTGATAGTTGCATTATCGGTCTTTGGCAACGGTCTTATTTTTTTTTACACGAATTCATTGTTGCAGTCAAGCAAAGTCAGCCAGTATGTCAAACAGAATGATTTCATCAATAGTTTGTCATAAGGGCAATTCCACGGTTATTTACGTTACATTTTCGTAGCTTGAGTAACCGATTTTGTGCGTCTTGTGTATCATACATAACACATTTTTCTGGATGTCATCTTTGGTGCTTAGGTAGGTCAAGGTCTACTCTATCTACCATGGGGATAACAGTTATTAAACCTTTTCAGTAAGGTAATTACAGCCCAAGGAAACTCAAAAGTACATCAAAAATGTAACGTGAGTAACCGTGGAATTGCCCATAAGTTTTCTTTGGTGCAGTGTATTTTTGCATGAGTTCAAATGGTCATACTGGCAATATTTGGTAACGATGTTGATGATAATATTTCATGATCAGTTGAAGTGATTTTGTTGTTCAACATTTTCAGGTTTTGGTGGTCTGACATACAGGGAAGGCCTGTATCTTGCAGAGGAGCTAGGAACAACAGGTTGGTTGTGTTTACATGCATATCGAAGCACAGTTGCACTAGGATAAAAGGGAGTGATTTAGTTCAATTCTTTCTGGTAATGACACCAAGGATTACTACATGTGTAGCTCGCAAACGTTGAAGAAGATAGAGGGAGATGACCATGAACAATTGTTCAGAGATGGGATGAAACCTTTATGGAAACCCATGGAATCAGAAAGGGACTTGAAACCCAATCGACGTGTCTGCCTGGTTTGGGATTGAATCACATGAGTGATTTGAACGATTCTTGTACTAAAAGAAAGCTTGTGAATTGGGCTTTCATATCCTAGATTTTGAAAGTGCTACATGCAGAACTTCACTAAAACAATAGTCCCAACATTTGGGTTTCGGTTTTGTTTTACTCGCCCTGTATTTATTCCATTGAAAACCCTGACAATCCCTTAACCCCCCCCCCCCAAATAGAACAACATCATAAAGACCTCCCCCTTTCCTGTTTTCCATATCTTTTCAATAGGTCTGGTGAACATGATAGACGTGGTGGAGGTCAACCCAGAGTTGGGCTCGCAGATGGAAGAGGAGAAGACATCCAAAGCAGCCGTCAACATCATCTGTGCTGCGCTGGGTGAGACGAGGATGGGCTACGTGCCTCCAGACTACCACCTACCAAAGCCTTAATGAGGGGCTGTACAGAGGCCACTGCTATCACGAGCGAGGGGCGGTTCTGCAGAGGTACTTCAGGTACTGTCAATTTTAACCGTCCAAGGGCTCCGTGCATGAACTGTACCCAGCTTGCAAGAGCCTGTCTTACTTCCTCTGTCACTGTTGGGAAGTGGCTTGTGCACCGAGTCCATAAATCAGTTCTGCTGCGCATGTGTACATCAAGACCCCACAATTTTATTCCTTCCAGCGTATGTAAACTGCTAAAAAATCTTGCTCCACTTATGTAGGGACTTTATTCCATCTACAAGGAAAATTGCAGACTGCATATTTGGCCACTACTGCCGACATAAACTCATGTACATTTTTTTCTGTCGTATTTTAGCGTAAGCTAAAATATTGTCATATTTTGATGTACACATGCGAAGTTGGAATTCTGAACTGAGTTCTGTCAAATTCGAAAACCTTCCGTGGAAGCAATATTTGTTCAAAAGGTTGAAATGTGATGTGAGAATCGATTTTTTTTTTTTTTTGTTACTGGTGACTGTACGTGTAGGTCTTTCCCACCATTTGCCTTATTGGATATAAATCGTAATGCAAATATCATGGCTGGAGTAACTGTTTTTGGAACTTACCAAAGTTAGTGATAATCTGACACTTTTGAAGTGATGTAATTTAATATCAGCAAATTACGGAAGCTTAAAGTGACCATCCTGATTTCTGAGATTTCGTGATAAATTATCACGTAAAGATGGAATGGTAGGAATGCTGAAATAATTTAAGAAGTCTTTCTCTGAAGCTACATCTCAGAGAGACGTCTTTCTTTGAAATGTTATCTCGGAAGACCAGAGTTGTAATGAGTCACTGATTTTTGTGACTTGATTCGAGTCATTTCATTTTAAAGCAGTGACTCGAGTCAATAAGGGTTAGTCGAGTCACAGTGTAGTCGAGTTGAGTCGAGTCGAGTCCAATATTTAGCTCGTCAATTTCGAGTCACGAATATCAGGCATGCAACTTTTCTTGGATCCGCTGATTTCCTCGTTTCTATTTCTCAGGAATGCCATTACAAATTGAAAAACACTGTACAAAGTCTTGTGTAGTTTGGAATTTCCTCATTTTTTCTAAATTCCCAGTTGCATGCCTGGAATATTTGAACACTATGTAACAAACAAAGACAAGAGAGAAAGTCATTTGTATCACTGACAGTAAACAAGAAGTGAAACTGTGATCTTACAGGCTGTCTTCTTTTGCTTATCGCTGACAATATCAAAACCAAATTGCATCAAACAAAACTGTTTCTGATTATTTAAAAGTGGGCATGTACTATTTAATTTTTAAAAGGAGGGCACAATTAGCCGGTGTTCGAATCCAAGAGCTTAATAAGAAATGGCCCAAAGCCAATGATGAAACCATAAATTGGAAAATGTGCTAAAGTCCGGTTCCAGGATAGTATTTTGTGCGTTCCAGAACCACAAGGTGGGAGTCTGTGACACATTGTACATGTATGTTCGTACATGACAAGCAACCGCTGTACCGTACTGTATTCGTAAAGTGACATGAACGTAAATTTTGCACTGTAAGTCATTGCAAGTATATTTCGCAAAGTTTTGCTTTTATTTTTGGGACTCGGGTCTTATTAGCCTTCGCTCGTGTCGAGTCGAGTCTTCTGATGAGGAACTCGAATCGAGTCGAGTCATTTGCTAGCAGTGACTCGAGTCGAGTCAAGTCATTTTCCTTTCTAAAGGGACTCCAGTCGCGTCAAGTCACCAAAGATTGTGACTCCAGTCGAACTCCATTCGAGTCACTGACTCGAGTCATTATCAACTCTGCAGAAGACATCTTAATTATCTCAGTGTTTCGGCGATCTTTTATGTTGAAACCTATCAGTACACATCTTGGAAAGCATCTTTCCAAGAGGATTTATCAGTAACGCAAGAAACTTCACAACTAAAAAGACATCTTATTTCTGTGACAATTTATTTTGGCAAAGGGGAAATATGCATGGTCACTTTAAGCTTCCGTAGCAAATTAATCTGGAGAGAAATTTATATTTTGAATGTCAGTTTTCATGTGATTTGAGGATATGCAAAGGAAGACGTTTAGATGTAAACCCACTTTCTGGAATAGTGTGATATTTTTCAACCCTTTTTATGTGTGCATTCTAATTGAAATAGTTTATTATTGAGAGTGTGAATTTTAGGTATTTTAAATAATATACATTATATATACATGTTAATGAATAAACCCACCCCATTTTCTCTGAACTTTTAGCCAAAATTGGGTGAAATGAATACATTTAATGTTTTGAAAAACCTCTTTGGCACAAATTGTGCTATCGCCATAACAAATACAATTTAGTTGTAATGACCATGACTTGGGTGCAGAAACTGTAGGTAGAACAATGTATGTACTATTTCGACTGATTTGGAGTGCATTGGTTGGCACAGATAGTGCACATGAGATGAGTAAAGCCAGCATATAGCCAATAGTTTAGGTTAACATTGAAATGTGTGTTCAGGGACTGGATAAGACGGAAAACACATTCCTTTGTCAACATGTCTTGAAGTCAATAGCTATGTAGAGGCTGCAAAATATTTTACATTTGGCAATAGGTGATACACGTAGCTGATAGCTACAAGGTATCAACCAATCAACAGCCTTGGTGTCTTTTCTGACCAAGATCGCATTAAACCTGATTAAGTTGGTTCCGACTCACTTGGGTTTGCATAAGCATGCCCACAACTAACACATGTTTTATAAAAGGAGCAGACTCGGAAAACTTCATGTTATGACACTTTATTCAATCCAATTCAATTCAGTTTGGTTTATAACAATGACTTCTGAGATTATTCCCATAGGCGTCACTGAAAATAAGAAATTACACAATTATAAAATTATAAAACAAAAATAAACCCAAAATGCATCATCACTGTAACTACATGTAAAGAGTAGTCTTCGAAATGAGGACATATTTACTCATTGACACTGAAACACCCATGATGAAAACCTTCCCAAAAAAAAAAAAATTGAACATGTTTAAATTTTAAAAACTGAGTACATCCATTCTTAGTTCTTTTATCAAGTTTATCCTTTAATTAAACTATCTGAGGTTGCTGCTGATTCAAGTTATTTGGTATGAAACAGTTCTGCAGACTGATAAAGAATATCAATACTAACACATGCATTCCTGTTTCCGTCTGGGAATATTTAATAGGATGCGTTGACAACTGTTCAGAACAATATACATGTATTTTGTACGAGTAATGTCATGCCATGTGGTAGTGCAGGTTGGCCTTGGAAGGAAACTGTACTTCCTGTAAGTTCTTCATGTTTTGCTTCCCCAACTTTATTGCAATGCCAAGAAAGGGCACTCTCAAAAACAGTTGAACTGAAAACTGCGTTTCACATCTGTAGTTTCACTGAAACTCAACCAGGAAATCAGTAAGAACTCCCTTTTCTTAGGAATTACACACTTGCGTTTAGTAGTGTTGCGTAGTCAGTAGCTTATAGCGTTTTTGAAATATTAAGTCACATTTATTTTGTTTTTAAGGCAGGTTCATCGAAAATACAGAAATGTTGATGTATTTCTGCCAATCCAGTGAATAATCCTTATGAAGGAGAAAGGATAACAAGTTTTGATGCAACTTTATATGCAAAAAACCTCCAATTCATTGTACATTGTGAAATGTAAATCTATTGATATTTTTTTAAGGGTTAAAATAACAATGCATTCGGCTCAATGTGAAAACATGTGGGTTTTTTTGGCAAATGGCACACATTGACTAAGAGTTAGTAAGTGCATGTTTCTGAAATGTTAAATATTAAGGCCCTGTTTGAAATAGTTATCTCTCACATGTAAGATGGGTCACTTTGATATCTGAATGTGTGAGAATACCATCCAACTTGCTGAGTTTTGAGTAAAAGAAAACAAAATGTATACTTTGTATTACAAATTCAATTAATTGTCACCCTTTGAAGTTTTTTTTCACTGACACAAGTGACTAAATTAATGGTGCTTATTCATCCATAATTGCCGGGATGTAAGTATTTGTAAGGTATTCCTAGGGAACTGAAAAGCCACAGTATGTGTTGGAACCACTGTGGCGGTTCTCAATTTTAACTCGTTACTTTCCGATTACCGTTTTTAAATCCCATGTAATTTACAAGTACCATATTGTACTACAATTCAAATCTTGTATTTGCTTTTGCCTCCAAATTTCAAAATGTAAACCTTAAGCGTCCCTTGTATCGTACACGTAAAAGCAATTCTCTATTGCTACTTTGTAATATACAGAGTTCACTTTCTGCCTACATTACTTGAATTCTGAATTTATTTACAAATATTACGATTGTATGCTGCTGTCCTGAAACTTATGAAATAGCTAATACGCACAACTACATGTGTTCGCCTGATGCTAAATCACGTTGCACTGCTGTAAGCCGTATCGATTTTCTTTTAATTAGCGTTTAATTAGCGTATTTTACTATCTGATTTTACTACATTGTATTTTAGCTAAATTATAGCTAGTTTGTAGACGTGTAATTGATCCGGCAGTATGGATGCAACGAAAAAGTATGCATGATGTCGATCCGTTTGTTTGTTTGTCCTGAAATGCCCTATTTTTTAATTTATTTTTTTGTAATCTGTGAAGAAAATGATACAATCTGCTGTTTCAGTACACATATTTTTATTACTAGTTTTTACTTTTCATGTTTGCGACTTCGATTGAACCAAGCGCAAAGGCAAGGGAATGTTGTCACTTAAATATACTGTTTGTAGCTTCCTATCAAATGCCTTCAATTCATCCCACAAAAGTGGCAAGTATGCTAAAGCATAAGAAATTTTGGATGTTTATACATAAATATTTATTCGTGAATTATATAACATTCATGTTTCAAATATGGCGCCCTTAAATGCTCATTTTTTTCTGGCTTTATCTGAAATTGTTGTAGTCATTTATCTTTCCAAACGACATAACTTGTGTTTAGACATGAATTTTCATTATATTTTTTTTTCAGTTAACTGTTGCATAATGTTAATGTAGTCAGACTGCGTTGTTTTACTTTGTTGGTTTTGTTTTTAGCGATACATGTGCCTCTATAGAAATTAGGATTTCACTGTTAAATGTATGTCTGTTGCGGACGCTTGTAGAAAAAGAGATCATTCCAATTTCGGAATAAAATGTTAAAGGAACACACAACATTTGCTTTTGCTGCAATTTTCAGAAATGGATGGATTTGAGGGTTAGTATTTTATAGCAAACATTGTTACACTGACCCGTTTAAAGTTTTGTGATCATAGATGCGGGGGAAAAAAACCCCCAAAACCAACAAATGGTGTTCCTATACTGATAGTCTGGCTTCCTGACCCTATACTTCAGACGAAACGAAGCAATTTATGGTCGTATGGGAATTGTAAGGTCAGGAAACCAGACAAGCTGGCTTGCACCACTGCACTTCACGGATGTGTAAACCGATTGCAAACAAAATGTGAACTAACTAAATATGGTAAATTGGGGCAGTATTTAAAACAAGTCAGGTTTTTTCCAACGATAATCGACCGACCGTCATTGGAAATTGGTTCAAAAATTCCACTTTTCTTGAAAATGACAGCACACCAGGTGCCATGATTTCACAGAATGCTAGAGACTATTATTCACTTACAGTCAAGTAAGGTATTTCATAATAATTTTTTAGTTTGGGTTTTTGATGTTTGCAAATGTGCATTAACTTTAATTTTGTACGCTATAACTACCATGATGAAAGTTACAACTGTTCGAAAACCAAATCTCGAAAGCTGTTGAATTGCGAAAAGCGTTTCATTTCCTAGTCCTTTTGAAGAAAAAAACCAACGAATTAAAGGTTTTGATTTTGATTCGTTTCCCAAGCACTGTCTTTTCCCTCTGTGCCCTATCTCCTCAATTTGACTTTGTTTCAACATCAGTTTTATTTACACAGGGCGCGGATTTTGATTTGAATAAGCTGGTTTTAAATGTTCAACAAAAGTGGGCTCTCTGTAAACAGATGGTCTGTGTATTAATATGGAATAAACATGAGCACTGCTTGTGTGTCGTTACAAAACTGTACTGTATGAAGCAGTTAATATATACTGTAAGCTAGCAGAGAAATTGGAAGACAGATGCACTTGAAAAGGAAACACAGTACATGTATGTAATCTACTGTAGTTTCTTTACTAATATTATTTTATAGGATTTATAACAAATGTAAAAGTACATTTTAACAGTGTTTTTTTTTCCTAATGAATACACATACGTAAGATTTGTTCGATAGGGTCAATCGTGAGTAATGTGTACAGGGTGAGTAAAAAAAATTAAAAAAAAACGAAACCCAAATGTCAGAACCATTGTTTTAGTGAATTTCTACATGTAGTACTTTCAAAATCTAGGATAAAAAAGCCCAATTCATAAGCTTTCTTTTAGCACAAGAATCATTCAAATCATTCATGTGCTTTTCAAGTTTTTCAACACAACCACCGTTTTAAAGTTCCGTCCACGGATCACAAGAAGGTAATTGTTCTTTCAGCAAAATGAAATCAAATCACATAGGGATGTGTGTGAATTGTTTCCGTTTTGCTGAAAGAACGCACACTTTTTTTTTGTGATCCGTGGACAGAACTTTAAAACAGTGGTTGTGTTTAAACTTGAAAAGTACATTTGAAATATTCTTGTACCAAAGAAAGCTTATGAATTGGGCTTTCATATCCTGGATTTTGAAAGTGCTTCACTTAAACAATAGTCCCGACATTTGGGTTTCGCTTTTTGGACTCACCCTGTATGTAGCAAGATGAGTAATTTCATTAGTACACAAACGATAATGCTATCTGTTATTTTTAAAATAGGTGTAAACATAAACACGTCACCGATGAGTTTCAGTTTAGTAGTCTTTTCCTCGAACGACTAAGCAAGTATATTTGTTTTCCATTTTTGAGTTTTGATCCCAAACATTGTGAGCAGTTGGCTGTCCTTTGTCCTATAGCCATAAATTTAAAGATGTATACCCCTTGCTAATTTCGAATTTCACCTCGAAAATAACATTTTTTGTTTCAGAACTTTGCTATTTTCGTAGCAGTGTAAAAGTTATTCACTTTTAAATGAGACATTGAACACAAAAAATCCACCGACATTGATTTTAGTTGTTGAATTAGTTCTTCACAAAGTTCTAATTGTTGGCTGCTGGACAATGATTCAGCTCTTTCAGGGTCGGTTATTTTGTGCACAAAATGAAAGCCATTTTTCAAAGGATTACGGACGCCCAAAATCGGAATACAGTAGGGTATTGTTCGGGGAAAAAAAGAAATTGAAAATTCGTTAGGAGGAAAAACAAATCACATTTTTGAAGAGCACGGGGCATGCATCTGTAAATGCAGGTCAGTAAATGCAGGTCATCAGGTCAGAGACATTGAAATATCTCCCTTCCGCATGTCTCCCAAAGGTATAACTTATGACGCTTTAAGTGTCTACCAAAGGTTATACTTGTTGTTATAAAAAAAAATCTTCCACGAGTAATACCGTTGCTATTGGAATCCAACAATTTCAGTGGGTAATCTGAGTGTATTAGGCCCCCCCCCAAAAAAAGTCTCCGGTTTCTGGTATGGAGCTTGCCCAAAAAGTGGTGCGGCGACGCGGCTTTTTTTTTTTTTACCTGTCTTTTTGCTTCAAATGTTGGCTGATGACTGCAAATGGTGCCCGACTAAACTTAGTGCAAATATATGGGAGTCCGGAGAGGCCACATAAAGCTTATTCTCGATCATAACCCCATCTAAAAACACGTTAAAATGTGCAGCAGCAGGATTTCAGTCAAACCAGTGAGTTTGGCGGTTTTGAGACATCATCTTTTATTGAAAAAAAAAACTTTTTAATTTTGCCGACGCGCATGGCTACGGCGACGCGCGCGCATACCAGAAACCGGAAACTTTTTTGTTTTGGCCTTATATTATTTTTTGAAGTAAATGTAATTTTGAACAAAAGTAGACATTTGTAAAAAAATAAATTGTGAAATTTTGAAAAATATATGATACTTTTTGAAAAACATTATGATGTACTTTGTATTTTGTTCAAACCTGCTGTTTGGATCATATACAATTATGATTAAAGACAAAATGGGGTGCTGCGCAGTACCAATAAGCAAGTAAAGAACGTATAAATTATAGAAGTGCTCATCAACTAGTCCGAAAATTCGGCAAAAAACTACTGGTGAACACTGCTATTAAAGGTGATCACACACTAAACCTAAAAGTCGAAAATCAATTAACAAAGATACATTGCATGTGGGTTTCTTGAATAGTTTCAAGTTACCTTTTATAACCTAATTATTTCATTCAAATCGATGCATTGGAACAAACGCAGTGTTTCATCGAACTCAAGGGTTGAAACTCGTCTCGGGTCACTTTCCTTGAAAGTGAGAACACGCAGTTAGAGAAACACACAAAGGATTTATTTCCTTTGTTTAAGAGTAACGTGTGACTCATTCTACCGGCTTCGATCTGTAAACTTGGTAAATAAAAAAAGTGGCCCAAGTAGTTTTACAAGTCCCGCATTGTGATTGCTGTATCTTTTGAGCAAAACATCCTAGTGAAACCAACTAAAAAGCATTTGGAAGACCAATTATTCTACTAAGCAATATATTAGACACGATCTTGAATACCACCCCCCCCCACACACACACACACACACACACTTTTCTGAAAACATGCCCGATTCAACTTTTTTTGTGGGACATCTTGTATTTATATTGTCCTTATACATGTAATTAGGTTGTCAATGCCAAGTGACCGCACTGAAATTGGGTCGTTTCTTATTTAATCTTGCTAGCTCCACCCCTAGAGGTGGGGTGGCCAATTGCGTTTTTCCCCCTTTTGGCCCATCATGCAAATTCACGGGTACGCTTTGAGCATTGTCATATTTTATAGACAAAAGCTGACAAGGTCTGCGTTTTAAATGTCGTTAAAATATTGTGAGCTGTACGAGTGTAATTGTTTCATTTCCGTTACTGGAACATCTGGGAAATCAACAGGTTTTGGGCCAACCCTCCGAAGGATGTCGCCTATTTGTTTACACGCACGGAGTTTCCTTTCGAGTTAAACTGTGCAGTAAACTCATGAGAACTTTTTCCATGGACATTGCCGTAAAAGATCAAGCAGTAATTGATAAAAAAAAAAAAAAAAAAACGCCCAAATTAGCGAGTTCATTAATTATTAGGATTTGAGACACGATTACCAAATAACATGTAAGACATGTATTCTCTTTTCTGTCAGCTTATACAGATAGCGTGCCAAATCTTTCGTCCTCTGAAGGATTATAGACAATCGGTAGCATCTGAATATTGACCTTTCAAGATAGAACCGGTAAAATGTGAAGTTATAGGCTGCCTGTCATATTGCAAATGTGATGGATACTGTGAAACATTCCAAAGAATTGTTTTTTTTTTCACTTGCAATACAGCGCTAACACACGGACTTAAAGGTTTGAAAATTATGGAAGAAAACACGAATTTAATGCAAGAGCTCGAGGGTTATATGACAGGCTGTTGTGGTGAGGGGAGCGTTTCGCGTCGAATTTGCAATTTTAAAATGAACAGAGATAAAATAGTTGGTAAGAGGGATATTTACAGGCATGAAATACCCATACAGCAGCGCCAAATAAGTTTTTTTTACTTCTTCAATTACTTTACACCATTTGTTTATACTCCAACCTTATACATCCAGACGATGATTCACGGTGGGAGATATTTTCAGTTCCTCTCTCAGTCGATCCCAAAAGAGCTGCTGGCCGAGTCCGTCCTTGGGCCACTTGAGGTAGCTCTTTCTGCACAGGGTCTGGCGCAGCAGCATGGTCATCTTGTGGTCCGAGATCTCCCCTAGTAGGATTAGAACCAGCACGTCCCGGCCCTCGTTGAAAAGCCTCAGGTGGGCCATCTGCATCTCATAGTAGCACCACTCGCTCTCCATGAAGTGGTCGGTCAGCACCAAGATAGTACGCCTGCTGTTCTGGATGGCTTCCACGATGACATCCATCTTGGAGTCTCCTGCGGGGAGGTCCCGGTCGGTTAGGCATAGACTGAACCTCTCCACATCTTCCCTGTGATCCTCCAGATTAGGAAGCAGCTCCTGCATCACCCACTCCCGGTCATGGTCGTTGTAGGACACGAAGGCGTCGAACCTTGGCACGTTGTTGTTGTTCCCTTGCTCGGCAGGTTCGTCTTGTTCCTCTCTCCTGATTAGCCCACGCCGAAACACCATGAAGAATTTGTAGCGCATGTGCCAGTGGTACCGGACGCAAACGGCGACAACCGTGACGATGACTATCAAACCTGACGCCAAGCCCACGCCCAGGTACAAAGCCAGGTACGACACACAGAAGTCCAGAGTAAGGAGTGCGACCAGTTCCCCTTGAAACTCTTCTGGGGAGCTGCATCTGTACCTTGATGGTGATGGTAAAAGCATTCGTGTGTCCTCTAAGAGCCAGTCTCGGAAATCCTCAACGTCGCAGGTGCATGAATATGCATTGTCGCTCAGGTCCACCACTCGCAAAGCCGGCTGCTGGCTAGCCGCGAAGAGCTTCACGTCCGCGAATGTGATTTTGTTGCCCGAGAAAGTAACCGTTTTCAAACGCGGGAGCCGAGGGGTAAGAGCTAAAATATTTGAGAGGACGTTGTAGCTAAGGTCCAACGCCTCAAGACTGTTCAAGTTCGAGAAAGAACTTTCACTCACAGCCTCCAATGTGTTCTGGCTGAGGTTGACTCTTCGAAGGCGGGGGCTGTTATCAAAGACACTCGCAGAGAGGAAATTGAGCAAGTTTCCTCCAAAGTTGAGTGTCTCCAGAAGCGGCAGATTCAACGCTGTCCACCCATACTCAGACGAATCATAAAAAGCTACATTTTGTATTCCATTGTGTGAAACATCCAAGGTGACTAGAGAAGTGCAATTCAGCAAAACAGCGAGTTCAAAGTTGACTTCTATGTTGTTGACGTAGAGCACCTTGAGGTTTGGTGCCAAGTAACTGAGGGTGTTTGTAAGATACTCCCCGCCCTCATTTCGTGAGATGTCCAAGACGCGCAGAGCCGGGAGAGCAGTACTCCAACCGCTCGGGGGAATTTGATAAAATTTATTGACCGCGAGGTACAGGCGCTCAATGTTAGGAAGTAATCTCAAACTTTCTGCTAAAGTGAGCAATTGGTTTCCCTCGAGATTCAAAGTAGTCAAAAGGGTCACAGATGTGAAGTCATCCTTTCTCAACCTGCGTAACTTGTTCCCTGCCAAGTTGAGAATTCTGAGGGAGCGTGTGCTATTGAAAGCAGACAGCGCATCCGTAGGTACTTCTTCAAAACAGTTCACAGACAAATCCAGTTCTTGGAGATCGTTTAATCCTTTAAAGACTCCCTTTGTTACAGACCCAAGACAGTTATGGCTCAAGTCAAGTTTCTTGAGAGTCGACATGGAGCCTAGTGCCAACTCTTGAATTCGCCCGATATACAGGTTTGCGAATGAGATGCAGGTTATATTAGGCAGATACTGCGATAGACGGCGAACAATTTGCGCCGAAAGAGTGTGGCTACTCTTTACATCGGGCAACGACCCGCTTAAATCCAACTGGAAAATTTCAGACGGCAACTTATCAAGGACATTGTAATACGTATTCTTCAAGCTTAGTTGCCGAAGGTTTGTGAGGGGATAAAAGGTAGCGTTACCTATCAAATAGAGGCTGTTCCAGGAGAGGTCAAGATACGTTATTGGCAGAGACTGCAGTGCCGAGAAGGAAACATTTGGCAGATAATCTATATTCATCCCTGCAAGAAGCAAGCGCTCTAAGCTTCTCATCGATCGGAATCCCTCGCCGAGGTGGAACTTGTCAGTCATTTCCAGCAAATTAAAGGACAGGTCTAGCGTATGAACCTTCCTTAAAGGCACCAAAGCGTCAGATGGTAGCACGCTCATCGAATTGTAGAACAGGGAGAGTTGGCGAAGATTTCCGAGGTCTCGAAATGCTGCCGCAGGGACGGAAATGATACTATTCTTGGAAAGATCAAGATATTCCAGTTCAAGAAGCCCAGCGAATGCATTGGAATCCAACGACTCTATGTTATTTTGGGACAGATCGAGAGTCTGCAACAAGACCAGATTGCGGAAAGTGTTGTTACCGATAGTGAGGAGGACGTTGATGGATAGATTGAGATATCTCAGACGTGGCAAGTTGGTAAAATAGTGTTCGGTCAATTGAGAGATGTCATTTGCAGATAGATCTACAGCCGATGCGATTGGTAGGAGTTCGGTTGGAACTGAAGACAGATTCCGCGCGCTGCAGTCCAGCATGGTATAGTTCCAGAACTTACAAGGTAGCACCTGACTTGCAGTGTTTGGTGGAAGCTGGGTGATTGCACCCTCTGACGGAGGCACACAAAGTAGACCAAAAACCACCGACAAATGCAGCACCGCGATACTTAAACAAGAGACAGCCATGCTGGATATCATACAGTGATGCAACAAAGTGCATATACGTGCTTTCAGATAGAAATCTGTGTTTGTGCTGTACCAGTTCATAAAAATAATGAGTATATGGTGTCAGAATGTACGTGGTCAGTTTGAGTGAGGCTCACTAACTCGGGGGTTGGGCGCGTACTACAACTGTCACCAACGGTTATAGTAAGTGGAAGGATTTTCACCTGTGCAAGCCTTTTGTAACTGTTTCGTGACACGGTAGCTTGCTGTGGATTGTTCAGTTTCGCTTCCTCTTTTCTCTGTGCGAAAAGAAAATGAGGAAGTGATGGCCTGAAAAGGTGGCTCGTTTCTGTGACCATTATAAAAGCTCAATGCTGTGACCGATGTGACCCATGATCTGACACCCATTGTTCAGTGTTTTGCGCAAGCCTGAGAAATATCAGGAAAAAATACAGGAAAAATCCGGCCCCCAAAAAGTATATTGTCCAGGTGTCATTTTTTAAATTGCACGTCATAACCCCCCCCCCCCAAATATCCCAAGTTGTTTACCAGTCCTCTGCTCTCTGCAGATCACGCAATATTACCGCGGAGTTTCACCTTGATTTGCAGGCACCGTCATGCCACGTGATTTACACAGGGGAAATGCAAGCTGAGATGTTTCCTTTCTCCTTTACAACGTGTACCCTGGCGCACATGTACAATGTATGTAGACGGAGTTCAACTATGGTCTTAGGGAGCTAGGTGCATGCTTCATAAAAATAAATAAACAAAATATGCCATACGTCCAAGAAGTCTGCCTATAATTTACTGAGTCTAAATTATTCACTTAACTTAGTTTTTGTTTGAACTATATTTCATGTTGAGTGCTTACATTCGATTGTGTTTTAGAAGAGGTTTTTTGTACGACAAAAAAACAAACAAAAGACCACGACTTGTTTGTTAAGAATGGTGTCGATAAAAATAACAGATGAAGGTATGTCGATCAAATTCCAAGAGCTATATTAAATTACTAGAGCGCTGACTCATGTACAAAGTGGTGCCTGCTGGGCGCATCCATGTTTGTGCACAAAACCTGCATGTCGGGTGACCCAACACCGAAACGAACGATCAGCAATGGTGACAACCTGGAACTCGAACCTCCAACCCCAAGATTGATGATCTGAGAACAATACTCTACCGACTGGGATACCGGCTCGCACTTACCAGACCGGGAATTTATAATATATAAATTATCAACTTAGCTCTTGTTGCAAAGTGAAGTGGCGTCAAAAGATACGTGTCGTCATGAGTCCCTCCCCTCCCCCTGCGAAAAAAACGTCGCAGGGTGACAACGAACCTCCAACCTCAAGATTGATGATCTGAGAACGGCACTCTACCGACGGGGCTACCGGCTCGCACTTACCAAGACTGGATATATAGAAACCTCCGGTTGCAAAGGGTGGTGACGTCAAAAGTCACGTGTCATTTTGAGTCCCCAATCCCAGCACCATTCGCCCTGACGAAAATAAAACTGTTGTTGGTGACAATCTGGGATCGAACCTCCAACCTTAAGATCGATGATCTGAGAACTGCACTCTACCGACTGGGCTACCGGCTCGCACTTACCAAGCAGGGAATTTATAATATAACCTTCGCTTGCATGCAAAGGGTGGTGGCATCAAACGTCACGTATCGTCGTGAGCCCCCCCCCCCCCTCCCCGAGGGAAAAAAAGTAATGTCGCAGGTGACATCCTGGGACTCGAACCTCCAACCTCATGATTGACGCTCTAACGAAAAAAAAAATGTTGTTGGTGACAACCTGGGGCTCGAACCTCCGACCCCAAGATCGATGATCTGAGTACTGAACTCTACCGACTGGGCTACCGGCTCGCACTTAGCACGACGGCTCGCACTTAGCAAGACGGGAATTTATAATATATAGAAACCTTCGGTTGCAAAGGGTGATGACGTCAAAAGTCACGTGTGTCCCTCCCCCAGAGGAAAAAAATAATTGTCGCTGGTGACATACTGGGGCTCAAACCACCAACCCCAAGATCGATGATCTGAGAACGGCACTCTACCGATGGGGCTAACCGGCTCGCAATTACCAAGCCGGGAATTTAAAATATATATGAACCTCCGATTGCAAAGGGTGATGACGTCAAAAGTCACGTATCGTCTTGAATCCCTCGCCAAGCCCCTGCGTTCTGAGGGAAAAAAATGTCGCTGGTGACAAACTGGGGCTCGAACTTCCAACCCCAAGATTGATGATCTGAGAACTCTACCTACTGGGCTGCCGGCTCGCACTTGCCGAGCCGGGAGTTTATAATATAATCCTCCGGTTGCAAAGGGTGATGACGTCAAAAGTCACGTATCGTCTTGAGTCCCTCGCCAAGCCCCTGCGCTCTGAGAAAAAAAAAATGTCGCTGGTTACAAACTGGGACTCCAAGATCGATGATCTGAGAACGGCTCTCTACCCACGGGGCTACCGGCTCACACTTAAAAAGCCGGGAAATTATAATATATTTAAACGTCCGGTGTGGCGTCAAAAATCACGTGTCGTCGTGAGTCCCCTTCTCGATTCCCCTCCACTCTGATGAAAAAGCAAATATTGCTGGTGACAAACTGGGGCTCGAACCTCCAACCCCAAGATTGAGGATCTTTGAACGGCAGTCCGCCGACTTGGCTTTCGGCTCACACTTACCAAACCGGGAATTTATAATATATATAAACCTCCGGTCGCAAAAGGAGATGACGTCAAACGTCACGTGTCGTCATGAGTCCCCCCTAACCCCCTGAGGAAAAAAATGTCGCTGGTGACAACCTGGGACTCGAACCTCGAACCACCTCATGATGAGAACTGTACTCTACCGACTGGGCTACTGGCTCGCACTTACCAAGCCGGGAATTTATAATATATATATAAACCTCCGGTTGCAAGTGGTGGTGACGTCAAAAGTCACGTGTCGTCGTGAGTTCCCCCTACCCCCCCCGAGGAAAAAAATGTATGTAGCTGGTGACAACAGGGACTCGACCCTCCAAGCCTATGATTGATGATGTGAGAACGGCACTCTACCAACGGGGCTACAGGCTCGCACTTACCAAGTCTAGAAATTTTAATCATATACACCTCTGGTTGCAAAGGTAAGTGACGTCAAAAGATACACGTCGTCGACTGTCCCTCCCCCGCTCCTTGCGCTCTGCACTCTGAGGAAATAAAGTTATGTCGCTGGTGACAACCTGGGACTCGAACCTCCAACGCCTAGATTGATAATCTGAGAACGGCCCTCTACCGACTGGGCTACCGGCTCAAACATACCAAGACTGGAATTTATAATTATATAAGCCTTCGGTTGCAAAGGGTTGTGACGTCAAAAGTCACGTGTCGTCTTGAGTCCCTCCCCCACCCCCTGCGCTCTGAGGAAAAAATGATAGATGTCGCTGGTAACAAACTGGGGTTCGAATCTCCAACCCCAAGAATGATGATCTGAGAACGGCGCTCTACCGACTGGTCTACCGGCTCGCACTCAAGCCAGGAATTTATAATATATATAAACCTCCGGTTGCAAAGGGTGATGACGTCAAAAGTCACGAGTCGTCGTGAGTCCCCGTGAGTCCCTCCACCTATTCCCTGCGCTCTCTGGAAAAATAGTAAATGTCGCTGGTTCCAAACCTGGGGCTCGAACCTCCAACCCGAATATTGATGATTTGAGAATGGCACTCTACCGACTTTGCTACCGGCTCGCACTTAATATGCTGGGAATTAATAATATATACAAACCTGCGGTTGCAAAGGGTGGTGACGTCAAAACTCACGTGTTGCCGTTAGTCTCTCTCCCACCTCCTGCGCTCCAAGAAAAAAAACACATAAACGTCGCTGGTGACAACCTGAAGCTCGGACCTCAAACCCCCAAATTGATGATCTGAGAACGGTACTCTACCGACTGGAATACCGGCTAACTTTGATTTGTTAAAAAAAAAATGGTGGAAAGGGTTTTTCTTGTTTCATCCAGCCTTATTTAAAATCATCTGCACAGACGAACAATATAATGAGTTGTGTATCTCGAAGTCTGAAGTATACCCATTCACAGACCTAAATACGACAATTAGGCCTACACATGAAATGTCTTTGCTTTTGTCGATTTCCACAGCTTTATGAGCAGATGATCCTTTCTGTTTTATTTAAATATGCATTCCCCGTGCTATTTTCGAGTTTCATCTCAGAAACTAAGATCTGATTTGTGTTTATTTTTTCCTAGAAATTTCAAAGTTATTCACTTTCTAATAAGGCATAGAACGGAAAAATCCATCGACGTCTAGTTATTGAATCATTTCTTCACAAAATTGGAATCATTGGCTGATAGGATGGGTGAATTTGTGCACGAAAGGAAAGCCTTTTTCAGAGGGTTGCAGATTCCCAAAATATGAGTATGGGTGTTTTTGTTTTTCGTTAAAACAAAACAAAACAAACAATTTGGACAGTCTTTCGGATTTTTAAAAAAAAACAGGGTATGCAACTTTTTGTTGTCTGTTTTTGTATTGTGTGCTCTTCTTTTCACCCCGCGATCAGCCAAGAGGTCCGTAGGCCTACAGTGTTTCATTGTATGCTTGAACAAAGTAAATCCATCCAAAACTTGGGACAAATATACATGAATATGCTGCAAGGAATGTACAAACGATTACAGACGTACCGTCCTTCATGTTTAACAAAAGAATATTTTCTTCGAAACGATTTTTCAAATTGTTTTGTTCTCGACAAAAAAATAAGTACTTTTTATTTTCGGGCGTCTTAAAAAAAAAAAAACGCTTTTATTTTGGGTACGTTTTTCTCGGATAAACAGATTCGCCCAGTCGAAACTCGAAGGGGATACTCGATCTTTTCGTTTCGAATGAATTGCACGCTTAATCGATTTGTCCTGAATTTCAGTCGGATACTATACAGTGACTTTTCACTCTTTTGAAACAAGAGAGTATGGACCCGACTTTGTCGATTCTGATATATGCATGGACGGGAAAGAGTCTATAGTAATTGCGAGCACTGAATTATTTTCGGGCCGCTAATGATTCGACATTCATTGACTGATTATTTCATTATTCTAAACATGGGCCGAATTTTTCTTTTCGTGTAACGTCTCATCCAAGAGTTAATTACATTTGTATTTCTACAAAAATCTGTATTGTTTCGGGGCTTACACATAAATTGGCCAATTATTAGGGTAAAAGTGGCCGTACATAATAATAAAGTACGTACACATTACTGTTCAGGTATTATTTGGGATCAATGTAGATGTATTTTCTTCAGAATGGGAAATTAAAATATTACTCTGTTCGGACACAAGAAACACTCTGATTACTTTTATGTGAGGGCGCTATAGTCCAATTGAACGGATCTCTGCATATTTGGGTATGTAAATTTGACTGATCGAAGTTATGCCCCCCATGATTTTGAGAGGTCTGGTACTGGCTCGAGAAATTAAAGCTACAAGTTAAAATGCTCATTATATATGGCATTACCAAAATGTACACTTTACCGATGAGATGTAGGCATCCTCTTTAGCTGACTATTTTGACACTCATCGCCAGCTAATCAGATTCTCTGCGTAGACTTCGTGACGTTTTCCTTCGCATTGAATATTCAGTGATGTTGAATTATAGGGTCATCTTTGTTAGCCAGTAGCAGAGCGCTTTTATTTTTGGACGGCACTTCGTGCTGCCATTTCATTTGGTATTATAGGAGGTCACTTCTGGGTCAGCTTTTGTAAAGAGCAATCTGATTGGTTAGAAATTATGTCAGTCCTTATTTGGAAGTGTTCATGATCAAGTTAAGTATTGCCACGAGGTCAAAAGAGGACGGATAAGGCCGGACTGGGTTTGACTACCGTCTTACGACACACACGGAGAAGAATACCGTGGCTATAGCGGGGACGAAATGTAGGATGCTTTAAAAAAAAAAATTCTCAAAGTATTGAGCTGAAACGTGTAATTTACGGTCTATGTATAATACAAAAATTCATTGGTTCCGATGTATAGTCATTTTATTTGAATGCAAATCATATCACATATAGTTAGTAATGTGCATATTATAAATGCAGCATATCAAAAAGCATACAACACAAGAATGAAATTTGTACATTATTCGGACTGTTTTGCAGTGGCGTACATTATGGGGGGGGGGGTTGAAGATGCACGTGCACCCCATTTGAAATTTGACTTGCACCAAAAAACAAACCTCGGCTGCCTTCAGTGTGCCCCTTGAAGTTTCACCTAATTTGGTGCGACGCTGCTGTTTTTGCCTATTATAGTAAGTAAACCGCAGTATCATTGTCAATTCAGGATTCAATGCACCCCGCTCGAGAATTTGGTGGAAACTAGGCAATAAATGCGTTTTTAAATGTTAAAGCTATTGAACATTTCCCCCTCCAGCGCCAGTTTTAATTGCAAACAGAACCCCTATAAAGTCGTAAGCCTTTTAGAGATATGGTTGGCACAATCTGGGTGCTAGTTGGAGTGGAAAAGAATGTTATGTGTAGCTACTCAAATTTACTCACTAAAAGTAGCCTCCATTTTTTTGTGTCTACCATTTTCTCAAAAGAATATGTAGCGCATGTGCCAGGGGTACCGGACGCAAAAGGTGACAACCGCAACGATGACTATCAAACCTGACGCCAAGCCCACGCCCAGGTACAAAGCCAGGTACGACACGCAGAAGTCCAGCGTAAGGAGTGCGATCAGTTCCCCTTGAAGCTCTTCTGGGGAGCTGCATCTGTACCTTGACGGTGATGGTAAAAGCATTCGTGTGTCCTCTAAGAGCCAGTCTCGGAAATCCTCAACGTCGCAGGTGCATGAATATGCATTGTCGCTCAGGTCCACCACTCGCAAAGCCGGCTGCTGGCTAGCCGCGAAGAGCTTCACGTCCGCGAATGTGATTCTGTTGCCCGAGAAAGTAACCGTTTTCAAACGCGGGAGCTGAGGGGTAAGAGCTGAAATATTTGAGAGGACGTTGTAGCTAAGGTCCAACGCCTCAAGACTGTTTAAGTTCGAGAAAGTACTCTCACTCACAGTCACCAATGCGTTCTGGCTGAGGTTGACACTTCGAAAGCGAGGGTTGTCGTCAAAGACACTCGCAGAGAGGAAAGTAAGTTGGTTCCCTGCAAGGTTAAGGGTCTCCAGAAGCGGCAGATTCAACGCTGTCCACCCATACCCAGACGAATCATAAAAAGCTACATCAATTATTTCATTGTGTGAAACATCCAAGGTGACTAGAGAAGTGCAATTCAGCAAAACAGCGAGTTCAAAGTTGACTTCTATGTTGTTGACGTGGAGCTCCTTGAGGTTTGGTGCCAAGTAACTGAGGGTGTTTGTAAGATACTCCCCGCCCTCATTTCGTGAGATGTCCAAGACGCGCAGAGCCGGGAGAGCAGTACTCCAACCGCTCGGGGGAATTCGATAAAAGTTATTGACCGCGAGGTACAGGCGCTCAATGTTAGGAAGTAACCTCAAACTTTCTGCTAAGTTGAACAATTGGTTCCCCTCGAGATTCAAAGTAGTCAAAAGGGTCACAGATGTGAAGTCATCCTTTTTCAACCTGCGTAACTTGTTCCCTGCCAAGTTGAGAATTCTGAGGGAGCGTGTGCCATTGAACGCAGACAGCGCATCCGTAGGCACTTCTTCAAAAAAGTTCACAGACAAATCCAGTTCTTGGAGATCATCTAAGCCTTTAAAGACTCCCTTTGTTCGGGACCCAAGAAAGTTATGGCTCAAGTCAAGTTTCTGGAGAGTTGACAATGACCCTAGTGCCAACTCTTGAATTCGCCCTATATACAGTTTTGCGAATGAGATGCAGGTTACATTAGGCAGATACTGCGATAGACGGCGAACGATTTGCACCGAGAGAGTGTGGCTATGCACAACATCGGGCAACGACCCGCTTAAATCCAACTGGAAAATTTCAGACGGCAACTTATCAAGGGCATTGTAATACGTATTCTTCAAGCTTAGTTGCCGAAGGTTTGTGAGGGGATAAAAGGCAGCGTTACCTATCAAATAGAGGCTGTTCCAGGAGAGGTCCAGATACGTAATCGGCAGAGACTGCAGTGCCGAGAAAGAATCATTTGGCAGATAATCTATATTCATCCCTGCAAGAAGCAATCGCTCTAAGCTTCTCATCGATCGGAATCCCTCGCCGAGATGAAACTGGTCAAGTAGGGGAGAAGGGCGGATACCAGACTTTGCCATAGGTCTGGGGGTAGTACAGGGCCAGTGGGGAGAGGGGCAGGTACCAGACTTTACCCCTCCCCCTTTCCGCCACCCTCTGACCACGCCCCCACCCCCTGATCCCTCCCAATGATTTCCCTCCCCCTCCCAATAATCTCCCTCTCCCAATGATCTCCCTCCCAAATATCTCTCTCTCAATATCTCAGTCTCGAAATAAGGCCAGGCCCTCTATATTTATATTTTTCATTTTTGATCTTGTGTTAAATACGACTCGTACAAGTCTACTCCAACCCTGACTTGCAAAATATGAAGTGACTCAGGGTCACGGTGACACACTTTTGCAGTTGGGGGTAAACATCTATTGAAATTCAATGGGCCGTGATGAATTGCTTTTGTTAGTTGGGGCAGCCAGGATATGACTCATCGCATACGTCAGAAGCAAACAATGGTTGCTATTTTTAGTTCCTATATAAGCCAGATACCCTCACAGCGGATGGCCAGTCGGATTTATAAGGCGGAGTTCAGTGGTATCTAATCATATCCAGACTCGACAGCACTGAACTGTATAGCTTCATTTCCGAATACGAGCAGCTAAACTACCAACAGACCAACTTTCAAAGGTAATTATAATACGCTTATAACGTGTATTTTTTATACATCAGGTGTCCAATATGTCAGGGTGATTTGTGTGTAAAAGGCGAAAACCATAGGCGTCTTTACTTGTCAGCGGCCCCGAACACGTTGTAGTTGCGTCTTTTGCAATTTAGTATGCCAGATGCGAGTAAGGATGATTAGGCCCCAAATTATCATTACTGTATGTTTGTGTGTAACAACATTTACTTATTCAGGCCTATTTCTCCTTTTTTTCAGATGAACTGTCCATCTAGTGTAGTAGATGTTACATACGGGCAAGATTTCGTCACATTGGCAAACAGCATGGTCAACACGGTGGGTGAATGGATCGTGGTCAAAATAGGAGATTTGACTCAGCAGTTAAAGAATGCAAAAACCTTTTGATATATGACAAACCAAAAAGCTATTTAAATGAGCTAATTTGAATAACAAAGAAAAAGCCACTCGGAGTGGCTTTTTACTGTATATATTAAGATGCCAGAAAAGCAATTTAAATGAGCTAATTTGAATGACAACGAAAAAGCCACTCAGAGTGGCTTTTTACTGTATATATTAAGATGTCAGAAAAGTTATTTATATGAGCTAATTTGAATAACAACGAAAAAGCCACTCGGAGTGGCTTTTTACTGTATATATTAAGATGTCAGAAAAGCTATTTAAATGAGCTAATTTGAATGACAACGAAAAAGCCACTCGGAGTGGCTTTTTACTGTATATATTAAGATGTCAGAAAAGCTATTTAAATGAGCTAATTTGAATAACAACGAAAAAGCCACTCGGAGTGGCTTTTTACTGTATATATTAAGATGTCAGAAAAGCTATTTAAATGAGCTAATTTGAATGACAACGAAAAAGCCACTCGGAGTGGCTTTTTACTGTATATATTAAGATGTCAGAAAAGCTATTTAAATGAGCTAATTTGAATGACAACGAAAAAGCCACTCGGAGTGGCTTTTTACTGTATATATTAAGATGTCAGAAAAGCTATTTATATGAGCTAATTTGAATAACAACGAAAAAGCCACTCGGAGTGGCTTTTTACTGTATATATTAAGATGTCAGAAAAGCTATTTAAATGAGCTTATTTGAATAACAACGAAAAAGCCACTCGGAGTGGCTTTTTACTGTTTATATTAAGATGTCAGAAAAGCTATTTAAATGAGCTAATTTGAATGACAACGAAAAAGCCACTCGGAGTGGCTTTTTACTGTATATATTAAGATGTAATAAAAGTTATTTAAATGAGCTAATTTGAATGACAACGAAAAAGCCACTCGGAGTGGCTTTTTACTGTATAAATTAAGATGTAATAAAAGCTATTTAAATGAGCTAATTTGAATGACAAAGAAAAAGCCACTCGGAGTGGCTTTTTACTGTATATATTAAGATGCCAGAAAAGCTATTTAAATGAGCTACTTTGAATGACAACGAAAAAGCCACTCCGAGTGGCTTTTTACTGTATATATTAAGATGCCAGAAAAGCTATTTAAATGAGCTAATTTGAATAACAACAAAAAAGCCACTCGGAGTGGCTTTTTACTGTATATATTAAGATGTAATAAAAGCTATTTAAATGAGCTAATTTGAATGACAACAAAAAAGCCACTCAGAGTGGCTTTTTACTGTATAAATTATAATATATGAATATCAAATAAAGAGAATGTATGAATGATCGTTTTATCGAGTCCAAGTTCAATTATAATGTAAAATCAATAGAGGGCGCTATTTCTGTGTGGTGATGGATATCAAAATAATATAAACAGGGTGGTATAATAAATGATCGATTTATCGAGTCCAGGTGCAATTATAATAAAAGAAATCAACAGAGGGCGCCATTCATTGGTGGTGAGGTATTATAAACAGAGGGCGGTATTTAATTTTATGATAAGGAGTTCATGTACCGATAAAAAACAGAGGGCGCTATTAACGGGCACTAAGAGATCTGATTTCAATTATATAAAGAACAGAGGGTGATATTTAATTCTTTATTTAAAATTGCAATCATTTTTATTTAAAGTTTATTAAATAGATGGAATACTTTGGGACGTCACAACTTGGGGATAAGTGCGATCATCATATAATCATCGAGAATGGTTTTTTAGTTTGTGAAACGTGCGGTGAAATAGTTTCATGTTATTTTGATTTTTCGGCAGAAAATGCGCAAGAAGATCGTATCAATTGGTCAATTTTAAAAAGAAACAAAAGAAAAACTGTGGAAAAACTTATTTTGTCGGTGTGTCCAGAGCAAGACTTAGAAGATGTCCAAGAAACAATCAATAAATATAACGAGCTCGTTAATTACAAAACATTGAGGGGAAACGGATGCGTAAAACGCTTGTTAATAGCGGCGTGTTTTTATTATGTAGCTGGAATAGACAAAGAACGAGTTAGAGATTTATTTAAAGTGACTCAAAATCAATTTAATAAAGCACTAAAAAGATACGATGACCACTACAATAAAGGCGGGGCCGAGGGTAACACCCCAAGAGGTAAAATAGAGGTATAACTCGGCGGATCGCTTTCATAATGTTTATTTACCGTGAATTTGAACTTGTAAGTTTTTCGATAAGAGATTTTTTTTCTTTTGCCAGCCGTTCGTCTACCCGTTTTTTAACTTCTTTTTCAAAGTCTGTATCGTTTTTAATTTTTTGAAGCTTTGTGCTGGTCTTTGTTCTAATTTTTTGTTTAAGCTCGTTAAATTTTGCGAGCTCTCTCGTAATCAATATAAACTCTTCGTGCGATATATCTCCGTCGTTGATGGCTTGAGACACGTATTCTTCAATCGTGTTAAGTTTGGAGTCTGCTAATATTTTAATCTGGTCGTGCTTTTTCAGCTTGGCGGATAATCGCTTAGACGCGATTCTAAGCAGAATATCTACACCAAAAGCGCCTATAAACGTTCCTTCTAGCACCAATCCAACGGGGGCTGATATAACACCCAAGAGAGCGGGAATACTGACAGCCCCCGCTATAGCCCCCAATCCTTCTAATCCTATCTCTACGTAATTAATAGTGTCGATCACTCTCTTTATTTTTTTATAAGTGCGCTCTCGGTGGTCTCTCTCTTTCAAGATTAAAGATCGAATCTCTTCAATCTTTTTAAGTCTGTACACTTTTGTTTCTTCGTTACTATTTAATCGGAGTACATCTCCAGAAATATCGGGGTATAACGCCTTACCATCTACACTCATGTTTTTAATATAAAAAGATTTTAAAATTAAAAGATCTCCAACTCGATAATGATACCCTCACCCTTATTGTTGAATACCTGTCCTTTTTCACCGCTGATAGAAAATGTCAGTTTGTCGATTATACCGTTTTTAAGATTTTTGAATCCCTCGGCTCTATCAATATCGGGTTTGCGCGTAGCCACGGGTACGATTTTTAAGATGTCAGAAGGACGACCATTAAAAAAGTTTTCACTCGTACTTAATTGCGGGCAGCGAATAAACAAAAATTTAAACGGATTAACGTCGTAAGACCCCGTATACACCACTTTGGGTACCAGTCTTCCTTTGGGTAAATTGAGTAATCGAGATACTTCTCTGTTCAAGCGCAATTTGAGATTTACGTCGGTTATCACCAATGTCACCTTTTTAGATTCTCTAAATATTCGAAAACTTACCCCGGGTATAGAATTTAAAATGAAATCGAACCAATCGACGTCGTACCACCCCGGTGCTATGATGACCGAACCGGTGACTCCGAGTGGTAACGGCGCTAAATGACTCGGAGGAATAAAATCTAAATCATCACCCGTCACGATAAGACTTCCCCTTATAATTACCCCTGCTTCTCTACTATCTCTCAACTCGCTCAACTCGCTCGCACCCATTTCTCCTTCAATAAACTTTGAAGCCAATTCCTCACCTTCAAAGATTTTCCTTTCTCTAACATATAATATTCTTACTAAAGATTGAAGCGTATTAAGTTCTAATTCAGTTTTTGGTATTTCTGAAGACATGGCGGCTAAAATCAACCCTCGCCGTTCAGCTATAATAGCTCTTTTTCTTTTGTTTGATTCTAAAACGGATTCTAGTCTATCGTCTTCGTACGCTTTTATAAGATCGTTTATAGTTTTTTGTAAAACATTTTCATCGTTAATTAAAAAGTGGTATGGTATATCGGGTAACAATCGCTCTATAAAATCTCTATCTGGCGTTCTTATGTGTACATCTGAAAGAAACTCCGCGGGTATGGGGGGAGGTTTATCTGTGGTAAACGCGGGTCTCCCATCTATTTGCGTAAACCAATCAATCTCCGTGGCGCTGGAAATATTAAAATATCCGGGGTTAAACATTAGCCTTTTTACGCGTACAGATTTTTGACCGTTTAAATTATCTACGACGTCTTCTAATTTAAACGTCTGCTCATTTTGAAACAAGTGA